GGCGGCGCGCCCAGGCTGATGTTGAACTCGATCGTCCCCTCGAACAGCACGCTCTCCTGCGGCACCAGCGAGATCGTGTCCCGGAACGACACGCCCCGCGTCTGCGTCACGTCCAGGTTGTCTACCAGGATCGACCCGGATGACGGGGTGTACAGTCGCTCCACGAGCGAGATGATCGTCGACTTGCCCGCGCCGGAGGGGCCGACCAGCGCCGCAAATTTGCCGGCCGGGATGTTCACGCTCAGCCCGTTCAGCACCTTGATGTCCGGACGCGCCGGGTAGGAGAAATGCACGTCGCGGAGCTGCACGGTGGACGCACCGCCGCCGCCGACATGCTTTTCACTGCTCACGGCATCGGACTCGATGTCCGCGGACAGCGCAGGCGGCAGCCGGTCCACGTTGCCGCGCATCTTATCCGAGCCGATCTCGATCAGCCCCAAAATGCGGGCCATGGCGCCCTTGGACGCGGTCAGCTCGGGCGCCAGCGCGAACATCTGACTCCACAGCAGCGCGCTGACCAGCAGGGAGAACACGACAATCAAGAACTGCGTCTGCGTGTAGTTGCCGTTGGAGATCTGCTTGGCGCCCCACCAGTACGCCAGGGCGTTGACCATGTTCCCCAAGAAATAGGTCATCGCCTGCCAGAAGCTGGCCTGCAGCGTCACCTGCAGGGTCTCCTTGCGGGGTCCGCGCAGCGAGCGCCGGTAGGTGCGCAGGGTCACCTCCTCGAGGGCCAGCGAGGCGACCGCCTTGATGGAGGTGATGGCCTCGACGCCGATGTCGACGGACTTGGTGTAGGCGGTCTCGTGCTTCTCCTCGAACTTGCCGAGCACGCGCAGCTCCATGAGGCCGGCGCCCAGCAGGAGCGGCACGAGGGCCAGACACACGAGGGCGATGCGCCAGGCGATGATGTGGGTCATCACGATGGCGGCGATCAGGTTGATGGTGATGGAGATGACGGTGCCGATGACGGAGCCGCTCAGCCCGGCCAGCGCCTGGCCGTCGCGCGTGATGAATGAGAGCAGCAGCGCCGGCGTGCGGCCCTCGGACTGGTGCCACTGCAGGTCCTGCTCGAACAGCGACCGGAACGACAGCACCCGCACCGTGTACACGATCTTCTCCGAGATGCGCCCGAAGCCCGCCCAGCTAACCACGTTCGCGAAGAACTCGATGATCGCCAGGATGAAGAACATCAGCCCGTAGAAGTTGCCGCTGCTGCTGATGCTCGACGCCCCCTTGCACGGGTTCAGGCTGCCCACCGTGTTACCGAAGATCACCGCTTCGCCCGAGAAGGCGCCGCCGACGATGGCCGAGCCGATCAGCGCCAGGAAAATGTACAGGAGGTGAGGCCGGAGGGCCGGCGCGTAGCCCTTGGCCAGCGCCCAGAGGGACTTCTTCGGGGTGTTGAGCTCCTCCGGATCGGCCTCGTCGTTGGCATCGGGGGTGTTGGTGTTGCTGGCGTCCGAGGCCGGGCCTTCGTGCACCACCGGAGTCTTTTCCGTGGGTTCGTCGGTGTTGGCCAGGCTGCCCTTCTCGTTCTCGATCTCCACGTCCGTCAACGAGGGCTGGTCCGATCGGCTGGCGTTGTCGGCCGCGGGGGCATCGTCCTTGTCCGCGGCGGAAGACATGCCCTGCAGCTTGACAAGGTCGGCATACGCGCCGCCCCGGGCCATCAGGGTGGCGTGGTCGCCCTGCTCGACGATCGTGCCCTTGTGCATGACGACGATGTTGTCGGCGCCGGTGATGGTCGACAGGCGATGGGCAATGGTAATCATGGTGCGGCCGCTGGCGATGTTGTTGATGGCGCGCTGGATGCGCTGCTCACTGCGCGAGTCCAGCGACGCGGTGGCCTCGTCGAGGATCAGCACGGCAGGGTCCTTGATCAGGGCCCGCGCCAACGAGACACGCTGCTTCTGCCCACCACTGATCAGTCGACCACTCGAACCCACCATCGTCCCGTATCCATCCTGCAGGGCGCTGATGAAGGTGTCGGCATCGGCCAGCGTGGCGGCGTGCTTGACCATCTGCACCACCTCCAGAACCTCGGCGCCACGGCTCTGCGCCGCCGCCATCAGATCCTTGCCCTCGCGCACCTCCGCGGCGAGTTCCTCCAGCTGGGTGGTGAGGAGCGTTTCCTTGAAGCGGTGGTGCTCCGGGTTACTCGAGTTCATCAGGCCGTGGGCAATGTTCTCCAGCAGCGAGCGATCGAGCAACGAGGGCTCCTGCTGCACCAGACTGAGGTAGCTGCGCAGATCCCGGGTGTTGATCTCGCGCAGGTCGTGTCCGTCGAACAGAATCTGGCCCTCGACGGGGTCGTATAACCGCGTCACCAGGCCGGCGATGGTCGACTTGCCGCTGCCGGACAGGCCGACCAGCGCGGTGTGCTTCTTGGCGGGAATGCTGAGGCTGACCTTGTCCAGCACGGTGATCTCCGGCCGCGAGGGGTAGACAAAGGTCACGTCCTTGAGCTCGAAGCCGCCCTCGGCCTGGCCGTCAGTCAGCCGCAAGCCCTCGGTGGTGGTAGCATCGATCTGCGGCTGGCGGTCCATGTCCTCGCGCAGCTTCTCGTAGGAGGCGACACCGGCGATGAACAGATGGAGGAAGGGCGCCGTCTGACTGAGCAGGAGGGTGGCCTCAACCAGGATGAAGATGACGGTAAAGACGGCCCCGACGCTAACGCCACTGGTGCCGTCGCGTACATTGGCGGCGACCTGCTTCGCGCCCTGCCAGAAGGCCAGACCGTTGGCCGAGTAGGCGATGAAGTATAAGAAACCGGCCTGCACACCGACCGCGGTCGCCTTCTTCAGCCCCTCGGTCTCGGCGGACTTGAGCGCGGAGGCGAACTTCTTCTCGAGCCGGACGTTGGCGCCAAAGGCCTGGACGACGACCAGATTGTTGAGGGCCTCGGAGGCGATGGAGGCGGCGGTGGCGGCGTAGTCGGACATGGAGCCAGAGTATTTCTCGATGTAGTGGCTGCCGATGAAGGACATGAGGAAATAGGCGGGGATCAAGGACAGGAGCTCGGCGGCCAGCTTCCAGTCCTTGATGAAGGCGACGATGTAGGCGGTCACGAAGAAGGAGATGCTGGACAGCACGATGCCGACTTTCTCGCTGGTGCCCGAGCGGATGGTCTGGATGTCACTGCTGAGTCGCGAGGCCACCTCGCCCGGGGGCAGCTTGTCGAAGTAGGAGGGTTCCTGGCGGATGAGGTTGCGGAGGTATTTCTCGCGAAGACGCTGGGACAGGCGAGCCCCGGAGAGGGTCCAGCAGGTCAGGTGGACGTAGATCAGGACGAATTGCGCGATGCCCAGGTAGACGATCAGGAGAATCTCGTGGTTGATGCTGCTTTGGTCGGAGCTGTCGCTTTCGCCGTTGGATTCCGCGCAGGAGATGGAGTTGAAGTTGTCGAGCAGTTCACCGAAAATGATACCGATAATGGGAAAGGGGACGCCAGCGCCAATGGCGGCGACGATGCCGGTGAACAGTGTGGCGACTTCATATTTGGTGGGATTGCCGGCCAGAAGCAGGCGGGGGAAGCCCGCCAGCTTCTTGAGGAACATGTTGGCAGAGAGGAGGAGAAGAAGGAGGATGAGGTTGTGTCGGTGAATGGGAGGTTGGAGTGCGGGGAAAGGTGAGGCGCAATTCACAGGTGGCCAGCCATGCAGTTGCAGGTGCAGGTGCTACGCCCTTAGGAATTGCCTGCAATCGCAAAGGGAGATCGCATTCACACTTCTGGCGGAGGGATAGAAGAAGAAGAGGAGAGGGAAGGGGAGGGGAGGGGAGGGGAGGAGAGAAGGAGAGAGGGAAAGAAGATGAAGAGAAATGGAGTCAGTGAAGGAGCAGCAGCCGCTACTGAAGAATGGAAGATTGACAGGGGACCAAGTCACCGGCTTTACGTAAGGTGAGGAACTTCGGAGCTGCTTGGCCGCTTGGCTAGAAGGGTAAAGAATGGGCACCGAAGAGACAAAAAGAGGAGCACAAGATAATCAATCAGTCCCCACTTGGAGGTATGGCCGTATGGTTCGAGTATGTTAGGGTATGTAACGCAGTGTATGAAGGTATTTATGGTATGTATGGAGGGTAAGGGCGGTATCAACTGGTAACGTGCAGCGGGCCCCGAAAATTCTTCCTCCCGCTCCATATCAATCAGTCTATTCATTGGTGAGCTGCCCCAGCACGTCCCACTGCACTAGACTCCCCTAGCATTAGCACCAGAAGATAGACAGGATCAGATAATTTCCCGGCCCAGCCATGGATCCTGGATCACCTCACCAGAAGTTTTTGGATGGCCACCGACGTGACCGGTGGACGCCTTGGTTCGTTGCTCGGAACCAGATTCGGGAAATCTAATCTGATCATCTCCCCCTGCAGTCACTCTCACACTCTCTCTCCAAATGGGAGGCAGAGTGGATGATGCAGTGGGATTGAGCCAAAGTGGGGTTCGAGGCAAGTGAGACAGTCCAGTCTTCCCTCCTCCTTTGCCGGACCTTCCTTGTCAACCACGCGGCAAAGGAAAAAGGAAAAAGAGAGAAAAAAAAAAAAGTAAGGCCACTCGGAAGGAGGAGGAGGAGGTGGTGGCTTGAGTCAGTCTCCGGTCGGAGGTCGGAGCACTCACACTTCACACTTAGCTCCTAGATTACTTGCATCGCTGCAGGCTACGGCGCGTATGGCGAATTTGCCTGATCATTATGCGCTTGAACTCATTTAGCGTACTATTATGTAGCATTAGAAAAAGCAGGAATTGACAAAAATGAAGGGTGCTGCAGTGCGACTTTCATGCCTCAGGCTGCCGTAGCCCTGCACACGTGACCGTGCTTGGCACCGATATCGCATCGCCCTCCACGTACCAACAACAGAGAGCAGACAAGAAAACAAAAGTAACCCAACGCAGCCCTGTATTACAGAAGGAAACGAGAAGACCAAATCACCAGTCGTGTGAAGACCAGGTGAGAGTGGCCGAGCGGGTATTACCAGGGATGTGCACGCATTCCAAGCGCTGATCAGTCACCTCTCATCGGCAACTCGCGCCGCAAAATGTAGGCATGTAGCACACTCTGGATCGCATCGTGTTTATTTCTGACAGCCCACGCCAATGCAGTCCGCCCACAAGAATCCCTGACAGCCGGGTCTGCCTCAAATTCGATCAACACCATGACCACCAGCAACCAACCTTGTTTCGCCGCGCACATGAGACAGGTATCCCCTTGGGGAGTGCGGGAAGACACCAGCGACGCATCATTTTCACGTAAACAACGAACGATCTGATGTTCGCCCTTGATCGAGGCCCAGAAAATAGGCGTGTATCCATAGGTATCGACCACACTGACATCGGCGTCGGGCCGGTGGAGTAAAAGCTCGACCACCCCCAGACATCCCTCCTCCGCGGCGTATGAGACAGCAGATCGCTTGTACATGTCTAGGTCATTCACTTTCACGTCGGGCCGACTGAGAAACCTTGCGACAATATCCACCTCACCAGATTGGACCGCCAAGGAGAGTGGGGACTGACCTTTGGAATCCGAAGCGTTGGCATCGACACGGCTGTCTCCCAAGAGAGTATCAACCATCAGCATCTCACAGTATGAGACAGCAGTGTAGAGAGTAGTCACATGATCGGAGCTTTGGATATTAGGAACCAAAATGTTAGGGTCCAAGTCTGCTCGCTGCAAGAGAAGCTGCACAAAATCTACTTCTCCAACTTTGACAGCTTCTGATAAAGGAGTGCCGGCTTCGCGATCGCATGGTACAGGTCCACCATTCGGATCCACATCCTCGCGCTGCAGGAGCAGGCGTACAACCTTTGAGCATCGGCAACTTGTCGCCCACCAAAGCATAGAGAGACCCGTATTTCGAAGCCTTTCGGAGATGAAACTGCGTTTCCGCTGTCCAAGTGCATCAAGGATAAGCTGCACAATCTCGACATCGTCCTTCACCAGTGCTTTCCACAAGGGATCAACCAAATCACCATAGATTACTTGCTCCTGCAATATAGTGAAAAACAATTGGACCACCGGCAGATGTTCTCCTCCAGCAGCTGCACCGAGGGGTGTCACGTTGTCCTCGTTCCCAATACGCCAATCGATCTGAAGGTGACGCAAAAGGATTTCCACAAGACTGAGATTTCCCGACTGGCAGGCCCAGAACAATGGAGTGCCGTCGTTGCATCTCACGTTGACATCAACTGTTGGATACGTCAAAAGAAACTTTACGGTCTGCTCGTCTCTCCACATAGCAGCCGCGGCCAGTGGGTTGCTCGCAAATGCAACAATGTTTGCGTTGGCTCCTCTGTCAAGGAGCAACCGAGCAATGTCCAATCGACCAAGCTCGAAAGCCGCGAAAAGTGGTGTCCCCACAGCCTCATTGTAACTGTTCACATTGCAACCGCGGCTGAGCAACGCGCGTACCACCTCGAGGCGTCCGGTGCACACGGCGATGATGAGCTCCTGCCCGGTCAGATGGCGAAACACGAGGCCTGAAAGGTTAGGACTCAAAAACTGCTGGCATGTCGTGATGCGGCACTGGGACGACATGACACAGTGGCAGAGATTTTTGACGGTTTCGACCATAATGTCCTCGAGATCATCTGTACTTGCCGTAGGTGTCAAAGCATGTGCCTCCAACTCATCGATGATCGGCACGAGGAGAGAGCAGGAGCCAGGCTTCGCCTCGGAAATTTCGCACAAGATCTTCTGCGTAAAGAGTCCTTCAAGCCCCTCGCGTTTCGTCAACCCCCAGAGTTGTTCCAAACAGGCCCAATCCATCCTGAGCAGGGCGAAATACGAAATGATGATATAGAATCTTTCTGTTCGTCGGTAGGTATTAGAAGCATGGGTAAAACTGCTTATGGGGGCGACCACTTGCTAGACACGAGGCGAAGTTCGAGGCATCGTCGGTGCTCCTTGGACCGGTTCCAATCCTGAGGCACAATGTGGCTCAGAATGTCCTTCAGGAGCTCGATGGGAAGGCAAAACAAGTCCATTTAAGCCGTGATTAATCCTTGAATCACGGCTGAAATGGATGTTGTTGGGTGTTGTTGAGGAAAAGACCTGTGAAGTGCGGAGAATGTTGATGGATGTTGGCGTTGGATAGTGGGAAGAAGAATGATGACGAGAGGCAAAGAGGGTCAACAGGCAGAGGCTTTTCAGTGAGAGAGAGATCTTTTTCAAGACATAGAGGAGGGATATATGGTGAGCAACATCTCCCGATCTTTTGATGTACCGCGGATCTAATGGAATATGAAATTCACTGGCAAATGTCATAGGCGAGACACAGCACATGACTTTGTTCCTCTCGCAAGCCTTGATCGATCCTACATCCGCCTTTTCTTTTTCCTTTCGGTAAGCATCACATCTGCCTTCGTTGTCGTAGTCAACGTTTCCTATGTCCACACCAACTGTTCGTACACATACTCCGACTTGGCTCAATCCCAGACCAAATGAGCGCTAGTCTTGGCAACGCCGACTAGTATGCGGGGTAAGCCACACTAACTCGATTTCTCTTCAGCTCAGGCCATTTCCCACGGTTGATGTGCAGATTGCCTGCATCGCATCCCTTCCAGATGGATCCCCTGTCGATATCATCCGGGGTGGCAGGGCTGATTGGTCTAGCTCTGCAGGTAGCCCCAGTCCTCCAATCTTACGTCTCGAACTTCAGGTCAGCACGCGAGGATGTCCAAGCTTATCTCGACGAAGTGGGGGCCCTGTCCCAGGTCTTGGATCGGATGTACACATTCCTCGATTCGTCCGGCATGACAAGCGACCAATTTCAGACGACTGAAGCTGTGCTTTTGCAAACAATCAAATCATGCGAAAAGTCTCTGCTAGAGCTGATTCGCATGCTCCGAAAGCCGGTCGGTTTGACGAAGAAACTGCTATGGCACCTCGAGAAGGAAAAAATTGAAAGCATCATTGCGCGGGTCCGGCAATGCAACCAGCTGTTCAATTTCTCGTTGACCGTCGAAGGGTGGTGAGCAACCCACTTCCTGACTCTTACACTGTCACCTGCTGACCATCAAAGGGCTCTTCTCTCGCAGACGCCCGCAGAGGTGACCACGATCCTGCAGCTTCAAATGCAGATGTCGGAGAAGATGCACAAAATGGTTGAAGCAGCGTCGTTATCAGTAGAATCAGCCAAGCTGTACCAGGACAAGACAAAGGAATTGGTGTCGTTGTTGGAGAACGTGTCTATATTCGCGAAAGCAGTCGGGCAACTGTCGGAGATCCAAGAGCGTGTGGAGGAAATTAGTTGCGGCATAAAAGGTGAGCATAGATCTTTATTATGGGTTGCTTGCTCCAACATCTGTCGCCCCTACCACACCTCCAGGTGCCCTTACCCGTGGTGAAAAATGGGTCGGCCGATTAGAAACCACGCCATAGGCAGGGGCATGCCTAGCCCATCCGAGTTGAATGACGGTTGTTCCAAAGATGACCAAGGTATCTATCTTCGGTGATTATCGTGGGCGTTCTCGATCTTGGTCTGCTGCTAGGAAACAGCTAAAATGGGAAGTAAACGACACGGATGATTGCAGCAGATCTCAGTCTACCGTCGCTTTAGCCTAGTCGCAAGGCTACCCATGGCTATATCATTGACGGCGCTAATGTGGGAGGGGCGACAGCTCGAGAACGTTAGCTTCCAGTCTGATTGATCAAACTAACTCCGAGCAAGACGAGCGGCACATCGAGATCCTCGACTGGCTCACGCGTGACCAAGGACCAGGACGCCACCACGAGATTCAAGGACGTCGAACGCCCGGAACGGGCAGATGGATCTTCGCTCAATGTCAATTCAGACAATGGCTCGAAACCGAGACCTCAACGAATATTCTATGGTGTGTTGGCGGACCAGGGTCTGGAAAGTCGACGTTGATGTAATCACAACAAGTATTTCGTAGGATGTACTGGCTCGCTAATATCGCACAGGTCGTTTGTCATTGATGAGATCAAACGCTCACACACCGGTTGCGATGCTGGTGTCGCGTATTATTATTGCGACTATCGAATGCGGACTTCGCAGCCAATGGTACTCGTACTCGGGTGCATGATCAAGACTTTTGCCGAGCACCTGGACAGTCTTCCACAATCCCTCAATGCACTATACGACAAGTGCCGGCGCGAGAATCGGCAGCCAGTTGTCTCAGAGCTTGAGGTGATCATGAACGATATTTGCGGTCTGTTCAAATCCCTCTTTGTTCTGATTGATGCATTGGACGAGTTTAGCCCCGCAGATATGACGCAAACGAGACATCTGGTCCGCCTCCTGGACAAGCTTGCTCGGAATGGCGCACGCGTCTTCGTGACAAGTCGATCGAGACCTGAACCCCTGTCCGCAGAGAACAATGTTGTACTAGAATATACGGCCGATAGCGAAGACGTCCGATCGCATGTTCTGTATGTTCTTAGGTCCGACGACATGATGATGGACCTCTTAGATCAGCAGCTCGAAGAAGAGATATGCAACACGATTGTCAGTCAAGCAGGTGGAATGTAGGGGCAGAATGCTATATCTCTTAGTGGCCCGCAGCTACTAACAACCACACAGGTTTCTGTTGGCAGTTCTTCATCTTCAGAACATTCGCGACCAGGTCAGTCGAGCTGGTATTCGCAAAAGCCTGGAGGCACTGAGTAGCGACCTGGGTGGCGCCTATGATAAATCCTTCGACGCTTTGTCCCACCAGTCCGCGGCACGAAAAGAGCTTGCGCTCCGTGCCTTGCGCTGGGTGGCTTGCGCCTACCGCCCACTCAGTGCACTGGAGTTGCGACACGCTTTGGCGGCCGACGATGAACTTTGGGATTGGGACAAGCTATCTCCTCTCAGGCTCATAATCAGTAGCTGCTGCGGATTACTGTCGGTGGACGGAATGGAGGATCACGCACAAGTACGGTTGGTGCATCATACCTTGCAGCAGTATCTTCAGAGCACTCAGCCGGATTGGTATATCAGAGCCCATACAGTCATCACTCAGACGTGCCTACAATACCTTCTGCTGGAGGCACTGAAGGCACCTGAAGGCCAAGGCGAGGTCAAGTCCAAAGGCATTTTGAAGAGGGCCTCCAATGATATTTCACATCCGAATATGCCTGCTCCAAGGACACCGGAGAAGAATAACTCGGATTCGAGTGCGGACGAGATATTCATTCTCGTTGGGTATGCGAAGGACTGCTGGGGCTTGCATGCTGCATTGGCGCCTTTGGAAGAATATATAGATCTGGCCATGCGTCTTTTCTTCGACCAGTCACGGCTAAACTTCCTTTTTGCGGAGAACGAACGTATCCATGGGCTGCATATAGCCTCTGGTTTTGGACTTACGAAGCTTGTGCATTATATGGCAGAATGTGGTCATGATGTTGAGTGTCTCGACACTGGGTCTCAGAGCCCTCTTCATTATGCCTGTGCGCACAATCATCCGGACACAGCCCTCGAATTGATCAAGCTCGGTGCCAATGTCTCCCACGTAACACCTAAGCGTGACACCGCGCTGTTTCTGGCCATTGGAACAGGGAACCTGGAGTTGGTCAGAGTTCTCCTGGACAACGGTGCACCGCCTGGTCAGATCGCAAGGGATGGTTGGATTGCTTTGCACAAAGCGGCGGATATGGGATTCTTCGAGATTGTGGTGTTGCTGGTCCGCCGAGGAAGTTCGGTCTCGAGCAAGTCCGCACGCAGATTGACTGCGTTACATCGGGCAGCAGGAAGAGGTCATATAGAGATCATCAAGTTTTTGATAAAAGAACAAGCCCCTTTGGAGGCAGTCACCCATGACTTGTGGACACCGCTTCATGGCGCATCATCCAGCGGACAGACTGAGGCTGTGGAGTTGCTGTTGCAGCACGGAGCGAATCTTTATCATCAAAGTCTCGATGGAAAGACCGCACTGCACCGGGCTTGCCAAGGTGGACACGTCGAAACTGCCCGGGCTCTCTTACAGCACGGTGCTGATGTCATGATCGGGGACTCCAAGGGAAACCTCCCCTTGCATATTGCAGCGCGGGAAGGGCACACAGCGATGGTGAGCTGCCTGCTGGAACATTCGACACAACAACTGCTGCATTTGAACAAGGCCAAACGTACACCGTTGCTTGAGTCGCAATGGAGTGGCTCGCGAAGGACGGAAGAGCTTCTGATGCCGCGAACTCACGCCATTTCCGGCTCAAGTGTCTCTGATGACGCTGACTTGCCAGCGGCCATACACCAAGACGATCCCAATGCAGTCAACCAACTTATCAAATCTCGAGGGCTCGAAATCGACTCACGAGACTCCATCGGTCGAACGCTTCTTCAGCAAGCCCTTCACGCCGAGTCCTTCAAGGTCGCACAAGCTCTTCTGGAAGCAGGAGCAGATATTCACGCCCGATCGCACATCGACGACTGGCAGCCGATCCACTTCAGCGCTTTGGCAGGGAACGCCGAATGCGTTGAGTTGTGTCTAAAGTACGGAGCTCAAGTCAACGCCCGAACAAAAAGCGGCCAAACACCGCTCCATCATGCTTGTAGGAAGGGGGACGAGGACACGGTGCGGTTACTTATCAAGAACGGATGTGAGATCCGGGCCACAGACAGCAAGTACTGGCAACCGCTTCACACGACCGCGGATGCCGGCCACGAGCACATTGTCCGGATCTTGTTGGAGCATGGTGCCCTCAGTCGGTACAATGACTTGCAATGGACAACCTTCCAGGACTTTGCGGCCCTGCGTGGACATCACAATCTGGTGGAGTTGTTTCGAGACCTGAGGTATTCGCGGAGGCCTTACGGTAGCTAGGCGGAGAGGTAGATAGAGAGGAGATCACCTCTGCAGGATGGCTGGCAACGGTGACGCTGGATCGATGGTAATAGATAGTTCACAGGTTTGATAGAATATAGACTCAAGCAGTCAGCAAAGATAGATTGAATGATCAATGGCTTGTCTGAAATCGAAGCTTCTACACTTTGACAACGTGCTGAACTCTACAGCATATCTCAGTTGAAGGCAGACCATAGGAAGGAAAAGAGAAAAGAACGTTGTGTTGATGAGATATAAGTTAACACAGCTGAGCCGGGGGGTGGACGCCACCTTCCTATTCTGGCTCACGCGCCTCTTTATCCGAGGGGGCAGAACCAGTGATCACGTGCACATCATACCAATACTCCAGGCCAGGAGTCCAGGCTTGCAGTCATGGAATTTCACTTGGAAAATATGATCACAGAATAGAGGAGCATCTCACAAAGCTGTTATATGACCAATTCACAGCGACTGGACCGGGTAGCTTGAGATTGAGGCTTGATGCGACAAGATTCAAACGGGGGATGCCCCAGAGATATAGTTACGACAGATACCGGACTTCCGGCGTCACAAATCTACACGAGCTTAAGGTTATAGAGTTGAGATAGAATTTGTCAAGATATTACTGGGATCGATAACATGAGCGACTAGCAAGAGAACAATCTACTAAATTATGTTTCCGTAAATACACCCAGGTCGACAGCGAACAAATGAAAAGCCATCGTCGACGCTCAACTTGTACCAAGATTCTTATGAACAGAAACCTCATCTTTCGTAGATCGTAATAATAGATGCGGACGACGATTGCGAGTGGGTAGACTGCAAGAGAACGCCAGCAATCAACGACTCAGCGCACGCAGCTTCTCCTTCAACTCAATCATCTCGTCCAGACGAATAAGCTGTGCCGGGTCGTATGTCACAGCAAAACGCGTGGAATTCTTGCCGCGGATCTTCATCGTAGTGGCGATGGTAGTCGCAATGTGAATGACCTCGCGCATCGAGACAGCGAGACAGGGCCTCTCGCGGTGTCCCCAGGCCAGCTGCGGTTCGGTCTCGTCAGCGTCCTTGGCCCTCGCCTTGCCCTTTTCCTGGTACTTGATGACCGGGATCGTGAGGTCGAAGATCACAAATGACATGGGTGGGGCCTTCAGCAGCTCCTGTCTCCAGGCTCTGCCCAAACAATAAATATCCAGACACATCTGGCCGGCCTCGCTATGATCCGCGCAGAAGTCGGTTTTGTGATTGGTACAGTCAGCGAGAGTCCCACTGTTTGCAAGGGGCTTGAGCAGAGCGAGCTTGACCGGGTGATTTCCCCAGAATTGAGGTATGGATGGTACAGCGCCCAGTTGAGAGAGACCTGCTGTGATGAGGCTTTCCTGAATGCAACCTGGGTGATCGATCTCGATCATATCGTCTTGGGTCTGGGTTAACAGGGCCTTGATTTCAGTGTTGACAGCTGCGCGTTCCTTTGAAACGTCAAACGCGCGGTGTGCACTGCCTTGCTTGTGCTTGTCTGATTTACGTTTCGCTTTCTCGCTTGCCTCCCTCCTCCTCCTCTCGTTGTACTGCTTTGGCTCCTCTTCTGTAGCACCCTCGGGCCACTGTGGGAATCTGAGGATAGGCCGGGCTTGAGGTGCCTTCCAGGGAAGCTCTTCAATATCCGAGTCCTCGTCTGGGTTGGTCTCTGGGTCTGGTCGCTGTTCAGCATCGACTCGTATCTCAGGGACCGCCTCAGCTTGTGCTTCATGCTTTGGTTGGTGCCTTGTTTTGTCCTCCACCTTTCTCAGTCCATTGTCAGCGTCGAGATCCATGTCATCATCCTCAAGATCTGTTGTAGGAACGGCAGGAGTATTTGAGCCGGACTGAGTGTCGTGCTTTGCTTCGTGGGTCACTCCGTGTTGAGCTCCGTCGTCGACGCGACCTTCGTCTTTGGCCTTGGGTGGCCTGCTGGCTTGACAGCCTTTAGCCATGAGTGAGGTTGTTGATAAATGTTGCTGGAAGGAGGATGGAATCTGAGGATGGGTTGTGGTGGTGGTTGGTCGAAAGAGTGTTATGGAAGAAGGATTAGGGAGAGTAAGGAAGGGAAGAAGAAAAAGAAAGAGGACGATGACAGAGTTGCTTGACCGCAGGACAATTTGAGTCGGAGTGAATGGAGTGTTTTGTGAAGGAAGAGAGCCGTAAGTTCTACTTGAAACGACCAAAGAAGTCCCTGTCACATGATCCCATCAACACATCCTTTGGATCCCCAGTGAATGTTTCGCTTCCCACACAACACCAAACAACTGCCATACAAACTCTTGTTGTGTCCCTCAAGTTCTATCCATGCCTGTGTAGGCTTTATGCCTCAGCCACGACAAACCAGACATCAAGATAGCTCAACACCCGGTTCTTGCTGAGTCTCCCTTGTCATCCACCTCATTACTTACGACAAGAGGCTGTTGCTTTTCATCGGAGGCTGCGACTGTGAATTTTTCAGATTGCAGCGCAGGCTGACAAACGTGCAGCAACTTGAACCAGTACTGCGAAGACCTGATTCCATAGGCCCACGACCCTTGGAGGGAATAAACAATCGCGTCCACGATTTGGGAGATTGCCTTGTCCTGCCTGAACCGGCTCTTTACCACTATCGCAGCGTGAACTAGACGGTATGGTGTCAACTATCCTTCCTTTCCATAAACCTTGAGTATAACTGACCAACCGAATCATCTAGATGGTGGATGTAGTCCCAGCACCGATCGACGGCCTCCTGCAGACTCTCGCCCGTGCCCCGCATAAGCCACGCCACACAATTCATGCTTTCGGTGTCTACTCGACAGTCGTTCATGAGTATATGCTTGGGCAGAGAGTACAAGTCATGGACGACGCCAATCTGAAGAGAAGCCTCGTCCATGAGGAGTTGCACGGTCGGATCATCCCAGACGCTATCGGGGATGTGAAGATCCAGCGCAAACTCCATCCAGTGGAACAACATGAACATGCCCGTGCTATCAACGCGATATCGCTTCCATTGCTCCAAGTCGTCTGAGCAGGCCTTGCTTGGGCCGTGCTTTCTTGCGTGCATGGCCGTGTTTGCTCTGTCGCTGTTCAGCACCGCGGGGCTATAGCCAAGAGAAGGGCTCACCTTTCTAAGTAGTTAGCCGCACGAAGGAATTGTTCCTTCCTCGGGCTGAGACGGAGCATTTCAGCGAAGACTCCCCGCATATATTGCACATATTGTGGTTGAGTATTCTTGTCACTGGATAGCGATCCTTCAGTGGCAAGAAGTCTCAAGTCACGCGGTAAGCTGTCAAGTCCTCGTCCCAAGTGCAATGCCTCTCCCCGGCTGAACCAAGGATATTCGAAGAGGTTTCCGAAGAGCAGCAAACAAGTCAGCCATTTGCAAAGTATGGCCAGTCGGTCATGGCTGGTGGAATGCGGAACCATGAAGGCTACAAGCGCGGGCAAGCGCATCGCTCGGATGCGTGATGCTTTGCTCTCGTCTACGCTTGGGAGAACAGCGAGGACCTCGTCCATGATCCGGTCACACATCAACCTGGTGAAGGACGGGTGAGGGTCTCGAACATTAGTCGTGGATGGATAGTAAGCAGGCCATCGCAAACTTTGATCTTCCGCAGCCATAACGTCAGTATGCAGAAATTGCGACGATGTCGAAGCGGCTCACCAGAGATTGGGGCTGACTTTATAGAACATAGCAACTAGGTGGAGCTCGCCGTTCAGACTCTTCGACTCTTTCCTACCTGAACGTTGCAACAAACATGCCAATGCAAGTCGCTTGTTTTATACACTCTTTCCTCGACCAGTGGTAGCATTCTTTGGCCGCGTTCGTGCAACTGACAAGGCATGACAAGAGCACTGGCCAACATTTCCAAGATTGGGAGAAGCCTATCACATGGGATAGAGTTTCTGGCCGGCCCCTTGCCGATACACTACACATGGATGAGGCGGCCACTGAACCCTGAACCAGGCCCAGGGCTCCCCCCGAACCACTCCACGACAACTTAAATCCCGCAATGACATCTTCTTGCAGCAAAACCTGGCGATCTGGGGGTCATGACTCCGGTCATTCGGTGACGTGAGGTTCTGGCTGTTTTGTTGCGCGGGTGCTTATCCTTGGAACGATCTTGGCAGTTCCCTACACGATCTCTTACCCACTACAGGAACTTTGTTCTCCCTGTCGACAGGTTATGGTGAGTATCCTGGGTTAGCGGCCTTGTTCATAGTTTGCGACCGTCCAATCGGAGTCTCCCCCACTGGTTAACTGGTATAGCGAAACACGACCTGCACTGCAAGGAACTCTGTCATCAAGTCGACCCAACGTCAACAAGCATCCGGCATCATTTCAGCCCGTGTCATCTGCCTTCCAGTGCAATACTTCCAAGGTCACTGCCATCAGTCTTCGAGGACCTTCAACAAACTTGACACCACTTATTACCAAGGGCCCAATTTCGCTTCAACGGCCGCTTTTCTGATACTGTCGGTCTCATGCACCTTCAGATTTCTCTTTTATCGTATGAGATCCTTCCTTGATGCCCTGTCTCACCTGACATCTCATTCTCTATATTTTGCTAGGAACCCAGGACATTGGTCCTCACCACTGCTGATCGACAATGCCATAAATCGAGCGCACAATAGCACCCTCGTGATAATCCCTACTGACCTTCTCAATCACTTCCCACCGATCCAAAACCATCCACGTTCTACAATGAAAACCCAACATCCCACGCGCAAGCGACCGGAGTACGGCGGCCCGGGCGCGACAATTAGCCGACGCTGATTTACCCGATCCTCGAGTCGGAGCATGTCCGGCGGCACCCCGCATAAATATGACGACACATCCAGCACCCCTCCGACCGCAAAACCACCACATAACTCACGCACACGCACAATGTCCATGACCGTGGCAGACAGCAATCAACCCCGGGAGGGCTTTCCGCGTCCATTCCCGGGGACCCCCAACAACGTGCTCGAGCAGTTCCAGATGGCGGGGAAGGTGGTCATTGTGACGGGCGCCGCCGATGGGATCGGGTATGCGGTGGCGGAAGCGATGGCCGAGGCCAGGGGACATGTTGCGTTGTGGTATAACTCGTGAGTTTGCTTTCCAGGACTGTTGATATGCTTCTCATCTTTGTCTTAGCAATAACGCCGCTGTCGAAAAAGCCGAGGTTCTGGCGCGAGACCACGGGGTCAAGGCGGTCGCATACAAAGTCGATGGTCGGTTTCGTTGACGTGTACTGAGGATCAAGACTGACCGGTGGTAGTGTCTGACCCGGAGAAAATCCAGGCCGCGTTGACGGATGTGATTCGTGACTTTGGAAAGATCGACGTCTTCGTCGCCAATGCGGGTATGACTTCGAACCCAAACATTGAGACAACCAGCTGACAGTCTTCAGGCATGGCAATTTCCAAGCCTATTCTCGAGCAGACGCTGGACGAGTACAAGAAGCAGATGTCCGTGAACGGTGCGTCACTTTCCTTCAAGCACATTCATCAGGAACTGACTCTCGCAGTGGACGGAGTGGTCTACTGCTCCAAATTTGTCGGTGACATCTTCAAGCACCAAGGGTTTGGCAACCTGATCATTACCTCCAGCATGAGCGCACATATCGTCAACGTGCCAGTAGACCAGCCGGTGTACAACGCGACCAAAGCGTTTGTCACGCACTTTGGCAAGTCGCTGGCCCGCGAGTGGCGGGACTTCGCGCGGGTCAACATCGTGTCGCCGGGGTTCTTCGATACGAAGATGGGCGCTGGGGAGGACTGCCTGCAGGAGGCGTACCGGATGGCGGTGCTGGGCCGTCAGGGGAACGTGAAGGAGATCAAGGGGTTGTATCTGTATCTGGCGAGCGATGCGTCGACGTATATGACGGGGAGTGATTTGCTGATTGACGGGGGGTATGTTCTGCCTTAGCTGGCTGTCTGGACTAGCTATGCTACTTCAAGCCTTGAAGTTCTTGATCATTCAGGTTGCGATCATGGGGATGTGCATCATGCGCGCTGATAAGCATTTTATAGAAGTAGGCTTGTGGAAGGTCTAGATCAAACTGTAAACGTCTATCGACGAATGTGGGGTGATGGTGAAAGGTAAAAAGCTTAGCTATTTTAGCTTGTGCACAGACCGCAAACCGATCCTGGTTTCCGAGACGATTCAGCGAAGGTAGATGCGCATCCGGCGAGTTTACCCTTCCTTCGGTGACATTCGGCGAGTTTGGGGTTCAATCGGGATCAGAACAAGCCTGTTCACAAGAAAAAGGAGTACCACCCACAGACAAAAACACCCAAACAGCCCCAGCTAGTGTTTACTCGAGCAGGGACCTTTTGTCATAGCCCTGCTGCAGCAGCTTAGCGCCGAGCGGAGTTCGGCATTGCACTCCCCGATCAGACATCCCATCTTCCCCTCGCCCTCAAATAATCCAACACCACTCCATCCACCATCAAACTCCTACTCACCTCCAAGAATGACTTCCGCCACCATGCGCGCATGGGTCTACACCCAGTCAGGCCTGCCCTCACACATCCTGAGACCAACGACCGCCTTCCCCGCGCCGACGCCCTCCTCCCTCGGCGCCGATGACCTCCTCATCGAAGTAGACTACGTCTCGCTGAACGCGATCTGCACGACCATGATGCGCGCCCTCCCCCCGCAGCCCTTCTCCCTCGGCCTCCCCTTCCGGCGCCGCATCGCTGTCCCCGAATTTGAGTTCAGCGGACGCATCCTCGCCACGGGGTCGCAGGTGCCCACCACCCGACCCGAACTAGGCCTCTCCACCCGAGTCGCAGGCTGCGTCTCCGAGCTGGAAGTCTTCGGAACAGGGAAGGGCGCGCTCGCCGAGCGGTTGGTCGCGCCAGCCAGCCAGATTATCGCGCTGACCAGTTGCCCCCTTCCCCTTCAGCCCTCACCCTCCGCTCAGTCACAAACCCAATCCACGACTCCCCCTTCACCTCCACCTGCACCGCAACCAGAACCACTATCACCTTTGGAAGCATCCGGCCTAACCGCCTGCGGCAGCACCGCCATCCAGACCCTCGACCTCACCCGACTAATAGCAGGGGACAAACTGCTCGTGAACGGGGGCAGCACAAGCCTCGGCATGCTCATGATTCAAATTGCACGGCACATCCTCGGCCCAACCGGCACGATTGTCGCGACATGCTCATCGCGCAACACCTCGCTGCTCACCTCGCTCGGCGTCGACGAGGTCGTCGACTACGTCGCGCACGACCCGCTGCACGAGTATCTCCTCGCCCACCACTCCTCCTCTCCCTCTTCCGCAGGAACCCGTCCCTTCGACGCGATAATTGACTGCATCGGCGACGCCACCCTCTACCACCACTGCGCAGCGTACCTAGCCGAGGGCAAACCCTTCATCAATCTGGGACAGATGAAAGCCACCCCCGGGTTTTGGGGGCAGATCGCGTGGGCGTGGGAGCAGGTGGCGCTGCGGTTTTGGCCGGTTGTGCTCGGGGGTGTTCCCCGGGAGTATCGATTTTATAGTGGGCGGCCGCGGGCGGAGGATATGGGGCGGGTGATGGGGTTGGTGGAGCGGGGGGTGGTGCGGGTGGTGGTGGATTCGGTGTGGGCGTGGGGGGAGGTGCCCAAGGTATGTTTTCTTGCTTGGGGGAGGATGGGGAAGATGTGCTGACTGTTGATGTAGGCATATGAGAGGATGGAGAGTAAGCGGGCCAGGGGGAAGGTTGTTGTGAGGGTGGGAAGTGAGGCTGCGTGATTTATGCTAGTGCTTTGCGAGACCTCCTGACACGTTCTGGCTGTTTGTTTAGATGTTATTCCACATATATTTGGTTGATTGAGCGTGATGGTGATTCGATGGGTGGAAGAGGGGTGCTCTCAAATTGAACAGCCAGTCGAACTCAACACTGTTCGCAATCGTGGGACGAATGCCCGATGACAGACTACAGCAGCAAATACGAGGATGATCTTGCTACAGCCCGTGTAGTCCTGTAGCTCACAGCTGCGAGCAATCTACCAATCCACCCTCATCAATATTCCCTGACACGAACCAAGATTTGATAGATACTATCCGGGAGGAGAGGGGACCCCAAGACCCCCTCTGAGAACATAAGTTGCAACATACCAGACAGGCTCTAACCCGGCCCGGGAGGTAGACAGGAGGTGAGAAACACGGAAGAGAGACCTTCTTTCCCGTATCTCTCGCGTCATAAATTTACATAAAAGCACCTCTCCCAACACTGCGAAAAGGGAATGCTAGTGCACACGACCCTGGATAAATTAAGCATTACACTCCCCGGGAATCACTCTATACCCAATCCTGTCCGCACTTGCGCAAAACCTCGGAGCCGCTCACCGGGATAGAGTACTAGGTGGCCTGCCGTTAGCCAAGCTTTAATGCGCACCCAGTTGGCCAAGGTGAGTGGAGGGTCCGGTGTTGTGGTGGAGTTTTAGCCAACCGCGGGAGCAATGCCGCCCCAGCCCTAGATTGATGGGGCGAGTAGCTTCTGACTCCAGCTGGAAGCATTCCTGGATCTCAGATTGATCCAAATATCCCAGTACCATCCATTCATTTCCTTCTATGCATGTGTTCCACACGATTGTAAACCGGTTGCGGGTACGCAATCGACACAATTATCCTAGATTGATGCCCGACGATTGCCCGTCTCCCAAAGCAATCCGCGAAGAAGCATCAGAGGCGAGAGCTCCCACTAACCATTGAACCAGCTTTCAAGATCCAATCCATAACAAAAGACTACACCACTATAAGCACATCCACCCAAGCCACATAACCACCGCACCACGCCAAAAAAAATCACAACCCCCGCAACACAGCCGCCACCCTCGGAAACAACCGCAACGCATTCCCGGCATGAATCCCCACCATTTCGGAAGTATTAAACCCGCCATTCGTCTGAATCGTCGGCAACGTCGCCGCGATCTGAGCACCCGGGACATACGGATCTGCAACCTTATCAGCACAACAGTTCCCACCAACACCAAAAATCAACAAAAGAGAAACAAAGAAAGAGAACATACAATCCGTCCCCGTCAAGATCCTCTCCTGTCCCCAGAAAACTCTTCAGCGCAGCCAGCTGCACCGCGGACGTTGCCGACGCCGTCTCGAAGTAATACCCGGCCAGCTGGGCGACCGAGTCAGCCACGCTCAGCCCGCCCATGAACTCCATCGAGGCGAGACCGGCGATCCGCGTGGCGAGGTAGGGCATTGCGCCACCGCCGTGCGCGAAGATCAGGTTCACCGTGGGGAAGCGGGCGCGCTGGCCGGTCAGCAGCAGGTTCTCCATGGCGCGCACGGTGTCGAAGGGGTATTCGGTTAGCGGGAGGGGGTAGCCCAGCGCGACGGCGGTGCAGGCGGGCGCCGCCGGGTGGACGAAGGCGGTGGCGTTGCGGGCGCTGAGGGCTGCGAAGATCGGGTCGAGACTGCTGTCGCCGAGGTAGATGGTGCCGTTGAAGTTGGTGTAGAGGCCGACGCCGGGGAAGTTGAGGTTGTCGAGGCAGAACTTCGTTGGTCAGCTTTTTACAAAGGAGGGGGTGTTGGAGGTGTACTGTAGCTCGAGTTCGGCGAGGGATTCGTTGATATGCGGCAAAGGTAGGAGGCACAGGGCCCCCAGTCTGGTTGGGTGCGTTTGCGTCCAATTGTGCATTTGCAGGTTGATGCGTCGGGCGAGCTGGCTGGCGGCGGGGGCGTCATGGCGCAGGAAGGCAATGCCCGGGGCTGTGACGCTGACGGTCGAGAAGTTGATGCCTCGTGCGTCCATGGTCGAGAGGTGGGAGTCCAGGGTCCAGTCGGGGACGGGGAAGTCGTCTACATATAAGGTGCCATTCTTGAGGGGATACCCAGCGGAGATCAGGGCTTGCTTCCAGACGGGCGGGATGACGTGGGAATGCACGTCGATGATATAGTCGGCCCCGAGAGTGCTGTGGCTGTGGGCGTGAATGAGGGTTGTGGTGGCCAGGCCCAGCACGATGGATTGGAGGAGGGAGAGCATCATTAGTTGATTTGGAAGAGAACAGAATTGGGGAAGGGGATTTCAGGACGAAAGAACGGGGGAAGTGCTTCATATAGAGACGCGTATGCGATAACTAGTCTCTCGCTAGCTAATTGATTATTCTTGTTCCGGTGGAAACCGGTGATGCGCCGGAGCCCTACGGATGATAGTATGGTACTATACTCCACACAAGCTAAAACGACCGGGAGAGCATTACTAAAAGCCTCCGTTGCATTGCCAGCTTAATTAGCTTGGACTAGTGTCGGGGCTACGGACTAGTGTGCGTTTAGAGCTATCTAGTAGCTGCATTATCAGCCCATGCCATCCTTAGACATGGATGAAATCCTGTCAGCACTAACCTGCATCCGGTAGACACTATCCAAGACAAAGAAACTGGCAATATCTAAACCTGGTCATTCTTTGTTCGATCGCATACTACCTATTCCCCAATTAAAGTGTGGTGGTGATATAAGAGGTTCCCTTTCCCCAACCTACTAACCCGCAGAGACGATGAACATCCACAATCCCCAACGACTTGCACCGATGGCCGTCTCCATGTGCGAACGATCCAGCGAGGTGACTACATGACTCCGTCCAAGCTTGGATGAGCGACCTAATACTAACAGAAGGTCAGGACGCCGACCGAGGACCGTCCCTGGTTATCATCAACGCCACCTTCACTGCCATCGCCACGATCGTCGTGATCCTCCGCATCATCGCCCGTGCTTTCATCCTCAAGAAACCCGGCTTGGACGATGCAATGATCGTCGCTGCGACCATTCTCGCAATTCTAAACGTGGTCGTCTCGGGACTAGGTGCAGTACCATACCCCTCTTCCCTTTCAAACACAGTCGCAGCATCAGCTCACGACCCAGGCGTCACCCACGGCACCGGAAAACACACCTGGGCCCTCAACCCCAGCGACGCCGTGCCCGCAGCCAGAGTATGCCCCCACTCCCTTCCCAGCCACTTTCCCAAGCAACTCATCATCAGACTAAAACCCACAGCTCCGCTTCATCACGCACATAATCTACGTCCTCGCCAGCGGAAGCATTAAAATCTCGATCTCCCTACTCTACCTACGCCTCTTCCCGACGCTGCGCGGCACAACCATCGCCACCATCGGCTCAATCACCGCCATGACCACCGCGATCTTCCTCGCCACGATCTTCCAATGCTCCCCGCTCGACACCGTCTACAACACCCAGAAGTACGCGCACGCCGCGTGCCTCGACGCCGTGGTCTTCTGGTCCGCGACGGCGGCGCTGTACCTGCTCACCGATTTGTGGGTGCTTATGCTCCCGGTTCCAACGATTCTAGGTTTTCCTTGCCCCAAAGTGTTCCCCCCCGGAGATACTTGGAGTGTCTGACCCGTTCATCAGGTCTCCAAGCCAGTCGCAGGAAGAGACTCGTCTTGACGGCGCTGCTTTCTCTCGGAGCATTGTGCGTATCCCGGTCACCTCGTCTCACCTTACCTTACCTTACCTTACCATGACACTAAGAAGGGTAGCGCGTGTATTGCCAGCATCGCGCGGATGGTCTACATCGTTCGGCTGTACCAGGGCGTCGACCAGAGCTGGCACAGCGTGGACGTCTCGATCTGGTCCGGGGTGGAGCTGGCGCTCGGGATCGTGGCGGCGAGTATTCCGAGTCTGAGGCCGATGTTGGACCAGCTGGCACCGGGGGTGTTGTCGTCGGTGGGGCGGAGCTATTCTCGTGAGTCGGGGGCAGCGGGCCAGAGGAGGTTGGCTGGGCCGTTCCACGGGGATATCTCGCTGGTCCGGTTGACGGGGAAGGGGAGGGATGGGGATTATGGTTCGAGTGCTAGTATTGTGCGGGGGTCGTCTGGTGGAGCAGTGTCTCTCGCAGGAGCGTAGATATGTCATTCTCGAGCTAGATTCTGGTTGAGGGTTGAAGGTCTTGGGGGCTTGTATGGAGAATGGTAGGTGTGCTCAAGCTCGGAAGCGGACATGGTCAGATCCGGATGTGTCTGCACCTCCGTATCCATTCGTATCGTCGATGAATTATGGATGAATCATCGAATAGTCGGTCAGAGAGAATGAAGCGTCTGGAACAGAATAGGTGAATGAGGGGCAGACGGCGAGGGGAATGGTCTCTGGTTGGACGACGCCATGCAGCTTATCATCCCTTGCAGGGATCCCGGGAGAGTTTGGGTGACTCCGACATGCATGGAGTCGTGCTCCTCAGTGCCGTTGAGTTAGTCGCGACAGACCATCGTTCTTTGCTTGTTGGATGACAGACAGTCATCGAAACACTACTTGTCATTATCTTTCTGTCGAGAAACCTCTGCCAGTCATCCATGGTGGTGTTATTCAGTTGAACTGGGGAGATCGACGGTGGACGGGGATTAGGGCTTTCCCGGTCAGCCACCCGCTCCGAAGTGATCCCTCCCCAGTCCCCACCGTGCAAGATTCCTTATCGAGACTCACAGGCAGAGAATCACCTTACTGACCAAGTCTACCCTTTGTGGGCTCTCAGTTGATCCTTACGGCCCAGATCGGTCCTGTCTCAGCTGTATCGTGATCCATCCCTCTCCATTGACAGCGATCGCCGCGCCAAGGGGTCGAGATCGGATGCACGCAGTGGCACTTACGAAAGGTGGCAGGATCATATACCATGTAAAAGATGTGGAACATATACTAAGGTAGTCGGCCTCCTACCTCGCCTGTCCTTCAGCACTGATCCCCTCTGAGGCGACAGCGCTGAGACCGGGAAGTCGGATGGCTGGCGGTTGGCTGAAAGTCGGCGCTCGGTCGGCGACAGATTAGGAGAGCTGGAGATGGAGCCGCCTTGCCTCGGCAGGCTAAGACATTCTTAGGGCAGAGGTCACGTTACTGCGTGACCTCAAGCAACTAAGACAGTTCCACGGGAGATACACCCCACATTGCCTATCTGAAAAGAGGTCCCGGTTTGTCTGCCGTTCGAGCAAGGTCGAATTTTTCTACATGTGTACGAGTAAGAGTAAGAGTACCGGAGTCCGTCGATGGGGCCAGTCCAACAATTGCCGAGTGGAGACAGAGCGGTGATCCGCTGAGTCAGCCGGGTAAACTCCGCTCCGCGATCGGCCCCAATTGTCAAGTTAGGGCCCCAGCAGCGCTACGCAATTAAGAATGCGACCAAGACAACTAGTAGTAACCCTGAATTCCCCGCCCCCGGAATCTGATGTTTCATGGCAGTCCAACTGGCAACATGACAGATGAAGTCACTTTGGCTCTCAAATCCCAACAATCAACACCCAATGCCTCTATCCATCCGTCAAATCCCAAAATTCCAGCCACGCAGCATCTCCGGCCATGATTGGCTCCCAAAGACAAAGCCTCTGTGGACGAAAGTCAGCAGAAAACTTCTTCCCTCGCGGAACCAAACACGTTCTCCCTCCCGAGACCAAAAACCAGTCCGGACAGAGTTCAGCGACCCATGAGTCGATCCAGGGCGGATAGGCACGAACGACAGCGAACTGGTCGACCAGCAAAAAAAAAATCGACGAACCACAGAACCAGACCAGGCACCAAAAGTTCGGCGGATGTGCCTGGCTAGGATCCAGGCCCCAGCCACCACTAATGCAGCTGCTAATGCAAGGAACAAGGAACAGGGTTTGCAGTGCCTGCCAAGCGCCTGCACACCTACGCATCTCCCTACGTAGCCCGGTAAAACCGGCCTATCTTATCAGTCCGGTGTGGCGGGTCGCGGGTTTTTCAGCCCTCCTTGCAGGACAGACCGTGGATGGGGGATGTGATCCGTCAATGTGATCTTTGGATCTTGGATCTTGGATTTTGGAGTCTGCATATGTAGAATTTTTTTTCTGCAGTGGAGACAGCGATGTGATTGATCTTGCTTTTCCTGTCTGTCTCAATTGGTAGATAAAGAGTGATCTGCCCGAGAAATACCATGCAGTTTCTCACGCATCTTCCCCTCCCCTCTTTCCTGACTCCTCCTACTCCCACTCCTACTCCTCCCCTTTAACCCTCTCTACACCCCCAAAATGCACACCACAACACTAGCCCTGGCCCTCGCCCTCGCCAGCGGCACTTCTGCGACAAACTACACGGCCATGACCCGCGCCGTGACCGCGCTCAACACCCTCCAGACCTACTACAACCCCACGACCGGGATCTGGAACACCTGCGGCTGGTGGAATGGCGCCAACTGCCTAACCACGCTGGCGAATTTGTCCCTCAAGAACAGCACTGTCAACGACACCGCCACCGGGGTGTTCGAGAACACCTTCCGGGTGGCCACGAACACGAACCCGTACCCGGCGCGCGGGATCGACGCCGACTACACCGCCGCCAACGGCACCGCGTACACCATCTCGGGCCAGCCTACGGGGGCCGCCAACGCCTCGCTGTGGCTGGACGGGAGCTACGACGACGACATGTGGTGGGGGATGGCCTGGGTGGCCGCGTATGATGTGACGGGGGTGACGGATTATCTCGATCTCGCGGAGGGGGTATTTTACCATCTTGTACGTTCTCTATCCCCCGTTCATTCCACTACAGGGTGTCATTCCCCCTTCGATTTGAGTTAGGGCTGTGTTGTGTCGGAATGCATGCTAATGGAAACGATAGAGCCGCGCTTGGCCCTCCCTCTGCGGCAACGGCGGTCTCGACTCGGACTACACGCACGTGTACGTCGGCGCGATCAGCAACGAGCTCTTCCTGGCGCTGGGCGCCTCACTCGCCAACCGCGTCGCGACCAACAGCAGCCGCGAGTACTACCTGGACTGGGCGAAGCGGCAATGGGCGTGGTTTGAGAGCAGCGGCCTCATCAACGCTAACCACACCATCAACGACGGGCTGACGGGGGCGTGCACCAACAACGGAATGACCGTGTGGTCGTACAACCAGGGCGTCATCCTGGGGGGACTGGTGGAGCTGCACCGCGCCACGGGCAGCCACGCCTCCAACTCCACGTACCTGACTGCTGCGGGCAAGATCGCGCAGGGGGCGATCGCCGCGCTCGCCGACGAGGACGACGTCATCCATGAATCGTGCGAGCCGGACGCCTGTGACTCGAACGAGACGCAGTTCAAGGGGATCTTCATCCGCAACCTCAAGGTGTTGCAGGGCGTCGCGCCGAATGAGACCTACGCCCGGGTGATCAATGCGTCGGCGGCGAGTCTGTGGGCGAATGATCGCACTGACGCTACGGGGTTCGGGATCGATTGGTCGGGGCCCGTCGATGCGGCCACGGTCAACGCCTCGACGCAGAGTTCGGCGCTGGATGCGCTGGTCGCGGCGATTTGGTAGACGCCCCTGGTGGGCTGGTGGGCTTAGTTGGTGCATCTGGGTTGCATTTATAGATTAGAATAGACGTCGGATGTTAGATTTGGGAGTGTTTTGTATATACTTGCATAAAAGCATACGTGATTCGGCATTATACTACACACCGGGAATGCTTAGCTTCAGTACCTGTCGATGTCTCCTTCGTGTACATCTACATCCCCAATAGCCTGATATACGGCGCGATCGCGACCCACTGCCGGTGGAACCTGATAGCGGGGCCGCCCTGAACCCCGGGATCATCAATGATCTCCCTCGATCGGAGAATGTTAGGATGAAGTCTCTGGCAATTGTAGTAGCACGTAACGCGCAGCTATAGAGATATGAGGAAGAAAGTAGAAGAGAGGAAAGCCAGGATTCTGAAAAGTCCTGACTAAGAAAAATGATAAGCACAAACTGGCATGTAGCGTATATCTGTACTACAGGCTATACTAGACGGACCGCCAAGGAATTACCGATCGCCAAAACATCAAAACCGATGGTATACGAAGAAGAAGCACATAATAAAATATCCAGCTGTCTAACAAGGGGGAAAAGCCATCATCAATCAAGTTAGCTAGAGAAGTAAAAGGCACCACCAATATGCAAGTCCTCCTTGATAGGATCCTTGATTAGAAAGTCGAACACATCACCGTCCGTGAACGTATGAACGTATAAGAGTACCAGATCCCATGTATGAAGTGTTCTTGGTACCTCAGTTCGAGCGCCCAGGTTTACGAGACACGGAACCAAAGCCCTAAGTAGCTATAAAAAAGCAGCCTCAACCTCAGATCTAAGCCTGCGTGTACTGTGTGCGGAAACAACACGGTATACACGGGCCGCACAGCACGCATGAAAGTCGCAGTAGAAGGACTTGTTGTACCGGCCTTGCTAGATACCGGCGCACCGGTTGATATTATCTCCAGACATCTGACACAGAAACCGAGGTACACACACCCGTCATTACAAAGCGAACTCGAGATAGGAGAGAATCTCTAACCCAGAGAAACAGAACACAGTGCATAATTCCTATATGACATAGGGGTGAAACGTCTAACGACAACATGTGATAATAAACAGATCTTCCCCGGTATTCGATAACATATCCTTGAGCATCGACTCAACCTTGACTACTATCTATACTTGATTGAATCCATAGGAGCGCTCCCTGTCCCTATGACTGATCGACATCAGTATATCAGGCGAATTGGAGCAGCATGGTCTCATCAGGTTGGGTTAATCTCGGGATACTGGGGTAGGCTGGCCAAGTGGAGGCATCTATGCCCAGACTGGTGCAACTCCCAGGACAGACTTTGAGCAGGAATTCCCACAAGCCAGAAGGAGTGAAATCACCAACCAGCACGGCCTCCTTCAGGGCCGTAGCCCTGCGCTAGTAAAACATGCTGAGAAAAAATATTGGAAAGAGAGAGTTAGAGAGAAGATGAGATATAGAGAATGAAGCACTCAAAGATGGAGGAGAAAAGAGAAGGGAACAAAACAATAGAGAAATGACCAAAAATGGAACAAGAGAGCGTGTATATTTGTCAGTCGATAGCCCTAAGAAAGAGCCAGTGACAGATCAACAGAGGGAATGAATGGCACTTTCGCCAACCATATATTTCGGGCCATCAAGTCACGTGGTAGGGGTAGGGTTCCTGAAGAACAATAACTACTACTTCCTAGAAAAGAATCTGAACAGTTATTAGGCTCATGGGTTGGGTCCAAACCCAACCTGTGTTTTCGTGGGGTGGGAAAAAAATACCAAGTAGCCAGGCTGCTTACATAGCCAGCCCACATATGGATCATGTCACTCTGTCATTCATCTTAAATCTGGATAAGATGGGCTACACAAACATTTATAGGATCCTAGCGGGGTCAAAATAATATATCCTAGACAAAAGGTTGACTGCCTCGAACCTTAAAAACACATTACCCAGGTATGTAGATGCCAGAGTGACAGCACTACCCTCCCTGTCATCCTCCCAGGCATCAAAGCTATAAAAATCATCAGAACAATATACATTCATACTATATACCCCCAAGACGACCCACTAAACATCCTCCGCATGCACAACGTCCTTTCCCTTCCCACTCGTCCCTCTCCGCCCAGCCTTCCCCCCCTCAACCCCGCCCCTTAAGCCCGCCCCCGGCCCATCGAAGATGACCGCAATCTCCTCCAGCGAATACCCCTTGGTCTCCGGGTACCAGAAATATGCCGTGACGCCGAACACCACCAGCACCGCGATGAACACAATATAGTAGCGCCACTCGATCGCATCTAGCGCGATGGGGTTGACAAAGGTATTGAAAAACATGGCCACGATGGTGGCGCACCACGTCACCGTCAGGCCGCGGGAGCGGAGGCGGTACGGCCAGATCTCGCAGGGGTAGGCGGTCAGAAAGGGGGTTCTTCGCCATCATTTGTTAGTTCATGTCGAAGGAGTCGAGGGTGGGAAGGAGACAAACTTACAAAGCAATGCAGTAACCCGCGAAGAAGATAAACAGAAACGGAATGACGGCGGCCCCCGTCGCAGAATCCCCGGTCGACTTGAACGAGCCTGACAGCGCAGTCACCAACACATAGCTGACCAGCATGATGCCCGCCGAGGCCAGGAACAGCGGTCGGCGGCCCAGTCGGTCGATCAGGTACGCGCCCAGCGCGGCACAGCCCAGATCCCACATCTGCAGACACGCCGAGATCAGCGTCTGGTCGCGCACGCGGGTCACGCCCACGGAGGTCAGAATCAACGACAGATAGTACGAGACCACGCCGTTGCCGGACCACTGCGCGAAGAACCCCAGGCTCACGGAGATCATCAGCCGCCACCGGTTTCCCGGCGTTTGCACCATCTCCACGTAGCTGCCGCTGCTGTGGGCTTCCTGCTCCGCGCGGATAGTGGCTCGGATGGTTTCGAACTCGTACTTCACCAGCGGGGAGGAGTCGTCCCCTGCGGCATGGTACTGGGCCAGGATCTTGCGGGCCTCCTCGTCGCGACCCACGGACAACAGCCAGCGAGGACTCTCGGGCGCCCAGAGGAACCCCGGCAGGCCGACCACGGGCACCAGGGCCTGCAGGACCGAGGGCAGCCGCCAGGACCACGATGAGGGGTAGGTGCGCGAGGCGAAGACGACCCATGCGGCGACCGTGCCACCGACGTACCATCCGGACATGAACAGCGAGTTGAGGATGCCACGGTGCGTCGGGTAGGCGATCTCGTTGATCAGCAAGGGGACCGAGTTGCCAAACATCGCCGAGGCGAAGCCCAGGAACAGCCGAGCAAGCATGAAAGCCACGGGGTTGGGGGCGGCCGTCTGCAACGCAGTGCCGAGAGCGAGAAAGACATACCCCACGTACACGCCGGGCTTGCGTCCGTACTTGTTGGCAATCCACGAGGCCGTCGGGTATCCGACACCACAGCCTAGCCAGTAGATGGCATTCAGCCACCCCAGCTTGGCACCCGTGGGATTGTTCATGAAGCTCTTCCACTGATCCAGAGCCTCAAGACCGTTCATGAGGGATCCGTCAAATCCGTTGGCAGAGGAGAACATAACCAGAGAGAGAATAATGAGGTTGAGGCGCAAGAGATGGCCTTGCCGATACCAGGGGCGATCGCCAGCTGGCAAGACTGCAGCAAGCTCATCCCCTGCAGTAGGCTTTTCGCTGATGTCTTCTTTGCTCGAGCCCATCTTGACAGAGATTCTAGATAGAAAGTGGTCAAGAAAACCAAGAAACGCTGGACCAGGAACGAGGGAAAGCAGAGGTTTTATCCCGACTAAGAATCCCTATTGTCCCGATCGGATGATTCATTTCACGCCTTGCTCAGCTGGGGTAAGACTTTTTCGTATGGATGCAGAGTATGATGCAAGCGAGGTAAAACCTGTTCCCATCGTGGCAGACTCCGATCTTTTCCTTGTGGCTGAGAACGCGGAGAAACAATACGAGCAGCCAATAGAAGACCAATCCGTGCGCTCGTCAACCCATACACTCGGCCATCGGCTTGTCGCCCGGATATGCAGCAATACCCTGGGGTAAAAATGGGAGGAGACGTGGAGAAATTGTTGGGGAGGGTTTGGGGTTCGGGGCCACGCGGGAGGAGCGGAGAAACGGAGAAAAGGAGAAACGGCGAAATAGGCGAAAATGCGGTCGATGGAGCCACCGGGTTGATGACACTGACAACCAATCATGCCACACTTTCAGTACTCGAGTATACTGTCTGGAGGATAATCAAAGCTTAAGCATCCACCTCCATGCTCATTCTGCAAGTCACTTGTCGGCGAAGATGTTGGGGTCAGTCGTTCTCGCTGTGGGTGGGTTCTAACATATACATAATCGCTCGCATTCAGCGACGCAGGTAATTCAAAGCATTTTTCTTCTCCTTCAATCTTCGTCGTTGTGTCCTGATCAACAATCGTCGTCATGCCGTTCGTTGAACCACCTCTCCCCGAGACGGACAGCGCCTTCGCCCAGATCGCAAACGCAGATGTGGAAGTACTGTTAAAACAGCTCACGCTAGACGAAAAGGTCGCACTCTTGACAGGTAGGTCCTAGGTCCAGCAACAAAACCAGCCAATTGCAGTCCTAACGCACCATCCTCGCAGGCGACGACTTCTGGCACACGGTCGCCATTCCCCGCCTCGGAATCCCATCGATTCGACTGTCTGATGGCCCGAACGGCGTCCGCGGCACGCGCTTCTTCGGCAGCGTCCCGGCAGCCTGCCTACCGTGCGGAACCGCTCTAGGAGCCACATTCGATAGAGATCTAGCGGAGGAGGTGGGCGGTCTGCTGGCGGACGAGGCCAGAGCCAAAGGCGCCCACGTCATCCTCGGCCCAACCATCAACATCCAACGAGGGCCCTTGGGCGGACGAGGGTTTGAGTCGTACTCCGAAGACCCTCTTCTCTCGGGTATAATGGCTGGCCATTACTGCAAGGGACTGCAGCAGAAGAACATCAGTGCCACCCTCAAGCACTTTGTATGTAACGACCAGGAGCACGAGCGCATGGCCGTCAACTCGATTGTCACAGACCGGGCCATGCGGGAGATTTATCTCCTCCCTTTCATGCTTGCAATCGGGGTGGAGAAACCAGACGCAATCATGACGGCCTACAACAAAGTGAACGGTATCCACGCCTCCGAGAGTCCAAACCTCCTGCAAGACATTTTGCGGGGCGAATGGGGCTGGGACGGGCTGCTGATGAGTGACTGGTAAGCTCACTTCCTCGTACCATGCGAACCATAACTAAAGGCAGACAGGTTTGGTACCTACAGCACATCCGAAGCCGTCCAGGCGGGCCTGGATCTGGAAATGCCGGGTCCCTCCAGATGGCGTGGCAGTGCTCTTACCCACGCAATCACCGCCAACAAAGTCTCCACGGCCACGTTAGACGCTCGCGTGCAAGCTGTTCTAAAGCTTATACAGAAAGCCAGCAGATCCGGAATCCCTGAGCATGCACCAGAACAACAACTCAACCGCGAGGAAGATAGACAGCTTTTGAGGAAGATCGCGGCAGAGGCAATTGTCTTACTCAAGAACGAGAACAGCATTTTGCCGCTGAACAAACACAAGAAGATCGCCGTGGTCGGTCCCAATTCGAAGATTGCGACCTATTGCGGCGGTGGTAGTGCTGCGCTGAACCCCTATGAGGCCATTTCACCGTTTGAGGGCATCGAACGTGTAGCTCAAGCTGACGTCGAGTTTGCGCAAGGCGTGTACGGTCATCAGATGCTGCCCTTGCTCGGCAAGCGGCTACAGACCAGCGATGGCCAAATGGGCTTCACTCTAAGGATCTTCAACGACCCACCAACCGTTCTCACCAGGCAGCCACTAGAAGTCAGACACGAGACGGACGCCCAGGTCTTCTTTCTGGACTACAACCATCCCGAACTGCAACCAGTGTGGTATGCTGAAGCCGAAGGCGACTTTATCCCCGAAGAGTCTGGACTGTATGACTTCGGTCTCTGCGTCCGTGGCACCGGAAAGCTCTACGTGGACGGAAATCTGCTGGTGAACAACGCCGACGTACAGCGACCGGGGCCCAGCTTCCTCGGAAGCGGCACAATGGAGGAAACTGGCACGCTAGACCTTGTAGCCGGCAGATCCTACAGAGTTCAGGTGCAATGGGGATGCGCCAAGACTGCCAAATTCAAGATCCCCGGCGTGGTAGACTTTGGACACGGCGGCTTTCGATTCGGTGCATGCAAGCAGCTGTCCCCTCAAAAAGGAATTGAGCAGGCGGTCAAGCTAGCTGCCAGTGTAGACCAGGTGATCCTCGTGGCCGGGTTGAGCGCCGAGTGGGAATCAGAGGGCGAGGATCGAACCAGCATGCGCTTACCACCTCACACTGACGAACTGATTTCACGGGTGCTCGAGGCAAATCCCGACACAGTCGTTGTGGTGCAAAGCGGAACACCAGTTGAGATGCCATGGATTGACCAAGCGAAGGCTGTTTTGCATGCATGGTATGGGGGTAACGAGACGGGCAATGGTCTGGCTGATGTCATTTTCGGTGATGTGAACCCGGTAGGCCCACGCGATCCCATTGGATTTCATCTTCAGGACAGCGACTGACAAGATTATCACACAGTCTGGTAAACTTCCTTTGACCTTCCCCCGCCGTCTGAAAGACAACCCCACATACTTCAACTTCCGCTCCGAAGGCGGCCGCATCCTTTATGGAGAGGACGTTTACGTCGGATACAGATTCTATGACGAAGCGGCGATCGAGCCGTTGTTTCCTTTCGGACATGGTCTTTCTTACACCACCTTCGCACTGTCAGACCTGTGCCTGGAGTGGAATGCGGATAACAACGTCCATGTACGCTGCAAGGTGCGCAACACCGGCACAAAGGCTGGCGCAGAAGTGGTCCAGGTGTATGTGGCACCGGTACAAGCTCCACTCAAGCGTCCTCAGAAGGAACTCAAGGAGTTCCGGAAGATCCGTTTGGACCCTAATGCAGAGGAAGTAGTCAAAATCCCGCTTGATCTGGTACGCGCGACCAGCTTCTGGGACGAGAAGGCCAGCGCTTGGTGTAGTCACAGTGGTACATATCGGATTTTGGTTGGCACCAGTAGCCGTGGACATTTCCTGGAGGCTTCCGTGGAGGTGGCAGAGACGACATTCTGGTCTGGAGTTTGAGAAGATCTATTGCAAATAAAACAAATATCAATTCATGCTGGGCGAATACGATCTGTATCGACCCAGGCCTGTAGGTTCATCGTATTCACACTTTCACTGGTGTCAAGCCGAGATAATATCTCGGTAGCGAGGCGGATGTACTCTGCCGCTCTTTCTGCTTCAGGCTCGCTGGCCTGAAACGGGCAAGTCAACATGACGGAGGCGATATCCCGTACTTTGTAGGCTAGATGAAGACCGTTGATTTCCAGGTTGAGTTCCGGGACGTTGTAGAGCAGAAAGAAAAGCTGACGGCAAAGCTCCTCCCTTGTCCTCCAGAGAACTCTTGTGTCTGCAAGGGATGTGTGCAAGCCCGGGCTATCAGCTGCTGACAGACCTTGCGCCGCCTGTGAAGCCTCTAATTGGTCTAGAAGCAGGCTCTGCAGCCAGAGATGAGTGACGTGGATGTTGACACGCATGGACTCAAACGACGACCGTAGCAGAGCAGAGAATTCGTCCGAAGCCAGGTCCTGGAGGCAGGAGTTGCCAGATACTACCCAGAGTCGCAGGGATGGTGGCACATCGTGCAACAAATTCCGCATACACTGTAGCCGGTCCCGCAGGTATGCCACCCGAACATCGGTGTCTTGGGCTCGAACACAGGCGCAAGGTTCGGGTAGGCCATTTTTCGGATGAGGGCTGCGGATAGCAGCCCAGAAGACGCGTGAGTGAATGTTGAACCCGGTGGTCAGACATGATGTCGGGACAGGCGGCATCAGCACCTCGTGCTCGAAGATAAACTCGTCATCAACCTCGAGCGGCATCAGATCGTCGGGATTGATTAGTTGAAGCTGAACAGGATCTAGATACGAGAGTCGCTCGCCCAGCATATTCTGCAATTGCGAATGACTATTTCACGGTTGCCATCAGACCGGCTGCAATCGAGTGGCAATGCGATGGTCGGACTTACACAAATCCATAAAACACCAACCAAAACCCCTTCTTCCGCAACTGCGTCTCAATGCAATTGAGCCCGTCGTAGGCAGAGATAGAATGGAGATTCAGAAGACGAGCGAACTGCATCGACTCCACATCCAGCATCCGGGCGCGATTATGGTCTCCCAGCTGCAGAAAGGCAGCGAAGAGCAGGAAGGAGGCGGCAAACTTCTGGAAATTGATCTCGTCAAAGTAGTAGGATGTTCTCAAGCCCAGATTCTTTTCGTAGCAGAAGCGAACCATCTCGCGGCGCGTGGCAAAACGCAAGGGAGGATCATGCGATCGGTACGAACGGAACTTGCTGGGCATCGTCGCGACAACCACTGCGGCAATGGCGACGGTCAAGGCAAGAAACCCAGTGTCTTCCTCGTGTCGGCCTCGGCGCAGGCATTCTTGGAAAGAGGGGCGGTGAACGATGGGAACGAGTGGGTAGACGTGGTCCAGATAATCTTGCATGATGCGGTGGAAGAGAGTTTGCTCGCACAGATCGTCCGCGGCGCAGATGCCTGCCTTGCGATGGCTGTCATTCGCTGGCGGGGGCTGTTGTACCACGGCCTGGACCACACTGGTTTGTGACCTGCTGAGTGTTATCTCGGGATATCTGCCATTCATTGGAAGAGACCGAACATACCGCTTTTTTGGGCCTCTGGTTTTACAGGGGGCGAGAAAGGTGCAAGGCCGATTCAATCGCTCGCAGCGCGCGCATCGTGAATTTGGTGCTCCAGATGGAGAGCCTGGGAGCTGACATTTGACCTTGCGCTTCCGGCAGAGATCGCAAGCTTGTGTGGAAATGTCAATGCGCTGAGTATGGGGCCGGAGAGGGGGCATCGTGATGCATTTTGTGTAGACAATGGACTGGTTCAAGCGAAGAAGCTGGGGAACGAAAGTACTGGCGATCCCGAGGGAAGACCGAGCCGAGGCGAAGGTCGGTACGGCGACAGGCTCCTTATCGCGACCGATAAGAGTCACGAGGGTATTATGTGGGGGACTTTTCTGCCACCGCCTAAACCCACCACTTTCCCGGCCTGCTTTTTTGCAGCTGTTTGTGGTCAAAATCTGGATTTCTCTTGCGAGGTTGCGGGCGTTCTGCCGGGAGAAGCGGTGAATATAGCGGTGTGGCGTGCAGGCCAAACCTACCACTTTCCAGCTCCAGTTTTTGGGGACTGTTTGTGGTCAAAATTCGGATTTCCCTCGCGAGGTCGCGAGCGTTCTGCCGGCTAAAGCGGTGAGGTTGACGGTGTAGCCAGATTTAAAGCTGCGGCGCTGGTGCATGTGTAGCAGTATGCCTCAGGCTGCAGTTCCCTAAAGGTACCATGTCACACCCGCGACTCTCTTTGACATGCCTGATGCGCCGTACAGTGCCAATCGCCCACCACCTTTACACTCACATACCAAAGAATAGATCTACTATCCAAATCTGTATCTGTACAGCCAGTGCTTTCAGCTACTCGAAGCATAAACTCAACCCCCTAAAACCACTGTCCAGCGTCATCATTCCCGCAGACCTTCACCATCGGACCCATTACAATCGGATACCCCGGAAGCCCCGGGAAGGTCACCTCAGCATCGCATGCCTCTCTAATCGTTAAGCTATCGACACAGCCACATTTCTGCTACGAGGCATTGATTCGACACGACATTTGGCTATTCCAGATTTATTGTCACCCTCCGACGCCGGACTCGCGCAATGTCGATCACGACATTTCCCCGGACCGCGTTACGTACAGAAAACTCCACATGGCTCGCTTCCCCGCAACCCAGACATCAAGGTCATACGATGGTGCGGCCATGACGCGCCGACTTTCCCCAGATCCCATTCCCGATGTAACCTTACGTCGTTGCCCAGGCTGAGGGCTGAGGGCGAATCGCAGTATGTCCGAACCTGGGGTTGTCTACGTCGTAACGACGTAACTATAGCATCTGCAGAGGTCTAGACTACGGCTTCCAAGTAATGCAAAACAGAACACATGTCATTCAAATCAAGTCTCATAACGCCTTTATGCCATGGAATAGTGATATCATGATGCGACCGCGGTCATGCAAACAACGCTCGCTAGGGGAAAGCCCTTCGGATAGCAGAAGTCCAGCTGCTAAGACTCAAGACATGATGCATCGCGGGTGGTAGAACATTAAACTATAAGTGGGAGAATGCGATCAACGAGATCCGTCGTCATTGGTATGCATCGCATCGTCAACGAGAAGGTCGTGTCGTGTCGTAAAGAAGAGAACACCAAGTCGCATGTTTAGCTGTCGGTGTTGGCGCAAGTGAAGCTGTTGCTGTTCGCATCGTCGTGGATGGCGGTGCCCGAGGCGTAGAGACCCAGGACACACAGGATCAGACCGAACAGAGCAATGCCAATGTTGAGCACGGTGAGGGCAATCTTCTTGGGGCTGGAGAGCCACTGGCCCCAGTTGAGGTGGAGCCAGTAGACACCGCTGAGACCGTAACTGAACCAACTAGCGAAGAGGGCGCTCTGCAGAACTATTAGTGCTGTACTGAATGATGCTAAAGCGAGCAACTTACAATCAAACCGTTCAGGTCACTGAAGACGGGAATAGCCTCGGCAATGATCCAGGCAACGACCCAGCAGGAAAGGCCAAGGCCGATCCAGATGGAAACCGAGCGCCAGCCGCGGCTGTGAATGAGATCGGACTTGTGGCAGGTGCGGAAGTAGATGTACTTCAGACCGATGTGACCGTTGACAACACCAGCACCAACAATCTAACCATGAATTAATTCATGTCCATATCGGTAGAGAACAGGCGACTTACAGTAGGAATGGCAATGCCATAGGCGACCTTCTTCAATAGGGGGCCGGCGGAGCTCAGGGCGGGAGACTGGACGTCCTTGCCGACGTAGTAGTAGACCACAATGGCCGCGGTGGTGTACAAGCAGATCTCAAAGCCCTGAAGCATGAACAGCGACTTCTTGAAGTCCTTGGGCTTCTCCATCTCAGCGATCAAGCCGAAGAAGGCGACGTGGGCACAGTATGCGAAGACAATGTTCGAGACGGCGCTGAAGGCCTTGTAAAGAGAAGTGTCGACAGTGGCTTCGATGATACGACCGGGGTGGTCCTGGACACCGACTCCAATCATGGTGATCATGACGGCGCTGAAGATACTCAGGAAAGCTGGGCCATCGGTCAGCGAATGATCCAGAGCGGAACGATCAGGAATACTCACAGAAGAAAGAGATCCAGGTCATGCCCTTCATGGTACGGGGAACCGACAGAGCCATGGAGATGACCATACCGATCACGCTGAAAACAATCGAGCAGGTACCGTGGTCGGTGATGGTGTTCATCATGACACGGAAGGTCAAAAGATGGCTGCCCATAACGAAGATGCAGAAGAGGAACTGGCCCAGGCCGAACATCTCACGGCCAAAGGGGCCCAGCAGGATTTCGCCGGCATCAGCCAGGTTCTGGATGTGGGGGTAGCGCTCGCGGAAGAGACCGATGTTGTAGCCGGTGTACGTGGCGAGGATACCAAGACCGACAATAAGAATGATAGCACTAGATGAGCAATCGGTCAGTGAACGCCCCGTGCGATCGACCTTCGACCAACTTACGGGACGAGACCCAGAGCAGCCACGGCTGCGGGCAGAGAGAGCACACCCAGGGAGACAGACTCGCAAATCATGACTGGAGAAGTGGTTAGTGGGGGACAGTCAGTCGCATTGATAGGAGCTCTTACGCAAGCCGCATTGCCTATAAATGACGTTAGCATGAATGAAGAGCGCGGAGTGAGCTGCAGTTGAGACGTACCACCACTTCAAGGTCTTGTACTTGATTTCGGCCAACTCCTCGTTACCGAAGGCGTCAGCCTCCTCGAAGCCGGGCTTGTAGCTGGTTTCAAGGTCGACGGATGCATCCTTCTTCTCGTCGATGCGGTCGGTAGCGTAGGGTGGAGGGGAACCGTGGACAGTGTCCATTGTGTTTGGTGAATGGGTGTGGTGTGTGGAAGTATTGAGGAAGGATGGAGAAGCAGCGACGGAACGGGTAAAGGGTGACTAAGGTCGGAGAGGAGGGTGCGGGAGGAAGTGTCCGGGATGCTGCAGACAATGGTGGATGGATGGATGAATAGAGACAGAAATGGAGGAAATCAGCAGGGGAAGGAGAGGGTTATAAAGAAGATTCCGGAAAAAAACAGCTGGGGCGGCCAGATGAAGTTCGGTAGAGGAGGGAATGGTTTGACATGCCGAAGACCTGGGGAAAGAAGATGGGGAATTGGCAAGTATGGAACTCGAGCCAGGCACATAGTGGGCACACAGTGGGCACACACGAGCAATCGGCCCGGCACCGAGACAAGCAATCGCCGCAACTACAACAGATCTGGAGGGAAATTTGTGAACGGAATTGGTCACCAAGCCGATCATCGGCCAGTGCGGACCAATGAGACGCATTACCGCCTCGGGGGCGGAGGCGGGTTCCATGGGAGGAAGTTCGGGCGGTGCAAATTGCTACTGCCAGCATGGAAGAACCAGCCGCGGCGGAAATGGCTAGAGCTGCGGTGGAAGCTTTTCTCGCCCGGAGTTGGCCTGCAGGACCGGCTTTCTGCCTGCCTACCACCTACCACTGGCAAACGCTGGCCAGACTCTCCGTTGATTTGCAATCCAATCGTTGAGCCCGAACCATCGGCACTGTCGCTTAGTTGCTCCTCTTTCCTCGTGGTTCCCCATCTGGATTCCACCATTGCTCGTCCAACTACGAATAACAATTGCTCATTTGGACTGGTCAGACTGGCTCACATATCTAAGGTTGTTTTATTTGCCGGTCGGGAGTTATTTCTTCCCCGGGGATCCCCGAGGTGGTGGACAAGTAGCAATATGACATGCAGGTCATGTGATGTGTCCACCCTTGCATTTCCACCCACCTTACTTCTTTCTCTTCACTGAGTAAGAAAACAACAGAGACAGACACAGCCCAGACGCATGCTGCGGACTCCGGTGGACGCCGGACGCACGTCTCACACGGTGCCAATCATTTCCCAGGGTGTCTGCAACGATTGTGCGCCACCGTCTCCCTAGAATAGGCAATTTGCACGGGCTGCCCCCCCGGTGCCAGAGGTGAAGGTGCAAATTGAGTCGGTGGCGCCGCGAGGGCAGGCGGAAGGATTGGCTGGCGGTCTAGCGGCAAATGCTTATTTTTTGTACGTAATTTGGTGGCCGTTAGCGGCTGATACCACAACGTAGGGTTGCATTCACCGGTCGCCCCATCAAGACCGCCCGCCAAGCTTCGAGCCGGCCTGTTCCACTGCGGTACGCTGCTTATCTTGCTGGCAATTCCACCACCAGTGACTGGTTGGTCTGTACGTAAAGCAAAGCCGGAGGCCATTGAGACACTATTCTCTATCTAATCTCTCCCTATCTACAGGAGGCAGGAGGGCATACTGATGCGCAGTGAATCACCGGTGAGTCTCAGACATGCTTGGCAGTCCTCAAAATAAGCATCACGCTACAAGGAGACAAAGTTGCCGATGATCAGGTGGCTCGTCTTAATTCCCGTAGCCGTAGCGAAAAGGCCAGGCCTGTGTGGGAGGGTTTAGCCACTTATGTTCATTGGTCGGGAAGCCCCGGGATTGGACTTTGCACGCAGCTGTTTGCAGCTCCCGGGGCTTTGAAAAATCCGGCCGAGGCCAGCCTTTGCCTCTTGCGGAGGGCGCATACTAACTTACAGTTCCCGAAGAGTATCATGGGTGTAGTGTAGTGCTCCGTGGTATCAACCATATGAGCCTTGGACAATCTTCAAGGTTCTATACTCAGCTGAACCAAGAGAGAAAGTATAAAATCGTTTATTGATCACTCGATCACTCAGTCCCATGATCAAACATAACCCAACTGTACAAAGCATTCAAGTTGTCTTTATGAATAGTGCTCAGCCGAGATATATAGTTATCTACCCGCAGAGTCACTACGACACAATAGAGACCACCAGCCTTACTGCACAAACAATAGAACCACACTATCCAATAACGCGAACATCTTTTTCGATGCATCCACTGCAATAATGAATCGCAGCGTCTTGCCACTCATACAAGCACCGTCAACCCCACCAAAAATTAGAGTACTTTTCCAGCGCACCCTAACCAACCCCGGAATACGCCAAGCAAAACAGCCCCAAGCAAGCACTACACCCCGCGTGCAAAATCTAGATCCTGAGTCACCATGATAGCATCCCTGCTTCATGGCCATGGCCATAGCCTAGATCCTTGACCCCACCTGCAGCCATAGCAGCCTGAGGCACCCACCGGGGTAAAAGTCAGGCAGAGCAATTACCCCGCCAAGCCCAACGCAGCGCCGCAACCGCCACGCCACGGGATCGAGTCGAGTCATAGCTGAGCTGAGCTGGCGGGCAGCAACACATACCTTACCTCCAACCCACCGTCAAACCAAACCAAACCAAACCACAACCCACCCCAATTTACCACCTCACACCTCACACCTCACCACCCTCACAACCACAAACCACAAACCACAAACCACAAACCACAAACCACTAAACCACAAACCACACCACAAAACCACAATGAGCACCCCGAAACAAGCAGTCGTCTGCGTCTTGTAAGTGTGCGCCCTCGTCTACCCGTCCATCTTGCCCGGAACGAACCCGCCCACTGACCAATCTCTCCCTATATCAGCTGCGGCTCCCGCTCCGGCACCTCACCAGCCCACCTCGAAGCCGCACGCGCCCTCGCACACCAATTCCACACCCACAACGTCCAACTGGTCTACGGCGGCGGCACCGTCGGCATAATGGGCGAACTGTCCAAGACGCTCGTCTCGCTATCGGGCCCGAAAGCCGTGCAGGGGATTATCCCGCGGGCGCTGGTCGAGGTCGAAGAAGGATACAAGACCCCCACCCCTACTCTCGGGAATGGGGCTGGCCCCGGCGGAGCAGGCAAAGCGCCCGAGCGCGTGGGTGGGGGCGACACGATGGAGGAGACGGAGTACGGGCAGGTGACGGTGGTGCCGGACATGCATACGCGGAAGCGGCTCATGGCGCAGAAGGTGTTGGAGGGGGGCCCCGGGTCGGGGTTCGTGGCGCTGGCGGGCGGGTTCGGGACGATGGAGGAGCTGATGGAGGTGACGACGTGGAATCAGTTGGGGATCCATAATGCGGGGGTCGTGCTGTTGAATATCAATGGGTACTGGGATGGCGTGCTGCAGTGGGTGCAGGCGGCCGTGAAGCAGGGGTTCGTGAGTCGCGAGAATGCCGGCATCCTGGCGGAGGCGACCCGGCCGGAGGACGTGCTGCGCATGTTGCGCGAGTATCGCATCAGTAGTGATCGGATGGCGTTGGATTGGGGGCAGGAGTAGATTTCTTTACGGGTAAGGGTACGGCAGGATGCAGTGGGGGTATAAATCGCATTATAGACTAAGGTATACATCGAAATGCTAGGCCAATGGAACGGATTTCTTTTTCACTTGGCTTGGCGCGACATGAGGCCTGGATACAGTCTGAGGAGAGATACAATGGCTTAGGATGGCAACTGAAGTACTAACTGGTGCCTCAGGTCAATCTACAGCAGGCGGAAATGAGGAGGCTGGACCAACCGGGTTAGTCTGACAGTGCCCTGCCTGTCACTAACCGATCGCACCGATCGACCCCGCAGTGAGCCCGGTCCCTGATCTCAACTTTCTATCTTCTGCTTTCTATATATTCACTTGCCCCTCGTTCTTCACCGCTAAAATGCATCACCCTCCATCTCCACCCCATGACCTCCCAGAAAATGGCAACAGCCCAGATCCCCCAGCTCTGGGCCACCGCCCTCGCGCGCTACGAGAAAATCACCCACAGCCCGCTGGACCCCCACGCCTGGCGGGACCTGACCACCGTCGACGGGCTGTGGGGCGCCATCGAGGCCGAAAATCAAACCTTCCAGGAGTTCCGCCGCCAGCGCGCTGGCCTGTGCACGGCCCTGAGCCAGGCGCTGCGGCCCATCGAGCTGGTCGGCGATCTGGCGGCCAGCGCAGCGGGAATGTTCTTCGCGCCCAGCTCGTTGGTTTTTGGGGCCGTGCGGTACCTGATCGACGCCGCGAGGGGGGTATCGGCGAAATATGATGCGATTGTGGAGTTGATGATGACCTTGCAGGTGGGTCTTCACAATGCTTTGCTTTGCTTTAGATTATCTGGTTGGGGGCGTGCTCCTCTGGTTGTGGGGGGGCATGCTCGGCTGGTTACAGGGCGTACTCTGGTTATGTGGCGATGCTGAAATGACTGTATTCGTGCACAGGACTTCACCACCCGTTTAGCAGTCTACGCACAGCAACAGATCTCCCCACCCCTGCAGGAGAAAATCACCAATATCCTGACCACACTCTTAGAAGTATTCGCGATCTCGCGCCATCAGATCAGCCTTGGACGACTACGGAGTTTCGGGAAGAACGTGCTGCTAGGCAACGACGACGGGAAAGCGGCGATCGCCAAGCTGGCGCAGCTGGTCGACAGCGAACGGAACCTGGTGGGCGCGGAGACACTCACCGAGGTCAAAGGGGCGAAGGTGGTCATGGACCGCGTCGACGTCCACGTCCTCGAACTCACGCGGCGCATCGACGACCTCAACCGTCTGCAGGAGGCCGCCGAACAAGAGGCCGACTCCGTCCACGAAAAGAACCACCGCGACAAGGTCAAGAGCGTGCTGCAGCCCGCCACCAGCGCCGACGACCGGTACAGCATGATCGCGCGTGCGCGGGTCCCGCAAACGGGCGACTGGGTGCGCGAGGAGCCCGAGTTCCGCGAGTGGCTGCACCGCGACAAGCCCCTCCTGTGGGTGACGGGGACGCCCGGCGCCGGCAAGTCGTATCTGGCGGCCAACGTCATCGCCTATTTGCGGGAGTTGTATCCGCAGAACGTCCAGCATCCCTCGCATGTCTCCGTCGCGTATTACTTCTTCAAGGACGACAGCGTGAAGACGCGCTCGTGCCACCAAGCTCTGCGCGACGTCGCCTTCAAGATCGCGCAGAATGACCCCGCCTATGCGAATTTCATCGCGGGTCGGGTGGACTCGCCGGAGGATATCGGAAGTCTGTCGAGTCTGTGGCAGCAGCTGTTTGTGGAGTACTTTATCGCGCATGAGACCGGAGACAGCCAGGTGTACATCGTGCTGGACGCGCTGGACGAGGCGTTCGCGGAGGAGCGACAGGAGCTGTTCCAGCTGGCGGGCGATATCCAGCCGCGGGGACGGCTGCAGCTGCTTCTGCTGGGCAGGCCGCACATTGCCCAGGAGATGGACGAGCTGATGGAACAGCTGGCCGTGTCGACCATCTACATCTCGGACGTGAACAACTCGGACGACATCATCCGGTACATCCAGAGTAGTATCGCCAAGTCGGTGTGTCTGCGACGCGCCTCCAAGGCGCTGCAGGCCGAGATCGTGCGGCGGGTGTCCAGCGGCGCCCAGGGCATGGTATGTGCGGAGACTCAAATGATCTTGATGCTAGACTAACACGGTATAGTTCCTCTGGGTCGATTTCATGCTCAAAGAACTACTGAAAAAACGCGACGAGGCACGGATGCGCAAGGCGCTGGAAGAGGCGCCGCGCGGGCTGTCCGAGATGATCCGGCACGTCCTGAAGAGCTACTCCGAGAGCCTATGGGATGCACCGCAGTATGCCGAAGACCTGAACGAGATGCTAGCCTGGATCGTGTGCGCCCATTGGCCGCTAAAGCTGCAGCAGCTGGAAAGCGTTATTCAGTGGCGGTCGCCGGAGGGCGAGGGGTGGATCTGGCTGGAGGGGTATCTCCGGCGGGAGTACGCCTCCCTGTTCTCGCTGATCCGGGAGGATGGACTAAGCACGGCGGATTTACAACGGGCGAACGTTGGACGGGCCGATTGGGAGGTCGACACCCTGGTGGATGACGGCTTTGACGATACAGACAACCCGTCGGACTTTGACTCGGAGCCGGCGACCACGGAGGTGACCTTGAACCACGCCTCGCTGGGAGACTTCTTCCGCAACGAGACCGAGGGGCCTGTTGCGGCTGATGACGGGCCTCCCGTGGGGATCCACTACCACGCGGCGAAAGTGCTGGTGTTCAAACGGTATTTTGAAATCGTCGCCTGCGGAGAGGGCTCCCCCAAGCAAGAGATCGCGCAGGTGCTCCGTGTGCACGCTGCCGGGTCGATCGTGTCAGCCTTGCAGGACATCGAAATCGACAAATGCAGCGCAGAAGATAAGGGCATGATCGGTCTGAGCATCGCGCGCCTGCTGTCCGTCCCTCCCATCCTCGAAGCATACGTCAAACACAGAAGCGACCTGTCGTACCCCGGCGAGCACCTTGAACTCTTCATGAAGTGGCTCAGAGACTCAGACGTGCAAGCCTCGCTGCCCCCGACCGAGAAAGCCTGGTTCGAGGAATCCACCGCCTCAGGCGACGTGGGGATCTATCTGCTGACGGCGAAGTTCATCGCCGAGCAATGGCTGCAGAAAGGGTTCTGGCTAGCCGGGCCCTGCTGCCGCTACATCATGGAATACATCAAACTCAGCCAGGACGCACCCCCCTTCCCGGACAGCCCAGTCGAGGCCGTGCTCTCCGCCGCGGAGTGGTGCGGATTCGCGCAGGACCAACTCTGGCACCGCCGACTGGCAATCGCACTGCGCGATCTCGGGTTCCTCGACGAATGCATCCCCCGCTTCCAGCGGGCCGTGGACCTGGACCCATCCCCGAACCCACAGACCCTCCTCGCGCGAGCCGGGATGGCGAAAGCGTACCTCGAAATGGGGCAGTTCGCGCAAGCCATCGAGCAGGACCGCGTGTGCGTGGCGGAGCTGAATACGCACCGCCAAGCGGACAAACCCGATCTACAAGCGCACGCGTCGTACGAGCGTCTCGGCCAGAGCTACACCGCGCTCGGCGAGGTCGAGTCCGCGGTGGCCATGTACGGGGCTGCTCTGGCGACGGCCGGATTCTGCAATACGTGTCTCCGCGCGGTGCTGGACCAGCTCCACGCGCAGAGCCGCCACGAGGAGATCATCTCCCTTCTAAAGAGCCTCGACCGGCCCGCCCTCAACCAAAACCCCGCCTACACCACTACCACCACCACCACCCCCTCAATCCTCACGCAAAGCATCCTGACAAACCCAGACTGGTACGACGACTTCATCGACCGAGTCACCGCCGCCGCCGCCACCACCAAACAAATCCCATTCCTCATCGACGCGTACACCACAGCCGTCGCAACCGCGCACAAGCAACGCAAGGCCGTCGCCAAAGCGAACCTGGAATTATGCCTGGGGATGCTGTGGCAGACGCACGGGCGCGACGGGGACCGCGCGGCCGCCATCTGGGAAAGACTGATCGCCACGTATCGCGGCAGTCGGGCGGAGGGCGAGATGGTCTCCGTGCTGGAGATGGCGGCGGGGGCGCTGGCGACGCACTACCTGACCAGGGCGATGGAGGTGGGGGTCGACTCGGAGCTGGGCCGGCGGTACGGGGTGTTGCTGGAGTTGTTGGCGAGGGGGAAGGCGGTTGCGTCGCATGGGGATGTCTGGGATGCCTCGCGTGCGGATGTTCTGAACGTTGTGGATGCGCAGCGCACGAACAAGGTCTTCGTGACCACGTCGCCCGTGGGGTTGATCCTGGGGAGTTATTATCGGCTGTCGGGGCGGGAGGCGGACGCGATGGCGTGCTATAAGGCGCAGGTGCAGGCGGCGCTGCGGCTGGTCGAGGATGAGAGGGCTGGCATGGCGATGGTGGGGTATACGCGGTTGAGCAGTGTGTTTGCGGCGCTGGGGGAGGATGAGGAGGCGTTGGCGATGTGGTATCAGGATCAGTTGATGTATGAGTTGATGGAAAGGGCAGATGATGAGGACGAAGGTGATGGTGAAGCCGAAGCTGAAGCTGGATCTGATGCTGCTGACGACCCCGAGGACTCGAAAAAACCCACCTTCTTCACGTGCAACGGCTGCAGCCTCTCCGTGGAGATCGACGGCAACTATATCTGCCGGTACTGCCACGATGTGCTGTTCTGCCCGGGGTGTATGCATCAGCTGGAGGCAGGGACGCTGGGAGTGAGGGTGTGCAGTGCGCAGCATGCGTGGGCGTTTGTGGCGCGGCGGCCGGAGGCGGTGCGGCGACGGGGGGAGGAGCAGCGCGGGATGCTGTGGTTGAGGGGGAAGTGGGTGGATGGGGGGGTGTGGAAGGCGGATTTGCGGCGGCGGTGGGAATTGTAAAGAAGCTTTATATCCAGTACAGTAGATTGGTGGTATGCTTGAGATCGATTTGGGCAGATAGAGCAGCATTAGCCATCAGACTCGACGTTCATACTATCAATAGTATCAAGATCCAACAAAACCAAACACAGTCCCACTAATCTATTCCACCCACCCTACCTCTAAACATGACATCCTAATGTAAGCCCTACCTCTAAAATAGCATACACCAGCCCCAGCATCAACCCTGCAAACCCCCAACCTCAGTCCAATTCCCAATCCCCCCTACCTCCCCCCCAACCCAATCACCCCCTAAAACCCCCAAACAAACCCTAAGTACCTCAAAACCAACTCCTCAAAACAGCAACGCCCTGCAACACCGCCCCCAGCCCCACAACAACCGCATTCTCCTTGATGCCATACCGGAAATACCACGACGAGCTGGCCCAGAGCATCGCGTTGGTGATGACCGCGATCGCCTTGTTGGTCGGGTCGCGGAGGGCGAGGGGGTTGCGGGCCCATTGGTAGTGCAGGAGGCCTATCGTTATGCATTACCATTAGTATCAGTATCGCTATTGAACAGGAACTGGAATTGTGTTGTGCGGTGTTGGATTTTATTCGGTAGGAGGAAGGGCACGGTATTTTGTTTCCGATGGATAAGAGGAGCAAAGGGCAGTAACGAACCCGTCGTGAAGAAGAAGGCGCTTCCCTATTCCGTATCCCTCCATCGTTAGCATATTGTTGATATTGGTTGGGTAGGGGATAGATAGTGCTGGCAGACCTGAAACCAGCCCACAATGCCCAGCGCCCAGGGCTTGGAGTTGCTGATGATTGTGTAGGCCGGGTCGGCGGTCCATTGTTTGCCTCCTAGCTTTATTATCCATCATTGTTAGTATTTGTATTTGCAGGAGGGACAGTATTGCAGAGCAGAGCAGAGTAGAGCAGAGCAATTGGCTATAGCCAACAGTTATGGTGAAGAAGGGAGGTGCAGCACACCGTATGGCCGATGGAGAGCGCGATGAAAGACAGCGCGGAGGCTTGAAGGGTGCGGCTGGGGACGGCTGGAGCGGGGGTGGTCATTGTGTCTGTATCTTCAATTCTTAGGGATTAGGTATTAGATGAAGTGCAGGTAGTGAGAGCGATTGATTTAAGCAAGAAAGTGATTGATTAAAGAGACAGTGAGTGAGTGTAGGTTACATGAATCTAAGAAGGACGAGGCGAGGCGGAGCCAGACCGTACGCTGGCTAAAGTACGGGCACTTCCTCCTGCGGGGTTTGTGTTTCGTCGACGTCAGAGCATCCGTTCCCGTACCCGTACCACCCGGCTGTGGATAAGCTGTACAGAGTAAGTAAACAGCCCGGAACGGTTAGACGGCGTAGCCCGTCCGGTTTGTCGCCGATGCCGTCGCCGTCGGTCGCCGAGGGGCCTTCGACACTCGGTATAAGATGGTATTCTCTGGCAGTGTTTGAGCCACTTCGCCTAGGCTAGCCCTGCAATATATAGGTGCTCCTGGATCGATTGGCAAAATACAGTCATGTTTGATTGTGTAAAAAATAGCACTTGATTGATACATATCACGTGACGAGCACCGCCCTCCATATCCGGGTCAACGAGGTCCGTGTTCGGCGACTTTCGTCCAATTAACTTACACTCAGTCTGCCACCCACTGTATACGGTGAGACCACATTTTTGACTATCCGATATAACTACATCATGGTTGAGTGTTACTGGGGAGCTGAAAGAAAAGGGGGGTCCGGGGTTCTCCCCCGGGAAGTCTCACTGTAGGTAAATTGACATGGACTGTGCAGCCAGTGACAGCGCTGGAAGGTGACAGCGGTCGAGACGGGCCCATGTTGTGCCGTGGTTGGAGCTTTATGCTGCTGACTAAGTCACTCACTAGTGCACCGTTAATGCGTACTTTGTGCATCTTGTCTTTCTGGCAGATCTTATTCTTGAGACGCATCTGCAACATCTCAAAAACGATTTCATTTAGTGACTCTACGAGTTGACTGACTCAACTAAGTACGCATATCCCACCTATTCTGTGTATTTGACAGAACAAGTGCAACAATTTTCCCATGCTTGCAGTGTATCCTGCGATCCAACGGTAAAAGCTATATACAAACCACAACCAGTCCACCTACTCATCTACCCCCTTCCGCCCCGCCAACTCCACCGCCCTCTCGCACTGAAATCCCTCAAACTTCCTGGCCGCGACCTTCTCCCCAAACAACTCATCCAACTCCTCAAACGACCGCCCCTTGGTCTCAGGCAACTCGAAGAACAGCACCACAAACATGACCGCCCCCATCCCGGCGAAGATCCACCCGATCAGACCCCCCAAATCCGCCTCATCGGAGTTATACAGATACGGCATGACGACATTCCAGACGGTCGAGAAGAAATAATTGAAAGTGAAGCCGACGGCCAGCGACTTGGCGCGCAGACGCACGGCCGAGACCTCGCCGGCGATGGCCATGGCGGGGCCGATGCCGGGCCCGTACACCCACCACGACAGCTGCAGGAAAATGCCCACCACCCTACGCCCACCACCAGACAACACATTAGCGACCACATATTGACGGTACCAAACAGGAAGGGGAAAATTACCACAGCGCCGCACTACTCCGCGGAAAACAGCCCGCCACGCCCATGACCGTAAATAAGCTCGTCGACAGCCCCATCCCGAACAGCACGAGCGTCCGCCGCCCGAACACCGTCATCGCCCACCCGGTCACCAGCGAGCTGGTGATGCCGAACGCGATTCCGATCTCCGTCATCATCCCGATCTTGGCCGACGACATGCCCGCCTGCACCAGGAAGTACGGCCCGTTGGTCATGAAGCTCGACCCAATCACCTGCGGCAGCGCGTTGCAGTACAGGATGATGCGCGTGCGCCGCCAGTTCGTGCCGCGGAAGCACTCCACAAAGCTGGCGCCATCGGCCTGCGCGGCCCGGAGCCGCTCCTCCTCCGTGATGCGGATGATTTCGTCCAAGACAGAGGGGATGAGGGCGGGGTTGGTGCCGAGGCGGGTTAGGGAGCGGGCCGCGTGCGAGGGTTTGTTTTTCGCTACGAGGAAGTAGGGCGATTCGGGGATGAGAATCAAGAAAAGGAAGAGGAGGCCGGGCCAGACCCAGCCGCAGGCGAAGAGGACCTGTTGTTGTGGTTAGTGGGGGGATTTAGAGGAGCAGAAGGGGGGACGGACTTTGTACGCTGCGTCGGTGGTCATAGTTAGCCGGGGTAGGGCCACGGATGCGGCGATCATGTATCCCAGATTCTGGCCTGGTTAGCGACTGGATTTCCCGGAAAGAGTCAGGTGAGGTACCATGCAGAAGGTGTATGCCGATAGAGCGATACCACGCAAGGGAAGGGGGGTGATCTCCGAGACGTAGGTTTGTCCCGTCGTCAACGCGATGCCCAGAGCCAGACCGTTGATGATCTTGCCAGCGAGAAAAACGCCGGGGGTGTTGGCGGTGTACACAACGGCGAATCCAGCAGCCGACAAACAGGCAGCGACCAGGAATGCAACCCGTCGACCCAGCCGGTCGGAGATGAACCCGCCAACGGTGGATCCGATCATGGTGGCTACCTGCGAGAGAGCATTCCACAGAGATTGCCAGTAGGCGGGAATTGTATATGTGCCATTGACTAACGATCCGAACTTTTGTCTATTGCATTGTCAACTCCATACTTCACATCAGGAGCAATGTGACTCACTCAAAGGCCGGCATAGACAACGACAGCGACAGGATCAGATTGTCAAACCCATACATCAGAGCCCCGACATTGGCATACAGACAGAACAGGATGATCAGTGGGTTCTGGCGTAGGGCCGTCCATGTTGACGGTGGACCGTCATTGTGGGCGAGCTGTTGGTCGTGGTCTTGGGCTTCGTTCGAATCGACATTCTCGAGGTGATTGGTTTCAGTTTTCTGGTCGGTGGTCATTGTGTGGTGGATCTATCAGACGACCGCAGAAGACAATGCAAATGTGGGCTGATGTAGGATGGCAGGATCACGAACGTTGAGTAAGGGATAGTTCGCATTATAGCAGGGAACCAGCAGGGAACCAGCAGGGGATAAGGCAGGGTTCGAAACCCCACGGGGTACCGGAATTGCCGACGCCCGGACCATGTGGGGATGGCCATGCAGCCACGTAATCCTGGTCGGCAAACCCGGGGTACGGCTGGCCTCACAGCGAAGAGTCATGATGTTGATTCAAAGAAGACTTGCATATAAAAGCGAATGCTTAAGAGGTGCTATGATATACTTTCCTGAACTCTAATCTCTTTCTCTCAGTGGCACTCCATGTCTTGCAGGTTTCGATTTCCCAACCGCTGTCGATAAGGAGGTATTCTCAGCAGCAGCCGTTCACCGCTCCACCTAAGCGAGCTCTTTCTCCGCACGGTTCGTCCATGTGGGCACTTTAGTATAATCGACCCTCGGCCTAATCCCATCACCGAGGAAATCTTCTCAGCATAACAGAGCACACATATAATACCGTACATGTTACACCAAATGACGGAATGCTGACAGCACTGCAACTGACAAGATATTATCAACTCAAGATAGGATTCCCGCAGCAGAATAGCTTCAATCATTCAGGTCGATAACACTCCTCGGGCCTCACTACACCGGAAAGCGAGCATCCAACGCCACCGCTCCTTCAGACCGGGACGTGATCGTCCATTCCGGGCCTACAAGGATGAGGTAAGCGCAGTTCGAATTCTCCGCACTCGGTTTATCCGAGCATGCCAAATGGGCTTTACTTAATGGATTGAATTGAGTTCAGCGGCCGAAAGCTTGGACGGTTGGCCGCATTGGTTGGGTGTACCACTGTAATGGGCTTATGTCGGGTCGTGTGCTTGTTCACGTGCATGATGCACCTCGGGTTACCTAGAATGACTGATTCCCCGGGGGATATTAGAGCAACAATAGATTTTGGGTAGTGTTCAATTCCCAGGCAGCAGTTAGGGACCTAGTCATGACGTTTGACTGGATGGTAGGATTAGGTGGGAAGCGATGGTGCGACAATTGGCCAGGGCTACGCAGAAGAGGGGATTTACCACCATTATTCACCCAAAACACTCAACAAACCCACTCCCTCTACCTTGTTATGCTTTGTGGAACACAGCCCAGCGCTTCAAAATGGTTCATCAATACGTACAGCAACTTCAGGTCCGATAGTTTGTGAAGCGCCCGGCATGAAGGTTAAGCGCCGTGAACCGCCCCTTCAGACTGTTTGGCGCCGTGGGTAAATATAGATCTCATCAGCCTTGCTGCTCCAGAATATTGATAGTATATGATAATACCAACCCTATTCTCTAAAAGAGAGCATCAGGTCCAGCCGCATCCCAGGGCCACCATGGGTTCCGAACACACCTCCCTCCGCCATGAAGACTACACGATCGCCTGCATCTGCCCCATGGGCGTCGAACAAGCGCCCGTGGAAGCAGTTCTAGACGAATTCCATCCCGACCTGCCCACCAAACGGAACCAGAACAGCTACACGCTTGGCCGGATCGGCGTTCACAACGTCGTCATCGCAATCCTACCCGGGATTGGACTCAGCAGCGCCGCGGCCGTGGCGATGCAGCTGCTGAACGATTTCCCAGCCATCCAGATGAGCCTGCTGGTCGGGATTGGAGGCGGGCTGCCTGACTTGGAACATGGCGTGGACATTCGACTCGGCGACGTGGTGGTGGGCAAGCCGTCCGGGAAATTTGGAGGGGTAGTTGGATTTGCGTGCTGCCAGGATGTTGGGGGAATACGGTTCGAACGTCTTGATAGACTGCAGCGTCCTTCAGATGTGTTGTTGGCTGCTGTGGCGAGGATGGAGGCGCTGGATCGCCGGGGGAAGGGCCGCATACTAAAGCATCTGACTGACATGCTCGAAAAATACCCCAAAATGCGCCGAGGGAACTACATCCACCAAGAGGCAGAGAACGACCAACTCTTCGAAGCGGAGTACGAACACCATGGCGGGACGGACTGCAGAGACTGCGACCGGGCGCAGATTGTGGCCCGGGAACCCCGCGTGGACTGCGCACCAGTCGTGCACTACGGGACGATCGGGTCATCGAACGTCGTGGTTAAGGACGGTCGAGTGCGGGATCAGCTGAGGGACGATCTCGACATCCAGTGCGTGGAGATGGAGGCCGCCGGGGTGCTGCATGTGTCTCCCTGTCTGGTCGTCCGGGGGATCTGTGACTATGCGGACTCGCACAAGAACAAACGGTGGCAGCCCTATGCGGCTGCCACAGCAGCCGCGTATATGAAGGAGTTGGTGTCTGTGATTCCGGTCTCTGACACAAAGTCGGTGGAGACGGAAGATGCTAAGGTTGATGGCAGTCGGGATCCAAGCGATCTTGCGGACGGGATTGTGGCGCGGGATGTTGTAGGCCTCAGGCCGTTATTCGTGGTGTGCCTGTTCGGCATGTTGGGTGTATCGCTTGCGCTTAATGCATATCTTCTTTTATCTTTGAGATGAGGTTTGCTGTGCATTGGAGAAATAAACGAGGGCTGGTAGCTCAGTATATATCGCAGAGCACGTGAGCCAAATATAACGGGTTTAGATGACGAGATATGGATAGTACAGCTTGGACTCAGTTGTGGACAGGCAGGAAGGCTTGAGTCAATGAATGGGTTGTCAAATCTTTGCTTGAGCAAAGCTGCTGAGATGTATGAGTGGGTAACACGTTTGGTGGATGGGGCACGTCACGTGGCGTATGTCCATCAACTTCTCTGCTCACCTCATAGCCACTGATACAATCACCATACTCAAGATGACTTTACTAACGATGGTAGTATGTGCGCCAGCATTGCTACGGCTGAAATATATAAGGGTACGACTGAGAACAGCTATCCGCTACATACGACTTGATGTATTTCGATACATTCATTAGTCTTATTGAAGGTTCTATCAAATGTTGGTCATGCATCGGTTAATATTCATAAATGTCGTCCTAACCTTCCAATTGATCCTCTTGTGGACCCTTCTCGAGGTCCAGGACAGTCGCTTTCTCCGAAACCAGACCGGAGATGCATGGTCACGTGATACATATTGTCCTTCTTCAACCACGGTCGCGGCAGAACATCCATCACTGCTGGCACAATGATCATTAGGCTGAGAAACGGGAGGAGCAAATACCCCCCAACCACTGAGCTGGCCACTGCACATGAGACCCACTCGTACCTGCTATGCTCCTCCACATTTCTGATTCCTGGCCAGGATAGATGACGAGCAACCACTCAAGCCATTGGCGCTTAAACCCGACCAGTCTGCCAGCTTCCGCAAGACCCCACCCATAGGTAGTGTGTGAAATGTGCACGACATTCAGCAGTCTTCAGCAGTAGTGAGGGCCGGTTCAGTACCACCAAACCTATTGCAACCTTGCCCTTCAAATCGATTCATCATCTCTCGAAGGCTCTGTCCTAGGGGCCTTTGCCCTTGCCGAACGAACCTTTGGCACGAAAAAAGGTATGCTGTGGTCGTAGGGGTTTCGCCTGGGGCTTGACTTCCACCTTTTCCTGTGGCGCTTTCGGATTTCTCCCTGGTTTGTGACTTGCGCCCGGCTTGAAGAATAGGTATTGAGAGACCGGGCCGCGGGGTTTGGGTTGCTGGGTCACCGCCTCGGCCATCCTTCCTGATTTGGAGAACCCACGGGCCGTGAAGAAAGTGGTTGAAAGTTGTTTGGCCTTAGGTTGCGGGCTGGTCGTGTCATCTAGCTCCTCCGGCGTGGCGAGGTCATCCTTTGGCCCTGGCTTGTTCTCAGAGAGCCGGAGAGGGCGGAATTTAGGCCAAGGTTTACGGGTCTGTGTTTGCGGTGAGGTGGAAGATATCGCTTTGGCTGACTGCTCGGTCATCTCCAGGGTTGTCTGGGGATCTGGCTTTGGGATCGTCTCTGGGGTGGCGTCTAGGGTTGCCTCTAAGGTGGCCTCTGGGATAAGATCTGGAGAAATCTCGGAAGGAGCATCAGTGGCCACGTCAGCCGACTCATTGATCGCCTCCTGTCTTGTCTCGACATCCGCAAGATCCCAATTCGCTGATATCTGGTCTGTCGGGATCTCTGACACTTTCACCCACTCTCGTGGCTCATATGTTCTCAGGGGTGGAGCCCTCGGCGTCTCCAATTCCTTCCAGTCCTCGGCAAGCTGCGCTACCAACTCCAACTCCTCCGCAGAGACACCCACATTTGGCTTCTCCTCAGGGTTTCGTACAAGGCTTTTCGCGAGCTCCGGTAAGACGGGATCCTTGGAATGTGGAAATCGTACCAAATACCGAGCTAACTCATCAATCTGGGCCAGTTCGACATGCGAGAGTTGACGCATGTCGTGGGGTTCGGGAACGGTGTTGAACAAATACTCGTTGATTAGTGGAGGGTACAACGGTATATGGTGCCGGTGTTCCGTCCTCAGATGTCTTTGGAGGTACGGATGTAGTTGTGGATTCGCGTATGCCAAATACCACGCGACTTGGTGTAAGAGTTGCGTCGTCAGCGTCCCGATGTAGCCCTTACCCTTCGGGATCTGTTTCTTTCGAGAAAGTTTAGTGACCTTCTGTTCTAGGAGGAAAGCCTGGGCCTTTGCTGCATCGACACTTCGTAGAAAATCAGCAGGGAGCCACCGTGGATCGACCTCCCAGTCAACGGTCCGGTATGAGTAGTATTCTCGCTCCAGCGGTGGCAAAGCTTCATCAGGAAGGCTGGGGATGGTTGAAAAATCCGCCTGCCAGTCCAGCTCGTGGATCAAAGTGGGGAGCTGAGACGTGGATATCAAGTTGGAATTTTGTATTGCAGGACGCCTGGGGCCCCCTGTTATTGTGACATAACCATGCTTGGCACCGAGTGAAAGTCGGATAGCAATGCCTCCACCGGCTTCCCAGACCTCCTGGTCCCAGTCAAAATATGAAATGGCGGAAGGCGAAATCTCGTGCGCCATGATAGACTGCCGAGTGGTCGTGTCGGTGGACATAGATTCGTGGACGTTCAAATCATGATCGGCGACCCCGAGAGCAGGGGTTGTAGACACGGGATCAGACGTCAAGTCAACATCGTGCCCGGTGTTCTCTTGGCCTTCCGCCGCAGGCGTCCGGAGTCCATCAGATTCTGTCATGCTAGAGCTTTGACCTGCTCCATCATGGTCTTGGCTTTCCACAGGCATAGGCTCCGGGCTGGGCTCGAGAGACTTTTCCAGCCCGAGAGCATGAATGATGTTGTACATGGAGTGGAGATTCCCATCACTGTCTATGAAGGCTGCTCCGATGATGGTGCCTGCAGCGAGCTTGATCTGCATCGGATCGACATTGCGCCGCGCTATGGGCCTCCTGAAAACGGAGGCTGACAAGATAGCCTCAGATATGCTCTGATTCAGCTCAAAGTCGGGACTCCTCAGAATTGCGATAGGGGACGGAGTAGGTGGACCGGCGTATGAGTGACTATGGCTCCAGCTGTGGCTGCTCGTGCCAGGTCGGGCTGCGGCTGTGCGCATCATCGTTAACACAGAGGATGCGACATTTAGCAGTACCGCGCTGCCACTGCGCGAGAACCGAGGGTCATCCGGTCTCTCGCCGAGTGCCCGAAGAGCATCAGTGAGATTTCGGGTATTTCGAAAGGAATAGCCCAGCTCACGCTGCAACTCCATCAACCTGACATGTCTCATGGCTATCGCTCGATCATGGCACCCAGATCCCACAAGGAGTTTGTCGATTTCTCCGGCAGAACAAGATCACGAGCCTAGAGAGATTTGGAGTGAGCCAGATGGCATGGTGTTTTCAGAACAATTTATAGCGTGACCAAGACGAGACATGTGCTGCTGAGGAGGTTGTTAGACCCATGAAGAGTCCTTGATTGTTGTTCCGCGGCGTCAAATCCGCTCACCGCTGTGGTATTTCCCCGCATCAGCCAATCTGCCAGAGGAATATCTTACCGCCTTTCACGCGCCTTCCACCGCCTCGAGAAAAATGGGTCAGCCTATCACGTGCCAGGAACAGGGGCGAGCGGGATCTCAAAGATGTGGAGCGCGACCCGCAATGCTTCGGAACTCTCAGCCTTCCCCACAAAGTCCAAGTCGGCAAACAGCCGCGTCGCAGATCATCCTTAGGATGAAAAGGTCGCCTATAGTGTTTGAAGGTCATAGTACGCCGCTTAAACCTCTCATTGCATTGACTGGCCCGAAGGGCGGCACCCACGGCCGTACACTGCTACTGTTGCTCGAACCAGCCACAACGCGACCAGAGGATCCGAATTACTAACCAACACGCTTGAGTTGCCTTATCTTGATTATGGAGAATCTCGGTCGCTGCCGAGATCACAGTTATTGACACGTGTCATGACTCCTGAGCTGGACAGTGGCCTGGCTCAAAACAACGTAACGTGCACCAACCCCGCCCCCAAAGCAACAATCGGCTGAACATGTTTGATGATTGGACCTTATCAATAGAGCCAAACACGATGGAATTTCCCAATAAGAACCTCCGTGCTAATGCCATTGCCTGATACTCGTTAACAGTAACCACCCAGCGAAACACCAAGCTCGGCCATCATATCTACCAGCCGTCACAAATTGAGGTTATACATCTTTATCACGAGAGGAATGAATTGACGGTCTAGGATACTCGGGATCATCACAAGTACAAGCGAAAAAGCTCTGGAACAAGTCGGAAGAAATGGTAGGCTGACCGGGCCGAGTATAGACTCTGAAGAGCTTCCGAGGGCCAAACAGGCTACTCTTTCAATGCATTCACGCGTTCACGCACGATGATGACCGAATATTTACCGCGAGGGTTGATCACTCAGCGAACCATGAAGAAGCCTTCTCTGCAAGCTGGGAACATCACCCCATCAACTCCACTGGCGACATGTCTCCTTTCCGATGCAGTTGTCTCGTTCCATCGAGCTCAGCGGGATACATATATGCTCTAGCAGCTGCACCCCTGGTTCCGTCAAGCTCAACAGGCCATTGAGTCCGCCGCCAGTCTCTTCTCGAACCCGGTCTCTGTTCATGATACAACACCGACACAGATTTGGTGGTCGCTTGCCGTCTTTTTTGACGACGGAAGATGTACAAAGCAGCCAGAAGAGCGATTACACCCAATACGCCGAGTCCTGCTCCTACCCCTATGCCCACCTTGATGCCTGTAGGGAGTGTGTGGGTAACCGTGGGTGGCGCTAGGGTGGATGTTGATGTGTTGTTACTGGTTGTTGATGGTGTTCCAGAGGAGCTGAAAGTGAATGAAAGCTCCGGTCCGGTGGCTATCGATGCTGTTGTGGCAGCGGCAGTGGCTGTAGGAGTCACAGCGTCATAGCGAATATTCCAACCGACCACAGCAATGGCACCGACAGTCCAGCTGCGCGTCAATGTGGTCGTCACGATCTTCCACGAGGTGGCTTCCCCGGACGGTGTCGAAGCGTACGTCAAGGTCATACCGGACGAGACGTCTGACTCACAATTCCCGTCAATCAGGGCAGTGTTCCCGTCGCCGATGTAGTACTGTCTAAGGGCATTTCAGCACGTTCTACTCAGCTACTCAACTAACACGAGACGAGACTCACGACGGACAGCACATCACCAACGTGCTAGAGGCATCTTTGACGGATGATTTCATTGTCGAAAACGCTTCCGGACAGGTGAAGGGGCCGAGACTGATCCGTGTGGGCAGTGTGCCTCCGTTCCCTAGAAGCCCTTGCTCCCACCATGTGGTTACCTCTGGGGCATCGCAGACAACGTCGGAGTTCACATCCAGCCCGTACCCCGGATCCCAGGCGACGAGACTGGGTCCATTGAGGCGGTAGATGCTTGCGCAACCGGACGAGGAAGGCCAGGCGGTAGTGAGTGGGAGGTAAGACGTGACGGTGCCACTGTTAGTCTCGGCGGGGTAGGATGTGATTGACATGATGAGAAGTCTGAAAGATCGACTGCAATCTGATTGTCGCGTTATCCGCAGCCTGTCTTTAGAAAAGGCACAGGTCCACGCGGCGTCGGAGAATAACAGGCAACATCTAGAACGGCATCAAGAAGAAGCTTGAAAGGACTGGGAGTCGTGCCAGAGCGTTGACTCGAGATTAGTACTACTCCCCCCCTATGTTACTTGTTGAGTCGAATGCTCTATCTTGCCGCCCGCATACTGACGCTAGACCTACCCCTGCTGTCCCCCTGTCAAGGCCACGAGGAGGACCAATGCACATGGTATAAGGTCTCAACACGCGCCCTAACGTTCAACAAGCGCCGCTAGCAAACAAGCGTTGATATAAATAGGCTTATGGTAAACTAGCCTCGTTTCTTTCTCTCAGTTCACCAATATTACACATGAATGGCCTGGGATTCGCGACCTCTCCAGTACAATGCTTAGGACGCCGCCGACTGCCTATATACAAGAAGGCAAAAAAGGCAAGAAGCCAACCCACAATTAAAAAGGCTTAAACAATCAAAATCCCAAACCAACCGCATCGACTGCGAAAACATCTGTGAAATGCGCCCGTACCTTCTCGCACAATCCCCGTTTTCCCTCCCACGACTCAAATACCTCCTCCATCTCGCAAGCCACAGCAACTGTCTCCTCCCAGAACACCCTCTCCGCATCAAAGCCAACTCGAGCTAACGCCTCAGGTGGATACGTCCACAACCTGGCCGGCCGTCCGTCCAACCCTTTCAGCTTCCTCCCCAGCAGCTCCTTTCCCGGATTGAACTCCGGATTGCCAGCGTGAATGAAGAACGCCCGCGGAGCACTCCCATTTTCTCCGCCCGAACGGACCTTCGCGTAATCCTGTATGGGGTCTGCCTGAATGAACCCCGAATTGAGCGCCATCGTCGACTTCCCACCCGTGTTCATCCGACCTAGGTCCACCGGGGGCGCGCGCACCGCGTAGAAGTCCGCGTCCAGGGCGGTCGCAGCATGGAGGAAGGTATCCTTATCCCCTGCGCCCGGGGCACCCTGGCTGAGGATGGGGTAGTAGAATTCCGGACCGTAGAAGTTATAATACACAGCCAGGAGCAGCATATCGAAGTGCGACCTCTTCGAAAGGAGAAGCATACCCGCTTCGCTCGCCGCCCTCGCCCTCGCAGTCGTCGCGTCCAGCTCCTCCCGCCGAGAGACCTCGAAATAAATTGGACTGGCGGTGTCAGCCCAGAAATCGGGCCAGCTCACCAGCCCTTTTGTCGCGAAGGGCTCAGAACCAAGCAGCGGAGCTGGATCATGCAGCGGGACGCAGTCCGCGTCCAGCCAGAGGACATCCTCGAACGAGGAGAAGAGCATCGCCAGGGCCTTGAGCTGGAAACCGATGATGCGCTCGAAGTCCAGATCCGGCGTGAGGTCGGAGAGGAGAATGCATTTCGCTCCCAGCGGAGGCAGGATGGTCTCGCACACGGTAGCCTCGTACTCCGTCGCGTCCTTCAGGAAGACCTCGACGGGGAGGGTGGAGCCGGTGCGCCGGAGGAGCTTGAGGGTTACCGTGAAGGCGGGGAGGTAAGTTCCTCCGCCTGCGGTGACGATCCCTCTTGTTCCGGGGTTGTATGCGGATTCGAAGTTGGTGTGGCGGATGGCGCGGACGAAGCTGTCGTGTGCGGCCTGCATTGGGAGTAGAATATCTTCGCTGTTGAGGATGTAGTTCTCGCGAGGGAGGGGGTTGGTGGCGTCGAATCGATGGGTGCCGGCTGTGCCGTGGAGGATGGGGGGTGGGCAGTTCGGGGCATGTTGGGTTAGTAGAGGGTGGAGCTGATGCCAGAGCTGCGATTGCCGGTGTTCAAGTGTCCGTTTCGGCTTGGTGGGCAGTTTGTGCCAGACGTAGCAGATGTTGAGGATGAAGAGGAGGGAGGCGAGAATCGTCCGGCGGGGAGTGGTCATTGCATTGATGCTGGCCGAAGACAAAAAGGGTGGAAGGCGAGTTGGTGATGTTTACCACAGCCGCAGCCATTGTTGAAATGTGTGTGTTAAAACAATATTCGTAGAAGGGTTCAGGTGGCTATTTTGTATTGTGGTTCGTCCTGCTAACCGCTGGGCTATTCAAGGGCCGCCAGTAAGAACACCCCTACAGGCGCTCGAGGCAAGCCAGATGCCAAACCCATGGAATGGTGCCGATCGAACCAAATGAGCTTGAAAAGGAGTAGAAGCCTTGGTTCCTTCATAATTCCGCGACATCTCTTTCCCTTATGGGCACTAAAGGTAGAGAGAGTACGGAGCCTTATACCTGAATTTCCCCGCATGAGAGGTGGCACTTCAGCTGGGAGGTCTAGCCGCCAACAACAAGCCACTGATTATTGATACTTGTCTTAGCAGTAAGACTACACTATGCTGTTTAGAAGGTTCACTGGTATCATTATTCAATGACCATTGAAGAGGGTCACTGGTATAATTATCCACGTGTCAACTCTCTGCAACCACAATCAAGAGGAATGGTCCAATCCCTGCCATAAGACACCGCCGGAGTACCAGACGGATAACTAATCATCACACCTTCACGCGACCGGATCAGCCAAGCGTGCAGCCATCTGACTCGTCGGTGACCCTGCAGATGCAGCTGCAGCTGATAAGTCGCTGGCGACAGACCAATGGAATGGGAGGGTGCTATCCCACTGGACGGAGGTTCCCCGCTCGATTGCTCCCCGGGTCCTTGTGGAGTCTGCTTATCTCCCATCCCCGGTTGTCGGTTGGCTGTATTTATTGCAACATGCCGCCATTTCCCCCTCTCTGAGAAAACCTCATTCAACTTCCCCAGTATAATCGTGAGCCAGTTTCCTAGAATGGGAACCGCCTACTCCAAGCCCGCAGCTACTCCCAGCGAGAAAACTGCCTCATCCTTTGCACAGGTCTACACCGATGAATCCCCGCAATCTCGTACGCTTTCCCCAACCCAACACTACAATGACAGACCATGTCTTTAACAGTGCCAACTCCAGCACCACCCTACCAATTCCCCGATGACGACCTCGAGCCCGAGGCAGAGCGCATCCCGACGCTATCCCTTTCCAACCTGAAATCCTGGAACGAGTCCCTCCTCCGCGATCCCAAGGTACGTCCTCCCCTCCCCCTCCCCCCTCCCCCTCCCCCTCCCCCTGCTCCTCACCTTCACCCTCATCCCCCAAACCACCCAACTAACACCCACAGAACCGCCTCGCAATCACCACCCTCTCCAGCCAACCCTACCCCGAACTCCTCACCAACCGCACAACCCTGCACACCACCTCGCAACACATCTTCAACCTGCGAATCCCCGAAGAAGGCGCCCCAATCACGAACCAACGCTCCTCCGGCCGCTGCTGGCTGTTCGCGTCGACCAACATCTTCCGCCTCCCCATCATGCAAGAATACAACCTCCGGGAGTTCGAACTCTCGCAAGCCTACCTCTTCTACTGGGACAAGCTCGAAAAAGCCAACTGGTTCTTCGAGCAGATGCTCGCCACAGCCACCACCGAGGATCTGTCGGGGAGACTCGTGCAGAAGCTGCTCGAGGACCCCGTCACCGACGGCGGCCAGTGGGATATGGTCGTCAACCTCGTCCGGAAGTACGGGCTCGTGCCGTCGACGGTATACCCGGACAACTACAACGCCATGAACAGTAGCCGGATGAATTGGTTAATTACCGCCAAGCTGCGCGAGCAGGGGCTTGTTCTGCGGAGGCTGAAGCGCGAAGGTGGCGGACGAGGCGTGGCGGAGGCGAAGACGCGGTTCCTCAAGGAGATTCACTCGTTGGTGACGATTCTGCTGGGTCCGGCGCCGAGTCCGGACGAGCGGTTCGTGTGGCAGTTTTATGATGCCGCCGGGAAAGCGAGGACGGTGCAGGTGTCGCCGAGGGAGTTTGCGGGGCGGGTGAGTACCGAGACCGCGGTGCGGAAGCTCGGCGGGAGGGTGTCTGTGGCTCCCGCTAGGTTGTTTAGCTTGGTGAACGATCCCCGGAATGAGTATAATCGGTTGTTGACGGTGGAGCGGTTGGGGAATGTGCTTGAGGGAAGGCCGCTGACGTATGTTAATGTCGAGATGAAGGTATTACCCCCCCTCCTGCCTCCTCCTGTTCTTCGTTGTGTGGGAACATGCTGACAACCACCAGATCCTGAAGAACGCAGTCATCGCCATGCTCAAAGCAGGCCACCCCGTCTTCTTCGGCTGCGACGTCGGCAAATCCTCTGACACATCTCTAGGCGTCATGGACGCGGACCTGACCGACCTCGCCCTCGCGTTCAACGTCTCCCTCGGGATGAGCAAGGCCGAGCGTCTGGCCAGCGGCGAGTCGGCCATGACCCACGCCATGGTCATCACGGGGGTGCATCTCGAGGACGACGGCACGCCCGTGCGTTGGCGCGTCGAGAACTCCTGGGGCGAGGCCGCCGGCCAGAAGGGCTGGTTCGTCATGACCGATCGCTGGATGGACGAGTATACCTTCCAGGCGGTGGTGGACGCGGAGTTTGTCTCGCGCGAGGTCCGCGAGATCCTGGAGCAGAGCCCCAAGGTATTGCCGCGGTGGGATCCGTTGGGGGTTCTTGCGTGATGGCTTCAAAGGTAGGGGTATGAAGCTGTGGGGTGATGTATACAAATTTAGTTGTTTGCTGGTATTGCATGGGCTGAGATTATAGCATAAGTATTCTTCCAGGGTGAACTCATACATCTCGTATAAAGCCGGGGCTGGGTTCTCAGCACCCAATGACACTCGCATAGGTACTGTGCATGTCCGGTTGAACTTGTGCGTCAAGTGAGACCCCCGAAATATTCAAAACAAATTCGACCATACTAGTGGAGTTCACGGCATTATCGGTAGAGAAGGATTTAGTCTTGAAGCAGACGGCATGACCATTGATATGACCCCGAGCCGCTGCACCTGGGTTGATTCATGGTCGAGACATGTCGCACGATGATCTCCTTCTGGGCATTTTGGTGATGAGTTCTCGTGCTGTCGAAACACAACCAGTAGGATCAAGGTCAACCGCTTTTCTCACCGCCCTCGTAAATGAACAGGCCGATTAACCACAACATCCCACCCGGGAAACATATATACAATTCAAACAGCTAAACCCCCAACAAACTCATCTTCAGACAGGATGCAACCACAAACTCACCTGCTCATTCAACCGATACTGAGAACAACCTGAACGCTAAGTTAGCAAAGAACAATCCCAGAGAATTGCCTCACCGGCAACGTAAGACGTACTCCTGAGGCCCTCATTCTCGAAAAAACATCTCTCTTCAACTCAACGGCAGTACCTCCACCACGGGCAAATGCCTCCGCTCGCAGCCTACACTGCACAAAGCAGTGACGATTCACAGGATCATTGTCGCTACAATACACCGCGACATCCACGCTCAAGTCAGCCTCCATCCGGTCATGACCAAACCCGAACGCTTTCCGCGCCAAGTTCCGAATCCCCTCAACCACCGCACTCGCCAAACATGGACCGCCGGTCGACAAGGCAATCACCCTAACTCGGCCCCCACGAATCGTGAAACACTGCGAAACAAGTTTCTGATCATCATACCACAGCAGATCCACAAACTATTCCCACATGTAAGCATCAACATGTCCATCAACATATCCATCAACATGTCTATCAACTGACGCCGTCATATCGCTCACATGCTTCGACGTGTGCTTGCTATCGACAACTCTGACACGGGTGAAAGACTCGACACCACCCGAGGCGTCTGCCTTAAGAGCCGTAGACATACTAGCACTCACTCTCCGGACAAACACAACCGCAATGTCAACCCATGGGAAGGAACTTCAAAAATTTCTCCATAATGAAAGGAGGGAGGGCCCCTTCCTTATACTTATACCCCCAGAAGCGGCCCGGGGTACTGAGTGGAAGTGACAAGGCACGCTCGACGTGGTTGGTTAATGGAATTCTTGTGCTAACCACTTTTTTTATCAAAAGAGTGTGCGGCCTTCGGCCCGCAGAATCGCTATATGGGTATCATTCTTTCTCTTCCACTGTATTCACTCAGGTGGTATAAATAGGCGTTCGTTCACCAGTCCCTTTGTGCCCCAGAAGAATTACCCACTATCAAGTTTATAAACATATCGCACATGAAAGAAATTGTCCCTTCAAATTCTCTAGTAATATTGTCTCTTCTCTATGAGTCTATCTACGGAGACTATCATTGCTCTTTTGGCCTTGCTGTTGGCCTGTGTCCCCGGTTTATGGTTCATCATCAAGCACAACGCTAGCATCCGCCGATGGTGGAGCAGTGATCAAGGTATGTACTGTACAAAGCCCTCTTAAACACACTTGTCAGTCCCAACACGAAGGCAGCGGTTCGGATAGTTTCTACAGTCTCGGCTCGTCCCGCCGAACCCCCCACCTCCGATCCACCCACCCGCAAACCATACTGCCATTCTTCAACCCCTTCGATCCCATCCTATACCGATCCAGTTCCGCCCGAGCAGGGTCCATGCCCCGACAATCAGAAACGACCTTTATCCTCTACCGGACGGTAAGTCTCTTTGCCACCTCATCTAATGCATGGAATGCATACTTTCCACTGGTACTCATTCTCTCGACGAACCATTGAACAGATCGTCGACATGGTCCCAGACACGGAGGAGCCATGTTGGCGTCATGGCCTTTTTCGGTTTATTTGCTATCTTCTATCTCTTCTTCTCGTTCTTCTCGCAGTTTTCTTTTCCCTCTCTTTTTTACACATTTTTTGCACATTGTAGATCAAGAACACCATAGATAACAAGCGGAATGATATAACTTTAGTTTCGCTTGATTTGTCAACTAAGCGTTGCACATTTGATCAGCACAAACTCTCTACCACGGTAGTAGTGAATGAACTATGGATTAACTTTGGTGTTGAGTCAGACTCTGACACAGAATTTGCAGTCATAGTGAGGTGAGGTAGACACAAAGTGTTAGTGTTACGGAGTTCTCACCCGCGACCTGCGGTTTTTTTGGCTTCGTTCCATCCTTCCTTCTTCTATCTTCCCTCCTTCCAACCTGCGTTTTCTTCCTTCCTCCTTCTATCTCACCTACACAGTCTACGCCACACATCAACCAGCACAACCACCACAATCTATCTCACTCGCTCTATCCTGTGAGCTTTATCTGTCCTGCCTGGTTCTGTCCCCTTGAGTCCGTCACCTGAATTCTATCCCTGGGAAAAGTGTAACTTCACCGGAATTTCATATCCCCGACTTGTGAGATCTCCACACAGCCTAGCAGCCATGAGTAATCTGAGGCCAGTGCACTCTCGCATGACGCGGGCCCAGTCTCGTCATCTTATGAACCTGAAAACGTTCAGCAACGACCTCCAGGAGGCCCTCAATAACGCTCAACCTTCAGGTGGGAACTTCAAAAGCGTGGAGGTCCTAGCACTCAGATTCGAGAACGATACGATGGGGGTGGACGTTCTCGAACAAGAGCTTCTTGATGTTTTCAAGTCTGTTTACCATTACAACACGTCCACATTTGTGATCCCCTCGATTCACTCCGCAGCCCATCTACATCAGCAGATAATCAATTGGAGTTTGGACCGGGCTCATCAGGAGACCTTGAGAATCTACGTGTATTCCGGCCATGGGGCACCCGCTGGGACAACTGACATGGCCTGGTGGATTGGGTATATTGCATCACAGCTCTTCCAGGAATATTCTATGTACTAACTGTCTGTTCAGTGGCCAGGTTGACGCAAATGGAAATCTCCGCGGCCCGCGAATGAACATCAAAGCCTGTCTCTTCCCCTGCGAGCAATTGGACGGTGATGTGCTATATATTTTCGATTGCTGTTCAGCGGGATCGATTGCAATGAGTGAGGGCCCCGAAGCGTTGACGGCATGTGGGTGGGAGCAAAGCAGCTCCGCAATCCTAAACTGGTCTTTTACTCGCGCTCTTATCGACACATTGCGAGACATTGGGGGCAGCCCAGCCACTGTCAGCCAGATTTTTGCGAGGCTATATCGTTATTGTCACCAGAACCAAGTCGGTGCATGCCCACTCCATATCCCAAAGATTGGAAGACCGAGCATCACCTTGAAACCACTACAGAGTGCACTGACCTGCCCGATTCAATCCGCGAGAGGTCAAGATCGAGTTCTTTTGAGCATCAATTTGAGCGGAAGCCCATCGGTGCCAAATATCGACCAATGGCAGCAGTGGCTAACTACTAATATTCCGGCTGACGTTCTGGGTGTAGAAGTGAGAGTTGAAGCAGCGTTCGGTGGCTCATGCCATCTTCTCGTTACAGTACCAGTTGAAATTTGGACTATGCTGCCTTTCAGAGACAACTATCATTTTGTGGCTCATGTTACGTCCAACAACATTCTTCCAACTAGCACGCGTTTGCCCCATCGTCCGGCTGCGCCATCAGGGCGCGAGAATCAACCTCTTAGCCCAGGACTAGAAAAGCAAATGCGGTGACGTTCCGAGTTTACGCTAAACCGTCGAGGCTCCATAGCAGGATTAATTCGCGGAACTGAATGATCTGAAGATTCATGGTTTGATACATCATGGGAATAGTGGAGGGAATTATGGTGCGCTTGGGTAAGGGTTGTCTTGCTATTTTCGCAGACATTGTCGGTTAGTTGCTTTTGCTGAATACATTGCTTTCGACGAGAAGGCCCTCCATCCCAGAGTGTGCTTTTCCTCAATCGGCATGTTGTGTAATAGCTAGCTCAAAATATGATATGTTTCTTACGTACAAGGATCTCGCAAATTCCTACATCACCAATCCTGGTAAATCGGTTCTATGTACATCTTCTTTTCTACAACGCCACTTTGATTCTTTGTCCCAGCACACCCTCACACCCGACAAACTTCTTTATCTCGTGCTCAAGAACAAAGATTCCACCCACTTTCTTGACAACCTCCCATCATTCACATTATTTAAATGAAGCTCGTTGTTCGCACAAAGAACCCAAAATAGCACCACAGAACCCTCGCAACGAAAGTAAAACATCGCATACTTTTCTCCCACATTGACATACATCGCTATCGCAACAAGATTCACAACATAACCTCTACCCCACATCATCGACAACCTATTTCTCTCTACACTCAACACGCATACTGCAGATCAGTATTCCTTCATCATCAACACGTTATCGTTCTGGATTCAAACGATAAAACATCATAATCTATTCCTCTCATTTCCGCTCATCTCATCTTTTCCACTCGCTTGTTTACCTAAACGTACGCGTCGCTGAATCTTCACTCTACACTGGATCCCCGAGATCCGACTCAGTGGATATTTTCAACCTCCATCACAACCCAGAAACCAGGCGTGTTTACACGTCAGATACCCACCCATCACACTCCCAAATCGAATTCTTTCTCGGTCACGAAGAGAGAAAAAAATGGCTCGTCCATCAAAACAGAAACGCGCCGCGAGAATGCGGGCGTACCTGAGGTGCGCGGCACTGCAGAAGCAGACACAGTCGCCCCAGCACACAGAAACACGGCCTTCTACAGAGGAAGGGATGCAGCTTACGAATGAGGATGAGTTTCATACACCGATGGACGATGGGGATCATATGCCTGTGGACAGGTCTGCTCAGCTTTATGGGGCAGACTTTGCTAACGAGGGTGGACTTTCACGAACTTCGAAGCAAGTAATGCAATCTTTGAATGATGCCAACGTCACAGAGGGAGTGAGCGTCCCCGCAACACAGTATGAGGCAGAATTCTCGGATGAGAACGAAGGTCCACAGTTCTATACACAAAGTACACAGCCTACCAACGATGCTAAGGAAGAGACCACAGATGAAGTGAGCGTGCTTGGTAGACAGCGCGAGAACCCCGCGAGCGATGATGAAACTCAACAACACGCAAACCAATATACCGATGGTTCGAAGCAAATCAAGGACGAGACGACCATGGCCACCTCACATGAGACGAACCCCACCACCCACAATCCTCTACAAACCATCAAGCAAGAGACACAACCTCCAACAGACACCGAAGAAACCACCGAGCGAGTAAGCATGCTAGCAAAGAAGCGCAGAAAGCGCCCAGTTCCAGCACCACAACCCGCCCCGGATCCCACACCACCAACTAAATTCACATCACCACCGACCCTCACTCACCCCAAGACCCGACGCACAATCGCCGACCCACATCCCCCAAAAGCCCCAAAGCGCAAAGCCTCAGAACCCGCCGAGACCATCGACCTAAGCTCGCCCAAGAAACTGAGCCCGAAGAGACACAAAGCCCAAGTCGCTCCAGAGATCATCGATCCATATTCATCCAAACCCGCTCCAAAAGAGTACGCCCAGAGGCCAAGCTCCAAGAACCTCCGGAAGCGCAAGCCCGTCGACCCGCCCAGGACGATCGATCTCTGCTCCCCGAACAAACGCGCGCGGAGCTTGGCGCCTACTTCGCCTCGCAGGACCAGAAGTTATACGAAGCGAGCTACCCACCAGCCACAGACAGAGGCCAAACCCAACAAAGACTCCCAGAAGAGGAAGGGGGGAAGACGGGTGGAGTGGGCGGACCGGGACACCCGCAAACAAACCACCGTTGCCCGCCAGGACTCGACACACATCAAGACCGAGGCACAACCGCACAGAATCCTGCGTGATAAAAGCCAGATCCGGAAGCCAGCACACTCCGACTCCCACTCCCAGCCCAAGGCCCAAGTAAAGATGCAGCGCGAACCACCCCAAACCCCTTCCCCCGAGGTCGAGAACGCAACCCCCTTCTACACTCCCCTGCAACAAGCCCTCCTCTCCCAAACCCAAGCTGTAACCAACGCAACATACGAGGTCCTCGAACGCCGCCTCGCCAACACACAAGCCACCGCCGCGCGTCGCGCCCGCACAACTCTGGACACCGCAACCGAAACCAACACCGACCCCGAAACCGAAACAGACACCGAAACCGACACCGACATCGACGCCGCGCACGACCCGATCCCGCCCCTCCCGCTGGGCCGGGTCCTCAACGTCGCGAAATACCTTGACACTAACATCCTCTCCCGACTGACGCAAACCTGCAAAGCCCTGTACCGCAAACTAACCCAAGAACTCCAACTCCGGCAAGACACGACCTCCATCCCGGACAGCGCCTGGCAAACAGAGATCCGGCTGGGCCTGAGCGACGCCGAAGGCCGGCGGACCGTCGAATGGCTCCCGGGGACCGGATACTACCCCGGTCCGATGGAACTCGCTACACAGCACGGACGGGTGGACAACGTCCGCGCGTACCTCCTCATGGGCGCGGACCGTAACTGCCTGAACGCGTACGGCATCCGTCCGCTGCGCTGGGCCGTCGCCACCGGCCAGCTGGGGATTGTGCAACTCCTCCTGGAAGACGAAGCCGACCCGAACCTACCGGACGAAGACGGCGCGGGGGGCGCCTTGGCAGGGCCATTCGTAGGCCAGGGATCGGAGATCGAAGCGTTCATCGAGATCCTCCTCGACGGCGGGGCGCAGGTGGTGAGCATGGACGCATTCGAGAACCTGTGCCACTCGCGCAAAGCAGCGGAGTACCTCAAATACGCGATCGCGAACGGCAGCGCGCTCGGCCGCCTGCGGGGCCCCGCGGGGACAACAGTCCTCCACGTCGCGGCGCGGATGGGCCACAAAGCCATCGTGAACATCCTGCTCCACGAGACCGATGGGCTCGCAATCGACGCCGTCAACGACCACGGCCAGTCCCCGCTCCACTTTGCGCTGCGCGACGGCAACGAGGAGACGGCGCTGGCGCTGATCGATGCCGGCTGCGCGCTGAATCTCCTCGATCACTTTAACAGGGATGCGCTGGCCCTAGCGATCGAGAAGGGGTACGCGGAGGTCGTGCGGGCGATGCTCGATGCCCCTGAGGAGGCCGGGGTGGATTTCAGGGCCACGAGGAAGTATGGGCACCGCCCGTCGGCGGAGATGACGCATCTTGAGGGCGCGTTTTTGTATCGGAGGTTCGGGATCATGAAGCAGTTGCTCATCGGGAGGGTGCATGCGGCGGATGAGGCGTTGCAGAGACGGTGTCGCGAGTTGGCGAGGACGGATCCTACGTATGGGGAGTTGTGTGAGGATGTGTCGTTGCTCATGGGGAGTAGTATGTTGGGGTTTGATTCGGAGGAGGCGGGGACGGAGGTGGCGGAGGAGGAGGAGTTGTGATTTGGGTGGGGTGGGGGGAGGAAAGAGGGAAGGGATTGGACACGACCAGCGGGAGGATTTTGGAAATAGAAATTGGGGAGGGACTAAATACGACCAGCGTCAGGGTTTTGTGGGGGGGTAAAAGATACGACCATCGGGAGGATTTGGGATAGAGGCCGAGTGCATATGGTTTGGAGTTACTTGTTAGTGTTGAATTCATATCTAGATTAGCGCTGCTGTTAGAAAGATAATGAAGTTGAACATACATCCACCCAAAGAACTACTCCCCTCGTAAGAAGTAGAAGTCAGAAGCCAAAAGTCAGAAGACCGTCAATCATTATTCACCCCCATCTATACAAGACGAGTGAAGATATGTATGCAATGCAATGCAGTATGTACCGTATGTACCTTCCCCCCGATCGAGGTCCAAGTCCAGGTCCAATAGCCCGACCACCCACTCTCCTTTCCCATCCCCCATGTATCAATAATCCCATCAAACCAAGATCGAACCCAAAAAGCGAAGGAATATCACAACCCCCGCTTCTCCGCATCATGATCCTTCCCACCGACCACCACCTCCTCCGTCGTCACGCCCCCCACATCCCTCGCATTCAAGTAAACCTCGCCCTCCTCATCATCAACCGCCGCCTCCCACCCCAGCTTCTCCGCCCGAATGCGCTTCTGGTTCGCGGTGGGCCACACCCAGCAGATGGCAAAATAGCAGACGAAGGCAGTCACAAAGGACAAGATCCAGCCGAGGTCGCCCATGCGCGTAGCAGTAGTCGACACGGGCGCGCCCAGCGAGCCCACGAAGCCCGGGAATGGGAAGGCGATGCCGATGATGTAGGCGATCACGGCCTGGACGTTCCACCCTTTCAGGTAGTAGTAGCTCTTGTTGAGCGAGGTGCCGTCGTACAGGGCGGGGATGAAGATGTTGCCTTTTGTGAAGCAGAAATCTTTGCAGTATATTAGCATGGTTCTGAGGGGGAGGGTGAGGGGTATGAGGGAAAAGGACGTACATTCACAAACCATGATGGCAACCACACTCCCCATGAACAAGGCGTACCCCGACAAGAACGTCTCGAACTTGGTCGCCGACGCCAGGATCTCCCACGGACACACCGCCCAGGCCAGCGTGTGCACGATGTACTGACCGCGGCGCATGTTGATGAACCGCGGGAACAGCATGGACGAGTCCGCCCCGAACGAGATCATGTTGGCCGCCACGTTGGTTCCCAGGATCTGCACCAGCCAGGCGAAGGCGGCCAGAAACACGGCGAACCGCGTCGTGCCCGACCAGTAGCGGTCCAAGATGAATTCCATCAGGTCCCATTGGTTCCTGTCGGTCGTTAGTAAATTCTCAGCTGCTGGGGGGTTTGTGACTGGCTCACCAGATGGAAGTGCCGTATTTGTTGTTGATGGCGGACGTAGCTAAAATACCCAGACTCGCGGAGAGGGTCGTCGCGATCGGGTTGGAGATCAGCTGCGTCCACAGCGGGGCGTTCTTCGTCTTCGCCCAGCGGCAGTAGTCCGGCTGGTTGGTGATCAGCGTGGCGGTGTTACTTTGCGTCTGGTTAGCCCTGAGCCTTTCTCTTGGAGTAAGGGCACTCACCCCAAGCCACTGTTGATCCCCGAGATAATCAACCAGGCCATCGCCGTGGTCGACTTGCTGTCCTGCGTGTACACCGACCCGATCTTCCCGCCGGTGTTCACCATGGCGAAGATGAACAGCCCGAACATCGCCGGCAGCGAGATGAAGGTCTTGAAAATGAAAAACCCGCGCAGCTGGTACGGCCGGAAGTGGCAGAACGGGAGGTGCACCATCCAGCACAGAAACAGCGCCAGCATCTGCTGCGTGGTGATGTGGGCGCTCGCCGGCAAGTGATTCGGGATGTCGGTGAAGTGGTGGCCGAAGATCGCCCGGAGGATGTTGAACATGTACTCGGCGCCGTAGTACACTGCTGCGCGTTAGCGGTGGGTGGTCTCGCCCCAGATCGGCGGGTACGTACACTGCACGGAGTACCAGACAATCGCCAGCACCGCACGCGCCCCGACGAAGTAGAAACTGCCCCACATGCCGAAGACACTGCGTCCCACGCAGGGGAATCCGATGTGGTACACGCTGGCCGCGCGCGAGTTGAAGGCCATCGCGATCGAGGAGATCATTTGGGAGACGAAGATCACGATGATGGATTGCCACCAGTTAAGGCCAATTCCAATCATACTCTGCTGCGGTCAGAGGCTGTCCGTGATGGTGCTCAGGGCTGAGGCGAAACGCTTACCGATCCCAGAGTCCAGTTGGTGAACGAGATGGACCAGTAGAAGGAAACATAGTTCCACCAACGCCAGGCTAGGGTGCATATTAGCCCTGGCTCCCAACGTCAACACCCCGAGAAACAACTTACTGCACTGCTCCGGGGGAGTGGGTAGCAGATCTGCAGGAAGGCCAAGTCAACAACAGGCGTCGCGTGCGCGGGCAAGTAAAGAAGTCCAACCTTCATTGGACCACCGCGAATCCCGGCTGGAGTCCAGCTCGAGGGCGGAGACGATTCTCGTGCCGACCTTGGCCATGATTGAGGTTGGTGATAGATACTGGGAAAGACGACAAAGGTAGCAGTCCCCCCAGGCCCAAAAATTTGGGAGGGGAGGAAGAGGGAGGAGGAGAGAGAAGGAGGAAACGTCACGGCGTGGACAGGATTTTATTCACAGCGGGAGTGGAATGAGGGCAGCCAAGCCAAGAGAGGGCAGGGAAAATTGAAGTGGGGTGCGTGGTGTATGGCAGTGGGGCGTTTGACTAGCTTTAATTCACTTTGGGTGGGTGAGACGATAACAGCGAAACCAGAGCAGTGGACCGATGGGGGGGGGGGAGAGTGGGTGTGTGTGATAAGAGGGTTTTCCGCCACGCAGACTGGCTGCAGCCCTGAGTTACCCAGTGGTGCAGTGGCGGAGATTACCCAAAGGAGAGTCGTGTGGTGATAAGCTCTGCTGCGGTGGATTCCTAAGGTTGCAACCCTATTTGGCTCGCCGGTTCTTCTTAGTCACAAATCTACTGTTCAGCCTATAAGTGTGGACGGCGGTGTTACGCTAGACCTCAAGGGATAAGAAGGCACACGCGCACCGAATCTAGCCTGATTCTCCCGGATCGACGTGAAGTCTGGCTCATGGGTCGATGCTATGCTATTTTCATCCTCACCGGACAGCCTCCGAACAGGTGGCAATAAAGTTCAGTGAGACAGATAATATATACGGAGTACTCTAAAAGACATATGGAGGGAAAAACTGGAGATAAAGCAAGTCTGGTATCCCTGCAGCAGGATCAAGCAATATCATATCAAAGAAGAAGGTTGCATCAGCAGATATCAAGGTTTTTTTTCTGATCCTTCCGGCACGGTTCGTGGAAGGTTTTTGGTGCGGCCAAGGGGAGGAAAAGTGGATCGGGAGGGCAGCCCGCTTGCCAATCACCTGACTGTGTGGAAGGCAATCCCAGCCACACACGCGGATTCGCCGAGGATAGCCTCAACTCCTCTGCCCCGGAGCAGGAAGATCCTTCACCCGACTGTGCTGCCTTCGCTGCTGGAGCCGCCATGACTCTCTGTGATATCAGTGTCCACCCGACTTCGCCATCCCCGAGGTTCCCCCGAGTCATGTAGCGTGATCAACAGGTGTGAAAGAGTGTCTGACAAGCTTTCCTCCGATACTCCGTAGAAATGATGGCCAGGTAGGTTACCAGGAGGGCAACGACCACAGCAGTCATGTTTTGGACGGTCACTGCGATAACACTCGCTTGAGTTTGCCCCAAGGGTCAGCCTGCTGGGGCTGGGGTGACAGTGGGAGACACTTGGCACCATGTTCTGGGCTAGATCAACTAGTCTCCCGGCTGTCAGTCATTTTCGAGAATCCGACTAAGAGTTCTAGCCGGCATCTTGGCACTTCACCCACGGCCAGAAAGCGTTTGCTCCAACCTGGAGATAAGACATATGATTGACTAATCAACCCCAGGGTTGCACTGCAGCGGAATGAGGTTGATGGGAGATCCGTGCTTGGGTGGCCACCCAACGCCGCCCGACTCGAGTAATCGCTGATCGCTTTAGCTTGGAACGGTGGAAGCTGGTGACTGCTCTCGGGAAGTATCCTCTTCTCACCCCTCAACAATCAGGACAACTTTGACTATCGCTTTGCGGAGTTCATGTTGACTCATCAACTCCGCCCGGTCAGACACGTTGAAATCCAGGCTGGACTCGGTGGGCTCGGTGTAACCGACGGAGATAAGTACTCTATCAGTGATCCTGCAGGACAATAGAGCACAGAGACATTGTAGTCGGCTTACAAGTTGGGGCGGGGGATTCGCCATCGATGCTGCGATAGCTGCCTTGGTATCAATAAGACTGTACTCGCTTGACGGCGGACTTCGCCTAGGGACCTGAGGCTCCCGCAGTTGGGGGCGATAAGGCAGGAGGACAGGATTGACGCGACCAATGACCACCACGTTGGATTAGAGATAACTCAATCAACCTAATCGGCTGCTGTGCCACCTTGAAGCACTGGTGTCCTGTTTCTAACGCCGCTGGGAACAGACAAGACAAGCACCGAGTCACAAATCCACTCAATGCTCGCAGTATGCATGGGTCGTGCGTAATTGCTAAGCAGCGGCCGAAGTCAGGATACGAGCCTGTTCGTGGATGCAGGTTCGACTCCCGCCGCGCTCGTCGGTTCCTCTTCCCCTGACATCGGCGCCGCCTCGTGATGACCGGTCTTGACTAAGCTCGAGCGCGCAATCTTGAATCGACTCAGTCATCAGCAAGTGTCAACCAACTCACTTGACGAATCGTCCCTCGTCAGTTCACCGCTACAGCCCGGTTGGAGGGTTTGTTTGTTGTTTGAGCACGCAAGGACACCCTACATTGACAGATCCAATGCAATCTGCTTCACGTTGAAGTACATGAGCCCTACGTCTGGCCCTATCCCAGGAACCAGCGCCCAATCATAGTTCCCACTCACAGCACCCGCCAGCGATCGCAATCTTGAAGGCAAGTCTTCGTGGTTCAGCCGTCTCTAACGTGACAGTGCCAGGAGTATCATCTTTATTTCTGTGATATATCTCCGTTGTTGTACACACAAAGGACTCCGTAATGGCCCCCTTTACTTCACTTCCCTGGCGAGGTATTACTCGATCACCGCGAGGTAAAAGTACCACACCACCCCCCGAGGTCACAACTACCGGGCCTCCGAGCCACGGTTCGAGCCGGCGTGCTTAATTCCGACCCCAAGGATTCCCAGTTGGCCTTATTCGTCAAGTCATCTCCCCTGAACCATGACATGACGAATGCGAGCCCTGATTCTTGTTCACACCATCCGATTGTCACTAGGTCCAGCAGCGAAGTATATTGACCGGTCACGGTACAAAGCAGTTCAAAATGTGACCAAAAACAACACACTCCCCAGACCCATTCTACGGTCGGACTTTCGCCCATCGCGTCCATACAAGCCATCCACCCGCAAACATTCTTTGTCTTTACCGATGGCTGTGCCCGTCAATCGGGAGCCTCGAACAGCTCAACCCAGCGGAGATGAAATGAGATGAGATGAGATGAGATGGGCGGCCGTGATCGGATTAGATAAACGCCACCGATGGGGCGGGTCCAACGGACGCTTGTCCGTGCGGACCAAGGGATTGGCCCGGTTGGGAATTCGAGGTCAAGGGCGAGGGGAAATTGGACGGGGGCTGGCCCAAGACCCAGTGCGCAGTGGGGGACAGAAAGTAGGTCGGTCCTTGTCGATGGCTGTAGACTGAGTATGGGCGACTACACGAGTCGTGATCTTACCTAGCCTGCATTGCGCGCATTGGTGTGATGGGCCGCGGGGTCAGCGAAGACATGTTGACCCGGTACTGAAGAGGTAGTGCGGGAACACACAAAGAAAGCCTGTAGTGAGACGGCCACCCCATCGCATCTGCAGGGGCAAACCCTCATCAAAGAAACCTCGACCGCAATTGTGATGGATACTGTCAAAGAAAGAAAGAAAGAATCGAAGTCGGAAAAGTTTTCTAGCCCTCAGTGCCAGGCACACGTCGACTAGAAGTACATAGTAATTTCCAAGCGAGATCCAATGAGGGCTGCCGGTGGAATGACAGTCCCCCTGCAATCTCCACTTGGGCCAGGATCTGCCCGTTTGCCCGCTAATCGGATCCTCGCCTGTTGTTTCACATTAAATGTCCGATTTCCAATCCCAGCGCCTACTCCTCCAGAGGCGACTCCATTGATTTAATGACTGGCTTCGGCATTGGGCCAGGCACACACGCAATCCTCACGCTGGCGGGGACGAGTATAAAGACTCGATGGTCTGTCCCTGAGGGCCAAAAGCCCGGAACCCAGCGGGACTTCAAGAGCTTCTGGCAAGCGTCTTTTTCTTTCAACCTCTTTAACCTCAAGTCGTTCTTTTTCCCTTTACCTCCTGCAGTATGGTCTGGACCACCCCCTCTCGTGCACTCGGCGTGATGCTGAGCTGCATTGCCTTGCTCCCCGCGCCGGCCACCGCGGGCCACCATCAGCACGACCACCTGCACCGACGCCAGCATCACCACCAGGGCTACAGCGTCGGGCCCCCGATCTGGCAGACCAGGCCGCACGACAGCGAGACAGCTGCAGCGACTGTGGCAGCGACTGTGGTAGCGACCACCGCGATCCAATCTGTGATCCCGTCCGCCACTGTCGTCGCATCCTCCGCAGCAGCGGCCGCCTCTTCCGCGGCGGCAGCGATCAGCAGCCTGAAAGCCCAGGTCATTATTCCGTTCTATGTGTACCCGGATCCCGGCAAATGGACTCCCTTGTTGGACCTGTAGGTCTCCCCCCCGTTCTCCTCCTACCTCCAAAGACCCAGAATTCTAACGCAGCACAGAGTCGCATCCTTCCCCGACGTGCACTTCACCGTGATCATCAACCCCAGCAGCGGTCCCGGCACCAGCACCCTCCCGGACGCAGCTTTCCTAACCGCCGTCCCGAGCCTAACCGCAAACTCCAACGTACTGGCAATCGGCTACGTCCCGACCGAAAAGGGCACGCGGGCGACCGCCGACGTCGAGAATGACATCAACACGTACGCGAACTGGCCCAGCGCGTCGGGCAACAGCTCGTTCGCGGTGCACGGGATCTTCCTGGACGAGGCGCCCAACGCCTACAGCGCGGACCTAGTCAGCTACTACACGACGCTCTCGAATCTCATCAAGAGTAAAGACGGGCTTGGACCGGAGAACTACGTATGCCCCTTACCCAGCCAGCCACCCCTCCCCCCTCTCCTTATTCAGAATACTAATTTCCGGCAAGGTGGTCACCAACCCCGGCACCCCACCAGACAACGCCTACCTCGACCTAGCCGATTCCACCGTGGTCTTCGAGTCGCCGTACTCCTCCTTCCAGGACGCCATCAGCACCGGCACGTTCAGCAAGCTCAACGCCTCCAGCCACACCAAGCTGGCGTCCATGGTCTACGGGGTGCCCGACACCGTGCATCTGCCGACGCTGCTGACGCAGGTGGGCAATATCTCCGAGCAGATCTTTTTGGGCAATACGAGCTCGTATATGGTGTATGATACGTATATGAATTCGGTGGTGCCGGCGTTGTTGGAGTTGGTTTAGTTCTCGGGGTGACTTGGCCGGGGATTGTGTCTGGGAATTGTGTGCTGGTGGTTGGTGGGTGTTGTGGCTCGGCTCTAAGCTGCAGTGGCTGTGGGGGGCTTGGGTTCGTTCCCTACCTTTCTATTCTCTCGTTATCCTTTACTTTCGGTGTATATATAGATGTGTGTTGTGGATCGATGTGCATGTTCTTTTGTGTCCTGGTGGCATGGGGAGTGGATTGATGGGCAAATTGATGATGTTACGCTTGAGCTTCTTTTCTTTGCATGGGTTATTCTGTTGCTCAATTGATGCTATGGCATATGTCTTGCTAGATGAGTGCTATGGGGTTGTTGGGAGATGCAGCAAGAGATGCAGCTCCGACGGGGTCATGTCATGGATGTAGTTGACTATGTCGCGCCTGGCTGAGTCATCCTTGCATCTGAAAAGCATAAACGCTCTCATTACGGCATGCACTGGCTGGTTGCTGCGAGCGGCACCCCCACCACGGGTTGGTTGGTCACCTCCACCTCACGAATGAGTAGTGGTTGTTCAAACTCGAATACCTTCTTTCATTTTACAATCAAAAGCTCTGGGAGTCGATAGGACAAGAACGAAGCTTTCTAATAAGCCTAAATATTTGATAAACTCTTTCTGCTAAGGTTCGGGGATATCTTAAGAAAAGGTACAATATCTTTCATAGTCGAAATCTCGAATTACGTTGTAGGTAAAAAATATGTTCGACTCAAGAAGTCTCTGATATCATACTTCAGAAAGGGTTCCCCCTGGTCATTTACTGCATTAATATTAGACCTCTTAACCAAAATCACTTCCTTCTATATAAAGAGGAAGACTTGAATGGATCACATATTTGAATCAACCTAACTCTCAAATTAACACCAGGTAATCAGGCTGGGGTCGGCGACTCACCTCGAACCCGGCACTATAGAACACGAAAAAGACTACCTACACTTAGAGACCAGTTATGATTTGTTATGGCAATGAGTTTGGAGTCCTCAATTCTCCTCCACCAGTGAGTGAATGAGTAGCTTGTTCCCAAGCCTGCTATTACCTCCAGAAACGAAAAAGAAACAAAAAAGGGCGGGATACGCCTTGATCACCCTGAAATCCATACGGCGCGAATTCTGACAGCTCCCAACCTGACAATCAGAACGGCAAGGTCCAAAACGCATCTTCAGGGCCATTCAGGTCCAAGATTGGTATAGGATCCAGAGTATCGCCCACGTCACACCGGCTCATATTCCGCGCGATCTTCCACAGCAGCCACTGTCTACCTGGGGGGAAGCTCCCGAAGAACACATCTCTCCGGCCCCGGACCAGGGTTTTAGCCCCCTCTGTGAGCTTGGAGGTCGAAATCGCCCGATCAATCTTTGTTCTCAGCACCATGAGCCGTCTGGCCTGATCTAGGTCGTACCAGAATGTCTCCAGGGTGGCGTCTACGCGACCGCGTCAGCATCCACGGGCTTTGTGATCGCTAGACTACGATTGACTTACCTGGTCTGAGCCGACGATACACGGGCGGCAGGCTTCGCCGCGGCAGGCTCCCCAGCAGTTGAATCCCAACCAGCAACCCCACATTCATGGCCATATGGACTCGGACTCGCGCCACCGCGAGGTCGAACGGGTGGATGCGGCACTGGGCCGAGCCGCCCAGATCGGCGAGGACTTTCTGCAGTGCGCCGAGGTATGCGCGCCGTCGGTCGCCCGGCACGTCCAGCACTTGTTTCAAGCGGGGGTCCTCATCTGCCAAATATCTCTCGATGCTCGCCCGAAGGGATACCGGGGAGTGGTAGACGATCGAGGCGGTAGGGTACGCTTCCTCTAGGAAGAGGCTGTTGATGGTGGCCACGTGGGCGGAGGACAGCCGAAAGCACTGGAACCGGAACTGGTCGTTGCGGTGAAACGCGGCGGGCGAGTCGACGACGACGACGACCGGGTTGTGGTAGCTGGTCTCGCACGGACGGATGGGTAAATCGAGCAGCATTGATCCCGCCTCGTCCGGGTGGTGGTGGGCCGCGCGCTGTGCTTCTACCAGGCTGGCGCGTAGGGATTGCGCGAGCCCCCGATCGCCCGGGAACGGCAGCAGGTTGCTCCGCAGGATGATCGCGAGTCGAGGCGCGAGCGGTGCGAAATTGTGGAACTCGGTATACACACTGATCTCCCTGTGCCCGCTCTGCGGGTCCACGGTCGTCGAGCACGGCCCCTCGAAGATGCCAAACGCGTTCTCGGTCAGCAGAAACTCCTCCTGAGGGTCGTCCGGCTCCCCGAACGCCATGAAGCTGTGCAGGAGGTGATGCTCGAACATGGCCGCGTCGTCCGGGTAGATCCGGCGGCGCAGCGTCTCGCGCCAGCTTCTCCCCGCATCATCCAGCTCCAGGTCCAGGATCTGCCGCAGGTTGTCGAACCACACGTCGCGTGGCGTCGCGAATCCTTTGGTCTGCATGTACCGCAACATACGCGCGCGGTCGTCGGCCTGGTAGCTGCGAGCATCATCGTGGTTGTACCGGTCGAACATCCCCGTGTTCCGATACTTCATGAGGAAGAGAAACTTGCGCAGCGTGTCGACTTCGATCCGTTGCAGCGTGAGGATCGAGCCACGGGCGGCGAAGGTCCGACCCGCTTTGGCGATAATCTCGCTCGCGCGACCCTCGAGCCTCGATAGCTTCTCTTCCAGGTGGTTCGGGTTCTCGTCGAACCCCGGGTCGCGGTACATGTCCACAAGGGCGAACTCGGTCGACACCGGACGCTGGGTCAGCGCTGGGATCTGCAGGTCGACCTTGTTCACGAGAAAGTCGCGACGGCGCGAGGCTGCGCTGGGGGATGCGGCCGGCCCAGCTGGTGGCTGCTCCGTCGGGGCGAACTTTCGCAGAATAAACCGTGGTATAAAGTGATGTTTCTGCTGCCCGCGTTCTGTCATGTTTGCCATGTCTAGACGTAAGAGCTTGAGGGATCGGTAGCCAGACAGTGGGTATCGTGTGAACGCTCAGAGAGCAGCACAGCGATGGCGAGAATGAGGGGTTTCTTGTCTGTAATAACTCTCTACACAGTGTGCGCCTCGTCAGCCTTGACCAGAAACGACAGGCCACGAACTCTTGATGTGGTGCAAGTGAGCCACGATGGAAGCGCCGTCACATTGTGACGAGGGAACCGTAGAACCCCAGCCGTGACGTTTAGCGCCTCCACCAGCGAGGCATGCCAGCTGTGCCGCAATCCTTTGGGTTGGTCAGACTTGCGTACTGCGAATTGGTGCTTGTCTAAATCGGATATGCCTATGTCTGTCCTTGTCGATACAATCATATCTCTTGTCATGAAAGTATTACAACGCACCGCTTCGATGACTTGCGGATCTGGGAATCGAGCCTAGAGAAATCCGAATTCAACTACGATCTCTTCCCACAAATTGTCGGCAGTCGGTACTTGGTCTATGCTACAAAAGGTAGGGAGCTGTAATCCAGAGGGGACTGACTAGAAGATTAAGTACTCATTTGACAGAATTGTTTGTTTTGAATGTCGGGGACTGATAACCGTTTAAACACTGACATGGTAGTAGTAGAGCAGGATAATATCAAGAAAATAGGCAAGGCTTGCTTTGCAGATCCAAATGCACACTTCATTGTAATTATGTTGCCCATATCTAAGAGATCAGTACTTCGTAATCACTACTGCACTTTGATTCTACAGATACAAAGTGCAACCGTAGAATCTTTGCACCTCGCAACAACCCTAAAAGGGGAAACACAATATCGTAACCTTAACCCCCATTAGCGAAACTAAAGACACGAACTGCTCGAGACCCAGCCTCTCTCCCTATATCTGACAGCCATCCGACCAACCAACCAACCAACCAACCGATTATGATTCCGAACTTCAAAGTCCCATCCATACCAACCACAACACTGCAAAATTCACCAACAATGGATCAGCCTTTCAACCAGTCGAGAGAAAAACAGGTTAGCGCACCAGCAGAGTAACAGAAGATCTGAACCACTTACCAGCATCTCGATCTCCGCAAGCTGGTGGTGGGCTTAGATATGCACACCCGCACCCAACCCCGCCCCCGCCTGCGCAGCAACCTCAGCAGCAGCGTTGGCAGCGGCATCGACGCCGAAGCCGATGTTGAACGGTTCGGGGTTCGGGTTAGCCTCCGGGTTGGCGGCGGCGAAGGCGGCCAGGAAGAGGGTGGTGAGGGTGGTGAGGATGGTGAATTGCATTTTCTGTATTGTTCGTTTAGTATAATAGATATTTTAGGGGGTTGGGAGGTGATTTGAGGAAGAAGAAGAACGACGCACGATTAGAATTAGGTATTATCTCTTCGAGAGAATTATGTTGTTGGAGGAAAGATAAAGTGGAGTGAAGTGAAGTGAAGGATACCGAGCCTGCGATGTTGTTGGATGGATTTGTTCTGGGGGGAGTAGGAGGGGGGGGTTTATATCTTGCTTCTGTATTGCATAGTACTGCACTTCAGGATAAAGTGCGTGGTGGGTGCGTGGTGGAGAGATAGGGGTAGGGGCCTTCCCGAGAATTGGGTTTCGTATCTGAATCTGAACCTGAAGTTCCCCATTGTCGGAGGTTGAGGTAGCTCAAATTTGGGTTGGGGTTTACGTTGGTTCGCGTCGGGAGAGATCCAGCCGGGACTGATTTTTGGGTCGGTTGTTTTGTACTTGTGCCCGTGTTTAGTTTGGGGGACTTGTTTTTGGGATCTTCTGGTCTTGGGTTTGGGTATTGGGAGTAGGGTGTTGTGTTGTTAACGGTACTCGATCTTGAGTACTAGGTATAAACTGTATTTCTAGGCTCATGGATGGAGCGGGAACAGGTGGTCAAGTCTCTCTGCATGAACTCCTGCAGGACTCCGTGGTCGGAAATAAATGGAACAGTGTGGGGTAGCTGGGTGAAACGGCGGGGTGTCTCCAGACTATCCTGTAACATTTTATGCAGGTTAGCGAGACTATGAGTGCAGTAACTTACACCGTACATTGTGTTTATGCAGAACCCGATGCCTGCACTATGGTCGGTTCCTGGCGATCTTGAGCCGATCGTCCCGACGGGTTCCATGGTTGCCGAAATATACTTCCTGCTGCGACGCTAGTTGTCTCGCGTTTGCCGAGGCACGTGAATGATCGTCCACCTTCTGGTCCTTGAGATAGGGTACTCGTAGTCACTTTACAGTCGGAATCTCTCAATTGTGGTGAGCATTAGGGGAGACGAGTATGCAGGAAGATCGCCGAGGCCCAGGAAGCTCTGGCTAGGGGTATTGCTTCTCTCTTGGCAGGCTACTGCGGACCGATGCTCTGGATTTCACAACCGGGTCTTGCAACCTCATCACTTTCCCAGGGATATCCTAAACATCCTTACTGACATCGACGCTAAACCTCCGCATCCGGAATCCCAGCCTCATACTCCAAAACCTTCGGGTGCTTCACCCCTCCCACCCTCAACACCCCCCAATCCCGCTCCACCCCCTCCTCAACATCCGGATACGGCCCGACCGGCGTAATCGCCCGCGGATTGATCATCTCGTGACTCTTGGTATACTATTCCCTGTCAGCTCCACTCCATCCCCCCCCAGGAAGACACAGCTTACATTCTCCTTGATATGCCGGAAGTCCGTACTCGCGCGCGCCGCCGGCACATCCCAGTACATCCCCTTCAGCCAGTTATTCAACACGGGATAATCATGCCGGATGGTCCCGAGATTGCACTTGAAGTGCTGCACGTACACCGTGTCGAACCGAATCAGCGTCGCGTACAGCAGCACGTCGAGCTCCGTCATCTCCTTGCCCAGCACAAACGGTCCCCCGTGGGCGGCGACGAGGCGCTCGAGCTTGTTGAGCGCCCCAAACACCGGGATCACCTTCTCGTTGTAGACCTCCTGCGTCTCGGCGAAGCCGGCCTTGTACACGCCGGTGTTGAGGTCGGCCTGGAGCCAGGGGCTGATGGCGTCGATCTTGGCGCGCAGGTGGGACGGGTACAGGTCGATCGCGGCGAGGGCGGGCGGGATGTGCGCGTCGAAGGCGCGGGGCAGCCAGCGCAGAATGTCGATGCTTTCCTGTTGCGTGCTGTGAGCGGTTGATGAGGAGCTAAATCAGGCGTCAAGAGGACATACGTTGGCAACGGCCGTGTTGCTCTTCGTGTCCCACAGTAATGGCACCGAGTACCGTCCCTTGTACTCCGGATCCGCCCGGAAGTACACCTTGTGCAGGTAGTCCTCCCCGAAGAGGTTGTCCACCGTCGCGCCGGGGTACTCGGTGTCGGTAGCCGGGAATTTCCACCCGGGCCAGCCTTTCGAGTCGCCCTTGGGGTAGGGCTTGACCACGCTGGTGCGGATGATGTTGGTGAGGCCCTTCAGGTGGCGGACGAAGTTGACGCGGTGCGCGAACGGGCAGAACAGCCCGATGTACAGGTGGTAGCGGTTGGGCTCGGCGGGGAAGGCATTGCTGGGGATGATACCGTGCCAGCCGTCGGCGGTGCCAGGCTGATGTACCTGTTCGGAGGGAGATTCGGAGGCCATTGTGTGCTGATTTGGGGAGATGTGAAGCTCAAGTTGTTGCGATGGGTTGGTGGTGATAAGCGGGGCGGGGACGGTCCGCTGACGTCATCTGCGCTAACTCGGCATAATCGGCAGCAACCCGGTAAGGCGACCACCGTAGTAACCACTATTACACCTATCAAAGTAAATACAGGTATCAAATTTGTCTACTAATCATAAAGATAGCAACATCAGTACCACTGGAATGAGCATGTAGACTGTTTTCATAACTGAAGCTTTTGACTATTACCATGTTCATTTGATTGGTAAAGTCATGAGTACTTTTAATTGTTTATATCAATCTTTGTAAGACTACTGAGAGAAGTTATCTTCGAGTGAGATTCAAGATATAAGTATCACGACACAGCAGCGCCAGCTGACCTGCATCCTATACAATCAAATCCTACGGCAGACCATAAAGCCCGGACCACTTTGCTGGAGAAGACAGACTAGCGCTCGATGGCTTGGTCGACGAGTCTTTGACTGGAAACCAATTTACCAGCAGAAATACTTAGCCCATTGCACGAAATCGTCTAGAGCTCAGGAGAACCATTCAACCCTTTATACCCTAGCAACCAAACGGGGTTTAAACGCCTGATTTCCTAATCCCCCCCCTTCTTCTCCCCCTTCAGGGCAACTCATTCCCCGGATTACATTCCCCATTGCACGTGTACGCATAGCACACGGAAGTGGAAACGGAGAGGTCATCGCAGCCGGCCTCGCCGAGCGAGTTGGCGGTGGCGGAGACGACGAAGGTCGAGCCCGTCGCGGCGACGGTGGCCTCGAAGGCGCCGCCGACCTCGGGGCACTCGGCGTCGAGGGAGGCCAGGGTCTCGGCGCAAGCGTTCTGGATGCCCGTGCCCAGCCAGCGGCCGGCCTCGGTGGCAGCTATGGTGATGCCCACCTGGCAGGTGAAGGTCAGGTCGGCGCCACACTTGACGTTGGAGGCGATCAGCCCGAAATACGCGAAGACGTCCGGCGCGATGTAGCTGAGCGCGTTGCATGCGGGCCCGGCCAAGAACTCCTGCTGCGCCTTTGTCAGGAGCCGGTAGTCGTCCGTCGGCGGCGTCTCGCACACCGGGTTGGCGTAGCTGACGGCCGCACGCCGCCGGTGGTTGGAACTGCTGGTGAGGGGGACCGTGCTGAGGTTGCCGACTGGGGAGGAAGCGGAGGTCCACCACGACGGAAGGTCGTACTCGGCGGTCGAGTTGAAGAGGACCAGCCCGCTGATGCTGGCCGTCTCGAAGTGCTCGCCCAGGTGGCTCAACGAGAAAGTGCCCCCGTTGGCGTCGTAGATGCTCTGGATCAGTGCACGGTGGTCAGCACCGTGCGAGCTGTGGACGGTGAGGGTCTCCGGGGTGGAGGCGAGGGCTAAACCAAGCAGGAGGGAGGCAAAGGTCAGAGTGTGGCTCAGCATGATGGCTGGGAGTGCTTTGCAGCGTCGTGAAGAGTGAGAGTATAGGAGAAGTGCTTGGTTGAAGGACGGGTGGGAAAGCTGGCTGATTATATAGGACTCAGGGCTGCGAATGTATGAGGACATCCGATGGGGTGAGGATTGTACAGTATGGGTGTCCGAAGGCCGATTGATAGAGGAGAGTGGGGCTGCACACCTCGTCGCCTTTGCTAACTCCAAACGGATTTGTATTCCGGCACTAAATAGACCCAGTTCCGGCACTAAATAGACCCAGAAGTCTCCTCCCGAGTCCATCATTCATTGTATATACTAGACGAGAAGAAAAACCTGCGCGATAGTGCGCCTGCTACTGGAGGTCTCGTTCTGTGCTGCCCACATTTCTTCCAATAGCCCATCCAGGATCCATTGGGACAGCAAGAACTAGACACGACGGCTTGAAGATGACAATTGACCTCTAAGCTGACTGTGTAATGAGATGGTCAGAGATTGGACAAAGATGATAGATCAAGCTTTTATCGATGGAGAAAGGACTCGCGTAAGGACAGCGCATGCAATTGATCGAGAGTCATAAACTGAGTGCAAGCCAATAGAAGACAACAATTCACTGCCGTAGTGCCTTGTGGTGACACGTCTCACCATAGGCACAGATACATTTTCTAGAACAGCACAATAATAGAATCATGATGTTGTCTTTGAGCATCACGTGGCCGTGGCTCTCCACGTTTAAGGACGCGGTCTAAGACATATCCTTCAAGGGAAAAAGCATGGGGGCAAAATGCTTTGGATGTTGCCTCCGAAGGTCGAGTGAACGCACGGTAACCTTTCGGCAGCAAGTGGTGCTTCTGTCTCTGGCTCTGCCATCGCGGAATGATCCTAGAGGACGTCGAGGAACGGCTCTGTGCTTCTATAATAGTACCGCCAATCACCTGATCAATACCGCTCAGCTTGCGGGGATTCATAAAAGTATACTACCGGCGTATACAGGTGGCTGTCTTTCACAGGAGATTTCGAGAAATATTGTTTGCGGTGACTTGTCACGTGACTATACTATCGGACCAGCGCGGAGTATCGTTCCCGAACATTACCGATGGGTCATGTGACCATTCAGTGATGTTGTGAATCGTCAAGGCAAGGCAGACTTGCCTGATCCTGCGGTAATCAATCTACCAATCGAACTTGGCATCGCCCAGAGGTGGATCCCAAGCTTCAAGCGACATCGATCTAATTCCGGCTCAGCCACCAACATGGGGTCAGGAACAGGCAATCAGAGGATCAACACTCCCATAGAAGCAGAGACACTCTCACACTAATCCGTGGGGGCGGAAACCCCTGAGTTTGCGACCCAGGATATAATCGCGATAATCCTCGGTCTTCTCGAGCTCAGTCAATCGGATAAAATCCAACTCCGTCGTGCTATCGTCATGAGACCGTACGCTCTTGCCCTCCTCGCTGCGCCCGCGCTTGCCGCGCATCGCACCGCCCGCGACGCGATCGAGAGCATCTGCACCAAGAACAACATCATCACCACCGACGACTTCATCCTCTACAACAACCTCTGGGGCGAGGACTACGCCACCTCCGGCTCGGAGTGCACCTACCTCGACTATGTGAGCGGCAACTCCATCTCGTGGCAGACCTCGTGGACCTGGGCCGGCGGCGCCGACTACGTCAAGAGCTACCCCAACGCGGTGCTGAACGTCGGCGCGAAGCAACTCAGCTCCATCACCAGCATCCCCACTACGTGGTCGTGGAGGTAAGTCTTTGCAGCATCCTGCAAGCGAAACGCACCCGGGGTCACTAACCGATCGACAGCTACACCGGCACCGACCTCAAAGCCGACGTCTCCTACGACGCCTTCTTCTCCACCACCGCCTCCACCACCGCCACCCATGAGTACGAGGTCATGGTCTGGCTGGGCGTGTACGGCGGCATCGAGCCGATCGGCAACGCGGACGGTCCGATCGCCAGCCCGACCATCGGCGGCCGCGTGTGGGATCTGTACAAGGGCCCGAACGACTGGACGGTCTTCAGCTTCGTGGCCCGTGAGAATGTCCAGGACTACTCCGGCGATATCATGGACTTTTTCAACTATCTGATCGACAACGAGGGCGTCTCATCGAGTCTGTACCTCCAGACGCTTGGGGCGGGAACGGAGCCGATGACGGGGTCGGATGCGTGGTTTACTGTTGCGCCGTATGAGATTAGCATTAACGCTTAGTGTTAGGGTGGTTTGCGATTTGGGTAGAGGGGAGATGGATAGTGGAAAGTGTGTAGAGTACTGTTTGTCCGATAACGATCGATGTGATAGCTATTCCCACTGGCAATCGAAAGATAGTGTGCGGGAGATTCCACAGTTGAGGATGCGAGATTGGGTTGCGGAACTATCCGGTCATGGGATCTGGTCACTAGCTTTCAAGGGGTGATTGGACGAGAACCGCATTCCTGTCACATTTCGGGGCGTCGAACGGAGGACTATACAATTGAAGCTAGAGAGCGACAGTGCATGATATTCACCACCCCCCTGCGTACAACCCACGCAAACCCCGCTCGGTATTCGCACTCGCAACACCCCCCCAATCCAGATCAGATGGTCGCAGCAAATGCCGTCGTCGAGACCGACCATCACCGACCGTCCGGATTCCAAGGCTCACGCAGGTCTCAGATACACGAGTCACCTTGCGCGGCTGTACGATGCTGGGGTGACGCAGACTATGCTGCTGTGTGACTTGGGCGATACCGGTGCCGGATCCCATCTATACTACTTCACGATTCAAATATCTTCGATTAAGAAAGCGAATGCGATTAGCAAGGAATAATATCACTGCGTGTTGGTGGAGCAGAAGTGACCCTGAGCTGTGGATCTGTGGAGTGCCCAGCGGTCAATGCAGCCTTAATTAGTGGACACCTCCGTAGACACCTAGACACCCTTTAACAATATCTGACTGTCGAGCCCGAACGCCAGTAGACGGTTCGAGTGATGGCCACTGCAGTCAGAACGCGGATACATCGGTGGGCGCAACTGGAATCCTTCAATCAGATGCCATGCACGCAGGAAGGAGAACTAGCCGCCGTGATTTGGTGGGCTGGCTGTGATGCGATGCATGGGCAATTCCAAATACTCGGTCTGTCGGGCTGCGGTTGGTCGTTGTGTATGTCCGTCATACTGGGGGGGGGACATTCGTGCCTAAGGGGGGTAGATGGGTTTGCAATGGTTGAATTGAAGATAGAGCAGCGCTGGGGGATTTCCCCAGATAATGTAACAAATGGCTTGTGAGTCGTAGATCAAAAGCACTGATAATTTGAGTTTGGGGAAGGGGAAGGAGGAAAGAAGGAAAAGAACAAATGGTCCGAGCGGGCGGTGAAAACATCTCCGGGTTGGCTGGCGGTCGACCGAGGAAGGCTTCCTCTTCCTTTGCTTCATCCCTGATCCTTACCAACGATACTTTTTTTTATCTCCGGCTTATGCTGCTTGACTGTCTTTGACATCAACGATGGGAACAGCATCAGAATCAGCACGTTTGTCACTGTGATATCATTCCAATTCCTCCACTAGAGCAGCCAGCCAAGCCCTGCGACGCCACCAGGTATGTCAGCAAAGTGAACCTGAGGGGCAGCTGGAAAGCTGGCATTCGCCAAATCCACCGCCCAGCAGATGACCTCCACAGCTTGCTTTCCCGACCAGGAACACATGTTCGTACCAGGGTCTGCGAGATCTGCTAGTGGTGAGTCGCCCTGGGCCATCTCATAGGCTACTCAGCGCATTGATCGCACTAGGAGTAATAGTCTGGCTGCTATACACCGGCCAATCGAAGCGCAATGGCTAAATCGCGGGCTCCAGCGAGTGTCGCTTATTCCGGCTATTGTCTTGTCGTGTTCGTCCTGCGAACAAGGCTATTATCTCTAGATCGACAGTCAGCTCTCCTCATTTTTCTGTCGGGAATGCTAGGCTTACCTACTATCTCCAGAACACGAACACTGCCCTCACAGGGCCGAATTTTGGTCTCGTTGGGCCTCAATTTCGCTTGGCTACTTGGCGATACAATGCGACCTGCTCACATCTTATCACCCCGCAGCAGGGTCCTCGTCGTGCCAATCGCATCCAGCTCGCATAAGCATCTCAACGAACGCCGGCCACGGTGACTGCACTGCCGTTATCAGCACGCAACAGAGCTGGACCTGCATGGGGATACCCACTATCCAGCTAGGATGCTCCCTTCTCACCACCCCTGATCCATGGCGGGTTGCGCCGTCTGCGAATGACAGCGGTCAGCAAACACGAGTCGGGGATCGTGAAGGGGAGCGACGCCGAGGCGCAGGATTCTCTGGCGCAGGGGGAACCGCACCCGGCTGGCTTGGAGGGTTCGCCTGACAGCATCATGGGATTTTCTCGGGCCAAATTGACGGCGGGAGGCTGATGGTCTCGATCGAAGAATGGCTTTGTGTGCCCGGCTGCGGAACTCAATCTCACAGTATGGGGGTCCCCTTGCAAAGCTATAAAGGCGACCCCTCGCTGGTTGTCTGCCTCAGGTCCATCCATATTTTCCATACATCTGATAATTGATTCGTTATATACTTGCTTCCAAACATGCAGTCATTCATCCCGCAGATGCTCCCCCCGGCTGACCTGAAGCTGGCCATCCCCCCTTCACTGGGATATACCCTCAAAGCCCCTACCCGTCTGCCTCCTACCCCTCCTTCGTCTACTTCCAGTCTTCCAACCAGCGAGCCTGAGGCCGAGGTTGCTGTCAGCACCAGCCGGGATATTCTGAAGTCTTTTCCTGAATACGAGACCACTGCTTCGTTCGATCGGCTGCGTGCAACCGAATACAGCTACCTCGACGAGAACAACCATGTCTACCTGGACTATACTGGGGCCGGACTAGCTGCCAAAGCGCAGTACCAAGCACATCAGGCACGACTGAGCGTCGACCTGTTCAGCAACCCGCACTCCGCCAACCCGACCAGCGAAGCTTCAACTAAGCTCGTGGAACAAGCCCGCGCCGATGTGCTGCGCTTCCTGAACGCGTCCCCAGATACCTACACCGTGATCATTACAGCAAACGCCACCGGGGCTGCCCGACTGATCGGGGAATCCTACCCTTTCGGCCGCAACTCGACTTTCCTCCTCACCGCTGACAACCACAACTCGGTGAATGGCATCCGAGAGTACGCCCGTCGCCGACACGCGCGCACGGTCTACCTCCCGCTCCAGACCCCGTCCCTGCGCGTCGATCCCGATGCCCTAGCCTCTGCACTCACACCAACCACATGGCCCTGGATTCGTCGATCTTCGGATGCGAAGGCTCGTCCGAAGAAACGCAAAGGCCTTTTCGCCTATCCGGCTCAGAGCAACTTTAGCGGCGTTCGCCACCCACTCGAGTGGATCACGACGGCCCAACACGCCGGCTATGACGTTCTGCTCGACGCAGCAGCGTACCTCCCCACCAACCGACTAGACCTTTCCCCAGCCAACCCGCAACCGGACTTCATTTTGATGAGCTGGTACAAGGTCTTTGGCTTCCCGACAGGTCTGGGATGCCTGGTCGCCCGCAAGGACGCTCTCGCGCGCCTCTCCCGGCCGTGGTTCGCCGGGGGGACCGTGCAAGCCGTGCTCACGGGCGTGCACTGGCACAGCCTGACCACGACGGAGGGGGCGTTCGAGGACGGCACGGTGAACTTCCTGGCAATCCCCGAGATCTCGGTCGGGCTGAAGTGGATCGAATCTTTGGGCATGGAGAACATCCGCACCCGCGTCCACTGCCTGACGGGGTACTGTCTGGCGGGGCTGCAGGCGCTGCGACACAGCGACGGTTCGCCGATGGTGAAGATCTACGGGCCCGCGCCTGACCCGAACAGCCCCGGCGTCGATCCCGGCGGCGACCGCGGCGGCACGATTGCCTTCAACTTCCTGGATCGAACCGGGAAGATCGTCGACGAGCGCATCGTCGCGACGGAGTCCGCCGCGGCGGGCATCTCGCTGCGCACGGGGTGTTTCTGTAACCCCGGCGCGGCGGAGCACGCCTTTGGGATCACGAAACCCTTGCTCCGGAGCCTGCGGCGACGGTTCCGGGACACGCTGACGGTGGAGGAGTATATCCAGCTGCTGGGGCTGCCGTCGGGTGGGGCGGTGCGGGTGTCGTTCGGGCTGGTGTCGAATGTGAGCGATGTGGAGCGGTTCTTGGGATGGGTGGAGGGGATGTATCGGGATCGGGTGACAGGGACGGAGGGGCTGGTGGCGAGGACCGAGTGTTAGTCCAGCTATCTAGGATGAGGGGAAAAGCATGCTTTGTGTGGATCTGTTTTATCACTAGTCGGGTTAGTTTTTTATATGATCGTGATAGTGTAACCTACAATACTACAAGACAATGATACCATATCGCGCAGCCCAGAAACTCAGATCCTGATTCCTAATCCCCCAATCCTGATTTCCAATCCCGCATGCTTGACGATGTTATTGGTGGTGTGGACATGTCGCCACATAATTGCTTTTTCGGCTGCAATAGTCCCATCCTTCGACCTCGTAGTAAGTTTAGTGTCCAGCCCCGCAGTCTACTCCGTACCTCCCAGGAAGATCCGATCGATCGACCTGGCCTGTCCCCACTGCACTATCCACCCATCCACATATCCTAGTGCGTACTTCGTACTTACTCAGTATTTGTAGCTAGAGGAAAATTGAGTTAGTGGATAAAACACTCCTCCTTGAGCTTTAAGCCCTTTCTTTTTTTCGGTGAATCTGCTTTTGTGGCTGACTTCTCTAAATTCAAGTATCGGTGCACGGATGGATGGATTACCCTGTTTGATTATAGAGTGAGAGGGCGAGGACAATGCTATAGTTAGCTCTAGTCTACCGTAATCTAGGCAGGGTGATACAAGATGAATGGGATTGTTTGGTTTGATGCCTTGGAGGGCTCTAGCCTTGCGCTAGTGGATACTATCCTGTCCTATAGGGTAGTGGATTATAGTATAAGGTAGGGTAAGGTAAGGTAGGTGGGTTCGCGATCGCGCCTTGTCTGTGGTTGGTCGGTGGGTGAGAGGCTCGTGTTCTGGACTTACTTTTCTTCGATTGGATGGGTGTTGGGGTGCTCTGGGTTGTTGTGTAGCGATTACTATGTACTAGGTGATTTCGGGGTGCTGGACTGTGATACTGTGTATGAGGCTCGTGCTCGTGCTCGTGGGTGGGATATTCTTTGGGGAGGTGGTGGTGGTGGATTGGGTTCCGGATACGGGAGGGCTGGACGGGGCTGTTTCATGTTTTGGGGGGGGAACTAAGGAGGAGGGGGAGGGTATTGGGCTGGTGGGTGAGTTGGGTAGGGATGGATCGAGTCTGGGCTCTTTTGTTTAGGTACTTAGGTACTTAGGTACTATACTATTCCACTTTATAGATCTAAGGATGAGTACTACTGCAGGGTAGGGTGCTATTGTTTAGGATAGTTATTAGGTGAGGAACATGGTAGATAGCACTTGAGGCACTGGGGTGGATGTTACTGCTTGTTAATAGGCGATGTATGTATAGGTAGAATTCTTGCAGATCGAGAGTGTATAGTACTATCGTGTATAGGTTATAGTATGTGCTGCTATGCACATAGTGGAGAGGTGCGCTCTAGTGACGTAGTGATTTGCTACAAGCTAGATCGAAATGAGGCTGCTAGCGGAATTTTCGTATCTGAGTTAGTGTTGTATTCTGGGTAGTTCAAGAGCCAAGATGACCGATCTCTTCCAAGGACCAACCTAGAAGTTACCAGACAGCGAGGAAAGAAAAGTGGAGGCTGCGTTGCATTGGGCTGAGGACAGGACTGGACTGAGGAATGAGGGCTGAGGCTGAGGCTGAGGTGGAGCTGGAGCTGACGCTCACCAGCACTAAGCGGACTAGCCCGGCGGGCGCCCTCACGCTCGTATTGGTGTAGCAGCGGTGGGGGCAAAGCCTCCGCCACGCGATGCCCGCGGCTGCAGTGCCACGGATGAGCAACTGCCACATGGGGGATTACCTTTACCTTCATCCCTACCCTGGCTGCCTGGTCGTGCCGGGTGAGATCCATCTTGATTGATTCTATGGATAGGACTGTCCGATGAGCGATTAGCGTCTACTCAGTGGGGTTTAATATCGCTAGGATGATTTAGATGGATTCTCCGCTTAGAACTTGACTACTGGACTGAAATCGGAGTGTCTGATTTTTGCGCGGCTATGCGCTATCGATTTCGGACCTTGTTCTGTGAATATTTCGCAACGAGTTTGCTTGCTGCCTGTCCATGATTTTCGGGGTTGTGGGGGTAGGTCTGAGCCCGACATTGAGACTCGTCTGCATAATGCACATCCCATAGTTGGACGGATTACCAAGGCAGTTCTCAGCTCGACTCTCCAGCTCTTGTCGATTGCATCATCGCTTGATAGACCATCTCAGGCACTCATTTCCACAGCGATGTCAGGAGTGAAGTGTTCTGACTCGCTCTGGCGTGGGAATCCCATATTCACCATACTTATTTTCTTGCCTGCAAGTCTCCGCTAGCCGTGTTGCAGAGCCCGTCTATTCCACAGTCAGCTAACCGCATCCCTGGCCTGCCGTACAAACACGTAAATAACTTCGGCGAAGCCAGAACACACTAACCCGCGATAGCAGAGCGCATCCATACACTTCCACTTCCCGCACAGTAAAGGCACAGAACTGCTCGCTCAATCCAGTCAAACTCCACCAACACCACCCATACCCATACCTAATCCCATCTAGCGCTACCACGACCCCCTCAATCAAAATGCGAAGCAACATGATACGCAACAGCAGCCTCATCCCCCTCAAAACCCCCACAAACCGGACAAGTCACCGTCGGTGCTGCCGCCGCAACTGCCACCGCATCACCATCCAGCCCCCCTCCACCAGCAACCTCCACCCTCCCACCCCGTCGCTTCTGCCGCGACGGCTGGGTGATATACGCATCCAGCCCGATATTCTGCGGCGGCTCGTCTGCCTCCCCCCGCCTGTCCCGGGGAGCTCTTCCCCGGGAGAATTCAGCAGCAGCAGCAGGGTCTGAAGACTGGCCCCCCGTGCTCGTGCTCATAGACTGCACCCTCCCCACCCGCCCATCCGTGAGCCGCACCTTGATGCCCCGCGGGTGGTTGCCCCGCGTCAGCACGTCGGCGATGGTCCCCGAGACGGTGCGGCCGGTGGGTTGATCGGCCTTCAGGACTATGTTCACGTTGGCTCCGGGGAGAACTTCTTTGGTGGTGGGGACGCGGGGCATTTTGTGATGGGATGGGTGGGATGGTTGATTGGAGAGGGGTTACAGGTGCGGTGGTTGGTTGTGGTTTTGATGGGTTTGGGTGGGGTGGGCGGGCACGTGAGTGATTAGTCATTTATGCAAGGTTTGTGCGGGCTTTGTGCGGGCTCTGTGCACGCGGTGGTGGGATGGATTGAGAGGTCGGGGTGTGGATGTAAGAGGTACAGATGCGATGCTCTGCTCTTTCTTTTTGCATGTTGATTTTGATTGGATGTGATGGATAGATCCTTTTTGTCCGGAGATGTGATTAATTGGTGACGAGGTGATTTCTGACTGTATCGATAATACTGCAGATGATACTTCCTAGGGTGCGCAGAATAATATATATCTAGGTTGTATAGGTCGCCCCCTCTAATAAGACTAGTTCAATTTGGGCTTCTGTATGTTAGAGAATATGGTACCAAGCAATCGAGCACCCTGGTATCAATCAAACACCTTAGGTATAGTCACCTAATGCATTTTAGTACTCCAAGGTATTGTTAAAATATGTCAGACACTGAAGCAAAGCATTCAAAAGGAGAGTTTATAATGTCAGGAGATAGGAGATATACTCGAAGATCCTTTATCAGATCTTCGAAATGGAAAAGGAGCTGAGAACCTAGGGCTGTCCCTGCCAAGAAGCAGCGCGATCGGCCCACTGCACTGGACCCCCTCCAAATTCTGATCTGAATGGTGGAATTTACCACCGGATAGTAAGGATGACTGTGAAGAATGGCATCGAGCCATCTTAGACATAGATAGGGAATCATATATATGTGAGATGATTTATTTGATTGAAGCTAAGGGCTGCTTATACACCCATTTATCTGCTCTCTACATCAAGCAGACTAAGCTCAACAATGTAATCAAGGAAACTTCGTGTGCTAAGCATCTTACACGGCTGGATCGAAGTGGGCTGCAAATCAGAACACCCATCGAATACCCACCTCTCAATGCCATCCGCTCGCTGTCTCAGAGTGGTTCCATTTGATCCCTTCATCTGCCTCTCCCCACTACCGTTTCAGCTTGTTGCCCTCCCATCCGAACACCATTAATTTAAGCTTAATCCTTAAGAACAGCCATCGCCTTCCATTCCAACTTATTCTCTCCATTGTTTGCATTCTTTTTTTTCGTTACAATCTTTTCACTCTTTTATTTACACACTCATTACAATGCATCTCTCCGCCACTCTCGCCCCCCTCTTCCTCTCCTCAGCGCTGGCGCTGCCCGCCGTCTCCCGCCGCGCTGCTGCGCAGTCGGCCACCACCCTCTGCGGCGACTACGACTACATCATCCTGCAGGACACCCCCTGGATCGTGTACAACATGCTCTACAATGCCGCCGAGACGGTCGGTACCCAGTGCACGGGCTACGAGTCGCAGACGACCTCCGCGAACGGCACCAAGGAGGTTGTCTGGAGCAGTGTGACGGACATCGAATATGTGGAGGCGACGTATGTTCCCTTGGCATCGTCAACCCCCAGAAGCACATTAACTAACAAGACGGGTGCAGCAACAATGTCCCCAAGGGCTACTCCTTCGTTGGCCTCACCGAGAACCTCGAGACCAAAATCTCGGCCATCTCCTCCATTCCGGCCGACTACACCTGGACCAGGACCAACACCACTGCTTTCAAGGGTATGCCCCCCGTTGCAGCTCACTGCACCCGAAGGGCCCGAAACTGACGAAGAAAGGAAACACCTGCTTCGATTTCATGACCAACGACGTCAAGGGCGACTCGACCTCCTCCTCCTCGCACGAGCTAATGCTCTGGCTGCAGTACGAGGGCGGCCAGCTCCCCATCGGCTGGACCGACGGCGCCGTCGCCACCATCGACGATCTGTTCGGCACCTCCTGGAAGCTGTACGAGGGCGTCAACGACGACTCCGGCATTACCGTCAGCTCGCTGCTCCCGGATACCCAGTTCGAGGGGTCGTTCGAGGGCGATCTGCGCGAGTGGCTGATGGCGATGGTCAACTTGGGTCGGTTCACGGAGGAGACCTATGTTAATGTTGGCAATGCGGGGTGAGTTTCTTCTCCTTTCACGGGGAATATGTCGTAATGCGGTGATCGGGGTTGCTAACGCTGGAATAGAACGGAGTTCTTCTATGGAAACTCGGTTTTAAATGCTACGCTGGGTCTGCAGATTGATCTGGTTTAGATCTGGGTCGTCCCTGAGCGGTAGTGGTGGTCGTTGTGGGGGATGGTGGGGAGTTGGGCTGCAAGTACCCGCATGCGAGTGCCTTAGGCTGGCCTACAGATAGATTCGGGGAAGATCAATAGAAAAAATGTATATGTATATGCAGAAGGTTGAGTTGAATTACTCCAAAGGGCTGACTGCAGAGTGGGGTACGTAGCCTACAGCACTAGCGGCGGCTAACTTATACTTAAACCTCAACCTCTGATCATCCTACCCAAACCATCCCATCGCTCCATCCGACTAACCCACACCATGGAACCACACGCTTCACAGCCAAACAGCACCGACCATGAACAATCCCCCATTATCACCAAATCCCTGAGACAAACTCTCCTCGCCCCATTCAACCCCGAAAACGCATCCGCAGAAAAGGTCTCCCTCCCCCACCCCCAAACCCATCACCTTCCAAGGTTCCCCCTCACTAAAACGAAACCCACCAGCTCTGCACAGCGCCAATAGAATACACCCAATCCCTCCCCGGCAAAAACACCCTCTCCAGCTTCATCGAGAGTCTTACCGAATGGTTCCCGGTCAAGGAAGAATACACTGCACCCCTGCGCGAGATAACCTCCACCCTCTTCACCACGATCCTCATGTAATTCCCCTCCCATTCCCCCCCTTCATTTCAATACCCAAGTAACGCTAAGAAAAACAGATTAGATGATATAGAAGACTCCTCCCCGCTCCGCCGGGGCCATCCCTCCGCGCACACGCGGTTCGGAACCGGACCGACCGTCAACGCAGCCACATACGCCCTGATCACCCTGACCGCCTCTATCCAGCAGCATCTCGGGCCCCAAGCACTGGGTATTTTCCTCGAGGAGATGCAGAATCTCGGAAAAGGGCAGGCGCTGGATCTTCACTGGACATTCACCAAGAAATGTCCAACGGTGGAGGAGTATCTGGGCATGGTGGATCTCAAGACGGGGAGTCTGTTTCGATTGGTGGTGCGGTGGATGGTGCTCGGGGCTAGCGGGGAGGTGGATGAGGAGATGGTGGGATTGGTTACCTTGCTGGGAAGGTATTATCAGGTCAGGGATGATTTGTTGAATTTGACGGGAGAGGTGAGTTCTCTGCTCCTTTCTTGTTGTGTCTGGGTGGTTTTAGGGGGGCGGGGGGAGGGGGGGAAGAGAAGGATCCCGGGTTGGATGTTGTTGCTGATTGTGGTGCTGTAGTATTCGGTGACTAAAGGTTGGTGTGAGGATTTGGATGAGGGGAAGTTCTCGTTTCCGCTAGTTTGGTTGTTGAGAGTCCAGGGGGGTGAGGTTGGCGAGGAGGTTTATGGACTGCTTTTTGGTGATGCTGGGGATAGAGGGGAGGGAGGAGGGGTCTCTGATGAGGTGAAGGAGAGGGTGGTTGAGCTTTTGAAAGGTGCCGGCACGCTAGAGTATACGGGGAAGGTGTTGGTGGAGATTCTTCAGGGGATTATGGAGATGTTGGGCAAAGTTGAGGGGAGACTGGGGGTTAATGCTGGGTTTCGGGGGTTGGTTTCGCGTCTGAGGGTTTGAGCAGTGCAGTCTCCAACAGACGATTGGCGTCTATGTATGGTTCAGGGGAGAGATGAGAGATGGATATGCCGTTTCTTTCTGTACAAGGGACTGGCTGAGAGCATGGGACCCAGAACGTTTGCATTGGCCCTTACCATCCCCCACAATCATGCGAGCAAGGTCCCACTGTAATCTGGGTCATTGCGGTCACAGGTCAGTAGCACGAAGCAGTTTCTATCAAGATGATACGGATTTTCTTATCACTTATAAAGAGTATAATTGGGGTTGATCACCACACTTGAACAGCCCGGGGTGGACGGGTGGAAATCATCGCCGCAGACATCTTGAATCCTTGGGACGTCTGCAAGGAGCTTTCTATCTTGTGCACTGATGTCACGGCCGAGGAAATTTGTGACGGTCTCACAGTACCCACTAGCCCACATTTACACATTACATTCTGACGCTATTGGATTCTGAGACTCGTCGCTTGTCTTCCAACACCCGTAGCCGATAGCAAAGGAACTAATGGGGTTACTGAAGTGATCATATGGAGTGGTCGACGGTGCTGTGTCTCCAAGAAGTATTCTTCATTGAGGGAGAATCTCCTATGCAACAGCATATATCATGTTGCGGCTGATCGGTAAAGTCTGCATCAGTTGCTGTTAAATTACCTATAGCATATCTCTCGGTTAGCCTGCCAATCATCACTTCATACCGTCGTGGAAGGTCGAAAAGCGGGGTTGGAAAAGAGGGGGAGAAAGGCTATAAGCAGTATGCTCGTGCTCGAGACTCTCACTCTCGAATTAGACAAATGGAGGGTGCACGGTGGGTCGTACGTGCGAATTCGGGATCATGGGGAAATGGACAATTTATCTGGGAAGGGGAAAGTGTTCGTATACTACGGACGAGGACCGATAAACTTCTCCAGGATGGTCTCAGTCGCCCAGCGGGGGATCTTAATCTGCTTGACCAAGCCTGTGGTCAGGGTGTAGATCAAATGTACTACAAGCCTCTTTCATCGCCTGGAAAGGGGTAGTCGCAGCCGATCCTCGCACTGTGATAGCCCTGTTTGGATGATGAATCGTCGCCAGCGTCACCGGGGATCTTCGGGCCGCCTAGTTTATGAGAGTCTGGATGGGGTACTCGGAGCTTGTCATTTAGTCGTCCCACATCTGGTCGACAGCTAAACAACTATTGAGTCTCTCATGTCATAAGATGCAGAGGCGAATATGATTGACTTTTATCGCAGCTGACGAGGTGATCTGTCTTGAAGCATTGCTTAGGGGGCTATTTTATGAGCCGCTATGACAGATAGGATAGCAATTATCTTCTAATCCATTGAGAGTTGGGGGTCTTATTCCAGCACGCGAAATATGCCTGCACTCCTGTCTATTGGACATCAAACCATGTATTACTCAGCGCTTGCCCTCCTCCACCCCCTTCTCCCCCGCCATGTCCGAGGCCTTGCCTGAAGCCTCATCCACTGCCTTACCCGTCTGTCCCGGAATCGGCTTCTGACATACCGCAGCCGCGTCGTCTCCCTGTTAAACAAGCACAAATTCGTGCGTTAGCCATACCGAAGTGTAGAAAAGCCGATTCACACGAATCGGAAAGGAGAACCAATCCAACTCGCTCAGCAACCATGAAAACGCAACCACGAAGATCGCCGCATAGGAAGAACATACCGAGCCCCCGGCACAACACGCCAGTGCATATCCCCGCGCAACATCACAGTCCGTCGCTGTTGAAACCGTGTCACCTGCTCGTTTGTCAGCTTCATGCTGTGGAAGATTGTTTTGCAAAGGGGGGAGCGTACAATCAGCGCCCACAAGCCCTAGCAACTCCGGGTCGAGCGCCACACCCGCTGCATCCGTCACGTCGGTGACCGCACCGTCGGCCAGCGAATCTCGGACCTTGCAGCATTTGAGGTTGTGGTCGGTGTTGCATTTTTGGGCCAGAGTGGTCGCCGAGAAGGAGAGGAGGAGGACGGGGAGAAAAGTGGTGAGATGCATTTCTGAGGGTTTGCAGGTTTTCTGTGGCGGAGGAATAGAGATTGGAAGATGGCTTGTGGGTTTTCGGATCCTGGGTTGAGGTTGATGGTCTCGAGGAATGTAGGTTCTTATATCACTCCTTGCGAGCATTGAGTTTGTCTCTCTCCTGAAGATCGGTTATATGTCAGATGATGGACGTCGTGATCGGCCAGCAAAAGTCTATGATGCATCTACTAGTTTCCAAGGCTACGTCGTTGGTCAAGCCGATGTAGCCGTTCTGGTTGCCTGGCAGATAATCATCGAACCCATCATACTTCAACAATCCAACTGGATCGCAGAAATGAAGTCAACTCAACTGTACTTCTACAGAGGAGTATGAATGAAAGAACCAGAAGGAAAGGTCCGTAGCAGGGGGCTGCCGTCTCAGATGCAATGATATGCAGGGTCAACTGTGATCGGCTTTATTGCATCTTCATAGTGACCTGTCATATGGCTGAGAGCTTGTGCATGGCACTTGGCAGTTGACACAGGATTTATGTTCGGCACCACAGTGCAGATAAATCAAGAGTTCTGACTGTAACTTACTAGTTATGGGTCGCCCTGGCATTTTGTAAACCCCGCTTATCTAAGTCAATACGCAACAGAGGGCAAAAGCAGAAACCGAGCAGCCCTACTACACCTGACCAACATCTGATGTATATAGCAGGTAAAAGAAGACAGCTTCGCTGATAAAGAAATGCTATACTCTACACAATTCCACCCTGCTCCTAACCATTGAAATCGATAGTTGTTAGATCGCATGCTATGCTCCCACCCATGGAATCGCCCGTGATAACCCAAACCCACAACCTCGGCTCATCCCGAGCGAGTTCTAGAACCATTATTCCTGCCTCAGGCCAAGAGCTCAACTCTTATCAGGCCTAGCGTTCTCTTTTGTACTAAGCCAAATTCAGCAAGACCAAAATGTCCGACGGCAGACGATAAGCGCGAGAAAAAAAACTCCCCCTCCCCGCTTCGCCTCCTTTGACAAAAATTTCCCCCGCATCTCACTCATTCTCCCAACAACCCCTGATCTCTTCATCCTCCACCTTTCTTCACACCGTTGCCAAAAGCACCACAACCGTCACTATGGGAAACGTAAGCGACTAACTGACTTTTCTCTTCTGCAAGATGCGATGCGACGACTTGAGTCGGGTTCTCGGGCGCATTTATGGAAACGTGGCTTGAGAATCTTGCTCAAGTCGAGCGGACAAGAAATGCAAATGAACACCGGGATTCCCGGTGTAGACTGATTCCCAAATACTTACGACCGATTCTCCAGGGAGCCAAAGCCCAGATGAAGCGCGAGCGCAACGCCAAGGACGCTGGCAAGGGTGGCAAGTCGCAGTTGAAGGCCGTACGTATCCCTTCTGCTTCCGGATGAGATGGGAGTGAAAGGAGAGAGTCGGGGGCAAGGGAGGAAAATATCGTGCCACGGGATCTTACTCACGCTGCCCTAGAACGAAGCCGCCAAAGACATCATCTGCCAGATCTGCAGATCGACCTTCCTCAAGACGGCCAAGGCCCCCGCCCTCACCGAGCACGCTCAGAACAAGCACAACAAGACCCTCCAGGAGTGCTTCCCTTCCTTCGCCTAGATTCTCGGAGACGCGAGCGAGGCATGATTGGTGGGATCAGCGGGGTTCGTGCTTGTGATGGAGACACTACGTGCATCTGTGCTGGGGAGTTTTTGAGCGACTGTTCTTGAAGTGCATATTTCTGGGAGATGTGGATGGGGAAGAATTGATACCTTTTGCTTTTCTGTGCGATTGCTGCTTTTCATGGAGAGAGTACGGTTGCATCCCAGTAGTTTGGGCATTGTAGATCGCCGGTTACCTTCAACTTGTTGTTTGTGTTTGCTATCATCGTCGTCTGGTTGATCAAGGGGATCTCCAGTCTGTCTCTGACGAGCTTCACTTGTCGTTATAGCGTCGAGTATCACCTCTTGCGGAAAGCGGAGCATATCGCGGTGGCATTCTTCAACCAAGCGATCGTCTACCCGAATGAACTCTATGTGCTGTCCAGAAGACCCTCACTCCGATTACACATGGTCGTCCTATATGGTAGCACGGTTCATGATGTTTAGGCCAAGGTCGCCACCGTTTATGATGGGCCTGATCAAGTCTGGACAGAGCTAGTTGTGCCTTTGTGGCCAGAATCCGACGAGCCGCATGTCTTTTATCGTCCACAGTTTGACCCCGTCTGCCATAAGTATCACCTGTGCGATAATCGCCTCACCCAGTATCTTGCATCCGAAGTCTCGCATCCTGGGACCAGTCCACCAATCGCGAGTGAATCCTCACATAGGCTGCAGCTCGTGCAAAAGATCCTCCCTGGCGTCATGTACTTGCGGCCGGGGAGGATTTCCCAATTCAGCCTGGCAAGATGCGGCCAACCGATTGGCATTGATCAGTCCTATTTCTGGGGTCTCTGTCGATAACAGAAAATTGAACAAGTCTGTCTAGATACCACCGGCAGCGTCTCCATCAGCTTCCCTCAGTCGACCCGTGTCCGAGCTCCTCTTGTGTAGTGTCCTCTATTGAGCATTTCGTGCTTTAATTGCATCCTTCATGGTTTGTGAATTTATGTGGTTTCCGGAAGCCCAGTCGCAGACAGAATTCCCGCGTGCAACCAACCCTAAGAAAGTACGGATCCTGGAAGAGAATCGGTATCGCTCCAGGGAAGGTAGATCCAAGGTAAGTCGTCTAGACACTGGATCGACGAATAGCCTTTGCCTTCAACTTGCGCCATCATGCGGACAACTGCAACAGACACCATCACTACTATCCCTACTCTTCAGCAAATTCGCCTTTGCCGCTCCAACTTTATATGCGTTCCGTGGCGGTTGCTCACCGAACACACACCCGCAGTCAAGCATCAGTCATTATGTTGTTGATCCTTGTCCTGCATGCAGCAAAGTCAAATACACCCCGAGATGATGCATGCTGGAGCTAGGGATTGTCCTACCTGAGCTGCAGCAAGCTACCCCGTTCCGTACATATTGCGAGGGATAGATTCAATGGAATGAAGTTTGGATGGGGTTCCGTCCGATGCTGCTTCCTACTGGCTGTGAGACTGTAAGCCTCATAACTACTCTCCATCTTTATCAAGAGGTGGTCCGATGGACTGGGTACGACTTGGCGGCCAACTCTAGTACCCATGATCTGTACGACGATACTTTGCGGAAGTCGATTGTGTGTACTTGTTGTGGCTATTGTGGGAGTTTTGTCGGCTATTGTCTTGATAAGTGATGTCTATTTCACTAGATAGGACGACAATGGATGCAGCAATGTCTAGCCAGCCCGGTTTCACCGGGCCATTTTGCGTATAGCATGACGTGGAAAACCCCCAGTACTGTACACCCTTGGCCATCCTCCGGCAAGTAACCAGGTACCGAGTGAACGGGACTCGGCATTCCATAAAGGGGCATCATGTCCGATAGGACAACAAAATTCCGAATTGAAACTTGATAAGATGGCATATTGCGCCATAAGGCGACATGCGGGGTACATCAAGTACCGAAAATCTGATGCATTGTTGGTTGGTGGTTGCATAACATGCATTGCGGATTGCGTGATACGTCCGGGATAAGGTGGGATGTGTTGACTGACTCGCCCGGCGAAGTATCGCTCTGTAGTGGTTTAAATAGACGGAATAGACGGTTGTGACAACCCCTCCATTATCTACCAGATTAAATCAATCGTAACAATCCTTTGCTCGGACCTTCACCATGGCTCCCGGAATCAACGAAACACCCATCCCCATCCACCCGCACCCCGACGCGGAAAGACAATACCCCAAACCCCTCAAGGTCAGCGGCGCCTTGGACAAGTACGAGTATGAAGAAACCACCCCAGTGATCGGACGCGAGTATCCGACCGTCAACATCGTTGATGACCTGTTGAATGCCCCGAACGCAGACGAATTGGTCCGCGACCTGGCCATCACCAGTACGTAGCGCACCCCACAACAACCCTAACTCCCCATCCCTCCCTCCCGCTCCACCCCAGGAACCCCAACTAACCAAACCCAAGTCTCCCAACGCGGCGTCGTCTTCTTCCGCGCCCAGGATAACCTCACCGACGCCCTCCAAAAACACCTCGTCCAGCGCCTCGGCGAACTCAGCGGCAAACCCGCAACCTCCACCCTACACATCCACCCGGTCCTCAACAACACAAACGAATTCGGCGTTGGAGACGCCGAGATCAGCACGATCAGCTCGCTCGCCCGCAAGAAGCTCTTCGGACCCAGCCACGCCCTCAACCGCCGCAAATACGACTCCGCCCAGTGGCACTCGGACATCCAATTCGAAGGCGCCCCGGCCGACTACACCTCCCTCCGGCTGACCCAACTGCCCCGCACCGGCGGCGACACCCTCTGGGCCTCCGGGTACGAGATCTACGACCGGTTATCGCCCAAATACCGCGAGTTTCTCGAAGGGCTGACGGCGACGTTCTCCGGGGATGGGTTCCTCAAGGCGGCGGAGCGGAACCCGGAGGAGGTGCGGATCTATACGGATGCCCGGGGCAGTCCGTTGAATGTGGGCGCGGAGCTGACGGCCGTGCATCCGGTGGTCCGGACGAATCCGGTGACCGGGTGGAAGAGTGTCTTTGCGATTGGGCCGTTTCCCAAGGTGATTAATGAGTTGACGGTGGAGGAGTCGGAGGAGGTGTTGGACAAGTTTAAGCGGGTCGTGGCCGAGAATCATGATTTGCAGGTGCGGTTGAAGTGGAGGAATGCGAATGATATTGGTGAGTTTGGTGCTTTTGCTTGGGATAGGGTGGTTGGGCTAATGTGTCGGCAGCTATCTGGGATAATCGGAGTGTGTTCCATACGGCGACGTTTGATTATGAGGGGCTTGGGGAGCGGTTCGGGCATCGTGCGGTGGGTATTGGCGAGGCGCCGTACTTGGATCCGAAGAGTCGGTCGAGGACGGAGGCGTTGGCGGCGGAGGCGGCTTGATGGCGGTAGGTTTGTATAGAGCTGTTTTGCAACAGATCTGGGATTGAGATGGAGTACTGTTTATTGGGGTCGAATAACGATGGTTGTCTGTGAGAACTCAATTTCCCGGAAGTCACTCTCACACTTTTAAGGAATATAACATATGTAACTACACTGTATCAGAAGAACCGGACCAACATAAGTGAAGCGCTAGAGCATGCAGGTTTAGCCTGATGAGTTGGCAGGCGCCGCCCAGTTCGTTCCGACCCCGATTTAACCCCACTTTGGGCCCCCGACTCTGTCTCTTTGCTCGGTGCATCTTCTAATCATGTCTTCCACTACTGAGACTTGGTCGACCGACACGCTGGTTTGGCCAACGATAGGCCTTTCAGACCAACCCGCATTGCGGTATAAGACACAAATGGGTGATTGGGAGCATGGCACAAGAACCCGCAACGACTACACGGTTGGCTGGATCTGCGCGTTGGAAGAGGAGCAGGTTGCAGCAACAGCCATGCTGGATCAGATCCACCCCGACCTCCCGAAACCGCCAAATGATCCTAATACTTATACCCTTGGATCTATCGGTCACCACCAGGTGGTGATAGCCTGCCTGCCGAGCGGAAAGTATGGAAACAATCCAGCTGCAACTTGTGCCAACCAAATGGCTCGAACCTTCCAGTCCGTTCGCGTGGTCCTTATGGTTGGCATCGGTGGCGGCGTTCCTCCCAAGGTCAGGCTCGGGGACGTGGTCATCAGCACCCCAGTCGATCGATTCTCCGGGGTGATCCAGTGGGATTTGGGTAAAGCAGAGAAGGATGGAACGTTCAAGCCTGTTGGCGCGCTCAACAATCCGCCTACCGCTTTGCTGACAGCAGGGGCCAAAATGCGAACCCGGCATATGCTGAATGGGCATCAGATACCTCAGTATTTAGACGAAATGGGCAGAAGATTTCCCAGACTGGTCCCTCGGTACACCCAATCTGCCTCGCTGATAGATCCCCAGTCCCCGGACGCGCCAGACCGAGCACGGAACGAGTTAGGGCATGTGGAAAGCACCCAAGTGCACTATGGGTTGATCGCGTCTGGCAACCAGGTCATCAAGGACGCAAATATGCGGAACAAAATTGACCAGAGCTTCGACGGAAATGTGCTATGCATCGAGATGGAGGCCGCTGCGCTGATGAACAATTTTCCGTGCATAGTCATTCGCGGCATCTGCGACTATGCAGACTCGACAAAAGAAAAGTCCTGGCAGGCATATGCCGCAGCTGTCGCGGCGGCGTGCGCGAAGGAACTGCTTCACTACGTCCAGCCAAGCGAGGTTGATGCAGAGCTCCCAGTTCGAAGCGTTCTTGGTGACGGTTAGTCCCGTCCGAATTCAACTAAGATCGTACGTGTCTGATAGAAGTCAAGTGATCAAGACCATACGGAGCACCGAGACCCAGGTCAAGTCGATGCGATCGCAACTCGAGAAAGAAGAAGACGCTCGCATCCTGAACTGGTTCAGTAAAGCCGAATATGGCTCCCGTCATAGCGACATACTCAAGAACAGGCAGCCTGGAACAGGACAATGGTTCCTAGATTCAGCTCGGTACCGCAAGTGGCGGAGCCTAGAAAGACAGACTGTGTTTTGCAAAGGAATTCAGGGCTCGGGCAAAACGATGATAGCAGCGATCGCGATTGATAATCTCCACGCAGCATTCCTGCCAGATCAATCGATAGGTCTTGCATATCTCTACTGCGCATTCGACCGGCAAAAAGAGCAAACAGTTGAAAGCCTACTTGCAAGCCTCATAAAGCAACTGAGCAAAGGTCAGCCCTCTCTTCCAGATGCAGTGAAAGAGCTCTTCCTCGAACACCAGAGACACAACACGCGGCCCTCATTCGACGAACTCTCCAAAACGCTCTTGGTAGTCACTTCCACATATCGGCGGGTTTTTGTCGTCGTTGATGCCTTGGATGAATTGTTGACTTCTGATGGTCGTCTGCGACAACTTCTGTCACAGATGTTTGCTCTCCAGTCAAGAACTAATCTCAGTTTTCTTGCTACTTCCAGACCTATTCCCGAGATTGAGAAACAATTTACGGCATGCATTATGCAAACAATATCGGCTTCCAAAGAGGATATTCGGAGCTATATCGCTGGCCATTTGGACCGACTCCCGGACTTTGTCATCGAAGATCCAGCATTGCAAGAAGAAATCAAAGATCAAATTATCAAAGCGGCTATGGGAATGTACGAAACCCCGGCACAGTGAACACAGACGCTAACAACTATTTGATCAAGGTTTCTAATTGTGCGACTCTACCTCGAATCTCTTGTGGGGCTTCAAGCACCAAGAGCGATCCGAACAGCTCTGAAGAAGCTTCCTCATGGATCTGATGCATATGACTATGCGTATTCCGAGGCAATGCAAAGAGTCAAGAGCCAACCCAGCGCCTTTCGAAAGGCAGCAGAGAAGGCTTTGAAGTGGATCACGAGTGCAAGAAGGCAACTGAAAGTGTCAGAACTGCAGCATGCCTTGGCGGTTGAAGAAGGAGATACTGACCTCGATGAAAGCGGCATTCCTAGAGTTACCTACATCCTCTCTGTTTGTGCTGGATTAGTGACAGTCGACGAAGAAAGCGATGCTGTGCGATTGGTGCATTACACCACCCAGGAATATTTCGATCGGACCCGAAAGCACTGGTTTCCAGATGCTGACGATGAGATTGCATCGACTTGTGTTCAGTACCTTTCGTTCCACACATTCCGCCTGCCTTGTGCAAGTAGAACAGCACTCTTCCGAAGACTACGGGCATACAAGCTCTACGACTACGCCGCACATTGGTGGGGACATCATGCTCGTGTGGCTTCCTCTCTATGCCCTGCGGTTCGAGCCTTCTTAGAAGATGATGGCCTAATTCAATCTTCTAGCCAGGTCTTGTATTCACATGATCTACAGCGAAAGGTCAGGGGTGTCCACATGGCAGCACTCTTTGGGCTGGCGCAGGCGATTATGGCTGTTCCCCAAGGAACAAACGACATCGACCCACGAGATCAAAATGGCCAAACACCACTGTCTATCGCAGCTCAGCAGGGACACGATATAGTTGCATGCATGCTTCTCGATAGAGGCGCGGATGTCAAGTCAACGGACAGCACCTCTCACCGAACGCCTTTATTCCACGCAGTAGCGGGGAATCATCAGGTAACGGTTCGGTTGCTGCTCAACAGGGGCGCGAGACCTGACGCGAAAGACATCTACGGTATGACTCCGCTGTCGCATGCTGCCGCTCAAGGCCATCAGACACTAGTCCAACTGCTACTGGTCCAAGGCGCCGACATCAACGCCAGGAATAACAGCAATTGGACTCCTTTGGCATTGGCGGCGGAAAACGGTCACGAGAAAGTGGTGCAAATTCTTCTCCAAAAGGGACCTGAACTGGAGGCAAAAGATACGAATCTTTCGCGGACAGCGTTGGCACGTGCGGCTGCAATGGGACACCAGGCTATTGCGAAAATGCTGATTGAGAGCGGCGCTGACATCGAGACACGGGATTGTCATGGCTCGACGCCGCTGAATAGTGCGTTGCACCTCCGGTCGGATGAGATGATCCAGCTACTGTTGGACAACGGCGCACATTGGGATATTGATATTGATCTGAGAATGACTGCAATGGAGTGGGCGGTGCAATCCTCCAGCGAGAGACTGGTGCAATCGCTACTCGAGCGTGGCGCTAGTATTGACCAGAAGAATTACTTTGGTGACACGGTCTTGGCAGTGGCAGCTCGCGATGGGCTTGAGTCTGCAGTACAGATTCTTCTCGATCGAGGAGCTGACTGGAAACTCCAGAACCATGAGGGTGAAACACCATTGGAGCAGGCCGTCAAGTATGGACATGATTCCATAGTACAGCTGTTTCTCGACCGGTTCACGGATCCCGGGTCGAGGGACGAGATGTATCAGCTACTGCTCTTCGCGGCATCGGCGAGAGGTCACATGATCTTTGCACAACTTTCACTTCAGAAAGGGGCTCGGATCAACGGGAAAGGCCTCGATGGAAGCACGCCATTGGCAAACGCAGTTCGTGACGGGCACGATCTGCTGGTCGACTTCCTCCTCAAGAATGGAGCTGATCCAGGGTCCCAGGACAACTTCGGCAGAACTCCATTATCCGAGGCAGCAAAGTCTGGACACTGCGCGCTGGTTAAGCTGCTTCTGGAGAATGGCGCCGATGCGGAGACGATGGATCAAAATGGCAGGACTCCGTTGGGATATGCGGCCAAGTGGGGTCATACTTCGGCGGTAGGACTGTTGCTCGAGCAGGGTGCCAATTTGGAATCGAGAGATAAGAACGGCAGCACTCCATTAGCCAAGGCCGCACGTCGGGGTCATCCTTCAGTAGTGGAGCTGTTGCTTGAGAAAGGTGCCAGTTTGGAGTCCCGAGATAACGACGGCAACACCCCCTTGGCCAAGGCCGCCCAATGGGGTCAAGCTCGGGTGATAGAGCAGTTGCTGGCGAATGGTGCTAGCATCGAGTCCAAGGATAACCAGGGTAGTACTCCGTTAGCATGGGCGGCACTGTGGAGTCATGCGCGCGTGGTCAGAGTCCTGTTGAAACATGGCGCGGATCTCGAATCAGAAGACCGAGATGGCTCGACTCCATTATCCAAGGCGGTGCAGCGGGGCCTCCGACAGGGAATTCCGGGCCAGTTGGACCACCGAGTCATCAAGCTCCTGCTCAGGAGGGGGGCCCAGGTGGAGGCGAGAGATCATCATGGCAGGACGCCGTTGGTTTATGCGGCACAGGCGGGCTGGGCGTCCGTCGCAGAGCTGCTACTTGACCACGGAGCGGAGATGGAGGCGACGGATACTGCGGGCATGACTCCATTGTTATGGGCTGCGAGGCGGGGATCTACCCGAGTTGTTAAACTCCTGCTTGAGAGGGGTGCGAATTCAGAGGCAGAAGACGGGATTGGAATGAATGCATTATCATGGGCGGTGGACGAGGGACATGGTGAAATGGTGCAGTTATTATTTCGTCGATTATGCTAGTGACTAGACAGAAGGCTGAGGTTTAGGACGAAGAAGCAGGACGAAGAGCTCGTAGATACCATCCACCGTCCCCGGTGTTGACATTGTCTCCTGGGTTTTTGGCTCGCTAAGATGATACACTTTTCAGAGACAGACCTGGGCAGCAAGCAAATGCTGAGGATCCATACCAAGACACTCACTATCTAACACATCTAGTCTCGTGAGGCCCGAGCCATCACAACCAAGCTTGTTAAAGCCACAAAACTGTTCATCGGCAACACTTATCTTTCTCGACCAAAGCCCCCCCTCGAAGTTCCTCTTTCTCCTCATCACCTCTACCATCAGGTCTCCAATATTCTCGACAGCAGCACCTACAGCCATCTCAAGGCCATATGTGAGCCACTTTAATGCGTGGGGTGCATTGCAAGCTCACATTGAACTGCTTCGTCCGGCCTTATGTTGATTATATCCAACCTGTCCTTGGTTTCCTTTGGAGCGGTCACCTCAGTCAGGTGCCACGCCATTTCAAATCGCAGGTTCGTCAACAAAGGCGGTACACGAAGCATAAGACAAAAGACCCGTCCTGCATCGCAGGCAGCTTCATGGCTTTCTTTCGCTTTGCGCTTGAACTGAAGCTCTAGTCGCCGCAAGAAGTTATCAGCGCTCAGCATCAACCTCACCATTGATATGTTGATTCGAACTCTAACGCCATTCTCCATATTATCCCATGCACGGGTATCAATAGATTTAGGTCAGAATCTGGCCCATGGCAGAACGCTGCTGTTTGATCTCTTTATCTCGACAAGGTTATCGGGGATCTTGGAATACCAGCTCCAATTGGCAGAGCTCTTGCTCCCAACCACAGGCAGTCAGTGCCTCTGGGTCATCTCTCACTGCGATTGACCCTGCAGAACAGCAGTCGAAGATATAAAGTGCTTCTCCGTCTAGGTTCCAGCTGGAGATGAGGTACTGAAAAGTAGCCTATCGACCTATTTCTTGACAGGGTTTCCTTCGCTGCAGCATTTGCGCCAGGGATTTGCCGGGTTCTGTTCCTAGGATGGGAAACATACGCTCTAAAACGCCTAAACGGCGGACTCACGTGGAGCCTATCCAAACGAGGAACCCGCACATGTGTATGTGCAGGTATAAAACCGCTATGCACTCGGCCGTATCCACGAAAAACATTGGTTCGTGGGCCTTGGACGTCAAGGCGCATTCACACGGTTGCGATCCGCTCCTCTTCTCCACTCGTTGGTGAGGCGTAACAACCAGGAGGATAAGCTCCAAGTAGTTGCAGAACGCCGAATGCGCCAAGGTAGCTGGTGTTGGAGACTCTGCAACTGTTGGCAAGAAGTCACTGGTTTTGGCGACAGCGGTCTTGGAGATCCTATGCTGTGGCTTTTGACCTGGAATTTCTGATTCTCTGTCTGTATACCTAATCGCGGAGGCATGTATCAAAGAAGCATGGCAATCGGGCTATGCCTCTATTGACTTTGGACATCACAATTGACTCAGACAGTTCCGATGCGCCTCTTCTCTGCGCTGGAATACGGATATTGCAAAGCAATTGCAACTGATTTGACTGGAAGTTGAGATGCTCGAGGAGAAAGAACAAGCCCAGAGATCTCGAGGGCTGATGGAGGAAATGAATTACTTCAAGTAGTGGCCATTCTTACATCCATCAACAGCGAGTGATTCACCTCATGCAGTATTCATCTCGATAATTGTCTTATGTGCATGGAATGACATCCTGTGAAACCAAGTAAGTCGAAAGCTGGGATAAAATGCTTTGTTTCAGATTTAGATAACACAACTCAGCAGAGTCAATTCGTCCTAAAGGGTCAGATAATATGATTTGGTTCTAACGGTAACCGGTAGTGTATGCTTAGTGTCTTTGCTTCGGGCCAGAGACGCTATCCTGCCCCGGCCCTAAATGATGCTGATGGTTTATATGGTCCCCCAACGTGGTACTACCTGATCATCGCAGTGTCATTTCTAACATGTACTTACAATCATAAATGTCCTCTGCTCTCTAGATTTTGCAGAGAATATTTCTCCGGCTGCCTTGAGACTATTTTATTTTCAATTGGCAAAATTAGTGTGGCATTGCGCAATTGGTACCCTCAATAGCATAATCATAGCGACAAATGGCTACAATTGTCAATGATTTTGCAACAACCTAGAGAGTCAGTAGCCAATTCTACAGCATGCTCAAGTGCTACCGATTACGGGTACTGTTGTGCATTGAATTTGCAGTCACCCTCCTGCAATCGCCGATTTTCTCGAGCCACAAATGGATGGATGCAGTGCACAGATCCTCTGCTATGCATTGCTGCAATAGTGGCGGGATCTACATCTCCTACACCAGTCAAAGTGACAGGTCCGCCACACTGAGCAGCCCCGCAGCTCCGCAGCTCGGCGAGGTGGGCAATGCCTTGCTTACCCCGCTCCCGCCTTATAAGTTCAACCCAGCTTATCTTCCCAAACTCTCTTCCACAACACAACTCTTCTTCCTCACACCACGTCTCCCATCTTGCAAATAACCGTCATGTCAGCGTAAGTATTTCCCTTCCCTTTCTTTTGTCTGCATCTACGACCGTCCTGTCAACCTAACATCTCTAGAACCCCCCCACCCGACGATGCCTACTACAATCTAGGCACCTATACCCGCACAGTAACCACCACCTCCCCCGCGGCCCAAACCTGGTTCACCCGCGGCTGGCAATGGGCCTACAGCTTCAACCACGAAGAAGCCCTGCGCTGCTTCGAGACCGCCATCAAACATGACCCCAGATGCGCCATGGCCCACTGGGGCATCGCCTACAGTCTCGGCCCCAACTACAACAAAGCGTGGGCCTTCTTCGACCGCGCCGATTTGGCAGTGAGCATCACCAAGGCCCTGTGCGCCCTCACCCACGCCCTGGAACTCGCCAAAGACCCGACCACCAAGACCACCGCGGCCGAAAAAGCCCTCATCACCGCCCTCTTCCCCCGCTTCCCGCGCTGGTCCGCATCCACCGGCTCCGCATCCACCGCTTCCGACAACAGCAACTTCCCCATCGACTTCGCCCGCCTGAACCAAGCCTATGCGGACGCCATGCGCATCGCCTACAGAGAACACCCGGACGACATCGACATCACGGCCCTGCTGATCGAAGCGCTGATGTGCATCTCGCCGCGCGGGCTGTGGAACCTGACGACGGGGGAGCCCAGCGGGCGCCACACGGTGGAGGCGCGCCACCTGATTGAATCCGCATTCGCGACCGGCGGCCCCGAGGCCCAACACAACCCGACCCTGTGCCACCTGTACATCCACCTGATGGAGATGTCGCCGTACCCGGAGATCGCGCTGCCGGCCGCGGACCGGCTGCGGCGCGCGGCGCCCGACGCCGCCCATCTCCTGCACATGCCGACGCACATCGACATGGCGGTCGGCGACTACCGGCGCTCGGTGGAGTCGAACTCGGACGCCATCCGCGCGGACGAGACGTATGTGGCCGGGTGCGTGGCGGAGGGGCGCACGGGCGCGGGCGTCGGCGGCGCGCTGTACGTCGCGTACCGCGTGCATAACATCTGCGCGAAGCTGTACTCTGCGCTCATTGCGGGGCAGTTCGCTGTGAGTATGGAGGCCGTACGGCAGCTGGAGGGGCTTGTGACGGAGGAGACGCTGCGCATCAAAAGTCCCCCCGTCGCGGACTGGGTGGAGTCGTTCCTGGGGAACCGCGCGCATGTCTTGGTGCGGTTCGGCCGGTGGGAGGAGATTCTTGGGCTGCAGGAGCCGCAGGATCGCGAGCTGTACTGCTCGACGTATGCGACGGTGCTGTATGCCAAGGGCATCGCGTTGAGTGCGTTGGGGAGGGTGGAGGAGGCGGAGGCGATGCAGCGGCGGTTCGACGAGGCCAGGGGCAAGGTGCCGACTACCCGCATCGCGAGTCTGCCGAGCAAGCAGGTCGATGTGTTGGCCGTGGGCGCGCAGATGTTGCAGGGCGAGCTGGAATATCGCCGGGGTGAGGTGGATCAGGCGTTTGAGACGTTGGCGAGCGCGGCCGAGCTGGAAGATAATCTGCCCTACGGGGATCCGCCGCCGTGGATGCAGCCGGTCAGACATGCGTTGGGAGGGTTGTTGCTCGAGCAGGGGCGGGTGGCTGAAGCGGAGAGGGTGTTTCGGGAGGACCTGGGTATGGCGGAAGGGTTTCCGCGGCGGAAGGGCCGGCTCAATAATGTCTGGGGATTGCATGGGTTGCATGAGTGTCTGGTGAGGCAGAAGAAGCTGGGTGAGGCGCGGCTGATCGAGCCGGCCCGGGATCTGGCGATGGCGGCGGCGGATGTGCCCATTGTGACCTCGTGCTATTGTCGGCTAAGCGCGGTGGGAGCAGACAAGTGTTGTGAGTGTGGGTGCTGAGGACTAAAAGAGATTAGCATCGAAGCGATGTATGGAAGTCGATTCTGGCCGCTCGAAAATCAGTACGTACAGCAAATGAAAAGCTCTCACGTATGACATTGGAACATCCCATATGGGCCGATTCCATTTGGAACGTCGCCACTCGCCTGGGGCGGGACTTGAATCCAATTGTCTGCATGGGAGAAGATCTTCAGGGTAGAACGTGCTTCTTCCATCGAGTGAGTACCAAGAATCAGGAGGATAATGCGGTGGTGTGGTGTGTACTGCTGTGGTGCTGTGAGTGTGAGTGAGTAATGGTGGTGGTGGTGCCAGTGGTGCTAGTGAATGCTAGAGGCAGAGCCGGCGGGCGGTTGCCTTGATCTGAACGTCAACCTCATTCTCTCTCTACTCCCATTAACATCTCATTCACCAAATAACTCGCCGGATCCCAACCACCATCTTCCGGCTTCTTCTCATGATCAGTCCATCCTTATTTTGCCAGCCGTCTGGCTTCCTACCTACAATGGCACATATCCCCTCTGACGCCATCATCCCACTCTAGACTAATCTCGCCTCTCTCATTCCTCACACGGAATCTACTCTCGTTCTCGGGCGCATACACATCTCACACTGCATGGGGGAATCCCTCATCGTGTTGGTCGGGAATGCTTCAGACGTCAGAGGAAATCGCTCCGAATCATGTTCGCGACTTTTATCCGGCTTCAACAAGCTCGAATAGTTGTTAGACCCCTGTTTGGGTTAAATCACATTCCCATCCAGGCTTAAAATCCTGCATGATACCTGTTTGGGTTGCTGATCTGCAAAAGGGTTCCAGCTCACATTCCAAGCGGCGGGGATACCGGTGTGAAGAGCCTACGCCATGCGGATGTCTATAGTCGACTAAGTAGGTATCGAAAGGAGCTCTGTGACAGTATGACGTGCATTAGTTGCTTATATACTCGATCTCGCCGCTCAGGAGTGCGTCTAACCGTACACTGTCGCAGCGTTTCTGCAATTTGGCTAGCCATGTTGCAGACATTGTCGGACCTCCCGATCATCTATTGCCTTCGATCCTTCTGTCACCGTCGTGGGGAAACACACCACGATGCTTCATCAGCAAATGTTGCGAGACCTACTAGCCCCGAAGCCAAGGGCGCTTCAGCCAGCCATGACTGGAAGGCCCACAGTGCCAACCCAAAGAACTGGCCGTTGTCACGCAAGGTGTTCACCGCCAGCGTAATCTACGCCTATACGTAAGTCTGCCGACTCGATCTCTGGCCACGCTCGTTCGTACTCACTGCGTCAGCTTCGTGGTCTATGCGGGATCCGCGATGTACATGTCGGCTGTGCCGGTGCTGGTCAAGCAGATGGGGATGAGCGAACAGCGGGCTTTACTCGGGCTATCCGCCTATGTTCTCGGCTGTACGTATACACCTCTTTCAGGGTTTGAGTCGTCTGACAGGTTTAGACGGCGCCGGCCCTCTCCTGTGGGGCCCGATGAGCGAGGTTCCCTCCGTCGGTCGCTCCGTGGTATACTTCAGCAGCTTCGTGATCTTCATCGCCGTCACGGCGGGCGCCGCCAGCGTGGACAATTTCGGCGCGTTCGTCTTCCTGCGGTCGATCCAAGGCTTCTTCGGCAGCCCGTGCCTGGCCAACGGGGCCGCCAGCATGTTCGACATGTTCGACGAGACCCAATACCCCTACGCGCTGGGGTTCTGGACGGCGGCGGCGTACTGCGGGCCGGCGCTGGGCCCGTTGCTGACCGACCACCTCGTGTACCAGCTCTCGTGGCACTGGTCCATCTGGCTGATCGCGTGCATGTCCGCGCCGGTGGGGGTGATGCTGTTCGTGCTGCCGGAGACGTACGCTCCCACCGTCCGGCTCCGGCGGGGATTTGCCCATACCGACGCGACCATCAGCGCCTGGGCCCGCCTCAAATTCTACCTCGTCAAGCCGGTGCAGATCACCCTGCAGGACCCCGCGGTGTTCTTTGTCAACCTGTACACCTCCTTCATCTACTCGAGCTACTACATCTTCTTCGACTCGTTTCCCGTGGCGTATCTAGAGGGGTACCAGGTCTCGACAGGGACGTTGGCCTTATTTTATCTGAGCGTGTTGGTGGGATGCGTCCTCGCCGCGGCGGTGTACTTTCTGATCCTGGTGCCGTACGTCTTCTCCCGCCGGCCGCCTATTCCGGGTGAGCATGAAACCAAACCCGACCCTTCGAGTGAAACCCCCCACAGCAACAGCAGCAACAACACCCCCACCCCGCCCCCGGAACGCAACCTCCTTCCCGCCCTCCCGGCCACCATCTTCCTCCCCGTCGGCCTCTTCCTATTCGGCTGGACCGCCCGCCCCGGCGAGATCCACTGGTTCCCCAGCCTAATCGGCGTGGTCCTCTACACCGGCGGCGTCTTCGTCATCTTCCAGTGTCTGTTCCTGTATCTGCCGAAGATGTACCCGCGGTACGCGGCGAGCCTGTTCGCGGCGAACGACTTCTGTCGGTCGGCGTTGGCGGCGGGCTCGATTCACTACGGGGTGCCCCTGTATCGGAATCTGGGGGTGGGGAGGGGGTCGAGTGTGCTGGGAGGCGTGTCGGTGTTGGGGGTGGCGGGGATGGCGGGGATTGTGTTGTTTGGGGGGAGGTTGAGGGAGGGGAAGGGACGGTTTCGGAATCCGGAGATTCTTTAGGCGGTCTTGTCTGTGCTGAAGATTTATGGGGGAATGTTGAGGCGTTTGAGTAAATGCGGGTTTGAGGGTGGGCTAGTCGGTGCTGGATTACCGATGCTGTTGCTCTGGTTGGCTTTGCTTAGAATACTGAAAATAGGGCTGCATTGATGGGCAGGATATGCATCGAGATCCTAGGCCATAACAGCGATCCATGATAGGTAGGGTGTGATCTATACTGGTTAAGAATTAGCTTGAACCATTTTTAGCCAATCATTTATGATTAAGTGCAACGGTTGGGGATTAGTTCCGATACCTTCATTGTAATCTGTGTATGATCTAGTTAAAGAAGAGTTCAATCCCTGAAGCAACGATTATGAATCATGTACTGCAATTTGCAACCAGCATGCAAACCCTCATCCTCACTCAGCCTTGACCATGTTTCCACAATGCTTCATCCTCGGACTTTAAAGCGAGGCTGCAAGATCACAGTGTCCACCCGCCCGCATCCCGAATCTACAGCTCACTCCCGCAAACATTCCCATCAGAGCCCTCCAAAACCGAGAATCATTGATTGCCTATTGAACAGTATTCCCAAATTACCCAATGAAACCAAAATCACCCACTTACGCAACCTGTCCCCCCCCCTCCCATATCCAATCTCATCCTATACCCTCATCCAATCGTCGTCTCGTCTACAACCACCAAACCCCCACCGCCACCGCCCCCAACCCGACCACCACCACCGCAATCATCCCCACAAACCCCCGCATCGACTTCCGCTGCTGCACGCACGCCACCCTCACCTCCGCGGTGGGCTGCCACACCCCACGCCCCGAAACCTCCAACCCAGCCTTCCGGTCTGGAAACACCGGCGGCGCGAGCAGATGCACCACCGGCTCGAGGAGGCTGCAGGTCACGAGGAAGGTGATGTGCAGCATTGGCGGGAAGGCCGCACCCGTGAGCAGGACCTTAACCATCGATGTCGAGGGGTCGGAGACACCCCGCCCCAGGGCGAGGGTGAATGCGCCGATCGTCACGCAGAGGAGCAGCACGCTGAACCCGATGCCGTTGTCCCAAAGGTTGTAGTGCAGGCTCTGTAGGAACGTAGGGGCGGCGGTGCGGTTGGAGGTGTTGGTTGTGCTGCCGGTGACGAAGGAGCCTTTTTTCGGCCGGGCGGAGATTAGGTGGAAGCGGAGGAGGGCGAGGAGGTGTGCTGTTTTTTTTTGGTTAGGTTTGGGGTTGGTTTGGGGGAGCGTGCGAGACTTACATCCGGCGAGCCAGGTGTTTTCCAAATGGGCGAAGGGGGCGCTTTGAAAGTCTGTGTGCGCGGATTGCAGAGCTGCGAAGAGCCAGCTTAGTGCGACGTGGACTATTGCCAAAATGAGCTGGGGTTTGAGGTGGGTGGTGGTGGGGATTAGTGGCTGCGCGGTGAGGAGGAGAGTGGGCACCGCCACAAAAATCGCGAGCAAGGCGACCAGCCGGCCCGTGATGGCCAGCCCGTTCAGTACGATCCCCCACTGCATCGAGCGGGACATGGTCGCGTTGGTGGGGGCGAACAGCACGCGGTTCTGCTGCGTGTGCCCGATGTGCCACCGGCTCTGCTGCGCGATGTGGCCGGCCAGCGAGGTCGGCACGAGCCCGAACTGCAGCGGCTCCTGCACCTGGATCGTCTCATGGCCCAACCCCTGCAGCACCAGCGACAGCTGCCAGTCCTCCGAGAACGAGTAGGTCGGGTACCCGCCGGCGTCGACGATGGCGCGCCGCCGGAACAGCGCCCCGGACCCGGCGTCGATCGCCCGCCCCTGCAGATCCAGCTCCGTGTTCTGGCAGGTGTAGAAGTGCAGCCGCGACTGCGAGAACGGGTCCCCGCGCGGCAGGTTGTAGAAGTACTGGCGCGTGGTGACCAGGACCGCCGCGGGCGTCGCCAGGAGATGCGGCAGCGTCGCGCGCAGGAACTCCGGCGCCGCGATCGAGTCGGCGTCGAAGATCGCGCAGAACTCCGGCTGCGTCTTCTCTTGCAGCGTCTGCAGCGCGTAGTTCAGGTTGCCCGATTTCGCGAACACCTGCCCCGTCTGCCGGCCGCGCGAGTGGTACGAGAGGTGCGGCCAGGTGGGTTGCAGCTCCGTGACCGCGGAGCGCAGCGCCGCCGACCCGCCGTCGTCCAGCACGCGCACCCGGAACTGGGTCACTGGGTAGTCCAGCGTGCACGCCGCGCGGATCGTGTCCAGGATCACCTCGACGGGCTCGCCGCAGCAGGGCAGCAGGACTTCGACGGTGGGGAGGTTCTCATCGCCTTGCAGACGGAGTCGCTTGCGCGGTGAGTTGGGCGGCGCGCGGCCCGATGCGACGGTCAGGAGCTGGTCTTGTCGCGAGAGCACTGCAGTTGGTTAGTGGTGTTCGGATCTGATGGTATGGGTGGGTGCACTCACGCGCGAACATCCCCTCGATGGCCAGCGTCACCCACATCTGCCATGTCTGCACGGGCGAGGTCAGGATCGACACCAGCCGCAGCACGAAATACGCCTGGAACGTCCAGACCGCCGTTTGCGCCACATAGTACAGATAGCCGCGGTATTTCAGGCCGGACAGGATTCTTGGGTCCGGGGGGAGTTCCTGGACGTTGTAGCCTCCAGTCGACATTTTGCTGCGCTGAGGGTCGGTTGGCAGGAAGATTCGGCCGTGCGGTCTTTTGCGATCTGCTTGTTCTGGAGGGTGAGTCTCCGATTCTGCGGACAGAACCAGCGTGCCACTTAATCCTCAGCTGCGGATGGTGGTCATGGAGAAGAGTATTGTCAGTCGCGAGCGATGTTAGAGAAGAGAGGAAGAAAAGAAAAAAAAAATCGCGATGAACACCCTGGCCGTCGCAAGGAGGTTTTGTGCGCCGCCGCCAGCTCGAGGGCCATTTTAGTTCTAGAATTTACCACCTCCGATGATCCACTTATTGCCGGATCGGGGCGATTCTGTAAACATTCACTTGCACAGTCAGGGGGCACGGATGCGGGGAGGGAGTTGCCGATTGGCAGGCTGGCGGGTCGCTGGCTTCACCGCCTCGGATTCCAAGGTTGTGGTTATGTTGAGGGCGTTGGGAGTTGGTTTTGTGTCTTGATGCTAAATTAGCTTGGTATAGTAGGGGTAGTAGTAGTTCTAGAATGGGTCTGGGTCTGATCGTGATGACCCTCTCATCAGTTATCCCTTCCTTCATGCCTCGGGAGATCGTCCAACTGGAGGGTTTCCACTCCTGATCTTACTTCAGTATGGAGAATAGTGCAGTACACATACACATGCAAATACAAATCCTCACCATGGATGCCTTCAGTCTCTGGCTCTGCAGCAGGTTTACCCCTATTACAACCACACGTGGCTAGACGAGAGGCCAACCTTTGCCACCGCAGCAACAGCAACAGCAACAAACCCCCTATTCCGGGTTGCAGGTTGCAGACCGCCTCGCCTCTCACCCGTTCTGTCATTCTCCGGCCCGATGTTAGCGCCTTGGGGTCTTCCGTTGCTTCCGGCTGGGGGGTGCAGTCCTCCAGGCTGCCAACGAGTGCTCTGTAGTCTATAGGCTATGAGTGTGGATCGGTTGTTGTCTATAGTTGCTGCACTGGAGGATGAGCTAATCAGCCGATTACTCAGACACCGCTGTTCTACTAAGAATTTCCTCAATTAGAACCATACTTAGGGGTCGATTCGGTGAACAACTGTTGAAAAAAGATGCACGGTGCATGTGCAGCATTGCACCATGATTTGCCCCCGCGTAAACTGCTAGCCCGCTTTGCATTAGCGCTTTTGTTGCTGGTGGACTCGGGGGTCTTCGGTCAGGTGACTGATCTCGGCCAATGAGCAAGCTGAAATCTTTTTATGTCATTCCTGAGTCAGCGGATAAGGGTGCGGCTCGCTGGTAATGGCTTCTCCGCGTCGGGTCAATGTCGGCAGATCTGGCGCTGCTTTGCACTGGCTTTTGGAGATCTGGGGATATGTCGTTGGGATGTTCGTTATGTGCACTATTTATAAGCTATTCTTTGAATATGCAGTGCTTCTCAAGTATACAACTGCAGTCCTCCTTGTCTAGAGTGCTTGATCATGGCCCTTTTTGTTTTTGAGCCACGGGCAGCGTCCATGGGCTACTATTAAGAATATATAGTCGGAATCTGCACTTGGCCATCGTGACATCTATCCTTCTTACGGCCCAAGTGATGGTTATCTTGCTGGAATTTACATCATCGATATTGTCACTATGCTCACCTTGTCTACATGCATCGTCTATAGAACATGGTGCTATCAATCATACGTCCCAGCAGGTGAAGCCTTCCCCTCACACATGACGTCGCTCCACTCCTTCCTGTCGGCCCACCGCGGACCGCCCGTCAGCATCGCGTTTCTCGCTCAGCTTGGCTCCGAGGCTGACCAATGCACCGGCCATCTAGACTGGCGATCAGATGTTTACCCTGACAATATAACAAAGAGGGTTGACGCGTTGATTAAGGCCCAGACCAGCATCAAAGCAAGTCGACCTTTGGAAAGACGCACTGCACTACCTTCGTCTCAAGTCACACTGTGTTGAATATCAACCCGATCAAAACAACAACGAAATGTCATCAATCCTGTTGCAGAATGCGACGATTCTGGTTCCCTCCGGTGACAAGAATGACTACGTCGTTCCCCGCCACAACCACTCGCTGCTCATCGAAGGATCCAGGATCTCGCAGATCGCACCCCAGATAGCCCCGCCTGCCGAATCCACCCAAGTCATCGACTGCACCGGGAAGATCATCTCCCCTGGGTTCATCGATACACATCACCACCTCTGGCAGACACAGCTCAAGGGACGCCATGCGGATCATACCTTGATAGAGTACATGCCCACGGGTGGGTAGTATGTCTCTTCTGCAGAGAACCATATACTGAATTAGCGCCAGGAAACCTGCAACAGGTCAACTTCACACCAGAGGATATCTTTTGGGGCGAGCTGGGAGGCTGTCTCGAGGCCTTAGATGCAGGAACTACCACCGTGGTGGACCATGCTCACATGAACGTCACCCCCGCTCATTGTAAGGCTTGCTATACCCCCTGCTTACCACGCTGTCGTAACTAACAATCCCAACAGCCGTAAATGGGATAGCAGCGACAGCGTCCTCCGGCATCCGATCTATCTTCTGCTACACACCTACCTCGACGGTCAAGAAGTGGAAGCCAGAAATCGAGATGAACACCAGCCTGCTCGATGAATGGGTCCTCCAACAACTCGAGGAGCTGGCCGCAGCGGCGCCATTTGGCGACGGGCGCGTCCAGCTGGGTCTGGCTTTTGACGGGTTCATGCTGCCGAAGGAGGTGGTCGTCGCGTTGTACGACCGCGCCCGCAAAGCTGGAGTGAAGGTGATAACCACCCACTATGTGCGTGGATATTTCAGTAAGCTCAACCCGAACTTTCCATCTTGGCTCCGAATGCAGGCACTAAGTACAATAGGCGACGGATCCCTGGTCGACACCCTCGAGGACTACGGCCTCTTGGGCCCCGACATTCTTCTCTCGCACGGCAACAACCTCTCAGCCACCGACATCGAGAAACTCTCGCAAGCGAAAGCATGGATCTCCGCCACCCCCGACACCGAACTGCAGATGGGCCACGGGAACCCCGTCTGCTTCCAGAACGGCTGCACGAACATTACCGCGCTCGGGATCGACTGCCATAGTAACAATTCCGGCGACATCGTCACCCAGATGCGCCTGGCGTTGCAGAGTGAGCGCGCTCGCCGGAATGAGAAGCTTCTCGCGCAGGAGAAGTATCTGCGCTCGTTGGATGTGTCCGTGCAAGATGCCTTCCGGCTGGGGACGATCCAAGGCGCCCGCGCGATCGGCATGGCAGATCATCTGGGATCGATTGAAGTCGGGAAGCTTGCGGATCTGGTGGTTTTTGACGGCGAGAGCCCGGGGATGATCTGCGCTGCGGAGAAGCATCCGGTCGCGGCTATTGTATTGCATTCGTCTGTGCGCGACGTGGATACGGTCATTGTTAACGGCGAGATTCGCAAGCAAGGCGGTCGGTTGGTGCCGGTGGACATTGACCCCTCATTTCCCGAGGTGACGATCGCAAAACGAAGGGTGGAATGGAAGGATGTGGCGCAAGAGTTGCGGGACAGTCAGGAGAGGATTCAGAATGCTGCGGTGGAAGCTGGGGCTGTGGGAACTCGAGTGTCCGAGGCACTGAGAACCTTCCATGTGGACCCGAACAAGTTCGTTTGAGCTGTGAGGCGTCGAGGAAGTCTGGGAGGGTCGCGTTAGCCTTCGAGTCAAGGGGGTGGTGGTGATGGACGTAGCCTGCCAATATATCTCCGTGCCCTATAAAGCACGGACTGCCCATCCGATCAGCTCTCCTGTTAATATGGCGACTCGGTCCGACGGCCGATTATATTATAGAGGTAGATCGAGGTGGGTGGATGCGAGCAGAGGAATGGCGTCATGAGGCAGAGACCAGAGGCCGGCAGGTGACACCCTGAATGTTCAGGTACCCGTGCGGCAGCGGCACGTGGAGGGACTAATTAGCACTGACTAACTAGCAGGGATCGCAGACAGAAGTGTGTCTTTTCTTCACCTTCCCCTCATCTCTACTCCGGAGTACTTCTTCAACCTATTACCTGTTCTTCATCGCTCCTCCAAGACCCCATCCCCTGCATGAAGGAGTGAACACCATCCTGCAAGTGATAGCCTGCCTTAGCGTCCTGGCATCTCCGCCTGGGATTTATCCATATTACCCCTGATCAACAGGGGAGTGCGAACGAGGCTTCGACGGAGGAACGTCCGTGGACAATCCGTTTCTTTACTTCTTGGCCCATTTCGGACGCCTTCCGCTGCCAAGGTGCGTGTCACACGATCGTCCGTGCCTGTAATTAGCTGACAGGCTAATTAAAGCCAACTTGCCTTACAGCTACCTCTGTTGCCCATACTGCATCTGCGCGATGGATCATATCACTGATTGCCATCAAGACACCAATCAGGTCGAGCAGCAAAGCGGGGTATACTCCGAGAAGGGCATGACCGGAAATTAAACCTGACTTAAGCCAAGAACAAGTATTGGATTGTCTACACACCAGGTTCCTGCCGTCATGGGGAGGGTGACTTAAATAGGACCTGGGGCGCACCCACCTCTCTCCGTCGATCAACCTAGCTTGAACCATCAACCACCAACTTCAGCACCATGGCCCGATCAAGCCTGGCCTTGCTATGCGCAGCCCTCCTGGGCAAGGTTGCAGACGCTGCGGCGTCGCAGGCCTACACGTGGAAGAACGTCGTCACGGGTGGTGCGTCTGTCTGATCTCCTACATTGGAAGCAAGATTGCTGACTGCAAAGCAAACAGGCGGAGGAGGTTTCACTCCCGGTATCGTCTTCAATCCCTCCGCCAAAGGAGTGGCGTACGCGCGCACGGATATCGGAGGCGCGTACCGTCTGAACTCGGACGACACGTGGACCCCGTTGATGGATTGGGTGGGAAATGATACCTGGTGGGCTGCCCTGCTTCCCCGGCAACGGTATGGGTAGGTTGGCTGACAAGCTCAGGCATGACTGGGGCATCGATGCCCTTGCCACAGATCCCGTTGACACTGACCGTCTGTACGTGGCGGTGGGCATGTATACCAACGAATGGGACCCCAATGTGGGATCGATCCTGCGCTCGACGGACCAGGGTGATACCTGGACTGAGACGAAGCTGCCATTCAAGGTTGGCGGGAATATGCCTGGTCGCGGCATGGGTGAGGTAGGTTGCGTTCCCCTTCCTGGAGTTGAGTGGAAAGCTGATGCAATGCAGAGATTGGCGGTCGACCCGAACAAGAATAGCATTCTCTACTTTGGAGCGCGGAGTGGGCACGGCTTGTGGAAGAGTACGGACTATGGAGCGACCTGGTCAAATGTCACTTCCTTCACCTGGACTGGTATGATTCTTCGGTGCTGGTGAGTAGGGCTTGGCTAAGTGTGTGCAGGAACGTATTTCCAGGATTCGAGCTCGACCTATACCTCGGACCCCGTGGGTATTGCTTGGGTGACTTTTGATTCGACCTCTGGTAGCTCGGGGTCTGCGACACCGAGGATTTTCGTCGGTGGGTAACTCCTCGCAAAAGCGGAACCATCTTCTAATGTGTCGATAGGCGTTGCGGATGCTGGCAAGTCGGTTTTCAAGTCGGAGGATGCGGGTGCTACTTGTGAGTCTGAATCAGCCCGCAACTGAAAGCAGCGCTGACTCTCCAGGGGCTTGGGTGTCCGGAGAGCCTCAGTACGGCTTCCTCCCGCACAAGGGGGTCTTGTCCCCTGCGGAGAAGACGCTGTACATCTCCTACGCCAATGGCGCTGGTCCTTACGATGGCACAAACGGCACGGTCCACAAGTACAACATCACCAGCGGAGTGTGGACGGATATTAGTCCCACCTCCCTTGCGAGTACCTACTACGGTTACGGTGGGCTGTCAGTTGACCTCCAAGTTCCTGGCACCTTGATGGTGGCGGCACTCAACTGCTGGTGGCCGGATGAGCTCATCTGGCGTAGCACTGACTCTGGAGCAACCTGGTCCCCTATTTGGGAGTGGAACGGTTATCCGAGCATCAATTACTACTATAGCTATGATATCAGCAACGCCCCCTGGATCCAGGACACGACTTCGACCGACCAGTTCCCTGTTCGTGTCGGGTGGATGGTTGAAGCCCTTGCTATTGATCCGTTTGACTCCAACCACTGGCTCTATGGTACGGGTCTGACAGTATATGGCGGACACGACCTGACGAATTGGGACTCGAAGCACAATGTGACCGTCAAGTCCCTGGCGGTCGGTATTGAGGAGATGGCAGTGCTTGGACTGATCACGCCGCCCGGAGGACCGGCGCTGCTGTCCGCTGTTGGCGACGACGGTGGGTTCTACCACGCGGATCTGGACGCAGCGCCAAACCAAGCGTTCCACACGCCGACCTACGGCACGACCAACGGAATCGACTACGCCGGCAACAAGCCCTCCAACATCGTCCGGTCCGGAGCTAGCGACGACTACCCGACTCTCGCCCTGTCGTCGAACTTTGGCTCGACTTGGTATGCAGACTACGCCGCCTCTACCAGCACCGGCACCGGAGCGGTGGCTCTGTCCGCCGATGGAGACACGGTGCTTCTCATGTCCAGCACCTCGGGCGCGTTGGTGTCGAAGTCGCAGGGCACCTTGACCGCGGTCTCCTCTCTCCCGTCCGGGGCGGTCATTGCCTCCGACAAGTCCAACAACACGGTCTTCTATGGTGGATCCGCGGGCGCGATCTACGTGTCAAAGAACACGGCGACCTCCTTCACCAAGACCGTGACCCTGGGGTCCAGCACAACCGTCAACGCCATCCGTGCGCACCCCTCCATCGCCGGAGATGTCTGGGCGTCGACCGACAAGGGCTTCTGGCATTCCACGGATTACGGTAGCACATTCACGCAGATTGGCAGCGGCGTCACGGCGGGCTGGAGCTTTGGGTTTGGCAAGGCGTCCTCCACGAGCAGCTACGTCGTGATCTATGGGTTCTTCACCATCGACGGTGCCGCGGGGCTGTTCAAGAGCGAGGACGCGGGCACCAACTGGCAGCTGATCTCGGATGCTTCGCACGGGTTCGGCTCTGCGTCCGCCAACGTGGTGAACGGCGATCTGCAGACCTACGGCCGCGTGTTCGTGGGCACCAACGGCCGCGGCATTTTCTACGGCAATCCCAGCGGGAGCCTGCCGGCCGCCACGGCGACGGCGACGGCGACAGCGACAACCTCCAAGACCTCGACGACGGTGTCGACGACGTTGAAGACCACCACCAGCGCCTCGACCACTTCTTCCAGCACGACCGTGAAGACCACGACTAGCTCTTCCAGCACGACTTCGAAGGCCAGCTCAACCACCACAACGACAACCAAGACTACCAGCACCACAACAACCACGTCGAGCGGCAGCACCGCGACGGCCTCCGCGTACGCGCAGTGCGGCGGCAGCGGCTGGACGGGAGCGACCGTCTGCGTGAGCGGGTACAAGTGCACCTACTCGAATGACTTTTATTCTCAATGTAAGTCTGTTGTGTCAAGCTAGGTGATGATTGCTAACTGAGGGTGAAGGTGTTCCATCATGATGACGGGGAAGGAAACGTGATGGAGGAGATTCGTGCCTTGATTTATTTTGGTCGGTAACTGACGTTGTAAAGTGTTATCTCTGCACTTGGTTTAGTGAATGTGTTGTTTCATAATATGATCTTGTAATTGAGTGCTTCTGCGTATCTCGGATTTAGGGAGTGGTCGGTGGTCGGCGGAGACGGCGTAGACTGAACCGAGGCCGCGGCTCCGGGGCCGGAATAAGTATGTTCCAAGCGATTGTGGCGTGGTGGCCCGGTCGTAACTCTGCTGTGCTGTCGGTACTTGAATATTGTGTGCATGGTTGAGTATAATCTTGCTGTGACACGGCCGCTCGCATCATTGAAGTTGATATTCCTCGCCGGACTGAATCTGCCAGGTGGAATGGGTATTCTCGTACTTATGACAAGTGCAGCGTAGTGTTTTTGTAAACATCCTGAATATTCTCAACACACACTTCTTTTGTAGGAATTTTTCCCCATCCGGCATGTCATTGTCATCATCAGGATACCGTGGGAGATTATATATTCACGAGTTGAGATTACAACACCTTCAAGGATCCCTCATATCTCATGAATGTTGAGACAAGAGACACTGGATGTACTGTATGACTACCAGCAAGATATGCCATGGCAAGTCATCTAGCTTATAGAAGTAGAGCTATGAGCTAGAGCTATGAGCTAGAGCTCTACAAGACAAAACCCCTGCAACCACAATCTCATGCATATATACTCATACTCTACAGAATCCCTGTCCTGTATCCGAATCTTTATCTATGAGTATAAGAAGATAAAAGCATGCGACCACCAACCAATAGAGGTAATGCAAGCCGAGCTGAGCTGGGTTGGGCTGCCGAATTCCGAAACCCAGTACGCGATTCGATTTTCCAATTTTGGGGGGTCTGATAGGCAAAACCCGGAACCCAGGATTGTCTGATGGGGTTCATGTCCAGGGGTTTGGGAACATGCCACTCCCAAAAACCGTTAGCCAGGAACCTAGTACCTGGATCTGGGATTTTACTTGCAGGGCGGAAGGAGACACACTGGCGGAAAAACAGGTGGCATATCCTTGCCAAGGCGGGTTTACTGTACGGGTACCGGGGGGGAGGGTTCCACTATCGCGATGGGCGAAAACTCTACTGCGCACTGCTGCTGTTGCCGTTGCTTCCGTGCCGCTGTCATTTTTACTCTGGACAGTACAGTACTCGACTTGTATCCCTTGGAGCGTAGGAAGGTGAATGGTCATCGAGAGTAACTAGGTCTGAAGGATGTGTGTAGTTGTTTTCATAAAGATGAAGATCGAGCAGCAGGGGACCGGTGCGTTTGTACTGTACACTCCACACATCCGCCTCTAAAGATTGCCAGGAATAGATCCAGACCACGTATAAGCACCGAACAACGTGGCCCAGTCGGCGGGTAATCAACGACCCGAGCATCGGCCAGACTTTATCTTTCTTTGTTTTGTGTCTGATTGGCCTGCAAACCCCGGACATCACTCAGTGACCAATTCATATTCCAGAAAGCTTCTCTATCTCGGCAAAAAGTCTAACCTCCAGACACCAACCCCACATGAATCCGGGGTCTGATGGGCCGGTTAGCCGAGCCGAAGGATCCCGTTTTCCCGTTTTCCACACTTTCAGTGCAGCTCCGTTTCATCCCGATACACTTGATCCTGCAGGTCACCGAGATCGGGTTGGGAGGTGATGATGATAGCATTACGGATGCGATGGGGGGCCATCTAAGCGAGTTTTACTACCCGTAACTACTACCCCCCCTTAAGCTTAAGCTTTGCCTTTCCTCTCCCAGCGGACCTTATCTCTTCTATCTCTGACCTTTGACACATCCTCCCCTTGTATCTCTGGCTATCTCTGGCTATCTCTGCTATCTCTGCCAGTCTGCCTCACATGGCGGTGCCCTATCTCCCCGAGTACGAGCAAGAGGAGACGGTGATGCCACCCGCGACGCCGCACCATCTGCGGGAGCATGGTCTCGAACCGGCCAATTCGCCCTTCGCGGGCCGCATTGGCGGCAACCAGGACTTCGTGCTGGACCGCAGCGATCCCAAGAACCTGGCGGAGCTGGACCGGGTGCCCGACGCGGCGCCGTGCATGAACGCGCAGGAGATCTTCGATCCGCGGGGATTCCTGTCGCCGGATCTGTGGAAGTTCGCCATGCTGGAGTGTGTTGGTGAGTTCGCCTTTCCCCGGCCGTCTCGTCATAGGGCAGACAACGGGGTATCGCCCGTGCCGTGCCCCGTGCCCCCAACACCATACTATACCGTAAACTCAAATCGGGCGTTAAAGCAGCAAGAAGCTAATGCCCCGAAAAAGCCAGCATGCTCAACACCTTCATCTCCGCCTGGGTCACCACGCACCCGTACGCGGCCATGACCGCCTCGACGGCAGCCTCCGGCGTCTACGGGACGGTCACCTTCTTCTCCCCGACCTTCGGCGGCCTGACCAACCTCCTCCTCACGCCCCTGCTCATCTACACCTTCTCCCCCAGCTCGGGCGGCCACATCAACCCCCTCATCACGCTCGCCACCTTCTTCGCCCGCATCATCTCCTTCCCCCGCGCCGTGCTCTACATCCTCGGCCAGACGCTGGGCGGCGCGCTCGCCGGGTTCGCGCTGCACGCCGCCTTCGGCGACCGCAACATCACGGTCGGCGGGTGCTACATCGACACGACCCAGGTGCCGGTCACCAGCGGGCTGGTGATCGAGTTCTTCGCGTGTTTGATCATCGTGTGGCTGTGTTTCGGGGTGGCGTTGGATCCGCGCCAGGCCAAGGTGTTTGGGCCCGCGGTCGGGCCGTGGTTGGTCGGTGTGGTGGTCGGTGTGATCACGTGGGGGACTTCGTTTACGCGGGTGGGGTATATTGGGGCCAGTATGTATCCTTATCTTTGTGATGGGGTTCAGGTCAAGGCTAATGCGAGTGATAGGTGTCAACCCGGCACGGTGTTTCGGGGCATATGTCGCCTCCGAGTTCCCGGGGTACCATTGGATTCATTGGGTGAGTTTTGGCCTTACTCCCCCCCTTTCTGGCTTGGGCTGTAATGAACACTGCTGACAATACTCAGGTCGGTCCGCTGGCGGCCTCGGTGGCGCATGGGCTCGTGTATTTCGTGGATCCCCTGTGGAAGGATCCTAGGGCCAAGTCGTGAGGAGACAAATGGCTTGCGCATCATTGTACAGTATTGATATGTGTGGTGTCTATTAGCGTGTTCGATTTCTGGAATGCTTGGCGAGCCTCTTTTTGGGTTCGCTTGAATAATGATATGTGTACAGCACTGGTTGCTGGACTTCGAATTTCAGGGGTTGCTTTCTGCGTACGCCTCTGTTAAGGGGGGTTTTGTACGGTTTCTTGTTGGGGTTGAGTTCAGTGGCTTTGTGCAGGTTTGATGACTATGCTGGTCGGAAACAGTCCAAGGGTCGGTTGTTTTGACTGGCTCGCCTAGTCAGCAGGTTTGTAGTCCTTAAGGTGGGGCTGGTGCAGGCCAGTTGTAATCCTTTCTGAGCTTGGGAAGAGTCGGTGTATGGGAAAGATCCTCTTGTTGTGTGCTAATGCATGCAAAAACTACCAGACAGCCGGCGACTGCACGACCACAGCTTCCCCCTTTCCCATGTGCTCATACTCAACGGTCACGGCATCCGTCCGCCGAATCATCCCCAGCATTTGACCCCTCTCTCCTCCCTGCTCCCCCGCCGCACCAGGGAGGATATTCTCCTGGCTCTCGACGGTTGAAACAGCAAAATCTATCTTCCTTAATCTTGAGCTCCTGCCATGGCTCCCGTGGGAAGACTCCGGCAAATTGGACCCCTTGTACCGGTTGCAACTGTTGTTGTACGAGCTCGCCGTGCGATTACCAAGCATAAATTCAAGCAACGGCTGAAGCGTGGGGATACAAGGCGATGATCACTATATTAGACTCGATACTTTGTCTCTGGTTAGGATTGATTCGTCGGTGGTAATGAACCGGAGGAACAACTTGGTCCAGATGATCAGGTCCGCTGTTCCGTCTGTTGATCGTTGGTTTCGCGCACTGCAGGAGAGGAAGGAAGCGCACACGTGTAGGCTTCTTGGTCAGCCAGACCTTTCAACCGCGTGCATTTGATGTTAGCCATTGCCGTGGAACGAGCATCGCGGTCAGTTCATGTATACAGCGAACTAATGCCGAACATACACCGAGCCGAGGCCTAATGCTACGCATAGCGCCAGGCGTTTACGCAGCGACATATGAAGCTTCATCCGGTGCTGGAATAGATCATGAGGACGAGATCGACAAATCCGGATAGAGCTATGCGTTTCCTTTAGCTTCTTCTCGATCGAAATCCTTGGGGCAAGTGGCACACCTCCAGTAAAGATGGCGTAGTCAATCAACATCCACACAGTCTTGCAGGTAGCTTTGCCCTCCGCGACAAGGCCGGTCTGCCACAGAGCCCGATGATCCCCCGTGCCGGCATCGACAAGCGACGTTGGACCACCCCAAGTCGAGAAGTGGCTCCGGCACCAAGCATGGTTCAGCAAGCGCTAAGGCAGCTGTTTAAGGTAAGGCGAAGTACGAGTCAGTAAGCCTTCAATAGCATGAGACCAAAGGATATGACATGACAGGGGTGCGAACGGCAGCTTGCGGGATTGGGTTAATTAAACTGCCGTTGAGCCGAATGACAGCTCGCCTTGTGGAGCCGAGACTCCACCCAGCTTCTGTCCTTGTTCGTGTGGTGTTTACCTTCAACTCGTCGCCAGATTGTTTGCTAAATTCTTGGCCCCCCTCATCGGAATCCTGGTAGGAAGGACTGCAGTCACGATGGAATTTCATTGCCGCGTGGATAGGCTGTACCTGAAAACATCCAGTGTTGAAAAAGCCCGGTGGAACGTGTTAGGAGACGGCAGGGAACCGATCAGTCCCTGTCCGGGGCAGACATTTCATGGGTGTCTGTGGAGTGAGAGAAAATTAGCAAGTTCGCTAGGAAGACTGGGGAGCAAGCAACAGATCTCTTACTGCCGGATGGTCGTGACAGAGCAAGACATAATTTACAGGCCATCTGAGTCAATGATAGCAAGGTATGCAAGTCCAAAGACTGACATAATCATGTGATTATAGGCGTAACACGAGTCCACAGTCTCGGGCATTGTGTTGTTTTCCGGGGAGACGGAAGCGCACATGTCAAGGATATCCTGTTCTCTACTCCTGCCGAACCATGGCGCTGTCATCTCCACATCTCCCCCGTACTTGTGCGACACCCTAGCTCCGTCTCTGATAGCCCATCATATTGCTTCATGGATTTTGCTGGCACACCTCGGGGGGTACAAAAACTCATTTGCTCGCATGGCGTCTACGACTTGCCGGGTCAAGCGCTACTGGCGCAAGCCAGGATGGTCCTCCATTATATTAGGACTGAATTTGCGCTGCTTGAGCTTTGCTTCATTTCACCCCCTTGCGGTCTCAATCTTGTGCCGCCGTCACAATCTTGTCTTCGTGAAGTACCGGCCAACATGACAAGTCCAGCTGATGGCAAGGTGAACGGCCACAACTACGGCCACATCAAAACGCCCACTGAAGAAGCTTTTACCAACAACCATGTCGCGATCGCTCCCAACGACCTGGAGGAGGTACCTGGACTGCTGAAGAGAATCGCGCTGCACGGCGAGGCTTACCTCACGGAGAATGACGAGCTAGAAAGAACCAAGATTCTGGATTCCGCCCGATCGCTGGTGTATGCCTTGGAGACGCCGCGCGAGGCAATCGTCCGACACTGCTGGTCTCAGGTATGTGTTTTCAGCACAATCTTCCTCCGTCGCGCTTGACGCTTGTTTTCTTGTTGACGTGTCTCAGAGCTCGCTTTACGCGGCCATTGAGATAGGAGTAGACTTGGATCTTTTCACGGCGCTGTCGCGGGATGACAGGCCCAAGTCTGCAGCTGAGCTTGCAACGGCGACCGGGGTCAGCCAGGTGATGCTGGGTATGAGCCGCGCCCGTTCCATAATCGATATAGACGTGAGCTGATCTCGTCCTGGTCCCTCTAGCACGCATCCTCAAACATCTAGCCGCAATGGGCGTCATCAAGGAGACCGGGCCAGACGAATACCGCCGAACCGGGTTCTCCATCTCCATGCAATCGCCTCGTTACAGCGACGCTTACCCATGCATGTAAGTAACCCCCGACGACCAAATTAAAAACCCCTCTCACGTCTACCTCTCCAAAAAAAAGGACCGGGTGCATTACGGCAGGTGTGCTCGCCCTCCCCGCCCACCTCAGAGCAACCAACTACATGCTCCCGAACGACGGCACCAAATGCGCCTTCCAGCGCGGCTTCGACACCAACCTCCACTTCTTCGACTTCCTGAAGCAGCATCCCCAACACGCCAGCGAGTTCAACAACCACATGTCTGTCTATCACCAAGGCCGGCCCAGCTGGATGGACTTGGGGTTCTACCCCGTGCAAACCCTGGTGCAGGAAGCCACCGTAACCCCCGATGATATCCTACTAGTCGACATCGCCGGCGGGATAGGCCACGACCTGTCCGAGTTCCACCGCAAGTGGCCCGACCTGCCGGGTCGACTGATCGTCCAGGAGTTGCCCGAGGTCGTGTCCCAAGCGCGCGAGCTAAACCTGAACCCGAAGATTGAGCTGATGGAGCATGATTTTTTCGAAGAGCAGGTCGTCAAGGGTGCGTCCATTCTCCCCGTTCCCCTTCCGCACTTCAATTGCCGATGAGCGGCACAGGCGCAAGAGCATACTACATGCACTCCATCCTGCACGACTGGACCGACGACAACTGCCGCCGCATCCTGGCGAACCTCGTCCCCGCCATGCTAAAGGGCCACAGTAAACTCCTGATCAACGAGAATGTCATCCCCGGGACGAACGCGTACTGGGAGGCGACGAGCCTGGATATCATCATGATGGCGGACTTCTCGTCGACGGAGCGCACGGAGAGCCAGTGGCGGGCGCTGGTGGAGTCCGTGGACGGGCTGCGGGTGGTGAAGATCCGGACCGCGAGGAGGGGGGTGGAGAGCCTGATTGAGTGTGAGATTGTTTGAGTGGTTTTGGTTTGCTGTGTGCTTGGCTGGAAGTGGTAGCTTGAGGATGCTGGACAGTCTGTGCGGCTGGGGTATGGGCTATGTTGTGTTGTGGCCTTTTCTGGCTTTTCAAGTGTCGGTATAATTGTATCAACATCCGGACAGATTGGGCTGGTTTCGTGGGGTTGAGTCTCTTTCTCTCTCTGTGGAGGGTTCGGATTCTAGGGGAGAGTGGAGAATGAAGTTGAACGCTGTATCAATGGTCGATTTCTGAGCTCTTCCATCACTTGGCGGATTCAGGATTGTCAAGCCGCATCGTGACCAAGTATGGTATCTGCGATACGCCTGGTTAAAGCTTGCTACCATCCGTCTCTGGAAGAATGAAACCCATTATCTGATATTAGTTGGTGACAGGAATGAGGGGTCCACCATATTCAGGGATGTGTAGATGATAACTGAACCAGAGTGAGGCGCCGTGACTGCAGTCTCCTCTAGCATAAGTCCCCAAAACTTTCTTGAGACTGTGGCTCAGCGCCTTTCTGTCCCTTCATCTCCTTGTTCGGTTTGTAACGACTCGGTCTCGATTCTGGAGATTCGATACATGCTTCTGAACGCCATTGGATCCTTCTGTGAAGGTCGAATCTCGCCCCATGCACAGGAACTGGCTAGTCGAAGCCGTGTTCTGGGACAGTTGGGATGTGTTGAGCACATAAAATTCCAGTCCTGAAGCAGGGTAATTCACAAAGATGCTTGAAGACAAGCAGTGTATGGGCTGGGTTCAATAATTCAAGAAGAAGTTGTGAAGGAGAGCCGCATGCTGAGACAGTTCGGCGGATGCATCACGTGAGATTTATATGAGGACAGTTTCGATCGGGATGAGATTGGGGTCGCTAAGTACTACGGGGAAGATCCTTGTACAAGTAAATCGATAACAAAGCCACACCGGGATTGGTCTCATGACCATCACGCAACTACCCCGAGCTAAGCTAAAACATGTACCGAAAGGTCGGCGATTTATCCCCCATGGCTCTCAACTCGTCAACCGTATACTCTGGTCGCAGCGCGACCAACTTATCCACTCGTCGAGCATTGATCCGCTGATAGGCCACCCTCATTCCGATCACGCAGATCACGCCCATCAGAGCGAAGCCCAACTCAAGAGAATGACCGAGAATATATCGAGGGGCGTCTTGTGTGCGATAGAAGTGCGACGCCATTGCTGCAACACATTAGTACTCTTGGAAGATGATGGGGCTGCATGTAGCAGAATGGGCGTCAGCGTACCTCCTGCGAAGTTGCCAATGCCAATATACATGGCCATTCCGGCAGCGCGTTTGTGACTGGCAGCGAGATTGGTACTGAGCCAGGTAACAAGGTTTGGAATAGCAGGGTAGATTCCTTTGAATCGTTAGTTATGAGGCAGGTAGACTAGGAACGAGATTCGTACCGAGAACTGCAAGGAAGACTCCGAAGTAGATCACTCCCGGAACCCATGTCAAAGATCCCGCTAGGCAAACTAGAAATCCACAGACGATGCAGCAGAGATGGAACAGAAGCAGCGGGGAGCGCTGACCCATGCGGTCGGAGAACCAAGCCGACACGATAGCGGCGACAGCGGCAGCCACGTAGGGAGGTACCTAGGCAGTGAGATTCAGATCACATCAAAACGGAGATAAGAAGCATACAGTCAACAACTGGGCCACTGAGGATGTGAAACCGAGGTCCTTGATGATCGTAGGGAGGAAGAAGGAAATACCGTACAACGGACACACCATGGCGAGGTAGACTGTGACAGTCAGCGGAGATTCTGGTGGATGACGGTGCCTATGAGATGTTGCGTACTAAGAATCCCCAGATAGACCTGCCAATCGCACACGGCATCCCAGACATACTTCCACCTGAACTCAATGGTGTCTGGCACGACATTTCCGTTGTCGGACCACTGCAACTGCAGGCGATACAGGATCCAGGCTCTCTCCTCGTTTGTAAGGAATGAGGCAGTGTCTGGGTAGTCGTACAGAAGAAAATAGGCCCCAACCGCAACGACAACCGTAGCAATACCCTCAATGATGAAGATCCAGCGCCAGCCAGAGTAGCCTCCGACGCCATCCATTTTCTTGCAGCTCATCAGAATCTAGTCAAGGGCAGTGAAATTGCGGTACATACTCCGATCGCAAAAGCTAGAATCCCTGAAAAAGCACCTGCAAAACTTGCGGCGCTGAAGAATATCGCTTGGCGCAGCTGTGCCTCGTGACGGGAATACCACATGGTGATGTAGTAGGCTACTCCAGGGTAGAGCCCGGCTTCTACAAGAATATTAGGACACATCCATCATAGCCCCGCTCAATCTAAACAATGTCATACCAGTGATCCCGAGAAAAAGTCGTGCGATAAGAAGCCCATGATAGCTTGAGACGACGCCCGTCAAAGTCTTCAGACTGTTAGACAGCTACGCTGTGTGGCCATGTTGCGACTAACCATGACAACTCCCCAAGCTACCATAATTGTAGGTATCCATATCGACGGGCGGATCTTCTTCAAAATCAGATTGGACGGAAGCTCAAAGACCGTATACGTGAAGAAGAACACCGTGACTAGAACGTTAGATTATCGCCGAGCGATCGGGGAGTTAGCACATACGAGCCCAGTTGTACTGTGAACCCACTAGATGGAGGTCCTCCTCCATACCCTCAATCCTGGCATTGCCGATGTTCCCTCGATCGAGAAAGCAAAACAGATAGAGGAGGGTCAGGACAGGCATGAGATGCCAATCCATCTTGCGCAGAAGCCTCTGCTCGCTGACGGGATCCCACTCTGTCTCTTGTCTCTGCCTCGTGTCGCGACATGTGGTGCTTGGTACGTGAAAGCTCAGGGGCTTCTGTTCCATTGTCACGAGCAGACTCTTTGCCTGAACGGCGAAAGAGATGGGCACGAAGAGAGTAGTGTTCCCCAAATGATCCAAGCTTTCACGGGGAACGCCTAGCGGTCAGCGCGGTTGCTTGCTTGACGAGGTGCAACGTTCCTCAAGCGTTACGCAAGGGTTGCTGAGGAATGCGGGCGGCGCAGATGGCTGACAGAACCTCTATTTGTTGGCAATCAGTACCGTGCCCTCGAGCAGTAAGACCCGGAATTTGAGCAAGTGGTTGGACTATTGGAGGTGATTGTGGTGTAGATATACTTGTAGCTCCTGATGAACTATGGGTTAAGGTGACATGTTCATGACAAGCAGGCCGGGATCAGAACATTGCTTGGCCGATACAGCAGGCAAAATGTGTTTGTGCTGTCGGTCATCTAGTCGGATTGAGCGCATTGCTGCCATTTGTTGATGGATGGTGACCAGCAGCGGCACCACCCTTCCAGCCATAAGTCATCTTCTGGTATTTGAGGCTCTGGATGGTTCTGCATCTAGCACCAATTATTTGCTGAGAGACATTGCTGGTGGTTTGAACTATGGACAGGGGCGTGTTCCAATCAGTGGCGGTGAGATGGCGGTTATTGTATCAGAAGGGAGGGATCGCCCTTGCAGATCACAGGGTCTCGGGAAAGCTCTGCATAACAAGGTCATAAACCTTAGTCAGTGGCTTTGTGTGTACATGAGCTGGATACTCCGGGCCCCGGGGCAGAGATATTCCGCCCTGTTGAGGTTCCTACCTATCCACTGGGCACTCACTCCAAGTCGCAAAGATCGACAAGCCGCGCATCATGAGATTTGAGGAGTCATAGCAGCCGGGCCCAATCAGGAAATTATTCCTAAGGATGCGCGTGGCCAGCTGTACAGTACACAGGATCATGGGACAGGAGGGCAATCCTGGGAACTTGAGAGAGTAGTTATAATGGAGTACTAATAAGTTACTTCATGCCCAGCTTGCCTGGATCGAAGAAGCGGATATCACGGGCAGAAAAGCCCACGGCAGCCTCCAAAGGAACAGGATGGGGGCTACGGTACTTACGTACTGTACTAGTGAGCATAATAGTCAGTACTTTACGTAGTCTACTACACAAACGTAGGTATAACTTGAGGCTGCTCAACCTACTGAGTACTTTGATATGACTCTCTCGAGTACTCCGTATTCCGTACTCGGTATTTCATCTTTTCATGCATCAAAGCCGCATCCCTGTTCGAGCGGGAGTGAGATGAAGCGATGACTAAATGGCCGGTCGCACACGTCACAAATGGGTGAGGGAAGGGGGTTTGATGCCTGAGGAAACAGGCAGCTACAACACCCACTGCATCGAAATGGAAAGGCGTGACCCGACGCGAACGGCAGGCGACCAATCAGCACACGTCTCTGGTCTGAAACTTTTCCGTCTCCTCCGCTTCTTCCACTCACACAGCCTGCAGTGGTGACTCGGGACAAGGCAATCCCAGCCTAGTTCGCTCTCCATCCATCCCACCTGGCTGAATCTATAGGTCCATCCCCTTGTCCGTTCCTAAGGATCTCTTTCACCTAGTACTAATGAGGTCACTGAATCTCAAAACAAATGTGAGAGGTTTGACCGCAACAACCTTCTCCCCGTCCCTTTTATCCTCTTCCCCCTCTCTCCGACCACCCCGAGCTCCCGAATGGGCACCACCAAAACCTTTGAACACGATTAGATAAATATCCTGGCTGCCCCACATCCTCCTCCCTCGGGTTGAGTCCAACATGGAAGTATCTTCCCTTCCACAAACCTCTGCTAGCCGCCTCAACATCCCCTCGCTCCCTCACGATCATACTGACAACCCACCGATTACCAATTGGATTTCTCCGATCGTACCGATCATGACTGTCTAAAGTCGATCGGGACTTCATCGTCAACTCGAAGACCTTGGACATGCGCACCAAGAGGGGCCCTATCCCCGCTCTCACTGGGCCCTCTGGCCAACCAGCTGGGGCGTCCGATCGAGTTTCCCGGGCCAAAGTCCTGATCCCGCGAGATCGGTCCCGGATCGTACTATCTAGCTCCCGCATACGCACCTCACGTGCCTGCGATCCGTGTAGACAACGCAAAGCTAAGTGCAATGGTGGCAGGCCAGCTTGTATCCAGTGTGATGGCCTGGCCATCGAGTGCACCTATTCCGAACAGAAACGCACCCTCGAGCAAAAAGAGCTCACCCTGCTGCGGAGCACCATCCGACGCCATGAACGAATGATCCAGCTCATCTCCGCTCGACCCACAAACCAGGACGATGATACTATAGATGACCCCACGGATTCAATCCCCTCGCAAGGGGCAACCAAGGAGGTAAGGCTTCCATATCCTGTGGCTTGACTTCGGTCGTCACTGATCATGGGGGTGGTGGTGGTGTGCTGAACCAGTGTGATTGCAGATAGTCCCAGTGGCTCCACCGTCTCAGGAGGAGGCGCCCCCATCCGTGGAGCTTCATTACCCTGAAAGCTTGGATCAAGCCCTGGGAGAGCTTCAGGGGCAGCTTCGGGACCTGCATCAGATCTACCAAGTGGTTCACGATTGTGATCCAGCAGTCCTGCCCTCCGTGGTGGAGACCATCCGGCGGAGCGCATCCGTTCACGATGCGGCCATGCATCTCGACCAGCAGGTGTCAACGCAACGGCCGGGAGTCACCCTTGGCAGAGTGCAGCGGGCCTGGCTCAGTCGACTTTCTGGCAAAGCGGAGCTGGTCTGTCGACATCCCCCGTATACGGTCACGGCGGCGGAGAAGTGGACATCGGTCGTCGATAGTCCGGTAGCCTCGCATCTATTCTCCCTCTTCTTCGTCTGGGACAATCCTACCTGGCATCTGATCGAGCCAAGTGTGTTCCTTGCCGACTTTCAATCCGGAAGGACGCAGTTTTGCTCCTCGTTGCTGGTGCACGCCATCCTCTTTTTTGCGTGTGTATGTATTGCTACCCCTCGGTCAGCCTTTTCTGACCAAAGTAGCACTATTCATACGACCTGGAGAAGCCATGGGATAGGAGGGAGGAGATGTCCATTGCCAAGAGACTGTTCCGAGAGATTGGTCGTCTCTGGCAGCGGGACAAGGACAAAGCATGTCTAACCACTGTTCAAGCCAGCTTAATTCTAGGGCTGTTTTTCAACGCGTCCGGAAAGGATAAAATCGGGACGCAATACATCTACTATGGTGGCCAAATGGCGTTGCAGCTGGGGCTGCATCTTCCTTCGTCGGCCGTCTTCCACAGCGACTCGATGGCGGAAGCGAAGCGAAATCACTGGGCACATAAGCTCATTGCCTGCGGGATATACGATGTACAATCGTCAGTGATCATCCTCCAGCATGACGCTGTATACAAGGTGCTGATGCCCGATAGAATAACAATGCAACTGGGGCGCAAACCATCACCCTGGAAAGCACCCCCCGAGAACTACTTCTCGCAGGAAGAAGCCCTGTTTTCAGATGTCAATCAACAATGGGCGCCTTATCCGTTCACATATCCGACATTCAAGCCCTATGCGAACACAGGGGTCTTCGTCCGCCGCAACCTCCTGATCCTTATCAACGATATTTCGAGTTTTGAGGCGCAGATGCCTCACCGCGTCGATCTTCCGAGCTGGCAACAAGGCACTCTAATCCACGAGAAGTTACTCACATTTGAAAGGACTCTGCCGATCGTGCTTGGGATAGGAAGGAACAAAACCCCCCACAATTTATGCCTTCAGTATGTGACCCAATCGTTCCAAGCCTGCACACCACTGACTTCTGCAGTCTATATTATCACATGGCTGTGGTCAATCTCTGTGGGCTTTTCAATTCCCGAGAAGCCACTACGACCAAGGAAACCATTATTGCTGTGACACAATTCGACCCGCAGCAAGTCTTAGAAGACGCCATGGATGCCATGGCAACAATCATCTTAATGTACCGTGTTTGCCACGGGTGGAAATCATTACCAGTGGTCATGGTTCACTACTTTTTTGTTATTGGGCTCCATGCTGCGTCCAATCTGCGATCTTCAAAGTGGCGCGAAGTGCTAGTAAGCTGCGTGTCAGGTCTTTGGCACATGGGTCTAGCGTGGCGAATATGTCGACCGTTTTTGCGCACGATCCAGTTGGTGTTGAGCACTGGCACCGACGAAACGTTGATTCCCGTCGAGGCGCAGTCCATCTTACGGGAATTCAACGAAAAGCTATGGACCCAGCAAGAGGTCCAATCGGTCTCCGCTAATTACGTCGTCCATCATCATCATCCGACGAGGGATGGACTTCAGGGCGGCGCCTTCCAAGGAGAAACTTTAGAGAACCTGATCCGAGCCTTCGATCGGCTCAGCACAGCGGATGAGCAGGTAAGCGTGGCCGCCTGACACAGTACATGACGACTTTCGGATACGCCCCACTAGATACACGGGTGGTCTACTTTATTTCTTCTTTGCGTTGTTGTTTTTGTTTGCTTCATGTCAGACACGATGCATGATCATGAATGAGCGATGAGAATACACGACTCACGCCATCATCACATATTACTCGCCGAGAACGGTTATCGATAGAACACGAAATCATATACGCCTTCAGCATTCTGAGAGGTCTGCCAAAGTGCCATTGGCGGGCAGGCTACAGCTCGTTGGGTTCATCTGGCCATCAAGATAGCTTGGCAGACGGCGTGCCAGGACCCATGCGCGTTGGCATAGTAGAACCAGTAGCCACCGCCGAAACCATATTATCTTATTGACTAACGATCGATAGTGACCCTCAGCTGTTCGTGTCAACGACCACCAGCTCTTCCTCGGCTCGCCTTGTCCATTCCATCCAACTACCATCATATAACCTTCTAGGGCCCTTCGCGCCGATTTCCGAGAGTGCTAGATCCAGTGCAGCGGCAGTCACGCCGGAGTTACAGGTCAGAATCCACGACCGTGGGACCTCTTTCACGACGGACAATCCTGCCTCCTCAAAGATGTCCTTGAGTGAGCGAGCGGGCAGTATCACCTTGGACGTTTCATCCAATAACCTTGCCAAAGGCACATTGACTGCGCCAGGAATATGTCCCGACCGCAAGCTGGTGTCCTCTTCACTCTGCTTCCCATTGAATCGACCCGCGATTCTCGCATCCACAATCTTAACCTCTTCGTCCCCAACTAACCCCTTGACCTCCTCATATGAGATCACTCTATCAGGATCCGGGATCGTCGCGATGGGATACGCATCCCCCGGCTCTCCTGGGATTCCATCCCCTTTCGAGATCTCCCCCGAGCTCACCGGGTATCCCAAATCCACATACACGCGGAAGTTGTTCAGGACATGCACCGCTTCGTGGCCGAAGAACGAGCACATCCATGCCACGCGCGGCGCGCTATAGGTTCCGATCTCGTATGCGTCGTACACGACGAGTATGTCGGCGGGCCGGATGTCGAGGGCTGTCATGGCGGCGGCAAAGGCTTCGGCGGTAGGGAGCATGAGGGGGTAGGGGGAGGTAGTATCGCGGATGATCGACTGATCAAAGAATCTGTGTTTGTGGCATGCGAGTTGGTACGGTGTATGAACGTGTTTGGGGATACGTGCGTGGACAAGGTAGTGGGTGAGGAGGTGGTATAGGCCCAACGTGTGAGAAGGCTTGCGGGCAGTGTGGCAGGCAGCATCTTTCATGTAGCTAGTGAGGTAGAGAGTAGGTAGATGTGTGTAGCTAGTTTATGCCGAAGTGCAAGTGCTTCTTCGTCTTCATCGCCGTGCTGCAACACCGGTAGTCTGGGTGGTGGTGGAGGAGGGTTGGGTATCGTACTTCGTGCCAGGGAGGTGGTGGGCTTCGAACGCCGGCAGAAGCGCCGGCCGCCCTGCTGCCAAGGGGATGATCCTCCTCGCCGTCTTGGTTGTGGTGACTACATTGTGGTATTCTGCGGGTGTGATGAGGTAGGAGGGGAAGGGGTCTGTCATTTCTTTTGGCTTTGATGGATTGGTACGCAGTGAGGCTTTGGGGGGGGCGCGTGTAATTTAGAGCTCAAGTTGTCGGAATGTAATGCCGGAGCGGACGGACCAGTCTGGGCCCGCGCCTTCGTCCTTCTCCTTCGGGGCGGGATTGTGGATATAATTAGTCAGCCTGCATAAATCTGCTTGGTGCACTGCATATTGTGCCTGGTTCTGCTTTTGTCGAGTTCATCATTTGGTTGGGGGTTTTTGCTTTGGGTTGTTTTGAGGGGTGCTTTAGAGGTTAGTGATTTCTATTACTGTAAGACGGAGTTGTTCTGGTCCGGCTTGGTTGCTTTAAGCAGGTTACTCTCTGGATCAGTCTCTGTGAGATTTGTGTTGTATGCAGTATAAGGATATATACCTCCGCCCCAGCTTGATCGATGGAATGAGTATAGGGGTAGGTTCTGGAGAGTGCAAGTATGGCCAAGGCCTGATACCAGTCTGGCTGGGAGTATGACTGGGGAGTAAATTCACCTTTTGAGAAAAAAATAATTATTTGTATTGCTATACTAGGGAAGTCTGGGAAGTTAGTATAGTGAATGTCTGCGCTGTAGCAGCTTCCATGAATATACACCCGCACATTAGGTCTTTTTTCTCTCACTTCATCTGTCCTTTTTTTCTCATCTTTGAATCTTCATCTCTTTAACTCTTCATCTCTCCTACAGGCATGATCTGTTTCATGAAAATCACTGAGATCGTCAGTCTTAGATCATTTTCAAAGTGTTACTGAGACTATCGATCTTCAACTGATCCAAGAATCTTACTGAGATCATCGATTTTGACCCCTTCTTAACACATTACTGAGATTATTGATTCTGAACTGCTTTAAAAGTCAGTCTTACTGAAACCATCGATCCTACACTTGCTTTGGCTTGTTATCCTGAGTAGGTACGCGTTCTTCATTCTACTTCATCCCCAAGGAAACACTTTTGCTACCTTGTGAGACGGTTATCTCCAGTGTCCTTGTTGTGAAAAAATTTACTAACGCGTTTCTGCGCGCTTCTGAGTTTGATAAAGCAGAAGCAAAAGCAGAGGACTCCTAAGCAAGTTCTTCTCTGCTTGTTCAGCAATCGATCTTTTCGAACATATTCTCGCCACCACAACCGGGCGCAGAAGAACGTCTCAAAATGTTGACGCCTTATGCAGCGACCATAGATGGATTGCCTCATGATGCCCTGGGACGGATCGCATTGTCAGGATCGAGTGAGGAAGATACCGAGATGGATGAGTTGGATGAGACAAACAAGCTTGACGAGATCAACAAGCTCAATGAGCCGAACAAGATATCATGTCACTTTCCCAGGCTACCCAACGAGATATGGGACATGGTAAGCACCTACCTGCAGAAACCCCAAGCGATCTAAGCTAATGTGTGTTCTAGATCGCTTCGTACTTCGTCGAAGACATCGAGGAAGAGCTCTTCGGGCCAACAGTCCAACTCCTAGATAAAGGCATGGACAAGGCTAGCGCCCGGAAATTGCGAGAGCTGCGAGCCTTGAACAAAAGCTTTTATTTGCGGATCTCACCTCTTTTCGCCCGACACATCCAAATCAACGCAGCACGCGCCGGGGTTCCCCGACCATTTCCGCTGCTTGTCTATCTGACCAACAGCGACTACAACACCCATGTTCTTCGGGCCGACATCGCAACCACAATCGGCTTGTCCAGCGGCGTGATGCCCTGCCTGCGCAAACTACCCAACGTCCGAGCTCTGAACTACGACTACCAAGTTCGCGAGTCCCTGACCCCCGGAGAAATGGTCTATATCTGCAACATCGTCATGCGCACGCTCTACGAACTGCCGCTTCTGTACCTGACCGAGCTCCGCATCAGTTTCCCCGTCATCGAAGACAACTCAGGCTTCTTCCCTCTTGCGTTCTCCATGGCCCACGGAGACGTATCGCACGTCCTTCCGCGTCTCACCAACCTGGAGGTGTCGATCCCGACTTACCGCTTCCACGACATTCCCATGCCGGCGGGAGCCCTGGTCATGAACCGTAGCTTCTCAGCCTGGATGTTCTGGCTTGTCCACTGCTCGACGAACCTCCAGTGCCTGACCATCCGATCCTCCGGCGGGGTGCTGGACCTCGACTGGGCGGACCTCGAGCACCTGACCAAGCTCCGCGTGCTCAGACTGGAAGGCGTATGCCTGTCGGCCGCGACGTTTGGGCGGTTCCTCAGCCTATCCTATCAGACACTTCACACCGTCGAGTTGACGGGCGTCGCGCTGCACAGCTGCACCTGGGAGCGGGTCCTGTGGACGTTGGTGCAGCTTCCCGGCCTGCTGAATTTCCGGATTCTCGATTGCGCGTACTCGGCCCAGGGCGCGAGTCGACACCGCGATCCGCCTGTGCTGACGCCGCATGGCCCCGAGGTGAGCGAAACCGAGGCGGCGTATGCGCTCCGCGCGCTGATGTGTCGGGTCAATGCGAACCGGCTGGGCTTGGGCATGGAGCGCATTGTTCTCTGGGAGATTCTGTAGTTTGCCTGCGGAAAGCCTGTCCTTCGGTTGTGGTGTTTCGGACTTGAGTGTGTTTCTGAAGTCACTCTGCTGGCTTGGGACGGTGCTAAAGGGGTCTTCGACAAATTTTCCATTGATTTGGGCTTATGCAAGTCGATTAGGGAGACTGTGAAATAGTGCAACCGGTTGATATTGGCCCTCAAAAATGTTTGTCAAATCTGGTCTAGTCTGAATCAATGTTTTACAGGTACTTACTAGGTACTGTTTCTATATTGCCTTTTTAGTGATTCTGTTCCAGCGGAGAAACATCCGCTCAGTAAGGCGAGTCCGACTGGTGTGCCTGGGAACCGTCTCATCTATGGTAAGGCCACCATTTCAAAAGGTCACCACCGTAACACGCCTCGCTACCATAACACACACCCACTCTAGCTTCATCATTTCTCAAGTTTTCTTCTTTCACCACCGCAGACTGGCCGCTTTCTCCAAAGGAAGGCATTCTCTTGCTCAAGAACTTCATCAATCGGTCGGCGTGCGACATCCTTGGCAACCAACAACTGACGCGCCTGGAAGGCCGATCCGTTTGTAGTAGGGTCAGCCATTCACTCTACTATCTTATACCTCACTCTTACTTCATCATCTCTGCACTTCCCTCTTATCGCCGCACACTGATTTCTTTCTTTAAACCAAGCTACTTTCCTATCCACTTTGGCTTTCTAGCGCAGGAAAAGCGATTTCCTTTGTCGGTCGTTTGGCACGATAAACTTTCTGTGTCTCTCCTTGTCCCCCACTCCCAACAAACCACATACAAATCAACCAGGGTGGTAGCCGCGTTTCAACATCCTCACAGCCTTCCTACCTCTTCCTGCCCGTTATCTACGAGTGAAAGCCCCACGAACATTGACCCAGCCCCTTCGCCACGCTTGACGGGCGAGTTCAGATTCGCCGACATTCATCGCCCACGCCTGGTCCCATCGCAGGAAAATGGCAACCACGATCATGGATCACCCAGCTGAGATCAATGCCATGGTAAGCTCTTTGTTGGACCCGATAAACCATTCAGCACTGACTGCGGACTATAGATCGTGTCCTTTGTCGGGGTGGGGCGTTCGCACCCAATCACGGCAGGCAGCTTCCATGATTCGTCTTCTCGGTTGAGATGCTCCTCCATGTATGGTCACCATGGTTCTGATGTGGGCAATCTGCGACTGGTTAATAAAACTTTCTCCGCGCTTGCTTCACCACTTTATTTCAGATATCTCTCCTTTTGCCTGGGTCTTGGAAAGGCAGCTGCTTTCCGGAGATTTCAGGCAATTTGTCGAAGCCCACATGCAATCCATGCACGAGAGTTGCAGCTCAAGATCTGCCACTGCCTGAAAGATTCTGTGGGGGAGTTTTCTCGATTCATTATAGGAAGCAAGCAGCAGTTTGAGAAGGAATTCATCACTGCTTTGTCCCGCCTGAAAAACCTTGAGACTCTGAGGTGGGTGTTCTGGTGTTTCTCTTCGTGGTGTTCAGAGAATCAACATAGCATTCTCTATGAAGCTGTTATGAGGACAGACCTCCCAAAGCTGAAAAATTTCATGATTGTAGTCTACAAATTGCCTAATTACCCGAGGATTGTCCCAGAGCTAACCGGGGCTTCGCGAGAGCGGGTCAAACGGCTAATGCGACAGATTCGCTGTTTGTGGATTGACCAGCCTGGCCATTCGTTCTCAGGTGGTGATGGATCACCATCACCCGGTCACGACTTCACAGCGTGGTTTGTCAGTGCTCTGAAAAATGATGTTGACCGCGATTCCGAGTCAACACCCCGCAATTCCGAGTCACCACCTCGCGATTCGCTGTCAACACCCCGCGATTCCGTGTCATCGCCCCGAGGAGCGATGACTGCCCTGCAGGCTCCCTCAATTCACCTCGAAACACTTGTTCTAGAAAACGTGCCAGTATCGCTTCATGTCCTCAAATTCCTTACAACGCAGGCTAGGCAGACAATAAAACGAGTGGAGTTGTCCATAGTCATTGCTTACTCTTGCCGCTGGCGTGATCTCCTGTCGCTCTTGAGTCGACTACCGCATCTCGTGTACTTAAGGGTGCACAGATGTACTGCCGTGAAGGAGACTGGAAACTACGCCCATACTTAAATTGGGACTGTTGGTGACGTTTCTTCTGAGGATGAATCCAACGACGAATCCTCTGAGGATGAGCTCGCTGATATCAAGGGGCCTGATGTTGATCTGTCGGGCGATGTCGAGGTCGCTGTGTGCGAAGACATAACATTTTATCCAGGAGTCTTTCCAAAGGAATTGCTTCCAGCCTTTGCCCGTCTGCTGCGTCATGTTGATGCGAATAGAAGTGCGGCTGGGATGCGTCCACTGATGAAAGAATTCGAGTACAAAGTACGTCGATAGGCCGCCCTGGGCTTGCCACATCTGAGCCTGCCGTCCCAGCAGATCGAACCTGAAGAAGAGGTGCCTATGAGAAATCTGCTTCCAAGGGAGGAATAGTTTAGAATCTACGTTTCCTGGATACATGGGGAGAAAGCAGGAAAACTGCTACGCAGTGCTCTTGACAGTAGCGCTTTCCAAACACACTATTCAGGAATCTAGGCTGGGAAGAGGATATTGCGCGGGCTGAGATTTTCATTATCGTTCAATTTGGCTGTCTACATGCGATGTCTTTTGAGTCAAATTTCCTTACCTTGCTCGAAGCTTGAAGATCCATCAAAATGATTTTAGCTAACTAATTTGAATTGTTGTCATTGTTGAATTAAGGAGAACAAGCCTGGACCGATCCGTAGTTTAAAGAAGTCACGAGACGTGCTGTCTGCTGGCTTCTCCGCCCACAAACCTCGTCGTGTCAACCTCACTCTGCTCAGTACGATCGCCCACCATCTCCCTGTTTCCACCAGTACCTCTTTTCAACCATGTGGGTGCCTAATTCAGATCAACAAAGGTCCACTATCGATATTTTTTCCATGATATAGCGATATCAAGCTGTATTTGATCGCGAAATTCAGGTCGCGAGTCTGCAAAGTCGCTCATCGATGTCACTTGTAAGGCGATATCCTACTCCCGAGACCAAGATGCTGACGAGAATATTTTTAGATCTAGGCTGGGCTGACCCTAATTTCTATGCCACACGGTCTGTTTGGGTGCGACAATGCGACCCTCGAACCAGGCAGGTTGCGCAAGGACAATTTGCACTCATGCTGGTTAAGCACAAGTTGAGTCCGTGCAGTGAATGCCAAGCACATCGACTGAAGTCTCAGTGATTCTCTAGCCAAGATAATGTCTACTTGTTAGCTCAGTCGGTTCTCGGCTCATGCTGCAGGAGTCTTCTCGAAGTGATGTTGGTTGTTTACAACCTTATGTCATGGGCCTGACGAGACGGCGATCATTATCCGTTCGGAGAATGCCCAGACGCCGGCAGAACTTGGCGAGTCCGGAACGGTCCACCAATTTGTCGGTGACAAGCTTCCTGTCCGATGACATAGCGACCGAAGGGAGAAAATCAACAAACTCTCACTTTCTGCTTCTGAGTATGCATGATCGATGACTTGTCGGCCACAGCCACTTAGCCACGACATGGCTCGTGGGCTAAATTTATCGCTCCGCCGCTCCTGCAGCGATTTACCTTCTCCCCGACTCAGTGCTAAATTCTTGCCGGGGCGACCCTTAAAGCCGCATCGCGGCGCGGATTGGCCGGATGGGCTCCACCTGGGCCCTGGCGCTTCTCCAAGGATGTCCGGCAGATCGGTGACGTATGGAGCTGGCCCATGACTGCATCGTCGCTTGGATCTGGAGACACTGGGGTGCCTGGCCATGATGTAATAGGTAAAACACCCTGTGCTACTTTTATTTTTGCCATGATTGCAGTAACCAGGGAACCTATATAGGTTGCTAACCTCTCACTCAATTAATGTGCAGTGCAGCAGAAACCATCCCGCAGTACGAATATTCAGCCCTACTCGGGCTATTCGACCCCGTCCACCATGAAGTCCTTCACCATCCTCGCGCTCAGCACCCTCGCTACAGCCACGACCGGATTCGGTTTCAACCCTTTGCACCATCTGGCTGGTATCACACCATACTATGCCCCTCAGGACCCTCCCATTGACCCCAAGCCACACCCGGGCTGCAATGTGACACGCGCCGCATACCTGGTGCGCCACGCCGCCATCTACGCCAACGACTTCGACTACGAGTCGTACATCGAGCCCTTCGTCGAGAAGCTGCGGAACACCACGCAGGACTGGCAATCGACCGGCGCGCTCTCCTTCCTCCGCAACTGGACTGCCCCCGTCGACGAGGAGCACCTCGAGAAGATCACCCGCGTTGGCGTGCAGGAAGCGACCACTCTGGGCCGGAAACTGCACCAGCACTACCCCACTCTCCGCGCGGACAAGGTGTGGACCTCGACCGCCGACCGCACCGTCAAGTCCGCCGAGGGGTTCATCAACGGCTACACGAACAACCAGTCCGCCGCACTGGATCTCGTCCAGGTGGCCGAGTCCAAGTCGACGGGCGCGGACTCTCTGACCCCATACAAGGCCTGCCCGGCCTACAGCTCCAGCTACGGCAGCGACCAGTCGCAGGTTTGTTCCTGCCATCCCTTTTCACACCACTCCCCACCTCCGACCCAGCTAACCAAAACTGGTACAGGAATTCATTGACCACTACACGACCCCGATCATCGCGCGCCTCGACACCCTAGCCCCAAAGTTCAACTTCACGGCCGACGACGTGACGGCCATGTTCGAGCTGTGCGGCTACGAGACGGTGATCCGGGGGTTGTCGCCGTTCTGCTCGCTGGCGCTGTTCACCTCGGCTGAGTGGCTGGCCTTCGAGTACGCCAACGACATCATGTACTTCTACAACACGGGGTACGGCCGCCCGCTGAGCCCGCACATCGGACTCCCCTGGGCCAAGGCCAGCTGGGCCATGGTCTCCGGCACCACCAACACCAGCGACACGCTGTATGTGTCGTTCACCCACCGCGAGCTCCCGCCCACGGTCGTCACGGCGCTGGGCCTCTTCAACAACAGCGCCTTCACCGGCGCGGACGACATCAACGCTACCATGCCCCTCGACCAGGTCAACTACAACCGCGCCTGGAAGAGTAGCCACATCCTTCCATTCCTGGGCAACATCGCCATCGAGCGGTTGGAGTGTGATGTCCCCGGTTACGAGAGCCCGGAGTACTACCGCGTCTTGGTGAACTCGGCACCGCAGCCGCTGGTGGGCTGTCGCGATGGTCCGGGTGAGAGCTGCTCCCGCGAGGGGTTCAGCAAGTTCATGCAGGAGAGAGAGGAGCTGTACGGTGACTTTGGAGGGGCCTGTGGTAATGGGTCGGCTGTTGATACCTTGAGCATTTATAATTAGTTTGGCTGGGTTTGTGGGTGTTGGGCTTTATGAGTAATGATTGATATAGTTGTAATATACAGCCCCTTTCCTTATACTTTCGCAGACCACTCTTGCCTTGTTCACCCCCGTAGTTTCCTACCCTAATGAGGATATCATACTATATCATATGTACGGAAATATCTAGGCGGATCGAATCACGTCATAAAATCGGGGTTAATCTTGTCGATGCTCACGATCAGTCCAACCAAGCCTTGCAGCGGGCAATCAAAGTAGAGAGTCAGCTATTCAGCCACCAAAAGACCTTTGCGTCTCTGCGAGAATTAGACCTGTGACAGGCCCGTCGTTCTCGCAATCTATCTTGACTGGGTTTGTGCATGCAGGCACCCGACTGAAATCTGGAATCATCCTGCCTGTTGAAACAATCTTCGAAGATGATGTTCACAATGAGTCCACTTTGGTTTCCGGGGGATCTTCAGCTTTAGCAAGCTGAGATGTATTGTGCTGTACCGATACACGTGGATTGAAGGTTAGCCAGTGCCCGAGGGGTGATCCGATGAGATGTGTGTGCAAAAAATGAGAGTGCTAGATTGGCATCATCATAAACGTCTACCAGAGGCGTTAGCCAGTGAACCCGATGCAGACATGTTACACAGTACTTACAGGTGCTGAGAGCTCCGTGTCAACTCATCAACTCAGATGACCTCTGGGCTGTAGCACGCGTCGAACACGAGCTTCATTGCGTACAAGACGCCCCATTCCTCCTCCACCTGATAGAAACGAGTATCGTCCTCATCAGTTCTGACCAGAATCAGAATCAGGTTTCCGCTCTCTCCTTGCCCTTTTCCCCCGGAAATCTGAGCTGTCTATTCGCGCGAGACATGGGACGCGGCCCGGTCAAAACGTAGCATTGGGGGAAGCACCTAGACACGAACCGATTAATCGTCTCCTCAACTCAGCAGACCATAATCCAAGCGACAATGACATGCAACCAGCATAGATTACCTTGTCTATAAGACGGATCATTAAACGCCCACCGGCGCACAGCCCACCTGGGGCCGGGAAAGGCCCCACCCCTGGGAAATGTGAGATTGCTGTTGAAGATTTAACGGGAGCAAGGTGAAGACTTACGGTGGGAAGAAGGTCTGAAGATTCCCGTTCTTATGAGGGGAGGTTTTGGAATGAATCCAGGAATTCAAGGATAACATTGGGAAGAAGAGATCGAGGGTGGTCTCTGTGTAGAACTAGTGGGGATTGAAGTTGGCTGTGAGATTCTTGGGGACGAGGTGTTGCGGATTGGGTTGATGACTGGAGGGGAAGGTACATGCTGAGTTAGTGAATGGCCGGTCTACTTGGACGTACTTTGGAGCGTTGATCTGTTTGGTGTGTTTGACAACTTATGAAGCTGTGATTACTCTCTTTCCATCGGTTATCCCTATGAATATACTTGCCTTCTGCACTCGCGCTATCCTTTCTGGTACTGTCGGCCACGCTGCACACGTTCAACGCGAGGATTCCTTGCTACTCGAAATGCAGTTTCAAGAAGCAAACCTACAGCAAAAGCCAATTCGGCATTATCACCAATCCAACCTGTGATCTTATCACTAATTCTACATGCAGTGCACAGCCCAGTTGGATGACCCTTATAATCAGACCCTTACCCACACGGGACAGCCCATGGGCTAGACGCCTTTTGCGACCGCAGTCCCTGACAAAGAGCCTCAAGAACCGCGAGCCGATCATTAAGTCTACCCATGGGTCTACGCAGGGACCAATCGCATACTTGATTTGGCCCCATTTACATCCTTCAGATGGGGCCTGCCCGTCAATTTGGGGGCTAATTGTCTGAGGATCGCGTATCTGAGTAAGACCAACAACAAGCAACGCCAGTGTGAGTTTCAGAATGCGACAAACACATGCCATTGATCTGCAAGGCAGAGTTGACTTCTCGGTTTTATCATCGTCATGGTTCTTCCTGTTGTAAATATCGCTGTCTCCGGGTCCGCGCCGCGCATCGCTCGCAGCTCAATCTTCCAGGTCGATTGACCTACATCGTACCGATACAGCGGGTCTACACAAACTAGAAATCGATAATAACATGAGTTCTTCCAGCGCGGATGGCTCATACGAGCTCTACAACTACAATCCCTCCGTCGCTGCCGCCGCCATTTTCGTTCTACTCTTCATTGCCATAACCGCCTGCCATGTCTACCAATTGGCCCGAGCGCAAGCGTGGTATTTCACCTGCTTCATTCTGGGCGGACTATGTAAGTGTCTTCAGCAGCAGAGCATCGTAGGCGATGCCGCTAATCAAGCGAATGCAGTCGAAGTGATCGGCTACATCGCGCGTGCCGGAGCGCACAACAATACAAGCAACCTCTCCATCTTCACTATCCAGACGCTATTCATTCTCCTTGCACCACCTCTCTACGCAGCAACTCTATACATGACACTAGGCCGATTGATCTTCTACCTCAACAAAGAAGAGCTCAGCTCCGTGCCGACGCGCTGGCTCACCGTGATCTTTGTTGCGGGGGATATCATATCTTTTCTAATCCAAGGAGCAGGTAAGCCCCTTTCTTCCTGCATTTATCTCTCATCCTCCTTCAAGAGACCTAACACCCTGAGAAAAAGGCGGCGCGATCCTCACTCACACTACAACCGACCCCTCCGCCCTTACCACCGGCCAAAACGTCATCATCGCCGGCCTAGTCATCCAACTGATCTTCTTCACCGTCTTCGTCCTCGTCGCCACCACCTTCCACTATCGCATCCACCGCAGTCCTTCCTCAAAATCCATCTCCTCATGCATCGCCACCGACGGCTGGTTCCACGCCACCTGGGAGACCACCCTGCTAGCCCTCTACTTCGCCAGCGCGATGATCCTGGTGCGCTCGGTGTACCGACTCGTGGAGTACGCAAGTGCTGGGACCACCGGTAGCGACGGGTATTTGGGACGGCATGAGGTGTTTGCGTATGTGTTTGATGCGTTACCCATGCTTCTGGGGATGGTGGTGATGGCGGTATGGCATCCCTCGCGTGTGTTGTTGTTGAACCGCAAGGTGTATCAGATGGATATGGCGTTTAATGAGGAGGGGAATGATGTGCAGATGAGTAAGATATACCTGGGGTGAGTGGAATGTAGTAGGGCGACTTACTATATGTCGTGTATGATTTCTGCTAGAGAGATGGTTCTGTATACTGGTTTCGGGTTATAGTATCACATCTCAGGATAGATAACAGATATAGTGGACTCATTTCCCAGCCTCAAATCTATGCCGCTTACCCCCATGATTGGGAAAAAAGAGTTGATGACGTCTCCGAGCGTGTATATCGCGGAATAAGCAAGAGTCTCGGAAATGATGAATAAGGCAGTGATCCAGAAGCTCTCTGGCAGGAAATCCATGGTTATGAGCTGTTTACTCTAGCCTTGCAGTGGGCACGTTACTTGGATGCATTCCTGAACTGAAGAATGTGGGGTGGAACAACGCACTTGAATCGACTAAAGCCTCTCAGAATGTTATCGACAGATTGGGAGACAAGACCTAGATGGGGCCAATTGACAACTAGATGGATGGCAGCATCACCTACTACTAGCTACGCCTCATGCTGTAAAATAGAAAGTTGAATCCGGAGGCCTATACCGATTCGAACAGTATACTAAATTGTGCAGTTGATGTTATGATCCACCACGAGCTGACAACATTGCTTTTTTAAAGGGGGATGGGATCTACGATGACAGGTCACATTCTCAGAATTTCTCCGCGATCATCACAACAAACGCGCTCGCCCACCCGCACAGCTGCCTCATCAGTTTGCTTATCATCTACAATCGACGTGATGTGTTCTGCCTGAGAGTGGAACCTCAAAGAGCCACTCATTATTTTGGCTGGCCTTGCTTCATCACCAAAGCAATACTCTGCGCCGAACACTGGGCTGGGCACCCTGGCCAAAACGCAGCGCGCACACGACCATCTCACGGATTGGACCGCCATCGTTACACAAACACCGGATTGAGCAGACCCAACAAATTCATCCTGGCGAAGTTCGCAGCATCGAAGACATCCCCACCAACTTCACAGCTACAACTCACCATGCCAACCATCGAAGCCGGCAACCGCGTCTTCCATGTCACCGACATCGACCGCGATAAGTGCTCGCGCATCGTGCCCATGCGGGTTCTTTCGCTGGGTCTGACGAGGACGGGGTCCGAGTGTGAGTGTTTACCTGTGGCAGGTTGCCTAGGCTTGACGAGTCGCTCCCAGCGTCAATGAAGCGGTAGCTGACATACAAATACCTATCTCTAGCACTAATGGACGCCCTGCGCATCCTCGGTTACCACGAAGCATACCACGGATACCAAGCGATGATCACCAACCCACGCGACTGCGAGATGTGGCTGAAAGCTTTGCGGGCGAAGTACGACGGGGTGGGACAGCGGTTCGGGCGCGAGGACTGGGATCGGCTGTTGGGGCATTGTCAGGTCAGTTTTTCTGAACAGTCGTGCAGCAGGAGGAACCTATCGTCCTTGACTTGGTATACGGAAGTCCAGCAGCCGCATGCTAACGCACAATGCATAGGCCGTCTCCGACCTCCCAGCCATCTGCTTCGCAGAAGACCTCATCCAAGCCTACCCAGAAGCAAAAGTTATCATCACAGTCCGCGACGTCGATGAATGGTACGAGTACGTCTACCCACCATTTTACTCCAACCCCTCCCCTTGTCATTGAGAACAGCGCTAACTAAACCCCAGATCAATGATGACCCTCGTCACCGCAATCGACACCCCGCTCAATAAATATCTCCTCGTGCCCCTCATCAACATTATCAACAACCTCCTGCATTCCCGCTTCCGTCTCGTGCCTGATACCTTCCTCAAAGCTGGGTTATGTCTTTACGGGGAAGATGTCCGCACCACCGCCCGCGAGACGTACCTCAACCACGTGGCCAAAATTCAAGCGCTGGTGCCCAAGGACCGACTGCTGCTGTACCATGTCAAGGAGGGGTGGGAGCCGTTGTGTGCGTTTCTGAGGCAGCCCGTCCCCGCGCTGCCGGTGCCGAACGGGAATACCAAGGCGGATATGTTGGCGAGACATCGCGCGTGTATGCGGTTGAATCTGAGGGAGTGTGGGTGGAAGGTGGTTAGGGGGGTTGTTTTGGTTGGGGTTGTGGTTTGGGTTGTGCGGAGGGAGGAGGTTCGGTGGGGGGGTTTGTGGGATGGACTTGTAGGGGCGTTGAGGTTGTAGATTCCTGGGCTTGGGGTGGTGGCTTTGTGAGCTGGTGGGAGTGTATAGTGAGCTTTGGAAGGTCTGTTATGATGGTTCTTTCTGAATAAGTGCACCGTCGCTGACATGGATGATAGCATTTCTGGCATCGTCTATATTGAACTAGAGTGATGACTGCTAGGTACCCTCAACCTGCTAGCAGGCAACCACATCCCCAGTACCTCCTAACTGTACTGTACTAATCTTCACCCATCCATCTACAATGCAATCACCCCACAAAGCACCCTTTAGATCCACATCCGGCCAAAACCTCACCCCCAACCACCATATCATGGATGCCTACACCCTACGCCTACTTTTCCAGCACATCGAAATGGTGGAGCCAGTTACTACACCCTTTGACAAGTCATCAAACAACAGTCTGTCAAAGAGAGACCAAGAAAGCACTAACCTCCGCACAACATCGAAGAACTTATCCGGCCGTACGTTATAACAGCCCTGATGTCTCACTTTAGTCCAAGGCAGCAGGATTACTCTCGATCTATCGCTAGCTGATCGCCCTTCAGCGTGGTTGTACAACTTTCATTCAGCCAGTCTCTCGGTGGCTCCAAAACACAGCATGATAGACACGATGGATCAGCATGCAGAAACGCGCCTCCGTCAGCCACAACCCACAACCTTACCCGGACGTCTCTAGGGAAGAATCGAGTACTGTACTGCACGTACGTAGGTTCTGTCTGTGGCTATTGCCCCTTCGGACAATCAACCATCCAAACTCGGATATTATTATCTCAGGGGGTGGGGACTTTACCGGTTCTGGTAACGAATACCGACCGCTGCGAAGGTAAATTTGGTGCGGTGGAGTTGTGGGGGGGTTACGGCCTCGATTTCTTTTTGGGGGGCTTGAGTCAGCAGCGCGGGACTGCGGAATTGGGTTTTGCGGTTTTGTTAGGAGTCGATGAAGAGTCTCTAGGTTGACTGTGGTTTTATTGGGAGGTTGTAGAGTTTCTTTGGGGTCTGTATGCGCGTATCCACGTTCTGGTGTGACGGGTGGGATTCGGATGGATTGGGGTTTACGGTGGCAATGTCCTGTTAACAGTCCACATGTCGCGAAGATGGCTTTGTCCACTGCAGAAAGGGTGGAGGAGGATAGTGAGGGGAATGAGAGGAAGTGATTTTATCCTCGGTGGTTTATGATTTACCCCTACGTGAGACATGCCCTTGTACTCCGTACTGACAGTTCGCTTGGATGGTTCGGCGGTCGATCAACTCTTTCGAGACGAGGCTGTACAGGATGATCAACACTTTGCTAACATCTACTGTAGGCGCGGACGGCTTGTCTAGAGTTTTGACGGCAACCGAGTCAAAATAATGGGCACTTGACTTGCTGCATCACTGACACGCCAAATCGAAAGGTAATCGAGTACGTAACCGCAGGCTGGGCTGGATACTACCGTGCCGATGTCTTGGCGTGTCTTGGGGATGTGCCGCAGATCAAACAAGCGAGCACCATGTTTCAGATGCCACTGTGACGGCCGTCTGCTAGATCGGAAAGGTGAGACTTCGTCTAGGGGACTATAGAATTGCAGGCGGATGGTCCTCCTGGAACCATGGGGCGCGGCCACGCCGCTCCTTCGGCTGCGAGGGAAAAAATTAATCCTAATCTGATAATATACCTATTCCGTAACCTCTGGGTCGAGGGTGGCGAATAGCCTCGGCACACAAGTAATGCGCCCCCCAGCATTCCGGAAGGGGAGATGATCATCCCGCATTTGGCCATCCCCATCACATTTCTGGGCTGAAGCAATTCTAACTCAGGTAGTGTGAGGCGACGCCTCGAAGCTTAGTTGTTGTCGATGTGAAACTTTAGAGATCTTTTTCTTTCAAGGTACGGCGTGACCAGGAACAAAGTTCAGGTACAGCGACATCTGCAAATTGAGATTGTGGTTGCCTAGAATCACACAGCCCATCATGCTTGCGTGGCCCCTAACGTAGGCGGATCCTTGAGGCTCGGTTCTTGTTGGCCACCGGGTGTGCTAAGCCTTGGGTCCTCGACTTTAGTGGAAGCTTGGCCCTAGGGAGTTGCAGAATTGCAACCAACAACAGGCGAGCACACGTCACGGGCCCCCCGACCGGCCGCGTCACAAGCCACGGCACGCAGGCACCAAGGCACCCAGTGTCATCATTGGTGCCAGTTGCGTGATCTGAGGTTGCAGATGGCGTTCAATGCACCTTATTCGCATGCCCGTTTCTAAAAACAGTGATTCTCAGAGGGCTGATGTTGGTGTTTCGTCTGCGACCGGGGTACGCCATTGGTTGACTCGCCCATGCATAACTTGCTGACTGCATACGTAGATGCGTGATGACTGACCTGGGGAATTAGTTATTAGACGCCCGTCCAGTCCTGTTCTCCAACGTCAGCAACACTGCTTTATTTTCCATTGCATCCGTGGTTCCTTGTTTTGATCACGCACGAATCTAGATACGCACACATCGATCTCTGGCGTAAGGCAACAAGAAAAAAAAACATGGCACCTTCGATCGCGTCTAGTGACAACCGGCCCGAGTCCGGGCGCCCGGCAGAGCACAACCATAAGGCCTCGCTCTCGAGCAGCGCCGACCCTAACTCGGCCCTAATGGGGGAGCGTGCAGGTTAGTGGATGCAAGGAGATTGCATGTTTGATTGCCACAACACCACAACTAACTGGCATGGTTGTAGTGGACAGTGTCGGTTCGAATGGCTTCTCCCTACGCTCAATGCAGCATCGCGACCGCGAGGGCAAGCTGATCAGTGCGTTTCCCCTTTTCCCTGTCTCAACACGCCGGTCTGACTGACTGACTGCTCTTATAGCGGATCCTGACTTGTCCAACCCTACCCGTTATCGATTCGAGCGGCCCTTGGATACAATCCGGTCCTTTGAGGCGGCGATTGAACGACGCAGACGAGAAAATGCTGGCTTGTAGGGAGGACGCTGAGAAAGACTGAGGGCGGAAATTCTGGAGGTGTACGATTTATTGTTTATGTTTCAATTCCGGCGGATTGTATTATTGGAAGGCGTTCAATGATGTAATGGAAGCGATGATCGATTTCAAACCTCTATTTTGTTTTGAGATGAGATGGTGTTCTGGAATCCTCGTACTTGGTAATTCTGCATCTTCGGTCGGGAGCGTCTGGGGCTTGCCGAACTCCGTCGAACCGCTCGCTGCCTTGAGGCGTACCTCAGGCCGGGATCGACAACCGTCCGTCAGTCATCGTTGACAGCTCAACTTCTACACTTCATTATCTACAGTACAGGACATCATACATTCTATCTACAGACAACCACGATCTGATTGTTGTCTTACAATTCATGCCGAATAACTGGCCCCCTTCGTCTGCCCTCTCTGGGCGACATGCGCTAATTACTGGTACTTATAGCCAGCGCGACTGCCGTCCCCACTCGAGGGAAAAATATTCTTCTCTAAGATCAGGCATCCACTTTGGCACCACGACGACGCATCCTCCACCCACCAATTCGGCCACCGTCCCACTTCACCATCGTTCGTCTACCGAATTTTCGGTCCAATGGCTTCGCGCTTCGCTGCGAGTGGACGCTCCCGAGCAACTCTAATCGCTAGTCCTTTGCTAGCACCGTCCTGGCCACTACAACTGTCAACCGGCATGATGGTGGGTGACGCGTTCGCCTGCATAGCGGGCCCCAGCCAGGAGGTTTGAGAGGCCACAGCTCTCGCAACTTGCATCGGGCGAGAAATTCAAGGGCTGCTAATTATACGCTGTCCTTTTAAAATAGCCTGTGCCAGGTTTTTCCTTGGAAGAATGGTTATATGTTCCCCTCTCAGTTCCCTGTTGTAAGCGGACTGAGGTCTTGATATACTCGTCATTCGTTTTTTGTCCTCCATTCACTCGTTATCCTTATATCCCTGGTTGTATTTGCGTTTTTCCTTTCGTGCACTTGATTGATTTGAACAAACTCCTAGCATCATGAAGCTCTCCCTCGCTCTTGGAGCGGCAGCCTTTGCGGGATCTGCTCTGGCAGACATTGATCCCATCGTCATCAAGGTACGTCTGGTAATCCAGCCTTTTGAACTACTGCTAATGGCTTCAAGGGCTCCAAATTCTTCTACAGCAGCAACAACACCCAGTTGTAAGTGGTCTTGGCCCATCTGTCTTGATTCTGCTAACAGTGCCTAGCTATATTCGTGGTGTTGCCTATCAGGGTTTGTCTTGTAAACACCTTTGACTTCAAGCAGTCTCTAACGTCTTCAAGCCGACTATGACTCCAACTCTACCGACAGCAGCTCCACCAGCTACGTCGACCCTTTGGCTGATGCCACCACCTGCAAGCGTGACATTCCCTACCTTCAGGAGATCAGAACCAATGTCATTCGTACTTATGCGATCGACCCAACCAACAACCACACCGAATGCATGAACATGCTGGCTGAAGCCGGCATTTATGTCATTACGGACATGTCGGACCCTGATCAGTCCATCGACCGGGACAGCCCGACCTGGGAGACCAGCCTCTTCGCCCGCTACAAGGAGGTGATCGACGATATGTCCCAGTTCAACAACACTCTCGGCTTCTTCGCTGGTAACGAGGTCTCCAACACCATCGACACTACCGATGCCAGCGCTTTCGTCAAGGCCGCCGTCCGCGACTCGAAGGCCTACATCAAGGAGAAGGGCTACCGTTCCATGGGTGTGGGTTACGCCACCAACGACGACGCCGACATCCGTGTCAACCTGGCCGATTACTTCAACTGTGAGAGTGAGGATGTTGGTGTCGACTTTTGGGGTTACAACATCTACTCCTGGTGCGGTAACTCCACTTACGAGGAGTCCGGCTACGAGGCCCGCACCGAGCAGTTCAAGAACTACTCCGTCCCCGTCTTCTTCTCCGAGTATGGTTGCAACACCAACGGTGTTCGCGAGTTCACTGAGATCAAGGCTCTTTACGGTGACGATATGAACAGCGTCTGGTCCGGTGGTATCGTCTACATGTACTTCCAGACTGATAACGACTACGGTAGGTTACTCAATGAAACATGTGCATTCTTATATACTAACTCCCTCCAGGTTTGGTCTCCGCCATTGACAGCACAAGTGTCAGCACGATGGCCGACTTCAAGTACTACTCCTCGGAGATTCAGAGCGCCACGCCCAGCGGTGTCGACAAGGCATCCTACACCCCGACGAACACCGCGCTCCGGAGCTGTCCGGCCATTGGTACCTCCTGGGAGGCTAAGGCCACTCCCCTGCCCCCGTCTCCCAACAGCGCTCTCTGCTCGTGCATGGACGCCGCCGCCGGGTGTGTAGTCAAGGACTCCCTCTCCAGCTCCAAGTATGCCGCCCTCTTCAGCGAAGTTTGCGGCCTCGTCTCCTGCACGGGCGTCTTCCACAACGGCACCACCGGCACCTACGGTGACTACAGCATGTGCGAGGCCAAGCAGCAGCTCAACTGGGCTCTGAACCGCTACTGGGAGAGCCAGGATAAGGAGGACTCCGCCTGCAGCTTCGCCGGCTCCGCCACCACCACCGCCGCCAGCACCGCCAGCACCTGCAGCTCCATGCTCTCCCAGGCCGGCACTGCCGGCACCGGCTCCGTCTCGGCCACCATCACCGCCACCGACGGCTCTTCCAGCACCTCCACCTCCACTTCCGACTCCAGCTCCTCCGCCGGCCACATGACCGGTGCCTCCATGGTGGCCGTTGGCTCTCTCCAGCTCGGTGCCTACGTTGTCACTGCCATCGGTGCTGGTCTGGCCATGATCATGTTGTAAGGGTGAGATGCATGTGTATGGTGGATCCGTACTCTGCGATTCATGTTGCATGTTGTCATATAGAAGGAGATTAGTTCAGCTCGCTGCAATATTTTTTTCATCACACTCATTTACTTTCTTCGTGTACATTACCTTCAATCATTTCTATGCCTTCGCTTGTGCAGTGGCAGTTGAACGTGGCTCGAACACGATACAGCCAATTGCCTCAGAAAGTAATCTGCATGAATTGCCCAGCCCCTTAAGACCTCAAAGACCACCCAGCTTCTACCTCGAGACACTGCTCTGCCTCTGGACCAAGCTACACAGTACACAGACATGTACGTCCTCCACCGCGACCCATCCACGCATACCCATCCCAACTTCGAAGCACTCCTATCATCCACCTTCAACCCCGAATCAAGCAGGACACAGGTAACACGAGCATCGCGCAAGTCCACACCTTTACTCGCCTTCGAGATTTAGAGGTCCTCGGAATACCCGAATGCGGCACTTCATTGCCTTCACCCGCTGCTGCGCCGGTAGTGAGTGCATACTCGATACGGAGGATCGGAGCCTGATTCTTGTTTAAGCAAGCAACTGAGCGGTCCAGTCCACAACCAGTCCAAGCTCCAGTAACAGACCTCATCGGAAACGCAACAACTCAATGATATCATATCCTCATATTACTAAACATTACCTATTACGAATATTATACACAAGAATCGAACCCAACCCTAGTCCCAAATAATCCCAAGCATCCCGCACGCACTCTACTCACTCTTCTTCATCTTCTTCCCCCTCGGCCCGGCAACAGTTCCCATCAACACTGCCAACACATTAGCACTTACTTTCCTCCCCACCGGCACAAATTGACAAATATGAAAGGAAGACTCACCATCCCAATGCTTAAACGAACTGGAATAATTGCCGCGGAAATACCGATGATGATCATCATGCCAATCGGAGCCGCCCCACAGCGGGAACACCCTGCGCAGACTCCAGGGGAAATCATACCCGGAGTGCGCGTCGATGGCCTGGAACTGCCGCAGCGCGACCCAGACCAGCACGGTCATCAGGTGGACTTCGCCCGTGCACCAGCCCAGCACGAGCGGGGGGCCGATGGTCCCGAACCCCAGCAGCATCGTCTCCCAGGGGCTGGCGTATTCGGCCGTCAGGCCGAAGGGGGTGGCGTACTGGTGGTGGACGCGGTGGACGGCGCGGTACAGCGGGCCCCAGTGGAAGGCGCGGTGGAGCCAGTAGTGGTAGGTGTCTTCGACGAAGAAGAAGATGGTGGTTTGCAGGGCGAGGGTTTTGAGGTCCGGGAAGGGCAGGGTGTATTGCAATCCGAAGAATTCCATCATCGGGTGGAAGAGGACGATCAGCGGGAGCTCGACGATGAAGTGGATCGCTAGGATGTATTTCACGCAGTTCCATTGCTCGCGCGCCGATGGCGGGGCTTTCGTGTCTTGGATCTTGAAGCGGTGGAAGAGACTGGGGAAGGCGTCGGCGATGATCCACGGGATGCAGCGGCTGAAGTAGAGGATCTCGTGCGCGAGGAAGGTGATGATTCCTAGGGTTCATGGGGTTAATTGAAAGGGTTTTGGGCTTGGTTGGCAGGGTGGGCGTACCTGTTGCGATGATGTCGTTATCCCAGTAGGCGTAGTGCGTCCACCAGAGCTTCTCGAGGAAGGACAGTTTGGGGTTCAGGCTGGCGATCTCGTATAGCTCGTGGTAGGAGCCCGTCGCCGGCGCGGCCAGGGTGGTGTTGAAGGTGTAGTCCATGATGAGGTTTCCTCAGCGCATATCCCGTCACGCTGTTGATTCGCTTTCAGGCTGTAAATCGAGTCAACAAAAAGTATATGTACTTTTCCCTCCTCGGTTGTGGTGACCGATAGCCCTGGTGGGTATCCGGATGGTCTGATCGGACACACCACTCCGGATCCCGGGCAGAACATCAACTGATCCCGATCCGTGCCCTGAAATTAATTAATCCCATCAACTCAAATCCCGCCCGCCACTCACAACCTCCCCTTGCCTTTCCCCGGATTCGGCCAGATCACCACGGCCCACAGGAAATGCATAATGTGTTTTATTATTGGTTCTTTGGACTTGTGAGGTAATTGGTCGGTTGGAGGCAACGGTCGAGACAATGCATGCGCCGCAGAGGTCATTCTGGGGCTAAAACGAACGAGCCGGTCGAACGACGCCGGATGCCCCTGAGCCATCGCTGCCTAAACGTCCAGACGTACTCGTAGTCATTTCAGCCGGAGGAGGATGATTGTCCTATTGTTCGCTTCTAGGGGTGTTAAGGTTCTTTCGGGAGTATCTTTCGACAACTACACCTTGACGTTCGATGTGTGTACGTAAAGGAGACTTGGGCGCGAGGCTTAAGGTTAGAGACTCTTGATAATCTACAGCCGACTGATTCCCGACTTTCATCACATCAATTCTCGATAGATCCTCTAGACCTAGATTGTTCTCTCGGGCCGTGACTTCAGTATTTAATTTTCTGGAGAAGGTAGACTGCAGATTGACATTTCAGTTACTGGTAGCCTCATGCTAGCTGATTCCTGGCGCTGATTGGCAATGGACCTGGCCAATGAGTATCGGCCGCGTCGGCCCATGGTAGAGGGCTCTCATATGGCAATGCATTTCCGAATCCCCTCAAGCAGCATACCTAATTATTCGGGCTAGTGGTTCGACGGAAGGAGCAAGATAGCACGCAGAGCTTCTTTATCTAGCTGGACCCATTTTTTGACGCACGATGTGAGGTAGTCGTGTTTTGGGACGATCTCGAAGGACAGAAAGGTCTAGGCATCGCGGAAGTAATCACGCCACTGGCTGGTGGACCTACCGATTGACTTGCTGTCATATGAAATTGTTTTTGCTTATTTGAGCAATTCGGCAGTAGTCCTAATACGAGGACTGAGCTTACCTTTCGCTGTTGGGGTGCGTTATATAAGCATCTAGGCTACTTGCGGACAATAATAGGGCTCCGATGATTTCAACAGAGCCTTGACAAAGTAGCATTTATTTGGCCGGGTGCTGCTGCTCAATGACTTATGGGGGGTCATCATGATCATCAGTATAGAGAGTGCTCGATATTTTCACCTGGCACACTGAACCAGTCTTCGCCAGTGAAGTTGTCGGAACCTGTTGCGTGAACAACGCTGTCATTGACAAATGTAAATTAGCGAAATAAAAGGGATCGTCGCTAAAGAAGTGCGCTGCACGATGACTTCAGCCTCTAGAGCTGATACAATATGAGTAAGCGTACTGGTCTTCTTCGCATCACAACTTTGTGAGAAGGCTCTGCTTTCCTCGTCGCCAGAGCAAGTTCGATAACACATAGGTGCGAAAGACATGGTCCAGCCTCACTCACCTGCAAGATAAAATTCATTGTGGCCTTCAGACAAACCATCAGTCCTCTTGAGTCCCGATACAAATCATGGAGAATGATAGCAGAACAACGCTGTCTGCCGTGTTGCAAAATGTTTGATTCGCAGATCTATGCTCCAAGCATAAAGGGAGACAAGAAACGGGAACTCAACCCCAGTCTCACCCCAGCCACATCCTTCTCCACTCCCGCTCATCTCCGCTCATCTCCGCTCTCGTCCGCTCTCGTCCGCTCGCTCTCAGCCTTCTCTTCTTCACACTCCCAACACTTTTTCTTATCGACCAGTAGTGAGCCTGAGTTTCTCGCAAAACACATTTAAATAGCTAAATTGAGGACAGCGATTGCGCATACGAAAAGCCGCAATTCCGTGGCCCGCGATGAGTTGTCTCGCAGGATCCCGCAGGCCGGGCATGCAGTGCCAACACGTCCTCCCCGGTTTTCTTTATCATCTACCACGAATCCTCAACTTCTAAGCTTTTCTCACATCTCAACAAGTTAGCCTACCTCAAAATGTCGAATCGTCACGCTTGGGAGACTACCGAGGTGATCATCTGTGGCTGTGGCCCCACGGGGGCGATGCTGTCCGCCTATCTCGGTCGCATGGGCATCCGCAACGTCGTTGTCGAAAAAGAGACCGAGATCACGACCGACCCTCGGGGTATTGCATTGGATGATGATGGCATTCGCTTGGTTCAAGGACTGGGCTTGTACAATTCGATCTACACGGAAATTGGAACTAGTACGTGGTTCCCTACCACCAATCGACGTGCGCGGCTAATGTACGAAAGGTATGGGGGAATTCAGGTTCGTTAGTGGCACTGGTCACGATCTATACAAGTCTCCCATCCTCGAGATTAATTGCAACGAGGTCAGTCATCCGTTCTTGATGATAGGCTCGATTACCGCTTACCACAGCTAGACCGCGGGTACAACAGGGCATGTCGGGTACATTGGCCAAAAGCAGCCGACGCTCGAGAGTAAGCTGAGAAGCGCCATGTCCCCCGTGTATTGTTCCCTGCGATGCGGCTCCGCGATTGTCGACATCAAGGAAGACGACGACTGGGTGTACTGTACGTACCACAGCGTGGGGGGGAAGGACCACAAGGTGCGCGCCCGGTACTTGGTTGGGGCCGACGGCAAGACGGGATTCACGCGGAAACAATACCTGGAGCCACGCGGGGTGATGATGGAAAAATTTCACGAGTTAGTCTCTCAACTCCCAACTGGGAGCAGATGCTAACATCAATATCAAGAGCGTTCTATGAGGAGACATGGGTAGCGCTGAACTGGAAGATGACCCTCCCGACACCCGAAACTCATCCCAGCTTTCCCTTATGGGAACTAGGCTACAAACCAGAGCACGTATACGACTTATTCTTTCCGCCAGAGTTTCGCTTTCTGTGCAATCGCAAGAGACCGGCGGTTTGTGGTCGTTTTGGCCTTCCCGGGGATAGGCTCTGGAGGTTCGAGTACCTTGTCTATCGCGATGAGGATGGAGATCGCATGGCGGAACCGGAGGCGATGAAGCGGACTGTTCTTCCTTATTTGACGCACAAAGGGAGCAAATACGGGTTGGTTGATTTCCTGACTCAGAAGCGCCTTCTAACGAGACTGTAGACTGGACCAAGATGTACAGTTCCCTGAAGACTGTATCGATGTCCTTCGTTGCCGCCCTTTCAAATTCTCGTCTCGTACATGCAATGTATGGGCTAGGGATAGGGTGATTCTGAGTGGCGACGCAGCGCATGTCTTTCCGCCTTGTAAGGTCTCCATTCTGAGCCTCTGATCTAGTTACTTACACCTTTAATCCAGTTGGGGGTCAAGGCATAGTATCCGGTTTTCGTGATGCAATCTCCCTGTCGTGGCGCCTCGCAATGCTCTGCCGATATCAGCCCTACAAACGCAATCACGAAAAGGTCTTAACCGCATGGTACCTTGAACGCAAGCAGCAGCTCGGAATATCTTTAGCCACGACGGTCCGCAACGGCGAATTAGTGTGCGAGAGAAACCTGCTGAAGATCCTCTTTCGGGACTGGTCTCTTTGGCTCCTGCAGCTCTTGCCGGGGTATCGAGAACAACTACGGCATGGACGTCGGGACAAAGCATCATTCCGGCTTCGACATTCTGCCGGCATGCCGTTCATACCCGAACTCAACGGAGGTGTCTACTTGCCCCAGGTCTATTGTCGCACCCCCACCGGCAAGGTCCTTTTCACCGACGACGCCATCTACCGTTCCGGCTCGAAATCCCTGTTCCGCGTGTTCATTTACCTACAGAGAAGCGATGAAGTCGCTTCTGCCCGAGACGCGCTGGAAGGGATCGAGGAATGGTCCCGCGGAGAATTCAATAGCCACGATGTCCCGATTCTCGTGGAAGGGATGGACCCGAAGGACGCGCGGACGCCGAACGTATTCCAGATTGCAAGTGTTGAAGAGTTCTCCCAGTCACCTCTGTGCAGCCAGCGCCCTGCACCCCTGTCGTATGATCCGTGCCTCATCGGAAAGAGCATCAAAGCAAAATATGTGATTGTCCGACCGGACCGATTCGTGTTTGCAGCTTGCAACGAACCGGGGGAGTTGAAGGAGGCGGTACAGTGGATGCTGAGGTATCTCTACGGTGAGGTTTGAGGTCTGACATGGCCAACCATGACCAATTTACTGCACCTTATGATATGTGTATATACTCTTCGATATGGTAATGAACCTCTCCTCTCTAATCCACGGAATTCCCGTCCCCAAAGGTTCAACCCCTCCGCGGACAACCCGATAACCAGCGCCAAAGCAGCGGTCAGAAACCGTCCACAACGCCGGACCTTCCACAGAACCACGCTTGTCCAAATCCAGCCTAGTCAAAACATTCCCTCAGAACCTATGTCAGGACGACACCAATCACAAACACCAGTGACTCGTGTCCCCATGTCCCATTGGTCGGAAAATTCGACTGTGGCCGGGATTGTCTCGGGATCCGTGGCCGGGCATCGAAGCGGGTCCACCCCCTGACGAAGACTTCTCATTTCCCCTGATTCAGACACCACCAGAAAAATCAGGCAATATAAGGCCACCTCCTCGCTCGGCCGGAACCTGGACATTTGGGCCTGTGGCACAATTGTGCTATCTGATTTGATTGGTTGTATGGGTTCAATTGGCCACATGGGTTCAATTGAATGTAGATTGATAACTGCCTGCTAGAGGCTGGTGAACTCCTCCAGTCGGATTGTGCGTGGAGGTTGAACTGTTGAACCGTTGAACCGTTGAACCCCTTCGGCCGGGTGGGGGCTTGATGTATGTTTTGGGATGGGTATGGCTATGCAATGTAGCCGCGATACTTACATAGGAGTAAGTAAGGTGCTACTTGACTTAGGTGTACTTGGTTTATTTGTGCTGTGCAGATGACATTAATTAGAGTATTGGAGTATGGTGGTGGGGTGCCTCGCAGACGGCACTGCCAGTTGGCGCCGGATGTGTATTCTGCCGGAGGTATACGAACTGCAGCCATTACTGCAGACATTGACATTGTCAACATTGTTGTCTCGTTTCACACTCAATCAGATATCCAGAATTAATTCTCGGACAATAAGACATAATCAAGCAAGAGAGCCTCAAGGGTTAGAGCAGTCCTCACCTGCCTTACACTCAAGGCATTCGAAGTGCCAAAGCATGGAACAGTGCTGTACGTCAATATATATCTGGATGGAGATAAGTGGACTTATCCGCACTTACTCTGCACTTGACGTTTGAATAGCAGGAATCTCATTCGAGAAGGCCCAAACAGAAAGTGTGCTTGTACCATCTCCAGCTCGATTCAATGCCCTTGGAACGTACTATATAAACACGGAAAGAATGATGGAGGAACGAACAGGCGGAGCAGGAACAGATACGATTACTATGTGACTCAATGAGCCTTGTGAATAGCACCCGCAAAGCACCCGTAATCTGGTTCCGGATGACAGCAACAAACATCATCATCATCATCATCATCATCATCATCATTACCAGCCTTCAGGACCATTCCAGAAATTTTTAGTTCCTTATAAACGAGTCTTCTTGCTCGCTGGCAACAGTCGATGCAACAATCTCGCATCTACCCTTCTGCAAAAATCCGCCATATTCAAGACATCAGTGCTGACTACCTATCTCTGAATCATACTTTGATATTTTTTACCAAAAAAAACTTTAACAAACATACTTCGTCGATTTAACCCAGAAGCAGAGAAAGAGAGAACAAAACGTTGAAAAGAAAGGACCCAAAAGGTGGATCACGGGTTCAAGCAAGAACCGATCAAGATCACCGTCGGCCACGAACACGAAGTGGAATACTTCATCAGAGTCGAGGATGAACGTCTGGTGGCGGATGGGGAGGCACTCCCCGTATCCAGCTTTGATGAAGCGTGCTACAACGTTGATAGCTTGGGGGCGGGCATATACCTGGCGGCTCGTACTGGGAATGAGGGGTCTGGGATCCAAGTGAGCATGGAGGCGATGAGGCAACTGCGGGAGCTATACGGGGTGAAGGGGGAGACGATACCGCTTACGGAATTGCTCGATTTAAGGTTGTCTGATACCGTGTAGGCGCCATCAACCATGCTGCCATGTGCATGGGATCGCATGTATGGTATGTTTACGATACGGGTTGGGTCAAGGTATTGTGTCAAGCATGGGCTGTGCATGCCAATTAAATTGGTTTATCAAAGGGAAACTATTTGACGAAGAGAAAAGTATATGCACCGCATACGATCAGCTCTGCTGTTGGTTGCCAGCCATCTCACGCACCCCCAACGACCACTCAAGCGTCCAGCTTAGAAGTAGGAGGTATCGACCCAGCTGGTGTAGTCAGAGCCCAGGATATCCGTGATAGTGAGCTTGGCATCCAGCTTCTCGGCGAAGCTGGCGCGGGTGCCCTCGGAACCGGCGCCAGTGTTGGCGTACTCGCCAAAAGTGACGTACTCGGTGTTGGGGGTGGAGGTGGACCACTCAGTCCAGCCGAGGGAGTTGATGACGTTGGTCATGCTGGTCTGCTGGAAGACGACACGGGCGTACTCGGACCAGGGGCGGCCTGTAACCATGTTAATATTGTCTCTAAAGTGCGGAGGGCGAGGTGGACAAGGAATCGTACCAAGGTAGTAGGTGCCTTCGGCAACGTCGTCGCCCTCCTTGGCAGCAACGGTCGACTTGTTGATCACGTAGTAAGAGGTGTCAGTCTCGGAGGAGCGGCCGTTGGCGGTGATGGAGGCAGAGGTAGGGCCCTCAACGACACGGATGTCGACGTTCTGGAACCAGGCACGAGCGTGCTGGCCAAAGATGAAGTCGCTAGCCGGGTTAGTGTTGGCTTCGTCCAAGAGCCGGCAATCACTTACACAGCACCCTCAATGTAGGAGTTGATGTAGAGCTGGTTACCGGTCTGAGCGAGGAGGGTATCCTGGTAACCAGTGAAGTTACAGCCGTAGTAGCCCTGCTGGTCAGCCCAGGCGGACACGGCCAAAGCCTGGTGGCAAGCCTGACCACAGGTGTTGGCAATGTTCAGGTTGTAGACCTGAGAGCCGACAGCCTTGTTGCGGAAGGTGGCTGTTCTTGTTAGTGACCGATCATCTGTCCGTTCCAGTGAGACTTACCAGTCAGATCATCGCTCTCACCAGCATCCTCGTAGCTGATGGCATGGGTGATGGTGACCAGGTTGTCGGCGTAGGAGTCGGTGCTAAAACAATTGTCAGCACGATGCTAATCAGAGGCAGTAACCCAACGTACTTCTCGGTTTGACCGTAGATGATGACCTTGCCGGTCATAGCAGGCAGGTAGACCTGCTCATCGTAGGTACCCTCCTCGATGAAAATGGTTTGGGTGTCGGTGGTGCTGGTGCTCAGAGCATCAATGGCATCACCAATCTAAGCGGATATCAGTATCGTGCCTCGTGCAAAACTCATGCGGACATTCTCACAGTGGTGTAGTCACCACCAGACTTGGCGACGACGATCGCGCCGGAGGGAGCCGTGGTACGGCTGGCAGCCAGTGCGGACACGGCGAAGAGAGCGGAAGCCAAGACTGATTTAACCATTTTTGCGATTGATATGAGTGTATGATCGACTGGATCGGCGAGGTAAGGTTTAATGCAGAGAGACGAGAGACCTTATATACGTTGCGTTCAGCAGCCTGCCTGCTTGTCTGAGTGCGCCATTTCCCTTTTAGGTCGGTATTTGTCTCATATCCGTCAGGAGACTGTGGTGGGGTTTGCAGCGGGATATCTGCAGACTCCAGTTGAGTAAAGATAACTATATCTGAAATCACTAGGAAGGTTCAGGCAAGTCGACCGGCGGCTAGAGTCCGGTGGAGGCGTTCGAGGAAGCTTCTAATGCTTCTCAAGACTAGTGGATCCTATCAGCGCCCAGTTTTCTCCGTTCCTGGTGGGTGCTTCATTTAAATTGGTGCAATCATAGCGATCCCTATCTCTGATTAATATCAACGTTCAACCTCCAATGATTAAGCTTAATGAACAGCCACAACGTGAGCATGAATAGTCGATGGGTCAATACAAGGTGTGGTGAAATGGAGGGCCGACCCACTCCAGATCCGAAACAGGAGAGCTTTAGGGCTGCTCACAAACGCCGATCCCCGACGGTCGGCTTGTGGGGGCATCCAGGGGTGGCTTCAACAGTGTAACAGGGTCTTTTTTGGAACAGAAACAGGTTCGTAAATCGACCTCCTTTGTGAACGCATGCCCAGAGTGATCGATATCACACTGAATTAATCCATATTCCTAAGGTCCAAGGCTGTTGCACATGGCGAATTCGGACAATCTCCGTGTCAAAGCGCCGAATCTGCCCCTGTCCATGTTCGCAGCCCCCTGAAACAGAAAGGAAGTTCTTGAATTTCCTGATTGGCGGGATTCCGGAATCAAGCACCGGAGACCTCGTGCAGGCTGCGCATGGGCCGTGGCTGCAGAACACCACTTCCGCAACATGGCACACCTTGGACACTTTTTCCACGAGTACCTTCGCGGGAGCACCGGCAGAGAGGTTGATTCATTGGGGGGGTGAAGATTTGAGTTCTGGTCAAGCATCAGGCGTTGACGCACCTCCCTAGGCTACCTCTCTCGCGACCAATCCTGTATCAGTCGCGATTTTCCACGTTTCTTGGCATTACCGGCATATTAAGACCGTGTTCGGGAAAGGATTCTGCATTTCATATCACGCATATTGCACCTATGGGTCGTTCGGAAGGGACAGCAATAAATCCAGAGCAGCCATCCTCGGTCACACCTCCTGATTCTCATTTGTGCGATATTAAATGGATGGCAAGGCCATATTCGGCGCCAATGTTCCGATACCCTGATAATAATTGCGGAGTTTATTATGAGCTGACGTATATCCGAGAGAGCGAATGCGACGGCCGATGAAAATGAATCAATGATTGGGTCCGAGCATTTACCTACAATGACTCCAGGCTTTAGTCACTTGTTGATAAGATTTCGTCAGTCTGCAAGGAAGAATACTTACTTGCTGCCAAGCCAAGTCAATTTGCGGGGTTTTATAAGCTGACGTGGACATATCCGTAGACCCGACACGAGTCCACCTGCAGAGTTGCACTTGCAAGCAACTCAATAAGAGAAAGGTATATGGATAGAGAACTCTAATCCCAAGTCTAGGATACGGCCATCAAGATAGGAGAAGTAAGCCCGTCTGGGGGGTCAACAGCCATGTAGTTGGAACGAATGGTGCAGGAAGGGGGTAGGCGCGTCTGATGGATATGATCTCCGTGGTGTGATAAAAGCAGCATATGCTCGAGCTCGCTGAGCTGTTCAGGACAGGAGCGGTGGGAACTCGAAGAGGATCGCGCTCTCAATTGGGCAGCAGTAGATGAAGGGGTTGAAGTTGTTTACGGAAGTGACGGAAGGGGAATGTCATGTAGACCCGTGACCCACCCCATGTCTATCTTACACCTTCGCTTTCGGCCCCGATCATTCAGACCTTCCAAGGGACAAATCAGACGATACTATGAGATATACATTGAGTAGCTTCGGCCAGTCATCTCGGTTTCATCTTTCTCCTTTTCCTCCAAAACCCAAGTGCTTCTTCGTGCTAGTCTTGGGTAGAAGGATAACGATGCAGATGCACAATGCCATGATAGTTTGCCCTTGCCTTAGCATCAAAGGTGAAAAGCAGCAACATCCCATTGATGATCATCCATTTCTGACCGCTCCTCCGACTCGACGCATTGATGCAATCGAAGTTCCTCGTATGATGAGATCTTCACCCAGTTTGTCACAGTCATCGCACTATGTATAAAAGTGACACAGACTCTCGGCTGCCTAGGACGTTATAGCAAAAAGCTCAATTGCACTCCCTCCTAGAAGACTGAACTGAAGTACATAGGAAGCCCGTCTGTTCGCTCTGAAATCAATCAAATTTATCGTACACCCAATGAAAAGAGGACAAGCTTGCATACGCCCGTACTAGTGATATACACTTTCCCCAATGATGAGACTTATGCCAGTCCCGTGCAAATGCGGCAAATGAAGTCCCTATTTACATACTCCAGGCTCGAGAGGCCACCAGTCGTAAGGTATATCAAGTACTATTGACTTGCGCAGCACCTCAGTCTACATGCGTGGACCAACAATCCGTGATATGTCCAGTCGCTATTCAGGAAACAAAGAAAGCTTGACTGTCAGCTTTGGTCTCAACGGTACGATCTGTTTCATGTGCGATTGCAGATCGAAGCTTGGCCGGTACCTTTGAACAGACGTCCCAAGCGGCACGTACAGAATATCCCGCCCTGGAGCCGGATTGACCAGATGCAGCGGATCGGGTCGCTGCCTCATTCGTGCCTGAGGCTGAACTTCACAGTGACCGTAGACAGTGAATTATACACAGTACAATAGAACCACAGAGAATTCAGAAGCACTGCAACTGATAAGAATACTCGAATACAAACAGTCCAAGGCAAGAATTTCAGGTCGAAAGCACACGCAAACAGTTGAGCCAACCAGTCGGACTGATAGAATAATCAAAAATCGGCGGTTGAGCGGCAGAATGGGTGAGCCGGCCTCAGCGTTTCCCAGAGCGGTAGGGAATCCCAGATGGGTTAGGTTGGGACCGACACACCGCGTCTCAACCAGTTGAGTTGGCGTGCCTGAGTCACCGACCAGGCTCCAAGGCTCACTCCAGCCACAGCAGCCACAGCTCGCCCATGGTATACTTCTTCATCTATATAGACCCAGAAACTACCTTTATTGCCCTCTTACGATCGAGACAATCATAATAGAGCATTAATCATCTACTCCTTCTATCAAACAAGTCACCCTATCACTATGGCCACTCACCCACCCACCCCCGAGATAGCCCTCTACTTCGACCTCGTCAGCCCATTCAGCTACATCGCATTTCAAGTTCTGAAGGTATAGCACCAGTCTCAAATCCATCATCACCCAATCCACTGACAGAACTCCAACCCAGAACTCCCCAATTTTCCAATCCTGCAGAGTAATCTACACCCCCGTCTCATTGCGCACCATCCTCACCACCTGCGGAAACCCCCCACCGATCGCGGTCAAAAGTATATATCTCCCACCTCAGCCAACGCCCAACATCAGTACCGAATGCAACGACACTAAGCTAACAATTGAATCAACCCAGACAAACTAATTTACATCAACCGCCACCGCCTCGACTGGGCCCGTCGCCTCAATATCCCAATGACCGAAGCCGTGCCAGCGGGTTTCCCCTTCCCGACCACAGAGATTCAGTCACTCCTTGCAATCGTTGCCGTGTCCCATCCGGAGAAAGTGGTGGAGGTGGTGGAGCGGCTGTATGCCTCTGTCTGGGCGGACGGTGAATCGGCTTCTGTTACGGACTCTGAGAGATACACGAAGGTTCTCGAAGAGGTGTTGGGCGGCGATGTGGTGGAGGGGCTGATGGATGAGGTATGTTCTTCCCTTCAAGTTCCTTTTCTCATAGAAGGACCCAAAGCTAGGGGAATAGACAGGATGTTTTCTGACTTTCGCAGGGGCAACAAACCGAAGGCAAGACCCTACTGGAGGCGAATACGCATCGAGCGATTGAGGAGGGGGCTTTCGGATTACCGTGGCTGACGTGCACGAGTCCTACCGGGGAGGAGGAGGGCTTCTGGGGCGTGGATCATTTGAGCCTGGCGGCGGAGTTTCTGGGGTTGGATGTTGGGATGGAGGGTGGGTTCCGGGTTATGATGAAGTGATTGAGTTTACTCTTGGGATGGATGAAGAGCTCGCGAATTGGTTCTCTCTCGGGTGAGATTCTCTCGTGGTGAATGTTAGATAGACAGATATAGATCGTAGGTAGATAATGTATAATATGGGAGTTCAGCCGGATGGCTGCTAGCTGTTTCCTGCGACTTGATGCCGCCACTTACGACTGTTTCTTTTTCAGATCTTTCTCAATTGAGGTCTAAAGGTGCTGCTAAATCCATTGACTATTGCTACACTATTCGTCGCGTTTGGTAAGAAAGAAACATATCACGCACCCGGATGCCAGGAAATGTACGAAAAGACACAAACCCAAGTACCTCACAAGGACCTACTTTAATTCCAATACAAGACTGAGATGTAGAAAGATTCATACCGGAGATCTGGATTACATGATCCAAGCAATAGTGATCGAATTGACACGATTTGCGGCACATCACCACGACATTATTGAGCAGCAGACGGTAAGTCCCATTCACTTTACTACGCCATCATGTTGTTTTAAAGGTTTGCGAGTCACATGACAAGCCCGGGTGGTCTAGTGGTATGATTCTCGCTTAGGGATTCCAAACCCAAGCATATCTGCGAGAGGTCCCGCGTTCGATCCGCGGCTCGGGCCTTGCTTTTTTGCGTTTCTTTTTTATGTCACTTTCAATCAACTCTTGCTGAACTTCCGTGAAGCTCTCTCACTCAGACAGAAGAAGACAACTACATCCAAGAAGGAAGTAAAGTGATGAATGGCCCCACTATCAATTTGACGATTATCCTAGAAGCTATCAAGAATTCACTATGTCAGTCTGAACCACGTCGCTTTGCTTCCCACCTTAACAAATGCCTCTATCCCAATGAAGGTAGTTTGTCTACTACCTATTCGCTTTTTGCATCAGTACCGCCAGCCAACTTCGCCTGAAGTTGCTTAATGGCCATATCGACCAGGCCCCCAACAGTCTTGGCCTTAGAAATCTGTGGCAAGGAGACATCGAGACCCAAGTTTCTCCTAATGCAGCTTCTCATCTCCATCGCGCACAGCGAATCGATCACCACCCCCAGTCGCTCGGTCGCGTCTATCTCCCGGACCTCCGCCCAGTAAGTATCAGTTCGAAAGACCTCTTAACAAAGATTACAAAGTCTGCACCCTAAACATCCAGTATCGCAGCCAGAAAACAATACATGACGCGACTTCAAAGATATTCTACGACGGTAAAGTGGAGAGCTATAGCCTCCCCCGCAGATGGGGGGGGGGGAGTGGTTGGGACATTGCTGCCTCACCCATCACCGTCCGCCTGGGCCAGCATCGCTGGCTCATCAAACAAGATATTGGATTCCTTGAAGCCGACGGCAAGGCGATGAAAGACAGAACATCATTATCTTGATACAATACAACAGAGGCAGCACGTGTTGCAGTGGACCTGGCAATGACGCTCTCAGACAGAGACGTGTATGTTTTAGTGCTGGCGCCATATAATGCGCAGATCGCGAAGATCAAGGATCAACTCGCGAACCGCTATTCCCACGCGCAAAAAAGACCCCGAGTTCTCACAGTCGATGCCTCTCAGGGGACCGAAGCCGAGTGTGTCATCATTTCTCTATGCAAAAATTTCGGCACACCTGGATTCCTGCGGTTCAAGAGAAGGGTTAATGTCATGACCTCGAGGGCGAGGCAAATGGTGTCCTATGTAAGTAGGTGGTCCCATATTCAAAGCGACACCCTACAAGACTCATCACCAACACTCTTTCGGATGCTCGGCCATTACTCGAAGCATGTCCCAAGCTTTGTGATCAAACCTCCTAGTCGCCTTGCTTGTCGCTAGATCAAGGGCCGTCATATGACGGCACCCCTCTAACGACAAGCAAGGCGACTAGGAAGGCGTGCTGAACGCTCGACTCTACGCGGATGTTGCCCACCTCTTTCTTCAAAGCGTTTCGTTATCCTGTGTCCTGCGTTGTTGTCTTCTTTTGCTTCAAAGGTCGATAGACTCGGGTATATCTGTCAACAAATTGGTTCGGGGTGATGACAGCAGTATCATGAGACATGTAGCCTGAATGACGCTCAGGCGTCTTTGCCCTCGTCAGAGACTTCACCTAAACTTATCGAAGCGAGATAGAAGCAGCAGGCACGTGTGTGACGGTGGACATGTTACACCTTTCCCGATTTGACTGTATGACATTGAGACGGGACGGGACTCGGCCCCGGGGCATTTCGGCTTAGTGCCAGTACACCCCGTCTTCCTGAGTTTTGCTTCCAGGCTTCCAGGTGCTGACGGCCTTCCCGCGGGATTGGGTCTATGACTGTAGCCGCTCCGAAGGGCTGCAGGATGTGAAAGGTCCCTTGAGCTTGAGTCTAGGAGAAGGTGACCCCGAGCGGTTCTTGCAGATCCGGGTACAACGGGTGGCTGAGAAGTTTCTGGGGGCTTTGAGGAGTGCACAGGGTTTGGGGAAAGAATAGCTTTAGTTGCTTCAAACTGCTCATCCGTCGTTCCGAATTTCGAATCCTATTGTTGAAATGTCGATAATACTTTCTTTCAGATCAGTGAAGGAGAAAGTCATATAGGTAACGTAGTCTTAAGGACCGAATGCACGTTCTAGACGAGTTGTTCTATCCAACAACAGACTTTCAGGACCGTCTATGCCTTAGTACTCATACCCTTGCTTCTTATTATCCGACCAAGTAATATTGTCAAAGATACGAAGTAGAAAACGAGAGCACACAACTCACAAAAACAAAAAACGTGACTCAATCTGATAGTTCACCCTCGACCAAACAAAAATAGTACCCGAAAGTGCAAACATAGCCCCAATAACCCACCACGAATAAGTACAGTAGTCACAATATCAATCACCCACCAACCTACCCCTTCTCGTACCGAGCCTTAATATGCTTAAGACACAGAACCGCCAGCCCGCCCACGGTGGCCGCCTTGCCGATCTCAACCAGACTAACATCCAAGGTCAGCACCCGTCTCGCCCACGCCTTGATTTCAATAGCCATAAGGGAATCGATCTTGATACTCTCGCACTGCGCCTGCGCGGCCTCGTCGTCCGACACGATCTGCGGAAGGATCATCCTGCCCATCTCGAGGATGATCATTTTTCTCGTCCGCGGATCATCGGCCAGCGAGGGATCGCGCTGGATCGCGTCCGCGATCGTCCGCAGCTCGTTGTTCTCGATCTCATGCCGCGACCCCTTCAGGTCCATGTTCGCGTACAGGGCAAAGCGCGGGTCCTCTCGGCGCCAGGTGGTCCGGATAGTTGAGTCGGTGATGGGCTTGGTGCTGCCGAGGCCGACGATGGCCGGGTTTGAAATTAGTCCCTGGCACGCAACATCATTATCGTGGTTGATAGATTGCCAGATCGCGACTTCGAGGCCTTGGAGGACTTCCTGCTCGTGCAGCATGCGGATGCCGTTACGGCGCAGAGTGTGGAGATATTTCACGTTGGTGCTGAGCGTACCCACGTCTTCAACCGGGCCGAGATCGAGAATGGACGACGCTAGACCGAGCTGTCGACGATACTTTGTGAAGGCCGACAAGAATGAGTTGGCAGCGGCATAATTGGCCTGGCCTGTGAAGCCGTTGACTGCGGAGATAGAGCTGAACACGACGAAAAAGTCGAGGCCTTGATCCTGGACAGCATGGTGGAGGTTCCAGGCCCCTTGCACCTTCGGGTCTAAGCATGTGGTCCAGTCCTCGTAGCTCATCTTGAAATAGGTTTGATCCTAGAGGGTCAATCAGGATGTTTGATAATCTAAACTTAGGTGGGCCCACCTACCCGTAGGACCATAGACAAGAGCATGACTCCTGCCAAAGGCTTCGTGCATCTCGTAACCGCCTTCTGTACGTCTTCAAGCACCGCCACGTTCCCGGGGACGAATATAGCCTCACAGCCCTGGAGACTCAGTTCATCACCGAAGAGGCGATCGCTCTCTGACTGGCCGGCGGAGGGAGAGAGATATACAATCTCGCGAGCACCTCGCTCAACCATCCAATTTGACACAGAGCGACCGAGCCCGCCAAGCCCACCAACCAATAGATAAGATACAGTGGGAGTGAAGCTATAGGCCGAGGGAGCGGGTGCAGATGGGAGCTCATCTGGCGAACTGGGCATCTTGACCAAGATCTTACCGATATGGGTACCCTTCTGTATATACCGAAATGCACTCGAGACTTCTGCAGCCTCGAAAGTTTTGATGGGATGAATGGGTTTGATCTTACCCTCTTCATACCAAGCCTTGAATTGCTGTGTCAACCTGTAACTTCGTCAGCATAATGAATGCGACGGAGCCAGAGATCGATCAATGGCCACCCACCATTCCCACGTGTTTAGATCTTGTTGACCGAGCTCTAGCATATCTACGCCCACAAAAGCGCGATTTGCAAGGAATGGTGCCATATCAAGAATGCCGTTCGTCAGAAAGTCTCGTTTTCCGAGTTCGATCATCTTGCCGAATGGAGCAACACATCTCCATGAAGCATGAAGAAGTTTTCCTGCCAACGAGTTGAGGACGATGTCAACGCCGCGCCCATTCGTCTCGCGCATCAGGTCGCCCACAAATGATTCGTCTCTTGAGTGGAAGATGTTTGATCGGCTAAGATCGAAATGGTCAACCAGATATTGCACCTTTTCTTCGTTTCCGACCGTGGCATAAATCTAGATGTCTTGTTAGTAGCATCGCCCGTTGTGAGGTGCGCACTTTCACCTTTGCCCCCAAAGCTCGACAAACATGGATAGCTGCTTGTCCGACACCCCCGCATGCCGAGTGAATTAGAACGCTCTGCATTTCTCAGTGTGATGATCTTTATGTGATCTTTAAGCATAATCAACGCACCTGGCCAGCCTGAAGCGCCCCAACGCGAAGGAAAGAGTATAGTGCAGTGGCGTAAACTGACAGCATAGTGGATGCATCTTCCATGGCCAATGCATCTGGTATTTTCACGCAGTAACTTTGATTGGCCACGGCTCTTGTCGCAAAGAGCCCGTTCTGAGTGAAGCATATTCTGTCTCCGGGCTGAAACCCATGCACTTGCGACCCAATTTGGTGGACGACACCAACCGCCTCGAATCCTAGACTACGGCGGTCACCAACCAATCCCATGGCAACCATCAGATCCTGTAGAACTATGAGCAGGTACAAAAGTAGTAAGTTGGTAAGGAGCCTATTACCCTAAAATTCAATCCAACGTAACGGACGTCAACCTCGATTTCATCGTCTCCTAGCGAGGGGTTGGCCGTATCAAACCAATGCAGTGTATCCAAAAGGCCATATGCAGATATATCGAGTTTCTTGCACATGCTACTCTTTTGCTCCGTTGGGGACGTCGATGTGTCCTTTACAGGCCAATGACAGCGACTGACATACACGTCGCCCTGGTGCAGAGCATACTCTTGGTCAATGCTTGCGCAGGAGAGATGTTTCGCCTGCCCCATCTTCTCGATCAAGCGCATAATATATGAGTATGCTTTGAAGTTGAAACAATCAATCTCAAATATCGTGAACGATATATCGTTCTCCTGTTGCATGGTGCGTGCAAAGCCGTGTATGAGACCGAAACGAGGGTCCGGGCAGCTCAAATGGGACGGATGCGTAAGCCAGAGTATCGCACCTCCACCAATGTTCTGGACAACGTCTCGCAGTAACCCAAAGGCTCCATCTGTGATATTGTATAAGAAAGGTTCATCATGATCGAGAAAAGAAACAACAAGGGCGCCATTAGGATACTCTTCTCCCATGCTACCAGATGTCACACAGTAGCCACTCTGCACAAGACATCTACGCAGGCCCTGTGCCCAAATGCTCTCAGGCTCGTTGCGCAGAAGATGAACAGAGCCCCGTTGTACTGTTTTGCATTCTAAAGGTCTTGATAACATAGTAAAGTTCGTGTGGAATGGGCGTTGATTGTCGTAAACTGCAGCCTCACTCCCGGTGAAACCCGCTTGCTTGAGCTCTAGATCCCATCTCCCAGGTGATACGTACGGTCGCTGTTGTCTATCTGTCTCTTCTCCGAGCCACCATCCAGGAAATACTCCCTGGTCGAGTGAATGATCGTTAGCCGAGATGCTCCACAGGAACACGCATTTGAGCTTAACAAGCTCAAGTACATACCATCAAAAAGTCTATGATCCAGATTGCTTATGCGACAGTCAGTATTCTTGAAGGGTATCAATGGGCAAACACGATCTCTTACTGGGGTCAAGCTCATGTAGCAACAAGCGCCCATTTGGACGTAGGAGGTCGTGCACGCTTTTCAATGAGGTCTGAAGTATTGGAGTAACATGCAAAGCCTGTTCAGACGTTGTGTTGTGAGAACAGAGCAATGAGATGTACACGTGGAGGAAACGTAGTGGGGAGAAACAGACGTTAGATGCAATCACCAGGTCAAAGCTATGTAGCTCAAATCCTTGCTCGGCGGGTGACTTGGTGATATCGAGAGTTCTGAAATTGAGGCCACTATAGTCCTTGAACTTGTCCGCAGCAGTCGCAAAAAAGCCAGGTGTGATGTCAGTAAACGTGTATGACGAAAAGAGCCGAACACCATTCGGCGTCTGGAGATATTTCAGTGCTTCAGAAGTGGCACATCCAGTTCCCGCCCCAACTTCGAGAATACGAAGTCCAGGGTTTGTTTTGCCCAGCAAGTACAGGAAGTCTTTCGTCTGTTGTGGCGGGGTGACAGCATAATATCTTTCGAGTATGTTGTCCTCGAAGAAGACATCTAGTGGAGAGACTATACCGAGCAAAAACTGCTCACAGTTCTCATAGACCCGCTGAAGCATTGTGGGGAGGACGGTCCATTCTCGTGGTACGGGCTTAATATCCTCCAAGGTCTCACGAATGAGGTCTTTTCTCTTGTCGGCTCCCATAGACACCCAGTCCTGGGACCCTGCGAAGATGATTTCTTTACCTTCCGCAACGTTGCGAGCCTGGCTTGTGATATGATCTTTCCATTTCTTCATATGGCCAGAACACGGGGTGATGGACCCCACAATGTCTGCGGTATTCAGGATATAAAGAATGGCAATTTTGCCCATCGCCTGTACCACTCTCGCTGCTATGTCACCACAGTACATTGGAGCTCTCTCAATTAGCAACTGATCAGAAGGTAGGAAGTCTATATCCTTCGTCCACTCCATCTGGGCGACTAATGGAACAGCAGGATCGTTGTCGAGACCATCATCATCCAAGGTGAACAAGAAGACCTTTTGCAATGACAGTCTCACATGGCTGTCTGCACACAGATTCACGTTCCCTAGTCGCTTTTCAAAAACACTAGGGTTGATTGCAGCATGAACATTCATATGCTTATTCCCATGGGTGACGTAGATCTCCCCTATAGAGGCCGGAATTGCCAGTCCAGGCAAGCGACGCATGAGCCCATTAGACTGGGCGACGCTCAGTAGTTGTAGACAGTGGTCTATGGCGGTAGGGTGAACAAAATATCTGCTATCGTGTTCAGATGCATCATCCACGATTGATGCTACCGCAGTGAGCGCAAGTGGATCTGCTGATATTTCCCTGAGACCTCGAAACCGCGGGCCATAATTGAGTCCTCTTTTGTTCAGAGCATTATACCAGCTTCCGAATTCGACAAAACGAGGGTGAGTCTGTGGTCGCTCGGCATGTTGACGCGCAGCTGACTCCGGTCTCACCAGCCCTTGGCAGTGTTTGATCCATGAAATGCCGTCGTGGACCATAACGGACATGGAATACCACTCTGAGTCTTCCATGTCGGAATACTTGGTGGGTTTGAAGCTGGTAATAACCTCGAAGGTTGCACTCCCTTCCAATACCCAGGGAGCCTTGAGGATGAGGTTCCTAATTGCGAAACCTTCTGTTGCGGGAAACAGTTGCTGTATCGCTTCCCCTGCCATTGCAATATAGCCTGCGGCCGGAAAAACCACACTTCCTTGCAGAACATGATCACATATCCAAGGAACACTGTAAAGAGAGAGTAAGTTTCTCCATGTCGGCTCAAGCTCGGGCATCTCTGACACGCGAGAACCCAGGAGCTCATGATGCATGGCCGCATGGAACCTCCAGTCGCGTACCACACGACTCTCTTGCCATTGAGCTTTCCCCCGTGCCCAAGGATACAGTGGCAACCCTGTGACTACCTTTTTATTTGCTTCGGAATCTGTTAGTCCGAAGTTAACGGGTACGCCGTTGCAATGAAGAAGGCCGATAGTCTCTAGGAGTTGAATCTCTGCATCCTTACTGCCGCGCAGGATAGTTGGGACATAAACGTGGTTCTGACCGGACCCTTGATCTCTCCATATCTGCTTCAATGGGCCTGACAACACAGAGTGAGGACCAACTTCCAAAGTCACTTGCGATCGTGGCTCCTTCTTCAAAATTGCTTCGATGGCACCTTGAAATTCCACCGGGGATTCCAAGTTCCGACGCCAGTAGGAGGATCCCAGCTCAACGGGGTCCTCGATAATGGAGCAAGTCACGCTTGACGCGAGAGGAAGCATATGCGTTGAGGGGTGCTCCATGTGTGGTGCTATCAAAGCTTCATAAAAGCGGCCGCAGCGCAGCATGTGATCTGTATTTGGGTCAGGACCTGATAATACGCTTTAGGGGAATATACTCACGGGAGTGATAGGCCACATCTATTTTCAGCATCTTACAGAGTGTCTCGGGCTTTTGCTGCCTGATATACTGGATGGTCCTTTCCAGTTCGTCCTTGTCGCCAGAAAGGGTTACACTCTTCGGGCTATTGATGCAAGCAATGACAACACCATCTCCCAGGTAAGGGCCTATCTCTTGCGAGCTGAGACTGACAGCAAACATAGATCCACGGCCCTGCTCAAGCTTTGCAGCTACCCCGCGGTAATATGCCAATATGATGGCGCATCTCATTGTGATTGCTCCTGCCACATACGCCGCAGCTATTTCTCCGCTAGAATGCCCTACCACGTATAAGGCTTTCAAGCCAAGGTTCGCTAGCACGTGGTATAGGCCAATTTGAAAGGCAGTGCATAATGGTTGGGATATCTGTGCTTCGTGGATACGAGAGTTAGTCTCAGTAGTTATCTCATCTGCTAAAGACCAATCGGGCCCATCAGGGAGACTCTGCAGTATGCCGTCCATCTCATCGATCGAAGTCCGAAAATCTACAAATCGACTCATCAAAGCCTTTCCCATTCCAGGCCAATGAGCACCTTGTCCAGAAAAGGTAAGAATGGCGAGGCGATCTTTCGCTTCAGAAATCTGAAACGCAGAGGCATCGATCAAGTCGTTGGGACGTGCTATAACAAAAGCCCGGTTGGGCAAATGTACACGTCTGGCTCGAAGGGTATAAGCAAGATCTGAAAGTGTCGCAGTATTTCTGTTTGCGAACTCTGTGAAACTGGCTATGCGAGCCTGCAAGCTGTCTTCGTTCCTTGCTGACAACACCAAAAGTTCGGCTCTATTCTCGTTTCGCGTGGTCTCGTCGGCACGAGCTTTGACAGTCGAGGAGTAGGAGTCAATTATTGCGTGAACATTTGATCCCCCAATCCCGAAACAGTTGACACTGATTCTTTCCTGGCAGTTCTGGGGCCAGGGTGTTGGTTCTGAGGGCAAACGAAGCTTTCCTTCTTCGAAGGGTATATCGCGATTTGGACTCCGACAAATGGTTGGAGGGATAACCCTTCTCTCCAAGGACAGCACACTTTTGATAATGCTAGTAATGCCGGACGCCCCTTCTGAGTGGCCTACGTTGGGTTTGACCTATAATTCATCGCATCGGTTTTCTATCCTCTCATTTGAGGTCAGTGGACTTACCGAGCCTATTGTAACCCCGTCCTTTCCAAATAATTGAGCGATAACGGAGACTTCGGCTGAATCGCCTACCTGCGTTCCCGTGCCATGGCATTCAAAGTAACCGGTATCTGACAAGTTAGCAATGCGTGCTCTTCTGTATGTTGTCTCTATAAGCTTTCGTTGAGAATGTACACCGGGAGTAGTGATATTCGGTGTTTTGCCGTCACTGTTCGTAGCTGTCGCTCGAATCACAGCTCGAATCGGATCATTGTTTCTAACAGCATCGCTCAAGGCTTTAATGTAGATAGCGTTCACGGCTTCTCCCCTTCCGTATCCATCAGCCGCATTATCGAAGCTGCGACACATTCCGCTCGGTGAAATGACCAGGTTCTCCGACATCGATGTCATCATGGTTGGTGACAGGATCAAATTTGTTCCAGCGACAATAGCCGCCGAGCAGTGTCCCGAACATAGCGCTTGACATGCCTCATGTAATGCTGTCATCGATGATGAACAGCCTGTTTCTAGTGTCATGCTGATGTCCATTCTCATTAGCCCTAGATTTACGGCGAACAGCAGGACATGAATCAAAACATAAAAGAAGAGAGGTGTCCCTAGGATCCATTTATTGCAATAACTGTGGGGTCATACCTCGGTCCGCAAAAATCGTACTCATAGGATATTCTGTTTGACAAGGCGAAATCTCCTGTTTCAATTGCATAGTATCGATCGGTTGCCAGTGGGTCTCTGTCCGCCAGACTAAGCCAGTCACCACCGAAGACCCCGACGTAGCAGCCGATGTTCTTGCCTCGCCAATTTGTCTCTCCTGCGCTCTCCAAACACTCCCACACAACTTCCAGTAGTTTTCGCTGCTGAGGGTCCATTCGAGAAGCTTCACGCAGTGGGACAGAGAAGAAAGCAGGATCAAAATCGGCAGGATCTTCTTGGAGGAAGTATCCATGCTTGGTTCTAACAGAATGAGTTCGTGTCTCGCTATAGAAAGCATCAACCGAGAATCTGTTTCCAGGGATTTCACAATGACCAGTCTTTTTGTTGATAAGCATATCCCAGAATTCATCAGTAGTTCGCACACCTCCAGGGAGCCGCAAAGCCATACCCACAATGGCTATTGGCGGGCAGTGATACGGAGAGTTTGATCGATCGGCCAATTCATCATGATCATCTTCATCGGTGGCCTTTGAAATCAATGTTTTTCCGTGATCATCATTGAAGTCCATGTTCGGGTCTGGTGTTTGTTGCTGTTTTGATTTCTTTTGGCTTTCCCTATTCGTTGTTATCTCCTTCTGAACGTGTTCTGTGTCTAAATCAAGTGATCAGATTAGCGGCGAGGATAACGATCGCAAATGCGACTTTCCAGAGGCGGGCTTCTCGCGGTGCGAAGGAAAGAGCAAACGCTCAGTGGACAACGATTACCTCAGTTTGAAGCCATGAGGAAAATCACGGTCACTTCAACATGTGTTGTATAGCCTGTACAGGTAATTTTCTGATGGCTACAGCCCGTGGTGCTGAAACACTGTTGGAAGTCGTCCCTGATCTGCCTGACTCGGTACCACCCTCGCACCCATTGTACCCCCGGATGGAATCATTCATCGTGAAATGCTGCGGATGGCAGTTCGATATCAGTCACGGTGAATTCTTTCAGATTGTTACTAGCATGTCTCGGATCAATAAGAAGCCAACCTGCTCCGAGAAATGAATCCTTACACTGAAGAATCGTCGCCTGTCCAGCAAGTACTCCGTCGCTCTACAGCTTCACTCGGAAAGAGAGGAAAACAAGGTGTTCTATCAAAGATTTTTGGAAATGTGTAGACACCGTTCGCAAATGTTATCACATGAAATGGCTTTGCTAGCGATTGGTGGTCGTCATTTCATTGTTATCGTTGCGCGGACAACTTTTATAGTTAGCGAGTCGTGCTGTGCGCGCTGCAGGTCCCCGGCCCGGTTGTACGATGTGTGCATGTATCATTCGAGGAGGGGTGCAATGAAAGGCTCAATTGATAATCGGTATCACCATTAGTCTAACATTTGAATGTCCGCGTAGGGAGTTTCGTGTAAATGCTGACGGTCGCCTCTGCACGGGTACGATAATCGCAAGAACGGAATCCACTAAGTCAAAAAGGGACTAATCACTGCCGACTTATCGGAGAGCTGCAGCAAGCGGGGATAAATCATCCCACCAGCAAGGTACTCTTCTCTTCCTCACCAACCGCTCTACGGAATCCTCGATCTGATCCTCACGGAACCTTTTACCACCTTTCCATCTCATCAGCTTTCACGTCTCCGAAAATGTCACCCACCACTGCCCCTATCCCCTCCCAAAGCCGCCTCTCCACGCGGATCTCCCTGCGCTGGCCCCCGGCCCCCGCTTTCGAAAACACCAACACAATCGTCATGTCCGTAGCGGGGTGGTACGTCGACCTCCGCATCGACCAAGCCACCACAACCATTGACTGGGCCATTGCTGGTCAACGCGTCGTGGATCCAACTGATTCCAGTATGCAGTAGCAATCTATCTGTCCTACACCTTAATACAAGAGACTGACTCCCTTATCAGCCCGCGTACAATTCACACACGAGCTGGACTCACGCAACTCCTTCGATGACGTCGACTGTGGGACTTTCTCCACGCTCCCGAACGGGGACGACCTGGAGAAAGGGTCGATGCCTCGGGCGGATCTACCCGGCAAACCTGTCTGCGAGTATGAGGAGGTGTGGCGGGAGTTGGAGTTCCGGCGGGGGCCTGAGGGGCCGTCGAGGGGGGTTTCGTGGGTCTTGGAGTCGCGGACTGGTTCTGATCTTAAGGAGGGTGAGGAGGGCGTTGTGACTCGGACATTCATTGGTCGGGTGTGGGGGACGTATCTCGCTCTCCGGCAGGTTCAGAAACATGTTCGATCGCCTGGTTCGGATGCTACTGTTGTCAAGGATGGAGGGGAAGTGAATGCCCTCCGGGAAGAGTGGGATGCTACTGAAGGATGGAGCACCAAGTACAATGTCGGTGCGGAAGTGCAGCAATTGCCATCGATGAAGGACATTCCTGACGCACAGGGATGGACAACCGGACAGACTATCACAATTGCCGGAGTGCAGTTTACGGTACGCGCTTTTGAGGAAAATAGTGTATGAATGGTATGTCTATTCACATCGAGTCATTAAGTCTATGGGTGGTCTATGTACACAACAATGGAAGTCGTCAATCTACTGCTCGTTGCAGAGAACGTAACGGAATCTGGCCTTGCCAGCATCCATGTCGACGATGGCAGTGTTGGCATCCTTCATGGGACGCTCCTCGACCCAAGTGCGGACGTTCTTCTCTGCGGCCAACTGGAGCATCTCGCGGATCTCGCTGGGAGAGCCGACGAGGGAGCCGCTGAACTTGACGCGCTTGAAGATCAGAGCAGGGGCGGGGATGGAGAGGGAACCATCCTCGGGGACACCGAGCTGAACGAAAGCACCGTCGCGGTCGAGCAGCTGGACGTAGTCGGTGATGGGCATCTGCGAAGGTCAGAATCTACTCGACAGTGGTGCGCGGGATGGATGCGAAGAGACATACCTTGGAGGAAGAAACGGTGGAGATGATCAAATCGAGGGAGCGGGAGTTCTTCTGGGCCCACTCGGAGTCCTCGTCGGTAGCAATGTAAGCATCAGCTCCGAGCTTCAGAGCGTCCTCTCTCTTGTTGCCCTTGCGGGAGATGGCGACGACCTTGTCAGCACCGAGGGCCTTGGCGAACATGATACCGAAGTGACCGAGACCACCGACACCGATGATACCGACGCGCTTGCCGGGGCCGCAGCCGAAGTGCTTCAGGGGGGAGTAAGTGGTGATACCACCGCAAAGCATGGGAGCAGCAACGGCGGAGGGGATGGCATCGGGGATCTTGACAGCGAAGCGGGAAGGAACGCGGTTGTAGGTGGCATATCCACCATACGACTTGCCGCCATTGGCGTACACGCCGTTGTACGTGCCGACCATGGACTTGGGGCAGTACTGCTCGAGACCAGAGGCACAAGCCTCACAGTCGCCGTTGCGGCCCATGCAGGACTCGCTCTGAGCACCAACACCGACACGGTCTCCGACCTTGATGCCACCCTCGACCTTGGAGCCGACGCGGACGGCAACACCGACGATCTCGTGACCGACACAGCAAGGGTAGTTGGTGGGACCCTAAACAAGTTAGCAGACGAAAACCCCAATTGATCTAGTCTGAGAGCATACCCAGCCGCTTCTCAAGGTGTGCATGTCAGAACCACAGATACCGCAGTGGGTGATCTTGATGTCGATATCGGTCTCCTCCCAGGGCTTGGGCTCGAACTCCTGCCAGACCATGTTGCCCTCGGCGGCCTTGGGCTCGAGACCCATCCAGCCCTCAAACTTGTAATCGGTGGAAGCCATTGCGAATAATGCGATGAGATGTGTGATATGACGAATGTCTGATTGTCTGGACTGTTGATTCCCCGCGGGTCCTCGCTGGCATTTATATTTGCATCCTCCCACCCCGGTCGGGGCAACCCAGGGAACTGCTTAGAAATTCAGCAGAAAAGCGGTGCTGTTTCTGTCTGCGTCGTTTTGCCATGTGGTGGGGCCAAATTGTCTCCGAAGATCTGCTGAGAACGACCGTCAACCGGCTTCCAGGCTTCCAGGCAATGTGGATAAGGCGGGAGCCACATCGTGGCACCAGGGGCATGGCTGGACCGAGGCACACCCATGATTCAGGTCATCCAATGCTAAGTCCGTTGGAGACGGGCGTCCGCTGCTTACAGATGGTCAGCAAGTGCCCTTTGGTTTTGCCTCATCGTCACCCGTCAAAAAAGTCGAACTGAGCAAATTCCGTTGGGCCCGGCAATATTCGGTACAGACCGGTCATTGGACATTGAGCGTCCGCTTTCCGCAGTGATCTGAAGCAGTACCAGAGAAATAACTGCCATCAACCAAGGAATCGCGGCCCTGCCTCCAGTTTTAGACGCTAGTCCAGTATTCTGGACGGTAATCTGAAACTGCAACTTGCTGACGCCCCACTCCACGGAGTTAAGGAATAATAAGCTGCTGACGGTCGCGCAGCCACCCGACCGAGTCCTCGTAGGTGGCCCCGTCAGGGCACCACATTTGCACTGCAGTGGTGCAATCTAATTCTGCTAAGCTTCTAGAAAGCTCTACGTCTCCTTTAGCCATGGAACGATATGAAATTTCCTCGACGGGAGGCCCTGACGTCATATCAGCCGTGTGTGTGTGTTCCTGATGGTCGGGATTTGTGCACGCTGCACACTGCACAAACTTTTCTTGGGATTGCCACCGGTTCGGCGTCGATTTGTTGCCGAACGTCCTCCGATGGTTTTCCAGGGGCGGTCGTCCTCGATGCTATGCACGTGGACTCGTGTATAGGACAGTTCATTGAATTGCATACATTTCTTTAGTATACTTAGACTCGCTAGGTTAAATTGTTCAAAAACATGGTTCCCTATCATCGTTCTAGACGATTGAAGTATCGCTCTCTACAAATCGTGGCAATTCCCATCCTGCCAATACACACTCTGCAGAGTATTCTTCCAGTCCATAAGCACCGATAACTTATCTTCAGGCATAGTTACAAATAGCACAATTGACAAGTCCCACACATCATTACCATTATCATCGTCCATCTATAGCATCAAGTACATTCAACCCCAAATTCCTCAACATACCAACAACCAGTCCAGAATCCAAAACCACCAATCCACTCCACAAGCACAAAACCCAACCCTCATCTCGTCCCATCACCCCCCGCCCCCCTTCTTCCTCCATTATCACAACAACACCCCACATCACCTAAGCAAGGTACAGCGACTATACCCCCCTCACCCCCCTAACCAAGAAATAAAGCACCTGGGGCGCCTGGCCCCCGAACTGCGAATAATCCGTGGTGACCGTCTCGACAACCTTAAACCCATGCTTCAGGTAGACCTTCAGCCCGGCGGGCTCGGACATGACATACGTGCGGAGGCCGTGGCGATCGGCGACCTGCAGCCCGCTGGCCACGAGCATGCTTCCGACGCCGCGGCGCCAGAAGTCCGGGTGGGTGCAGAGGTAATCCAGGGCTAGAGGATTGGGTTGCATTAGCTGATGAATGTAATGCGGAGCATACACCATAAGATCACGGCGCAAGTAGCATGTTCTGGTGATTGACAGAGCATCTACCCCCTTCCCCTCAGAAGCCAGGCTAAGCGGCAGACTGGAGGATGCAATTGTCCGGAGAAACAACAGCAGAACGCAGGCAGTATACGCGGTATGGAGAGCAATTAAAGATACCGGGAAAGAAAAAGAACTTACTTAGAAACTCCTCCCCACGGGTAATCGCCTCGTCTACCTCCTCCAAAGGCCGACTTCGAAATTCCATCAGCCCGTCCTTCTTCATTCCCGGCACTTGACCCCCGTCACTGGCTGCATCGAAGTTTTTCTTGAACACTTGAAGCTCTTCATCGCTCACGGCTTGGACCTGCGCCTCGGGCCAGAACGTCCCTGTCTTGTCCTCCATGCTTAGTACTGAGTCCGGGAGAATCCACCGCGCGTACCCGACCACCGTCTTCTCTCCGGAGTCATCGGTATAGGAGACCATCTGGTGGCGTTTGCGGTCGCGACCAGTGGCTAAGGAGAAGGGAAAGCGGGCGGTAACGTCGGCGATGATGCGGGCTGGGTTGGGGTCGGTCCAGAGGAAGACCCAGTGGGGGTCTGTCAGGCGGGCGAGCATGATGGCGCGCGCGATCTGTGGGGACTCTGCGGGGGTGCAGGGGGCGAGTGTGAACGTCATCTCTCGATTTTCGGATTTGAATTGTAACGGTGGCAGGGAAGGCAGTCGTGCGATTCGTTATCGAGCGTTGTTTTGGTATAGCGAGGCTGTATGAGGGAAAGGACGGAGCAGATCCTGTATGAAGCCAGAAGAATGCATTCTATGGATGGCGGTGAGTTGAGGAAAGGTGTCCAGTTCTTATCTGCGGTTCATATCTGATTAAAACTGGGGATAGAAAGGTGTAACTGGTCAGCGATAGTTAGTGCTTACCTATCGATGGCTGTCCGTGGGAACGGCGGTGCTTACTGAGGTGACTTATAGGATGCTTAGTAGTCATCAACGGAAGGATGGAGTTAGCAGTGCGGCGCTCAACGATCCTCCATCTGATGGCACTACTGCTGTGCAGTCAATCCGCGCAAAATTAAGTAACAAATCCACCCAGCCAAACCTCATCCCCTTGACCCGATTGAAAGACGATATGCTTCTCACAAGAAGGGCCCTGAATAGCGAGCACTCCTGATATTTGAGGGTCAACATAACTGAATATGAACATTGACAGTCATTCTCCGCGCTGACGATACTTGATTTCTGGGCCAAGCTGCAATATCCCCAATCACTCACTCAGACAGTTGCGTTGGCAGTGACTATTCGACATCTCCAATGCATATATAGCTCCGTACTCATATTCTTGTATCCATGTCCGATCATCTTGAGTAAGCCCTAGCATGGAGAGTATCCAGAAAGACACGAATTTGGCGGATAAGCGATCAAGGCGCAAATTAGATTCCTCTTACATAGTCGCATTAACAAGATCCAAGGCGAAAAGCCTAATAGTCCTTGGGCGTGGGCAGTTTGGCATCTTCGTGCTGCGCCTGGCAAAAGCTGGTATTGGCAAACATGGGTATTCTCTCATTACTTCGTGAGCTGAAGGACTATTGCATATCTTCGCTGACCTTCTGATCTCGTTCGAGACTTGAGCTATAGATACTGCTTCGAGAATCGGTCTAGACTCCACTTGACATCGGTCGCTCATGTTAGCCTGTCTATCCCTAGAATAGATATCATCACAGCTTACCACGGAGGGTATGCGATAATCTTGAGACAGCATCTGTCTGTTCATCGAGTCCTATCCACGCTGTAGAGAACAATAGTCTTTAGACGCATTTTTAGTTTTAGTTTCTGCGAGTTATCCATCCATTATCGTCATAAAATGCACAACAAGCAAAGTCCGATCCAGGAAGTCCCAGTCGGAAAGGACTCGCATTGGTGTGACGATAACGTGATAATCCCATCGACCTGCAACCCTGCGACCGTAGAATCTGCCTTTTGGTAAGACGCTGAGCACGGCCTATCTTAAATACAGAAGACATCACTGTCAATACAACGATCACAACTCACTAAGAGACTTTCCGATAAGAATGGCCAAGCCCACGAAGTTCTGGCCATTGAAACGCGAGACGCATCTTCGACGAGCAAACAAGCCGACCTCTACCTTTGCAAGGTCGAAAACGCGACATCGCACGGTCGCATCTGCCTTTTCGAGTGCCCATATCTTTGTGAGATAGTAACAGCATCACGGCAACCTTGTCGTCATCGTCATCATCCGACTCCAGATGGATCCCTGGGACGATCCGCCGTGACGCAGTGCGGGAACGGTTATCTTATCGTGAATGCGGGCGCAATGACGCGGGGTGTGGGGATAACCGATAAGATAAGCACTGCATACCGCGAGACGTCTGCTAAACATCAATTCAATCGAAAATCGAGAATTGAAGACGTGTTTGGGGGAGAGGGACCTGAGGATAGGTGGGGTGAGTGTTGTCAGTCTTTCGCGGGCGATACGGGCGCAGGGATTAGACCGAGAAAGTCCCTTGCGCGTACACGTGACCGCGACTAGGAAGGGACGAAAGGCCTGGTCCGCTGAACAGCATAGGTACTAGCCGTCCTTTTCATAGGCAATTCGATTTTAAGATAAGGAAAAGTAATTTCGATGATGTTAATTACTTTATGTTGCATTTCTAGAATAATTGGTAAAATATTGTGGCTCTGATTATGTGCAGCATGGCTAATTGTTTTGTGGTTGGAAATGGAAACTCGACGGACGAGGTGGGTGATAGTTTGACATTGGGGATGACTTCAATGTGGTGCTAGCTAGCTAGCTGGAAATGCGAATAGCTTCAGAAGATCTCCAAGGGGGAGTGGTGGGGTGGGAGCGGAATGAGAGGGGTGGATGTGCTGGATGGGGAATGGGCGGTTGTGCGCCGCGGACTCGACACGCGAACTGCGGAAGGGCAATGGAACGAGGGAACGGGGTGGGCTGGAATAGCTTCAGTCAAGAGGCTACTACCTATCTCATCCACGTCCCAGCATCCGACCGCTCGCAATCATAAACTGATCGCAGTGTAAAGCCTCAGTTACCCTCTGCAGAGTGCTGATGCGCAGTCTGTATAGCTTCATGCATGGCTGAAGTGATAAAATCTCATAGCAGATGTAAAAAAAGGGCCAGACCAGTATATTTAACGATCCCATAATGAACCAAGCCGCCTCCGCACGTTTGCGACAACGGTGCTGGCTAACACCCTGTCTACCACCCGAGTTGAATCGGGGGCCGTACCACTAGGAAGGCTCGCGCACCGACTTCAAATTCGAACAGATAGTGGTCTGAGCGAGATTCGAACGAGCGTAGTCTCCGAAGATCCCGGCTCTAGCGACGTGACACCGTGCGAACATGGGCCTCCGGCCGTTCGGCCATCTGCGGTGACTGGTTTCGAAAGGAGATAGTTACGGGGGGGCATAAGGGAGCAGGCGTAACGAATTTCAGGCCCCCAAAGTGGATGCCTGGGGACGGCAGCCTGGGCGCAGGCGGCTTGCAGTGGCTGCCCACTGCGGGGGAGAGAGCCTGGCTATGGCCGCTGTGGCCCCTGGTGTGAACAAGACGACCTGGGGTCAGTCAAGGGTGCGCACAGCCATCCAGCATCCATTCCGTATTTCCAGTATGCTGAAGTGGGATATATGCCCTGGTACGCCCAGTGTATAATCATGAAGTGTGTCCATCGAGGAATAGGTTTGAGGCTGCAAAGAATGTTAGCATCAATACCGAATGCATGCGTTGGAAAACTCGGAGTACCCTATGCAACTTACCCCCCAGCGACAGCAACGCAGATTCCAGCAACCCCAGCACTCGGAATCCTAGAGGATGGCTACGATCATATCATGGCTTCTCGCACATGGCTTAATCAATCAAATTAGCTGTCAACATGTTTCTTCGTGCTCAATGGCTCTTTCGGCGGTATGCTACTTGGTTACTCCCAGGGTGGTATAGATCTGGCTAACGCAGCATTGGCATCACATAGCACAAATAAATCCATCCCTAGAGCATCCAAGTGACAAGTAGATAACTAGGCAGATAGGACATCAAGCACTACTACATTGTCTTAGCCGTGGCGGTTGGCGGTACCTCGAACGAGAGGCCTATTGAGCTCAGCCCGCTATTCTTGCAGGGTTTTCAAATGCTGCCGTGGCCTCTTAGCGAGCGGCAGAAACAAGCGACCGCCTGCCCCACGGACCACGACAAACACAACAAACATGCCCGCCTCGGCTGGCCAGCAGCAACACCAAATCAGCCTACTCACATCTTGCATTATTTAGGCCAGATTGTAGACTGGTTTGGGGCACAAGTTATCCTCGGTCAGATGCTGGAGATGCCTTGTAAATTTATTTGCTTGTCTGAAAAATGCGACTCTCGGCTCATCTGACCTGACTGGTCGGGGCATTTATCTCTCCTTCTCCTTACCGTCACAGTCATACTATACTAAATACTTTCTCTGATGCCTCTGTGTGACTTCAATGAGGAACCCAAACCTGCTTCAGAAAATCTCCATAATAATCCGGCGAGATTCTCTTCCGAGGTGCAAGTGCCAAGGATGTCAAAACATAAGCGTCATCAGGCACAAGACTATAAAATTTCTGCACAACAGACAGCATTCCAGCTGCATGTCAATGCAGGAATCTAGTTTCGGCTGCAGTGTCGCTTCAGGAGTGCCACATTAGGGAAATCCGGACAATTATTGACCGAATGACAGGAAAGCGAGGGCTCTTCCCTTGTGAATGAAGTATGACGTTTCGAGCATTGGTGTGGTATAAAATCATGGAAGGTACAATCCGTGCATTCTCATGACTATCCGACTCTCCTACTATTTCCTCTGAGCCGAATCTTTCGACATCCTGCGCCTCGTCGATATCTTCAAGATGCTCCAAAACAGCGAACTAGCCCCTCCAACATTTACCCCATTCCCGCTGACTCCGCTAGATCATCTGTTGCCCCGGCTTCATATGACATGTTTTCCATATCTAGCGACGAAGTCGCCGGCTGAGGACGTATTAATCCTGAAAGATGGGCTAGAGTTCTTGGTCACACAGAATCCCATCCTTGCGGGTGATGTGTGTCCATCCTCGCGACCGGAAGGGAAGGCCAATAGGTTTGAGTTGCGACCACCGACAGAATTCAGTCTTAAGGAATATCCTCTTTTCCAAACACGTGTGCACGCTCAAGAGTATTTCTACCGCCAGAAGACGGCTCACTCGCACCGTGTTACAGGCAGTGACCTAGGCCAAGCGAAATACCGGCCCGTCCCGCTGGATGCAGTCAATCAGGAACGCGCCCCGGGGCTTCGCTGGCAACTCAATGTTTTCGAGGACGGGATAGTGATCGGCATCTGCTTTCACCACTTGTTCGTCGATGCGGTGGGCGTGTATATCATTCTTCAGGCTCTTTCCGCATGTTGCCGAGGTTTGAAGCACCCTCGGCAGATCGCACTCCAGCCTGTTGACACTGTGTGTCGCAAAAGGATCATTGCAATGGGTGAACAAACAAAAACCACGCCAGGAATCAGACGGGTCGACATCTTCCCCAACGTGAACACAGCTCTAGATGTGGCCGTGGGCAGGATCCCGTGCCAGCTCGTGACGGTCCCTTTCGAGGTGATGAGTCGTCTCAGAGAGGCCTGTCAAACCATCACGACAGACCTGTTAAGTCCACTGTCTACAGATGGCGACCAAAGTGTCTCCCAAGTACCTCCAATATTCTCCGATAGTGACGTAGCTGCAGCCTTGATGTGGCTCTGCTGGGCGCGGTCTCGATACCACCAACTTGAGTCCGCATCTCGACCGGACGAAACCTCCATCATACTGATGATTGAGCTTCGCCATAGGGGCGTACTCCCGCTGAACTACATCGGGGACGCTGTGGCCCCTGTCGCCGCATCCGCACCCCTTTCTCCCGCCGTTAAATCTCCTACCAAGGCCGCCGCCACTGATCCCCAGCACACTTCCCCGGAGATGTACCGCCAGGTTCCAGGCCTCAGCACGTATGACCTCGCCCTTCTCGCGGACCTCACCTTTCGTGCTTTTAAGGCGAGCGTCGGAGTCGATGAAGAATACATACGAGGGCTAGTTCGGGAGAAGCATAGCAGCAGCGACTGGCAGTCCTACTATCCAAGCGAGGGGCAATTCCTCTACAGCAACATGCGCTTACTGAATACAACCGGTCTCAATTTTGGGAAAAAGCTAGGGAACATCGTGCGCTTAGACACCCTTGACAATCGGACAAATGGGCAGTGCTGGGTGTTGCCGGCGCCCAACAGAATGGCTCCCTGGGAGTTCCGCGTGTCTATGGAAAGGGAGGACATGGAGCGGTTCCTCGAGGATCCGTTGTTGGTCTGGGCAATGGGGAGGAATGTGGCGAGATTGTGAAGGGTTCGTTGGTGTGATTTCATGGCGAGAGTGAGGGTTGCATGCTATATCTGGATATACTTTTAGACTGTTTGTGGGTATCTTGGAAGTCAAGAGATGAGGCTTATACTATCCAGTGGAGATAGAATAACTTAGTAGTTTGAATGCAGTATGGCAGCCTAAAACTTCAGGTGTCTGTATTAGTGTGCCATCAACAATCCCATCACGTCCCGCGTCACAGACCAAAGCAGGCACGTGACCCCGCGTGCGATGAAAACAAGACAAAACACCAACAACAAACTGACCCAGCCTCGATCTCTGATCTTTCTTAACTCTACTTCAACAGTGTACTCATACACTGCAGCCGACTCAAAAAAGCACCCCCTGATCCGTGACATCCTACAATGACCCGCGGCAAAGACATCACCCCACTGCTCCGCTCCCGTATCTGCGAGCTCCACTCAATCGGCTGGGGCGCGCGGAAGATCTCCCGAGTGCACCCCGAGCTGTCGCTGAGCGGCATCGAATACACCATCCGCAAGGAAAAGGACCGCGTGAACTGCGTCACCCGACCACGGCCCGGTCGACCCAAGAAGCTCTCAGAGGACAAGCGGGCGCTCATCCGGGCGATGGTCGAGGCCGATCCCGCCGTCAAGAGTGCGGAGCTTCTGGAGGCGGTGGGAAATGCGATTACCAAGCGGTCGCTGCAGTAGTTGCTGCAGGAGAAGGGTATGAATCTCCGGAGTTGATGAGCTTGGAGGGGCATTGCTGGATTGAGTGTCCTTCTGACGAGAGGAGATGTATCATTGGGCTGCAGGTGAGTTGCTGATGGATTGGTCGAACAGGAATAGCCGAATGTACCTGATTGCAGGGCTCTTACCCTTTCTTTTCCTTCGGACCCAGACATAGCCTTGTTAACCCGAAACAGAAAGATGGAGTACTCACGTACTTCCACACGTCAGTCTTTATTGTCGAACACAAGGATAAAGACACAAGACCGAGGAATCGAAGTATCGAAGCGTCTTATCTCTCTCGATAGGCACCACCCAACAGCCCTATTGTCTTCTCACCCCGTCAAAGTGGGAACCCCCCGTTTCTGGCCATCCACCTTCTTCATCACTGACTCTTGCCCGACTCTGAGATATGCGTCGATGAGAACTGTCGGGTTAGCGTGGCATCTTTGCGGTTCTTCTTGCTTTCAGGAAACAATACTTTGCGTTTGAAGGGCCTTTGTCCCCAGGGCGTTTTTCATTCTCAAAATCTGTCTAGATTAGTATCGGATCTGCTGGGCTTTGGCACCTACTCATTACCGTCCATATATCCTGCACGCCTTTTCATAGTCACAAGAACCACCAGTCCCTAGGACGCACACTCACCAGAATATCATCGTATACAAGACCTCAGAGCCACAGCGCCATCCAAGCGATTATCGCGCGGATTGACGCTGATTCGGCGGCGGGGCGTAGTCCCATCCTCTCCGAGGATGAAATTGAACGTCATATAAGCGCAAGGGTGCGGGGTGTGGACGAGCGGTTGCTCCGAATGGAGGAGGCAGACGTGGAGTTCCGCAGCGGCCGCATTATTGCGCGCAACATCGGCGACCGGCCGATCATTGAGGCCATTCTCATCCAATCGAGAGGTGTCCCACCAGTGCGGCCCTGCAATTGTTGTAGGAACAATCGTTCCTCCCGCACGTTCCCCACGTGCCTCCATGTGCCTGATCCCCTGATGTTCCAGGGCATCTGCGGCAACTGCAAGGCCTCGGGTCGGCCGTTGAGGAGGAACCGGGACGCCATGAGCTCTTTCTTTGAGATGAACAACACCAAGCATACATGGTTCAGACATTGTAAGGCCCGGCGGACGAGAATAGTGCTTCCCAGCTTCCGAACGGCCTTCCCAATGGTCTCCCGGACGGCGGTCCACAATCGGACTGTTAGCTTCCATATGCGGCGTTCTTCAACGTTCTTTGCAGGGTCTTTATTCATTGAACTATAATTACGTTCCTCACCTGAAAAGACCTCCGCTTTTCGAGTTCTATATTATTTATGCAAGGTATTGCAGTTACGAACAAAGTACCCGGGGCTTGAATTGTTCGCCCCCACTACTCTGTCGCAGTGTGCGCCGATTTCACGCGTCGTTCTTAAACCTTCTAGCTCCAATTGCGTGCAATTCTCCGCGGATGCGGGCCACCCAGCCATGCGGGAGTTCCAGACGAGCGAAAAGACGTGTTTCGAATAACGTCGCAGGCTACGGGCGTTGTACAGCATTTGGTAAGTGCAGATGATATGCTCTCGGGCCTCTCTCGGCCAAAGGAAAATTCAACTTCGGAGAGAGAGGCGAGATTGGGATAAATTGGCCCACATTAATGTTGCGAGCTAGGCCGGCGCGGAAGGTTTATCTTCCATTTGAAGCGACGGTAATTCATTGGGCCCCGTTAAGATGTCAGGTCTCAATGGCCTGCGGGTGGTATGGTGCCATTGTTAGGTACAGGATCGATCAACGTCGACCATGGAAAGATACAATAAAATGGTTTCTGAATTGGATCAAAAGCGGCGAGGTACACGAGGCTCCGCTGTCCCGTGGTGCGGAATCTCCATTCCTTCCACCCGGCTGTTTTATTTTGGAAGAGTGGAGAGAGCTTTCTTCCCCTCCCCTCACCGCTTACAATACATTAAGCTTATATGCACGATCGGTCTAGATCCAAGAAGCTCGACCAATTTACGGTATTCATAGTGCGACAATTCAGGATAATGTGGTACCTACCAGACCAAAACCTCCGAGTATGAGGTAGGTGGATAGATCCCCGCCGCTTACATTTTAGACCTCCATAAACACCTTGTGCAGAACAGTAAACCGAAATCGATAAGAAGCTGCTCCCACTCGCCACCGTCGGAAATGTAGGAATCTCGATCCATGCGGCATAATCGATGCAGAAAGATCTGTCGATTTGTTTCCTTGCAGTGACCCGCAGCGCAGCCTCAATGGGGAAGGCGGTGGCTGAGGTGGACAAACAGGCGCAACGTTCTAGACCCCAAGCTTGACCCAACCGGGTCAAGCCACACTCTGCGGCTGCACGTGTGACGCAATTGCCGCCGGACGCTGCATTGAAGGCGAAAACTTCGGGAAGTCGGGGAAAACCCTTTTCATTATTATCGCACGCCCCACACACGGTGACTTTCCTTAACATCCCATCAGCATTTCTTTTCTGGGTTCAACTTCTATTGTCAGATTGAGGATACTGAGCAACATGGACTGAACGGAACAGAGGTCTCACGAGACGGACAGCAGACAGGAAACACCGCATCTAACCTGCAGGTTGACAGGCGACGAGGTGTCGACGCGATGGAGGACGTAGCCCCTCCGGCTTCCCAGCAGGAAGAACACGAAGCGGACCGTCGCGCCAGGGAGTTGTTCCATTACTTTCAGCCGGACAATCCTGCTTTGCTCCCTGCTTCTCAGGGCACCAATCCACACGGCTCGACCTGTGCGTATGCTAGAGCCAGCCCAAATCTCGTCCTTACTGCCTTAGCCCAGTTAGCCGCGGTCAAAGTAGGCGTCCAGCGTGCGATCATCAGGTACGTTGTTGATGTTCTATCCTCGTTCCAAGATGATTGCGGTGCGCGTGATCGCGCTACGACTTGTACTTCACACAAGCCCGGCTTCATATGGGTTTCCACCGCTAAATTTCTCCCAGCTTGATCGATCGCGAAACGCTATATGTGGTGGCCGAGGCATCACGCTCGCTAAATCTTGGGGATAATACACTTTATGAAGATGATGGCGATGGACTCTGGATGGGCTGCTCCCGAGGCCCTGTTGCTGGCACCCTATGCGAGGTAGCTACTCCTGCGAGTCCATTTCGCCTGGCTTAGACATGGTGACTGACCGGTGCTAGAAAACAATTACCCTGTCGCCAACCACTGCGGATAAATACCCCTTCTTCGTCGTGGAAGATTTGCAACAACATCCCAAATTCTGCCAAATACCCTGCGTGTCCGGTTCTCCGTTTTTCCGCTACTATGCTGGCACACCCCTGATGACCAGTAGTGGTATCAACATTGGTAGCTTATATGTCATCGATCCGAGGCCCAATCTGTCCTTGACGGCTGCCCACAAGGAGAGCCTGGGCGTCATAGCCACCGGAGTTATGGAGTATCTGGAAACCTCGCGGCAGTCACTCGAAAGCGCTCGTTTGATGAAAGTCTTGGCGGGGCTCAACTCGTTTGTCCAAGACCAAGGCAAAGAAGAATCTCCAACCCCCGCTATTCCACGAAGCGCCAGCCCTTCCGACCTTGACCGATCGCGTACTCCCAGCCCCCGGCGTGTTTCATCCCTCGAGATCGACCCGAAGCTTACCCTCCGAAGTACGAAGTCATCTGCTAAGAACACAAGCCCGACACCGAACGATAACTTCTCATCTTCCGATTCTGTACCGTCAAGCCCCACGAAACAGCAGGTTCCGTCTAATCGACCTGCCATCAAATCTCATGCATCGTCGTCCGGGAAAAGACACGAGGCATTTCAGCGTGCTGCAGACCTCATGCGTGAAAGCCTAACCCTTGGGGATGAAGGAGGGGTCGCAATCTTCGCTGTCAAGGACAGGTTTGACGGTGACGAAGACGAAGGATTGCTAGAAGATACAACCACCGGATCACGGCCCGCCGCTACTACTTGGGCTATCTCGACCCGTAATGCCCACGACTCGTCGTGGGGAAATGAGTCAAACCCTGCGTCTGCAAAGCAAATAAGTCGGCACTTTCTACGGCGGATGATGCAGCGTTTCGGCAAAGGAGCCCTGTGGTATTTCCATCGCGATGGAACGGCCTTTTCGTCTGACGAGGAAACGTCCTCGCAGACCAGCAATCAGCCTGCCTTTCAGTTGCCGTCATTACTCCATCCGCGGGATCGGGACACGCTGAACGGAAGGGACTTGGATCTCCTGCAGACCTACTTCCCGAACGCCACGCGCATTATCTTCGCCCCCCTGTGGGATGCATCGAACTCGTGTTGGTTTGGCGGTTGCTTCTGCTGGAGCTCCGTGGAGACTCGAATTTTCAGCCCCCATGTAGAACTGGGTGGCGTGCTCGGGTTCTGTTCCTCATTGATGACGGAGGACAGTCGTATCCGGAGTCAAGAAGCCGACAAAAAGAAGGGAGACTTTATCAGCAGTATTTCGTGAGTGTTCTTGCTTGCCTTCACAGTGTGACTGTTGGACTGACTAAAAGGGAAACAGGCATGAGCTTCGGAGTCCTCTGCATGGGATTCTAGCCGCAGTGGAGTTCCTTGTGGAACAAACGCTGTCCAGCTCAGCTCGGCTGCTTCTGGACACTATTCGAGCATGCAGTCAAACTCTGCTGGATACGTTCGAGCAGATTCTTGATTTCAGCAAAATCAATTCATTCAAGCGGAAAGCGCGGGTGGCCGGTTCATTACTGTTGCAAGATGGAAGAGACTCTGTTGTTGCGCAATCCGGTCCTCGCTCATTGTATATCCTAAAAGTTGTGGACATTGTGACAATTGTTGAGGACGCGATCGAAAGTATCTGCGCGGGCGCCAATCATCTCAATGTTACTCGTGCTGGTGACTCTTCAACCTCGAAGCCATCTTCTCCCTTAGGGGAAAGCTACAGTGGCAGTCCTGAGCACGTCGATATCACTTTGGATGTCGGCATGAATGACTGGGTTTTTGTTTTGGAGCCAGGGGCCTTGCGACGTATTGTCATGAATGTTTTTGGAAACGCATTGAAGTACACTGCCACGGGATCCATCTCTGTACACATGGAGATACAAAAGGATAGTAAAAGCGCGCCTAGCGATGGGGCTGATACTTTGCTTCTGACTGTATCCGATACCGGTCGGGGCATCTCCACCGACTACCTTCGATATCACCTGTTCACACCTTTCATGCAAGAGGACCCTCTGTCACCCGGCACGGGCCTTGGCTTGTCTCTCGTCAACAGCATCGTCCGCTCTTTGAAAGGCAATATCAAGATCAAGAGTCAATTGGGAGCGGGGACGGTGGTAAAGGTCTCGATTCCCCTTACGCGGCCTGAGAAAGAATGTGTCGAGAGCGCGACAGTGCTCGATGACCCGCTTCTCACCCCTTCAGAAGGTCTCATTGCTGGCGTGAAGCAAGAGCTGGCAGGGAAGACAGTGTGCTTCGTTCAGCCCGATGATGCCGCTTCTGCTAGTACTATCAGCAGGTACCTAACGCAATGGTATGGCATATCACTCCAGCCGTGGTCACCTGATGTTGCCGCGGACCTCGTGATTGTCGATGAGACGCAGTTGCACCGCGTCAATGGGTTGAATGAACGATCCACGTTGCTCGTTCTGCACCGCGATAGGCGTGCTACGCATTCGAAATCTCCCGGATTGAGTCAGCTTCGCGCACGCGTCGAGTGGTTGAGCCTTCCGTGTGGTCCCTACCGATTAGCTAGAACGATAAAGAGTTGTTTGCAAGCACCACCTCAGCTTTCGGGGGTGGACGATATCTCACCTCGGATTGCGTCTGAAAACGGCGTACAAAATGGGGATAAGGTAACTGCTGATAAGGGCCCTGACCGAAGTCTCCCTTTTCGGCCGGCAGCATTCATTCCCGAAACTAAAACCTTTGAACTACCATCAAAGAGAAATGTCGAACCTCCATCCACCGCGCTGCCAATAATAGATACGCAAGCACACCAAAATGGAAGCTCTAGCGGGCAAATCTTTACCCCTCCCGCCCCATCCGAAGACATACCCCGGGTGCTTCTAGTCGAAGACAACCCAGTTAACATGTCGCTTCTCCATCGCATTGTCAGCCGACGACAGCCCCTTGTTGTACACGAGGCCATCAACGGCAAAGAGGCCGTCGACGCGGTCGAAGCAATGCCTGAGGGCTACCACTATATATTCATGGGTTCGTTTCCTACCTTTGCACTTTCAGTCCTATCCCTGCAAGCAGCTCTAACATTAGTAGACATTTCAATGCCCATCATGGATGGTTTCGAGGCCACCAAAGCGATCCGCATGATTGAGAAGGAACGCAAGACTTCATCGCCGGCGAAGATTATTGCGCTCACTGGTCTGGGGTCGAATGACGATGTTGCCAAGGCTTACGTCGCTGGCGTGGACGTCTTTGTCACGAAGCCGGTGTCTTTGAAGAAAGTGACGCAGCTGATGGATCAGCCGAAGGGGTAAGGTTGCACTGGTTTCTCTGCATCTTCTCCAGGCTTCAATTTCATCCTCTCGAGATGGAGTGTCTTGATTGACCTGCACAGCATTCATTTCTCAGGCACGTCAAACGGTTCCCTGGGGTCGGAATCTCCTTCTGAACTCAAGGGGTGGAGGCTGACCAAGTCTAAGGCCAAAGCTGCCCCTCTTCTGGTGCAGAGCACATGGCTCAACTGCGAATGGTAAGGTCAGCCGCCGACCATACTATGTGCCAAACAAGAGGATTTCGGGCTCTTTCTATCCCCGCATAGACAACACAACCGAAATCTGATCCACCACCATAATTCTCGAGGAGGCACTTGCAGTCATAACTGCCCTGTCTGTACATAGGATCGCCCGCACAATTGTCTCATCCTTTGGGCCGCTCAACAGTCTTGAAGGTCTTGGAATTGGACCTTATTTCACCGGAAATGTGCGGAGTCGAAGTGTTCAGTCTCGGTTCCTGTATTCTTGCCTGGAAACCGGACTTATTGAATACCAATTATACTTAGTTCACAGGTAATGACAATGATTCAAAGGATCGGCTGGGGACGTTGGACGTATGGTATTCAATCACTTAGCTCCTGCGCCTTCGCCGAAGATGTGACGTTGGCGGATATATTGCTCATGCCGGATTGTAGGAATGGATGCCGTTGGGTATGGAAATCCCGGGCATAACCAGATAAGGCACAATCACTCCTGTGGTGACCCTGTATGCAGTCAACTGCCGACGGGGCTGACAAGCATGACTGGAGGGGGGGTACACTGCATTTCCTTCGTTCCATTGTAGGAATAATTCTCCAAGAAGAAATCGGCAGGAGACATGGCTGCTCAGCGTGGCCTTGAGGCCCTGCGTATCCTGCATGCGACGAGGATACCCTCGACGTCTCTGCAATTCTATCCAGTGGGGATGTATGCATCTGCCGCAGTCACAGCACAAACATCCAAACCAACCACACCCGCACCCACAATAACCCACAAGGTCTAGAGTCCTGGGTCCAGACACCTTGGCACTGCAACCTGCCACAACATGCCATCCAGAACAACCACCCCCAGACTACTGCTAAATACCGTTAGATGTCTCATCCTAGCATTAGTTAAGTTACCTAGTTCTCCGTATTTGGAATAAGTTAGTCCAACTCACTCGTGCCGAGGAGCAGGAGAGGGCCAGGGGCCACGGCACTTCCGATGCTGGTGCTGTCTTAGCCAAGCTAATCGCCTGCATGCCGTCGCGAGAACTGATAGTGCTGGGGAAAGGGGATTGGAGGGGAATGGGGAGGATGGGGAGATTAATCTAAATCGTCTTCCTTTAATCTATTTTCCCAATCCACCGCCGGTTGTTTCTCGTTGTGTATTTCCCGAAAATCGAACTAGGTTGGACAACCTTATATCGACGGCTGTTATGAGTGGTTGTCTGGGTCAGGTTGGAGGGTGGGAACTTGCAAGGCTTGGTGTTGCTGATGCATGGGACTGGGTTTCTAAGCAAGCCTTACATTTTACCAGAACCGTCAACAGAAAGTTCCTTTCACCAGTGGAATAATCATCTGACAGATCCTTGGTACAGTATGCCGCTGAGATGGGAGATGATTTTCCAGAGCTTGGAGCGGACGGATCGTACCCGTAACCCGTAACCCGTAACCCGCGGGCAGTGTGAACTGTGAACCCTTCCGGATGATCCGGCGACTGGACCGTTCACCTCGAACCAAAAAGTTCTCTTTCTGGCACCCTGGCGGCCAAGTGAATCAGGGGTCCTGGGCGCTGGTCCGAACTACCCGGATTTTCAGGTGCGTGGGGCCCGTGCCTGCAGGGCCAAGCAGGGAAGAAATCCCCGAAGAAGAAGGTTTCCCGACCATCGCGCGGAGACAAGCTTTTTAGTGGCTTGGGGGAGGCTTGGGCAGGCTTGGGGGGAGGGGCCGCGGAAATTGCACACACACCGCCCGGACCCTGGTTTAATTTGTTGCCCTAGATTGGAGTTAGCCGAGGAGGGCCCGGGGGGCTGCTGCTGCTGCCTGGATGTTTATTGTTGCCGAGATGGGGCTCGGCTGTTGAGTTTACTGCATCTGCAGAATTTTAAGGGATGATATCATAGTTCGAACGGTTGATGCATCACCATACTGGGAGATCAGGGTTGTTTGTTTGATTCATCCCTCAGAACCAGGCATGGAAGAATCGAAGATTCGATATTAGGTAACGTGAAGGTGCAGCACATGAATGCCCAGCATCAAACCTTTCGGAAATATTGCTTGGCATTGATTTCAGCTCGAAACCTGACAAATCAACTGAAATCTCACTGGGCTTGGTAGCAGACCGTTTGAGGAGCTGCCTCTTGGCTTGCTCCACTGTGGAGCGGGAAAGTGAAGCTGCGACGAAGCTGCCGAGCTTCCTCCACCGCAGAGACTCCGGCATTGCAGGCAGTTGCTCCCAGGAACGAACCGTCTACTGAAGCAGGGTTCGTTCTTCACGCCACCGTTAGAGACTGACACCACTGGTGGAGGTGCGGATATTATCCCCTGGCCCTGGGGGATCCTGCCATCATAAGTCCCTACTATAAAGCTTCGCAAAGACCCGGTCTTCCACTACTCTCAACACACACATTCCCTCATTCTCTCTCTCATTCACTCTTTCCTTTCTGTTGATCAGATCAGACCTTCAGTCATTCTTTCTTTCACTCCGATTTCTGTTGATCAGAATAAAAAAACTAATCCACCATGCGTTTCGATCTCCTCACCCTGGCCGCTCTCGGCTCCCTCGCCGTTGCGGCCCCTGCCCCCCACGATGTCGCTGAGAGAGATCTTGTCGAGAGATCCTCCTGCACCTTCACCGATGCTGCCTCCGCCAAGGCCGGTGTCAAGAAGTGCTCCAGCTCGATCCTGAAGAACATCAAGGTCCCCGCTGGCCAGACCCTTGATCTGTCTGGTGCCAAGAAGGGCTCCACTGTATGTCCCTCCACTGCAATGTGCCACCCCACTATACTGAATATCTGAAAAGGTCACCTTCGAGGGTACCACCACCTTCGGCTACAAGGAGTGGAAGGGCCCCCTCATCCGCCTCGGCGGCGAGAGCGTCACTTTCACTGCTGCCTCGGGCGCCGTGATCGACGCCCAGGGTGAGCGCTGGTGGGACAGCAAGGGCACGAACGGCGGCAAGACCAAGCCCAAGTTCATGTACGCGCACAAGCTGCAGAGCTCGTACGTCAAGAACCTGCACATCAAGAACACGCCGGTGCAGGCGATCTCGGTGCAGGGCAACGACGTGCACATCGAGGGCGTGACCATCGACAACTCGGCGGGCGACAGCAAGGGCGGCCACAACACCGACGCCTTCGACATCAGCGACTCCAACGGCGTCTACATCAGCGGCGCCAAGGTCTACAACCAGGACGACTGCCTGGCCATCAACTCCGGCGAGGTGGGTCCCCCCCTTTCGTTTACTCATGATTTAGAAAAAACTAACGACACCAGAACATCTACTTCGACAGCGGCTACTGCTCTGGCGGCCACGGACTGTCGATCGGCTCCGTCGGCGGCCGCGACAACAACGTCGTCAAGGGCGTGCACATCACCAACAGCCACGTCGTCAACTCCGACAACGGCGTGCGCATCAAGACCATCTACAAGAAGACCGGCTCCGTGACCGATATCACGTATGACAACATCCAGCTCGAGAACATCGCCAAGTACGGCATCGTCATCCAGCAGGACTACGAGAACGGCTCCCCGACCGGCACCCCCTCCAACACCATCCCCATCAAGGACGTTACCATCAACAAAATCACCGGCTCCGTCGAGAGCTCCGCCCAGCCTGTCTACATCCTGTGCGGTTCCGGCTCTTGTGCTGACTGGACCTGGAAGGGCGTGGATATCTCCGGTGGTAAGGAGAAGAAGTCTTGCAAGAACGTCCCTAGCGGCGCTTCTTGCTAGATGCTTACCATGGATGATCGCCGTGGTCACTGGGCGAGTGCAAGTGATGGGGTTTACTGCTTCGGTGGGTTGTGTATTAGTAGTTGAATCTTTATTCTATAATCTTTAGAAAATAATCAGAAGGTCTGCTGTGATATATTCTCCCTTGAGTCAGATCAAACCCTCCCTTTTAGAGAAGCGGCGTAGGGATAGTCCAAACCATTCGCTAATGGTATACTAAACATTGTCCCCCTTCCGTTGAAGCCGTGCACCAGCCCGCCCGGGCAAACTATCTCGTGGGGTACACCTGGCAGTACATGAGTAATACCCTATAGGTGCCACTCAACCAGCTCACATACACATTCCCAACTACCCCTCAAACTCATTCGAATTCCTTATTTTGGTGGATTCGCGTGTTGTTTGGAGGGGGAGGCTGGATTGCTAATTAGGATATTAGATCCTTGTCTAGAGGAGAATTAGGAGAGCATGACAAATACTGATTGAGTGACGATTGTGGAGGGGTGTAATTCCTTCGTTGGTAATGTTGCTCTCGAGAACTTGTAAGGATTTTGAGGTGAATCTATATCTCCTCCCCCAATCTTCATCCCCAGATAAGTTGCATCGCTAAGCTGAAGCTATCCCCAGAATCTCGAGCCCAATATCACCGCTTCGTATTCCGACCCCATCAACCTCTACGCGATCATGGATACTTATTAACTCTCCGCATGCGCTGGTTGGCTCCTCAAGGTTCAGCGGGCCGTACCTACGGTCCCTCCCACCCGGTGACGTTCAGATCTTGCCCTGATCAGATTAGACCGGTCTTGTGGCAGGCACACCAGTATGATAAGTGCTGTTGACACCGGCTGTAATTCTTATCTGCACTGAATTAGATGCGCTCGTGATCGCGGGAGTGGACAAGTCAAAACTAAGGGCTTGGCGGGGTGTGGTAGCGGAGCGCCAAGGGCAGGCCAAGGGAACGGTGGCTTGGCGGGGTGCAGGGGTCCATTCCGCTATCCCTTTTCGGAAGAGGGTGGATAGTTTGGGAAAGTGGTTTGTTTCGAGGAGATTTCAGGGGTCACAGGCACAGATGCCAAGGATGGTCATTAATGGTGGTTAGTGCTGGGTTCAGTGATGTGATATGGTTGGGTCACTGATAGATGATAGTGTGCGGGTGAGAGTGAATCATGAGGTGGACAGTAACTCGGTAGATAAGCGGTTTACTAGCTTATAGACACATATCCTTCTTTTTTTGGTTCTAGTTCGCAAGCCCATACTGACAAGCATCGCACCCTTTCTTCCTCCTCCCATGTATCTGCTCCAACATATCCGACCACCTTCCACTCCCCCAACCTGAAGGTACGAAAAGTGCACTAACCCCGCCACCCAGAATGCAAATCCCTCTTCTTCCCCGACCCCACCACTGACCCAGTCGGTGTAATCAACCCCGTCGCATTCCGTATCATCTCGGCCACCGCATTCACCTCCTCCACACCCACCGCCTCTCCTCGGGTGTGCCACCCCAACTCAACCGGCAACCGTTCGTGCTCTACACAGTGCCCAGTTAGCACCATCACACCCCAAACCTCCCCCCAAACCCAAATTGCAAGAGTAAACATACCGAAAAAATACTCCACAAGCGAGCGATTCACCCGACCCGTCCCCATATCCCCAAACGCAATAATGGGAGCCGCCACCTCGCCCAAACTGAACTCCTCGGTTCGGGCCGTGAACGCGTATGTCGGATTGAACGCCTTGGACTCGACCTGCCGCGCCAGCTTGCCGTTGGCCAGCATGGCAGCGTCGAGGGTGGGGCCCGTCCAGTACTTCCGAGTCTGGGCGAAGATGGTGGCGTTGAAGATGTGGTTGTTGCCGAAGTAGGCGTCGCTTCGACTGGTAACTTGTCAATGGAATGGAGGTTGACTGGGGGGTAAGGGAGGGGGTTATGCTGACCTGAGACTTGCGTCGTGCTCGAGGATGTTGTGCTGGTTTAGTTGGTCCCTTGTTTTGCAGTGCAATGTTAGTGGGTGTGGTACGGTGTATATGGGTGGCTTACAAAGTGAAGTAGGTCGCGTCGGGCTCCGGGTTCACGACAATGGCCATCTCGAACATGAGCGTGGCGAGCGAGGAGGTGAAGTTCAACGCGGCGCCTAGGGCCTCGATGAGGCGAGGGCGCGTGATGTTGCGGCCGTCGTGCGGGAGGAAGTGGTGATTTGCGAGGGTGTTCATCATTGGGCAGGGGCCACGGTCTGTTGTTTATCAAAAATTGTCAGTTGGATGTGTTAAGCTGGTGGCTGGGTGGAGAGGAGCGGCGTACAGTCGTCTGCTCCGGCTGGTTGCCAGTGGGAGATGTCTGCGGCCCCGTAATGGGGGTGGGCGCTGGCTAGACCTAGCAGAAGGGTGATGGGGAGGGTGAGCTTCATGGTGAGTGACTGTTTTGTTGCAGTGTTGATGACTTGTCCAGGAGGACACATAGCAAGAGGCAGAGGGGGAGCAGGGTATTTATCTACCCAGGCTCTGTGCATACAGGAATTGTTTCAGCCTGGAGCTTACCATTCGCGATGATGATGCGGTCACTATATGCCACTCAGATTATGAAAGGGCATCTCAAACAAGACAATGAGATTGGATGCGCCAATAGTATTGGGCTTGTTACAATGCAGTTGCATGGTTGTCGCGCATGAGCTCATGGCGGTAAGCGATGCTCCAAACGGTGCCGAGTACGAGTACGAACCCGCTGTTGCAGATCGGCACTGGTGGGGCGGGGAACTTTATTTACCAGGGTAATCAGGAAACGCTGGTTTCTTATAGGTGCAGATGTAGGTTGATGCCTGGATATGCAATGCGTTGTTGAAACGCAGTATTCTCTTGAGGGTGGCTGGAGGCAGTGCTGGCTATCTAGTTGGGTGGTCGGATGCAGACGGAACGTGAGCCCTAGACGTATTCCAGCCAGCCGTGTCACTGCTATCGATGACATTAGTAACAAAGCTGTAAAGAAGGAGTTGGCTCAGCAAAATAAGTCATACAGACATTCTTCGCAGGTGGCCAACTAGACACAAATCGAAAGATAACATTTTAGACAGCTATATTGAATTCATTGGAAAAAAGACTCAACATGCCAACGGTGACATAAAACTACACAACCGAAGAGGTCCCCCACAACCGAACCTCCAACGCCAGCGCAGCCATCGTCGCGCAGGGGAAATCATCCAGCCTCAACGGGCAACCCCGCGGCAGCCGCCTCAACCAGCCATACAGGAGCTCGATGTCCAGCACGCAGTCCAGCGAGGGCTCTCCGTTGAACTCATACCGATACACCGCTCGGGCAGTGCCTCTCTCCTCCGGGGACAGTTCGCGATAGCACCGCACATGCTCGAAGGCGTGGATGATCCCGTGGAACAGCGGCGCCTGCGGCCGCATCTCCCGCAGCTTCTGGAAGACAGCCCGTAGGCGGTTCTCTAGGATTTCCCAGTCGAAGGTCTGCGTGGCCAGTTCGCGGGTCTCCGGGGTGATGATCACCAGTTGCTGGGTGGGGGTAATGGTGCTTAGTTCGAAGGTGTAGGTTTCTTGCATTTTGGTGGTGTGCGGGCTGGATTGGGTATGGGAGGGGGTGGGAGTTGAAGTCATTGTTGAGTGGATTGGGAACGGGGTTTTATATAGTGGATTGCTTGATGATGGACTCGGTGACGGTGACATTGATGTTTGTTTTGCTTTCTGTGGAGACTTACGGTTATAGTGGAAGTAGGGCTTTCTGTGTTGACAATTCTTTCATTGGGTCTTTGTCAAAGGTCACGATTCCCAAAAGAACTCTTCGGTTTATTTGGCATTTTCAGGCGTGAGGGACAAAGAGATTGGTCTCGATTTATCTCTGTACCCCTAGACTGGTCGTTCCCGGCTAAGTAGGTTTAATCTGACATTCGAGTCTGCTCTACAGTATCGGCATGGGGGGGGCGGGGAGAGGGGATTAGCTCGAGACATACAAAAGCAATTAGAAAGGAATATTCACCAGTACACACCCAGCCTTCCACACCAGAAGACCCAATATTTTACCTTAAGACAAAGACATTTGACGAATCAAATAATGTAGTATTTTTGATCTTATATGCTATACCCGATACCCCAAGAAGAAACAAGGAGAGAATCTAACCCCTCCTCTTGCTCTCCCTATAGTCCCTAACCCACCCATTCCGCAGCGCAAGCTGCGCACACGCCAACAGGAACCGCAGAATCTCATCCGCCCACTCCTCCTCAAACGACGGATTCACCTGCAGCGTGCGCATCCACGCCGCCGTCGCCTCCGTCGACTCGGTGTCGAACACCGTGTAGCCCTGATGATGGAACTGCATGATGTACGAGTCGCTCCCGGGGATCGCCGGGGGCACCTCCATGAAGAACCGTATCAGGCCCTCGCAGTAGATCGACCCGCCGAACGGGGCCGCGTGCGGCCGCAGTTCCCGCTGCTCCCGGATGCAATCCAGCAGGTCCCGCACCGCGTCCTCCCACTGCCAGAACGGGCCCGGCCGGGGGAAGATCAGGTTCACCGTCTCCGTCCGCGGGGCGATCGGGTGCAGCAGCACGTCGAAGGAGGAATAGGTGAAATCGGCGAGCGTGTAGTTCGTCGGTTCCGGGGAGAGTTCGCCTTCTTCTTTTTTGGAGGCGTTCTCTTTGTTGGCTTCGTTGTCGTTTGCGGTGGGTTCTGGTGGGGGTGGAATTGGGTCCCCGTTTGGTGATGGAGGGGGTGGTGGTGGGGATGGGGGAGGTGGCCGTCGCGTTGGGCTTGGAGAGCGACTTGGCGGTGGTCTTTTGGAGACTGGCATCGTTGTCCTGGTGGGATTACTTTCCGAGGGGTTTGGGAAATGAGGTGGGTGGGGGTTGGGAGGAAGAGGGCGGGGGGGCTTTGTGTTGCCAGGGCTGGCCTTATATAGACTGTTCCGGCTTTATCTGGTGTGACGATCGTCGGCTGATTGAATTTGTAGAGGTGATTTTCAGTAAAAGGGTCGATGTTTTATTGTTAGGTGCTAGGCATTGCAAATATGTCTTTGTGGGAACGATGATCTTAAGTACGTGCCCCGGTTTGTTTGTTCGACAGTGTGCATTCGAATGTATTTACCGATGGTTGCGATGCGTTCGACTGCAAGGAGACTCAGTGGTTAGTCCTTGATCTGTGCTTCAGTGACAACGTACTTAGACAAGATAGTCTAACTTTATGTCTCAATAGGTGCTTAGACTTCTCTAAGTATGTTCTCAAAATTGACAGACGCTGCATAATGCCTTATCAGTGGAGCAACAGCCCTAAGGCAACAAGGCAAAAAGGCACATCGCCCCCGGACAGAGCAAGGTCGTAGAACATTACAACCAACGACGAGGGTAGCTGCTACTCACTTTCGAAGAAGTGAGCCTTAAATCGAGTAGCTAGATACGATGGAATTCGAATGTATAATTCTGACCAAAAAAAGAGTGTCATGCTCTAAATTAATATAATACCTGACAGAAAGGGTTAGGCGTAGCATACCATACACAACTGTGCCCGAAGTATGTATCCACCACCAGTTTTTATTAGCGATACGCGAGATCTACGACAGGTTGTACCCAAAATACCATCGTTGTCCAATGACCTCACGCCAGTATGCCACAAAGCCTCATACTCAAGTTCCAAAAGACCTAACCTCTAGACCTCAGTCCCTCGACCCGGAGACTCTCCGTCTCCGAATCCTTGAAGAACAATGACTCGTTGCTCGCCTGACTGGTGATTTTCCCACTCATCCGTGGGTCGGCATCTAGGTGATCCATGTCTAATGACTCCTGCAGCTCGATGCTGGTTGCAGACCGAATTTTGTGGCCCCCACGTCGGGCTGGGTAAGGGTTGTCGGGATAGATCGGGGTCTCTGGCTTTCTTGCACGGCGCAGACTGTATAGCGTGGGAAAGTTGGCAACGATAGCCGACGCAATAAATTCGACCGCAGTCCAGTAGCCTTGTCCGACGAGGTCTTGCGTGTCGCCGTGAACGGGGGCGCGGAGGATGGTTGCGATGATGCAGAGGAAGCCAACCGAGAAAAGGGCGATGAGTTGAAGGCGGCTAGATTGGTTAGCTGAGAGTCTCAAGGAAGGCTTAGGGAGGGATGAGGATCTACCGATGCCAAGGTCTTTTCACCCGAATCAGCCATGGAAGAGGGAGCACAATGAGCATCAGGTCTGTGAGGCCATTGAGCAGGATATAGGCCACAAGGTTCCCGACACGTCCGAGGCAAGGTTCTGGTACAACACAATCAGTGACCTCGACATTGTATCAAAAGCAGGAGTCATACTCTTCTTGCGGTAATCACAGACCATAAACATTTCAAGTTCCACACCCCCGAAACTCAGTAGGAGTATTGCCCAGCTGATGCGAACGAAGATGAAGGGCCACGGGAGACCCTCCAGGACGCGCGAGATAAACAGGAGAACAACCGCCTTCTGGCCCCAAAGACTAGAACTGTCAGCGATCACTACTACCCACGTCGTAGGGACCGTACTAGGCACGAAATATAGCTTGATGCGCCACCAGTATTTTGTTCTTGAGCAGCTGCTCTTCGAGCAACTTATCAGTGAGATGTTGCGCTTGGAGGCGGGCGTCGCGAGTCAAGATGATGACGCTTATCGCAGTAAGCAGACTCACACAGGCAAGAAGCGTCACCAAGCAGAAGACGGTGCAGTAGTCGGCCGCTTCAAACCGTTGGTGCCGATACTTGCGCAGAAAGAGTCTCAAGATCATGATAAGAGCGGCAAGTCCACCAAAAAGGTCCATCAAGACAAGGGACGTTATCGGACGCGAGGATACAGCCATTGTGAGGTTTGACAAGATGCTGAATGGCTGCCCCAAGAAGGGACGACGCAGACCCATGGTTTGGTTTTATTGTGGGGTTGGTTCCAGTCGGGACCTTTTTCAACAAAGAAAGTAAATGTGGTCAGGGCGGAACAGACCCAGAAAGTATAAATTGCACGAACCGAGGTGAGGCCAAGTGAACAAGGAAAACCAGCCGCAATCAGTTGTCACAATCGACGAGTCAACAGAATGCAGGTTCTGGACCAGCTGTGGCCACCACTCGGGGTGAATGATTTGTTGATTCACAGGACACCAACATGCCACATTCATCAATTGGAGACATCCACGATAGCATCGCGCGAATTCAGCAATTTGTTGCGACCGAATATAGCGGGATATAGACCGTGCCTGCGCTCTGACCGTCAGGTACTAATGAGGATTTGCGCGAAATCAAGGACAACCCCGGTCGGTACCTTTTGATCGACAGTCAGATTTCGATCACCTGATAATGCACGAAGAAGCCCACCAGACTGTACTCACCAAAATTCCCTGGCACTGCTCCGCATGTTCCCTCGGACCAGGTGCTATAGCACATCTCACATATCGCGAGGCACATCGTCCGTGCGCATCACAAGATGGGAGGTGTCTGCCGAGAGAAAGATGGGAACGCTTGTGAGAAAGATAAGGTCCACTGGTGGTCAACAAAGTGCCAATGCCCGGACATTATTTTGGCGAAATGGTGACCTCGAACGGATGGTGCAGTTGGTGCAGATGGTGCAGATGGAAGGAGGACGGAGGAGTGTCTACAACTCAGCATCCCAGCCACGTGACCCAACATAGCAGCTACTCTTTCCAGTGCGACCCGTACACTTTCACGGAACAACACCACTTTTCTGATTCCCACTATGCAACCCTTTCTCGGAATCATCTTTTATGTCTTTGCATGCGGTAAGCCTTTATTTCTCTCGATGCAGTCCTTGAATTGTCCCTCACGATCAGTCCATATTATAGCGAGTCGATCCTTAATCTCGCCCGACAACAAGTACCAGCACTCTCGGCGGAAATGCCTAAACAACGTCCATGCCTGCAAAGTAAGAGAGCTCTCCCAACCAAGATAAGTGGTTTCAGGTTGAATTTTATGGCAAAGACAATGTGCTAGTCGAATGATCTAACACGATAGGGATCCGGACTTGTTACAATAGTCGCGCTCACCTTCGAAGCATGAGGAAGGCCACAAGAATCTCGCATTAACAGGCCAAATCCATTACCGCCGTGTCCCCGGCGTTATTCTCTCGTCTTCGAACAGTTTCGGTTTATCTCGAGGGGGGCTGTGACTTACAAGGCATTAACTTCAAGCTGCGGGCTAGGACTACTCCTGCAGATCTATGGCAAGCCCATCGTTGAACGGATCTTTTATGCTCTCCACCAGCTGCTACACTGCATCTATGCCTCTCAGCATCCTGTAAGGGAGCTGGATGCTTTCTAATCACGTGAAGGCAACCGGCACACTCGACGCGGTCAGATTTCTCCCAAGCCTCATTCCATGAACCTGATCGGAAGCTGCACTTCCACATGTTTCCTTCCCCTCACAAAACAATAATATTGGGTTCCATTGTGGATCAACTGTCAGACCGATTCGTGGACGATAATTGGCTGCGTCGTCTGGATTTCGTTGCCCCACTCGTTAGACCCGATGTATAATCCTTCCGCGGTATGGAGCTTCCATCACCAACTACGAAGCCAACCCAGAGTGGTAGTGTATAAAGTCTGCGTTTGCTAAGTTACCATAGAACAATCAGTAGTTGCAGCGTTTGCGCTAATAGTAAGAGGTATGTTGCATTTTTGCAATCTGATCGGGTGGCATCGCTATCGATACAAATCCTGTACCCTGGAGTTAGCTTCGATCTAATCATGACTAACTACTGTCGTCTCCGTTAGGCAAGCAATGGCGCCGTTCCGGCATAATATTAAATCACTCATGTATTGCATTGATTGGCTACCGGTCATATCCCCCTGCACGTACTTATTTAGCCTCTTCCTGGGACAACCTTGGTTCTCAGCTTTAAAAAGCACACGATGTCCCTCAATCTTCTGACAACTATTGACCGGCGAATCAACACACCGAGACCAAAACCATCATGACCAACCCACGCAAGAAAGCCTTCGCGAAACGATCTCGTACGGGTTGTCGTACTTGTCGGTGAGTCATGATTTCCTGTATCACGCCGTGGATGTCAGCTGTGACTAAGACTCAAGCTATACAGTGCTCGTCGCGTCAAGTGCGATGAAACACCTGTGGCCTGCAACAATTGCACCATTTCTGGTATGGCTTGCGACGGATACGATGTACACAGACTTATCCCCGGGGGTGGTCGACGTAAGACTGGAAATCTTGTTCCAATCTTCACTATTCCCGCCGACATGGCCCGCAAGCTGCAGTGGACGACTACCTCGGACGAGCGCCGATGCCTGTCGTTCTTTCAACATAGATCGGTAGAGCACTTGGTCGGCTTTTATGATTCACCTCTGTGGCAGCAGGTGATCTTCCGCCTATGCTACCAAGAGCCCGCCATCTATCACGCGGTTATTGCTCTGGGGGCCGTCAACCAGGCCAACGAGATCGCAGGCTGTATTCCCCGCGCGGGACAGAGTACTGCGCATCTGCAGAATACATGGTACCAGTTTGCGCTTGAACAGTCTGGACGTGCGATCACACTGTTGAACAAAAGGCGCATGTGACAAGATCCCCAGCTGCAGGAGGTTATCCTTGTCTGCTGTCTACTCTTCGTGATCTGCGCACTACTCCATGGGAATCGCAATCATGCTAATTTTCATATCCAAGGGGGACTGCAGATTCTACACGTGATGAAGATCCAGCGGCAAACTACGGGGCTGGAGCTTAGCCAAGAGACCGTCTTCGGTGGGCCATCCGGCCCCAGGTTCTCGGTGGAAAAATGCGTGGTGGAGATGTTTCTGAAGCTTCAGGAATCGTCCGTTTTTTATGGCACCGAGAATCCGGTGGACTTTGACAGCCACTTCGTATTCGGACAACCGTACGAAAAGTACATGCAGCATTTTCAAAGTCTGGGACATGCAAAACAGGTTTTGAAGCCTTTGACCCAGGCCAACTTCCTCTTTACCGCGCTTTATCTCAAGGCATCGGATAACTACATTCGAGAGGACTACGCATCCTTACAACATCGCCAACTGCTGTTACTCTCATACTTCCACCGATTTCTATGCCAATTCGAGATCTTCTGCGCACAGGAATATCCATACAGCGCAGATGGCACATCTCGACTCAACAAAGGACAACGCGAGGCGGAGTTAATTAAGCTCAGTTGCCGACAGGGCATCCTCGCCTCGAAGGTGGCTCTCTACTACAAAAGTGAACTGTGGCCCGAGAGTCTGACTCATGAATGCGAAGCCCTGATCATCGCATCGGAAACCGCAATGGCCAAATTTGGCGGTGAGTATCCGGCCGTGACAGCGGATCTGGCAATCATGCCAGCGTTGAATATCAGCATCTTCCGATGTCCGGACTACGGCGTCCGCGCGCGGGGGATTGCGGCCATTCGCTCCTGGCGGTCGGAGGAAGGGTTCATGAGCGCTACCCTGACATCGGATATTATGGAAGAAGGTATGAAGAAGGAGTTGCAGTCCATTTATGATAAGGCGGAGCCATGGCCCCGAGGAGTGGTATTTGTGGAGGACGACGGTCTGGTGACGGCGCGGGTGTCGTACTGGGTGGGCGCTGAGGAGAAGCAACACTGTCTACCGCTGAGGCGGAATGAGATTTTGCAAGCCGATTTGATTGCGATCGAGAATGCCAAATATTGGCCGTGTGTTCGCATGTGGGGATTGCTCGACGATGTAAAGTTGTGACGCTGTTCATTATATTTCGAAATACCACAAAGCTCAAGTGCAACATCTGCCCAGTACCATCGGAAGCGGTTCTTTGGTTTTGAAATTGTATATTGTGACTCGCATATCCCCGTCCGGGGGTGGTATTTGTTCTATCTGTATGTTTCCTTTCACAAGGAGATCTACTGTCTGTGATGTAAGTTCATCAACCAGTCCACGTCAAAGCGAAGCATAGTCAACGATCCCAGGAAGAATAGTCAGGCATCCAGCGCCACCGAATACTGGCATTCAGCCCGGGCTGTAACCCGATACGCTCCTCCCACATCTTCATCCTCGGCCGAACCTCCCCCTCCTCCTCAACGGCCCCGTCCCCATTCTTCGGAATCAGGCTCTCCCAATACTGCAAGATTGCCCGGTCCTCGATAGGATGCCACTCGCGCATCCCCTCCAGCCAGAACTGGTCCACCACGCGCAGCCCCGCCCTATGCACGTCCCCGAGCTCCCTATCCGGCTCCTCCCGCACCCGCTCGCGGTATAACCGGACGGCCGTGCGCATCGAGATCGTCCCCCACATCGGCTTCATGTCCGGGTACAGCGTGCGGATGTACTCGAACCCCCGGTTTAGCGCCGGCAGCGCCAGCTCCGCCCAGTTGACCGGCGCCGTCCACCGCACCCAGCACACCTCGATGCTGTAGGTTCCGGCGCCGTGCGGGACGGCGTACACGTTCCAGTGGGGGAGTTTGCCTCGCGGGATGGGGTTGGGCGGCTGGAAGGGGGCGTGGAAGGTTAGGGCGTGGGTTACGAAGGGTTCGATCGAGGCGGGGGTGGGTGTCGCCATGGTGGGGTTGGGAGGGTTGTGGTTTGGGTGTTCTGAGATTAATGGTTGGAGTTGGTTGTTGGATAAGGTTGGGGCGTGATGGGTGGTTTTGGTTTGAGTTATGATTGATTGGGGGTGGGAATTTATATACAATGATGTTGAAGGGGGAGTAGGTGGAGATCTACGCTTGTTGCAGCTGGGATTCTGGGCTTTTTGTTGTGGAGTCATGAGGGGGGTGGTGGCGGAGGGTTTCCCAAGGGTAGGGGGATCTTCGAGATATAGAGTTGATCTTCAGGTAGGGTTGCGGGACTTTTTATGCGGCAGTAGCTGGTTGGCTTCATGAGTGAGCGTTGAAGTGTATGTGCGTCTTGTCAATTTCCCTTCTCGAGATTAAAGTATAGTCTACATCTTCTAGTCCTTTCTGGCGTAGCGTGTATAGAGAGTGGGATTCGGAAGCGTTTCGCGTCGTTAGTTAACTTTCTTCAACCAGGAATTATGATTTCATATAAGCATACAAGCCAAAGGGATCGATACATAAAGGCAGTTCCCTCTGTTGGGAAGGATGTGAATCAAATTTGACGCGTCGAATCAATCGGTCGACTTGTTGAAAAGTAATATTGAGAAGACAAAAGAAAGAAAGTGGACAAAGGAAGTGGAAAAGGGGAGTGAAAAGAAAAGGAAATGAATCAATAAGCCACAAGATAACTCAAGAGTCAGATTTGTTTCGAGTCTGCAGGAGAGTGGCAATCTAGCTACTATCCGAAACACGGGCTCTCCCTGCTGCCTGGGGGATCCATCAAGCCTTTTGAAGACGTGTATACATTCTAGTCCCTTTCTTGCCATCCCACGTACATCTAGAAGAGGTAGTTAGATATACCTTGGTGGGTAGTTTCCGCATGCACTGTTGGAGGCGAGGAGAGAAGCACTTCAATCACAAGGTCTGGCTCGCTTGAAACGCTCCCTGTGTACTATGGATGCGAAAGAGAGAGGAAGTTATATATGTTGTGCTTTGGGTGGAGATCAAGGTAAAAATGGTCATCTGGCTGGTGATGTTTTCGTTGTCAACATTGCCGCAGCGCAAGTTGCTGAGATTTGAAATGATGGGTATTTGTGATGGTCGTGGCCCAGATATCTGCTCCTGGGGTTCGCGCTGCCTTGGACTGGATGATCCGAGACGTGTAAGAGAAAATCGCAACAATGCGTCCTCGATCATGAGCTCGACTTAAGCTCCATTTGGCACACCGACAGAAAGGCGTACAGTAAGCGAAAAAATAGGATGAACCGCTGTGGGGGTTAACGGGACGTGGGTTCAAGATATGTTGGGCCATGACGGATCCTGGAAAGCGGGCGCAGAGAAGAAACTCCGTTCAGGATGCAGCATTTGAACACAAGCAAGAGTGAAACGCTCAAAAATGGAGTGCATGTACAAACAGAAAAAAAGTTCTGCGAGTATGAGGACAGAATTCTCCCACCCACTTCAGGTACAGGGCTAATCAATGACACGCGGGTAATGGCTGCGGGAAGTAGACAGCCGGCCGTCCAAGGGCCCCTAGGTGTAGGTTACAAGCAGTGCACCAACGCCAACGAGGATCGAAATCAGTAGAACCAAATTGAGAGAATGCCATCTTTCAAATTCGCTTTCTCGAGAATTAGTGTTCAGCTCACTCATCAGCTTCTGCAGTGTCTGTTGAACAGACTCAATCTGGTCCAAAACCGGTGAATGCGCCGTGTACACACTTTGAAGAACATGAATCAGTCGGATAGAAGCTGTGGCAGAATCTGCCTGTTTCATAAGGTCTACAGTCTCGATCACGTGCTGGTGCCACGTTTGCAAATGCTTCTGCATCATGTCAACCAGCTCCAGGTACTCTTTGACAATCCCAGCTCGTGAGTGCTTCCCTGCGAGAATCCACACCCGGCTGCTAAGAAACTTCGAGAACTGGTTTCCTGCTTCCCTTAAGCGTTTCTGGCCGCTATGGAGCGTTTCTAGCCCGATTTCGGTCGGCACGGTGGTTTGCTCGCCGTCAAGTCGCGGGATTGCAATGTTACTCTCGAGAACCTGCCTGAACTGGTTTTCCGCATCCTTCCACCTCTCCTGTTTAGCGTGAATAATTCCCAAGTTCATTCTCGCGTCCACGATGACGCTGCGTTCTTCTTCTGACGGCAGGCTCCGGGTAGAAAGTATCTCAAGATTGCGTGAAAATATCTCTTCTGCCTCCTTCCACCGCTCCTGTCCGATATAAACAGCTCCGAGCTTTCCCCTGGTGCTAATAGTGTCAATATGTGCTTCTCCAAGGTCGGAAGTTCGAATTTTAATAGCCTTAGAGAAGACCTCCTCTGCGTCTTTCCATTTCCCGCGCTTGTAGTACACCTCCCCTAGGTGATCCTTGATGCTGATGGATTTTGGGGCCCCTTGAGCGACGATGAGCCCAACCACTTTGTCACCAAGAGGCCCCTGGCGAAACTCGACAAGCCGTCGGTAAAGCGATGTGGTATCGTCAGATTCTTCGTATCTGCGCTCCAGGAGTGCTCGGATTCTGGTCGTGAATGAATCATCTCCCCTATGCTCCTCGTCTTGCATCTCAAGCACGTGCGTATACAATGCTTTTGCCTCTGACAAACGGCCCTGGCCATCGTACACCTCCGCGATTAAGGCAATCGATCTTAGCGTAGAAGGGTCCCTCCGGCCCGATATTCTCGTTCGCGTCTGGACCAATGGAATCAGAAGCATTTCGGCGTCCTGCCACCTACCTTGCACCATGTAGAGTTTCCCCAACTCTTCGACAGCTTCGAGCGTCCTCGAATGTTCCCCGCCCACCAATTTCTTGGCGAGGTAGATGTCCTGCAAAGCGAGCTCTTCAGCCGGCTTCCACCTCCTCTGTTTGGTGTAGACTCGTCTCAGGGTCTTTGCAGCAGATACTGTCACATAATGATTGTCTCCGTATACCCGATGGCTCCTCTCAAAGACTTTAATTCCAAGCTCTTCAGCCTCTTGCAGTCGACCTTGCATGATGTAGACATCCGTGAGGGAATCCATGCCCTCCAATGCCAGGTAATGGTTTTCCCCCCCGAGCTCCTGACTTTCCTTGATTACTTCCAGGTGTCGCGCTATCGTCTTCTCCTGGTCGTGTTGATACTGGGCGACAAGGCTTTCCATCTCAGTGGCAAAAGTAGCCATCAGGTTCCCTGAGCCAAAAAGCTGCTCACTCGCATCTCGAAGGGTCTTTCCCATTTGCTCCATTGCTCTATAATCGCCGCAGGATGCCGCATGACTTACACCTTTCATAAGTAGCGAGACCCAACTAGGCATCAATGTTATCAAGGTTGGTTGTTCGGCCACTGCCTGTTTGAGGTGGGGGAATAGAAATTGATATCTGGCCTGAGCCTCGGGTTGGAAAGGGAATATGCGATCAATGCTGCCCATCGATACTCCCAGCCACCGTGAGATGAGCCCTTCCTTCTCCAACCAACCCTTTATAGCAAGTTGAACGAGTCTGTGCATTTCAAAAATCTTGGGATCCTGTCTAATTGCGATGAATGAAAATTCTCGGAGAGTACGGAGGTCTTCTTCGAAGTCCAAATCGCCATCGGTTGATCTTTTCGTCACCTGTTTCTCATCCTTGTGCTTGGTAATCTTGCCATCTTTCTCCCTCTCTTGGATCGTGCTTCGAAGTAGCAACTCCGGGATGCCCTGTCGATCAAAGAAGCTCATCAGAGACAGAAGATCTGCTGCAGTCGGTCTCGATTGTCGGATATAGTCGAATGATATCTGCCACGTTCTCAGAATGGAGTTACTTGCTTCATAATCCCGTTGAGGCTGCGCAGACTCGTGGTCCAGAATATGCGCGTTATTTTCGAAGTCCTTCAAATATCGGGTAATGGAGTACCTCGGAGCATGGTACTCTATGAAAGCAGAGGCTTGAATAATTGCCAGTGGCATGAATTCGAGGGCTTCGAGAAGCTTTGCCGCTTCTTCCTCATCCGCCGTGACGATTGTAAGCTTTTTTTGTAGAAGGGCCAGTGCGGACGGTGCATCCATTGGGTTGATGTAGAAAATGTCGCGGCCGCTAACTAATTTCAGTGCCACCGCCTTGTTTCGCGTGGTGAAGATGATCGCCCCGTGAGGACAGCGAGGGAGCAGTCCTAGCAGCGGTTTGTGCACTGGGCTCGTCTGGCCGCCGTTGTCAATCACCTGACTATCATGCAGTGGGTCGTCCAGCAGACTTTCATCATCGAGGTTATCCAGTATCAAAATCCATTTCCCATGCTTCGAATTATAGAGCCAGTCGTTCACCAGCTGGAGAACGTTGGCCGTAGCATCGTGCCGTCCAGGAAGCTCGAGACGGTCGGCGATTTCTCGGTAGCTCAACTCAAGACGTGATGCGTTACTAGCATGGACCCAGAAAACCCACGTCTCAGGCGAGTCGTCGCGCACGCGATAGGAGTATTCAATAGCTAATTGCGATTTTCTTTCGAGACGTCAGCAGGCGATGATGCGATCATGGTTCACATCTTACCCAACACCACCCAGCCCCACAAGCGCTGTCCTCGATGCTGGTCTTGCACACCTCGCTTGGATCTCGTCCAGTATCGAGCCACAGGCAACGTAGTCGTCATCTCGAGCAAACGGGACAGTGGAGAAGGGCTTTGGTGGTGCTTCAGGTCGCACTGAGATAGCAGCCTGGCTTCAGTCACACTGGTCTCGACGGTGGGGGGCTGGACTGACCTGGAGGAAGGTGGAACTCGGCGGAAATATGGCCAGAGTTGTCACCGACCTGGAGTCCATAATTCACTCCAGGAAATGCTATCGACTGCATGTCTGACGAGCATCATTCGCGTACGGACCAAGGAATGGGTGGGGAAAGAGTAAGCATGTTGTGTGAGGGGTAAGTTCGCAGATAGTGCTTAGCTGCATCATCAGGTGACTCTCCCCCTGGTCGTTTTAGTTCAGTCAGATTTGCGCTTCAACTCTTTTTCCGCAAGCAATTCAGAACCAGTCAATCAGACACCTCACGATGGTTCGTGTACTGCCTCAAGTTCAACCACTCATTTTTTATGATGTGAAGGCTCCCTTACAGCCTATATTTCAGACCAAGCCACAGCCTTAGGCTTCGAAACCATGGGAGTGCGGTACTGGCATAGCCTTATGAATCGGCAAAGACCGACGCCTGGTTGACTAAAACGGCTACTTATTATTGCCAGATTCTACCAACATCGGCAAAACATTCTCCACTAACTGAGGTTTCTTTATTGACATTCTGGTCTAGCAGTGGCTGAGCGCATTGTCGCGGTCATTTGGCGCCAGGCTAAGCAAGATTAGCTTCGGAATTTCCACCGGCGGCGCAGTCAACTCGCGTCATCATTCACCACTGATAATTCTCGGACTGGCAACGGATGCGGCCCACAGCTTTAGTCCCCGTTCCTTTCCGTTTGATCTCCCAGATAAGAACGCCTGTCATGGACCACGGATCTCTCAAAACATATCTCCACTCTCCAGGCTACATTTCCTTTGCGCACATAACGGCGTCTTGGATGGCAACGCGAACAGTCCCAGAACGCCCTCACCTTCACCTAAACGTGATCGAGTCCTTCCATCCGTCGAGTTCACCTTTTCATGCAGTCCTTCATCCGCTGGAGGTGCGATAACACCGACCTCGTCCGTGGACCAATCAAGCCCACATCTCCGCGGAAGCGATCGGCGCTCGATCACGCCAACTGCACAACCCCTTTTCGAGAACCTGCGTCTCAGTGAACATGTTAAGCCCCCAGAAGCTGAAGAGCCACAGGTTGACTACACCGAGCAGGCGCAAAGAGTGTTTGGTTTGAGCCCGACACCCAAATCACTCGCTACAACCTACAGAGACCTCCACAATGCCACTCCCAGTCCTGCCGGACCCTCCTCCCGCCGGCCAGATCAGCAGTCGCGGGCAAGCACCCCCACCTCTCCTCTGGAAAACGTTAACGGCAACTTGACAAACCTGAATCTGGAAGGCTCTAAGCATGCCGCAGCAAATGCTTCTGACAAGATTCAGCATGAGTTCGTTTTCACCAACCGTGTTACTGTCGATAGTGATGACGATGACAACGCGACACACGATGACTCGGAACACGATCACTCCGACGACGATGACGACGAGGGCGACGATGATGATGAAAGTCGGTACAACGTTCGCCAGGAGGAACTCCCTCGAGCGCCAATATACGATATTCAACTTCAGAATGCACTACGCAATATCAAAGGTCAACTCGCTGGCCTCGCGCAGCAGCTTGGGACGAGACGCGATTTGGTGGGCGATTCAACTACAATGTTGCATCAATTGTATGAGCAGGCACTCAAGGCGAGTCGTTTTGCATATCCGGCAACGCGGACTGTGGGCTTCATCGGCGACTCGGGAATGGGTTAGTATCGGATCCATCTACCTTCAGACAGGAAAGGCTTATCTCGCATCAGGCAAGAGCAGCCTAATAAACTCCATTCTTGACCAAGAGGGGCTGGCCCGGTCGGTAAGTTAAGCCCTCAACCAGAGATAGTTTTTGTTTCTAGTGATTGACGTTCGCAGAGTGGTGACGGTGCTGCTTGCACGACAGTAGTTACAGAATTCCGGAGTATTAATGACGAACATCCGCAAAACTATACCGTCGAAGCGGACTTCATGGATACGAGCGAAATTCGTGAACTACTGGAGGAGTTGCTTTCCAGTGTTCGGAAATACTACACAGATGCCTTCCGCGAAGTGCAAGTTTCGGAAGAAAAAGAGGACATCAAGGCCGCAGCGCTGAGAGCGTGGGAGACGTTACGGTCTCTCTTCCCACATCAAGAAGGCTTTGACCTCGAGTTTCTGTCCAAGGAAGGAGAAGAGCCAGTAGAGACCATCTTAACGACTTTGCAGGAATGGGCCATGGCTGGACTGGATCACCGACCGGGGGGGCGAGACACCCTTCGCTATTCCGTGGTAGCCCGGCATGCGGATGAATGCATGGAGCAGCTGGACAGTCTCATGGCAGACCCCAAAGATAGCAATCGACCAGCATTATGGCCCTTTGTAAAGCTGATCAGGTTTGGAAAGGCTGATACAAGATCTTGCGAAATGTGGCTAATGACGTGGTAGGGTTTATTTGCGGTCGCCTGTCTTGCGCACTGGCTTGGTCTTGACTGATCTTCCAGGTACTACAACCAATCCCCTTATCCGTTTGCGAACTTTCAGACATTGACATCCTTAGGCTTCCGCGACCTGAACTATGCCCGAGTCCGGGCGACAGAGAAGTATCTCCGTCACAGTTGCGACGAAGTGTTCATCGTCAGCTCGATACTCCGTTGTACCACTGACCAGTCGATCGGCGACATTATCCGACGTTGTGCAAGAGATCAACCCATTCGCATTGTGTGCACTCGTTCAGAGGTTGGTGTCTGTTTTAAGAGATCGGATGATGGGCTGACTGAAAATTGCCAGGATGTCGATGCAAAAGAAACTGCGCGCAGTTCTTCCCCTGATGATGCTGCACGCATTCGTAATATGGACAGCCGAATCGAGCGTCTTGAAAGTAGAATTAGGTCGACGCGCTCTCGAAGACGACGCGCGAGCGGAAGTAGGGGCCAAAGCCTCGCTGCTGAGGAGACAGATCTAAGGTGTGTAAAGTTGACAGAGCGATCTCGCCATTGTTTGACATCATTACAGCGATCAAAAAGACGCCCTCCAGCTTGAGTAAGTGATACACATTATTGTTCTAAGAAGCAACAGCAGCCGCCAACTAAACACTTCCAGGTTGAATCGTTTCCTCATCAGAAGAAGGAACAACCGAGTCACGGACATTCTGTTAGCCGCCTGGGGCAGCCAAGCGCGGGTATTCTGTGTTAGCAACAAGCTTTACGCTGATCATCGATTCAACGACATCGAGGAAGCCAATGGGTACCGTGCGCTGAGTGGGATCACCGAGCTTCGTCGCTACTGCCAATCTGTTCCTGCTGATGCGCAGTTCCGGGCAACAGTCACTTACCTCAAAAATGATGTCCCGGCGCTTTTAGGTTCAATAAATCAATGGGTGTTGGCGGGTTCTAGTGGCATCACCGTCGCCCGAGCCGAATTACTGCGTGGCGTCTTAGTGGAGGCGGAAACGACCCTCGAACGGGTACGATCACTTTCACTAAAGGAACTCCGTTTTCGTCAGAAGCACACGATTCGTACGGACTGATGTGCCTTACTGACCTGAGACGGGAACGACCGTTGCTGACTTGCGTAGAACATTCTCTCGCAGGACTCAGAAGTGCGCCGAGCGCAGGGTACTTTGGAACAATTATTTACTAGTGATATAACTCGACTCATTGGTGCGTATGAACCTTCACTGGCTTCAAATACTTAGCTAATCGAGGAATCTGATGCAGAAAAGTCACGAAACATCTGGTGCAATAATGCGGTCAATGCGAGCAGGGAATGGGCTTCAGTAAGTCAAAGAGACGTACCAGGCACCATCGATACCAAGAGCTAATCTCTCATGTGAAGTGGCATCACATGACATACGCAGCTTTTTGTCGCAATTATGGAAGTCACGAGACGGGGAGGCAGCCCTACCGTTGCTGGAATGAGGAGATTCTCGGCTCCGCACGTGATTGGCTAATCCTCGCATGGGATGTTGTGTTAGGCCAGTTGGAGGGACATGCAGAAGGCTTCGAGAAGGGTCTTTCGCGTCTGTTCAGGGAGGTCTGCCAGTCTATCGCAAGTAAGCAATTACGTTGAATGTAAACAGTGCAGATGAAAGCCGGATTGCTGATACGATCGGACTTTCAGAACACCAGGACCTCGCGCCAGAATCGCTGCAGAATCTGCTTTCGAATATCCGCACTCGGCAAAAATGCTTGGAGGAAGCGGTGCGCAGTTCCTTCCATGATCTTGTGTATACAACGGAGTATGGTTTACCGTGAAAGCTGGACCAAACGCTGTTGGCTGATTAGCTTCACAGAAAAATCAAAGCCGACACGATCCAGGGGCATTCCAGTTCCTATATCGCGGGTGTCATGCGCCCTGTCTATAACATCTGCCAACAGCAATACGGTAGGGTCTCGAGCTTCAACCAATGGTAATGACAAAAGTCTAATCTCAAGTCGGGGAATGCAGGTACCGGAAGCGATTCCCGACGCAAGGGAACAATGAACCGCTCCCTTTCATCTCCAATGCTTTTCATGCAATTCGCCTCGAATATCGCGGAAGACTATCATCGCGTATTGAATCAGACCTTTGATCAACTAGACCAGAGGCTGCGGGACGAGATTGCGAACATCACTCGGGACCTGCGGGCTTCAGTCACGGTCGAGGGCGAGGTTTCTGAAGCGGGGCAGAACCTTCGACATGCTAATCAGGTGAAGAAGAGGGTGGAGGAAACTCGCATTGTTTTAGATCTTGCTCAGATGACGGCTAGAGAGTTGGCAGAGGAGATAGCGTCTTGATTTTTTGGCTTGGATTGAGCCATGCGTGGTAGTGGAGCATTGCTAATTAAGCGAGTGGTCGCAAGCTGCATTGTCCTTCTTGTCGGCATACAATGTCCACATCGTTTGTTTCTTGAATCTATACAAGGCTACAAATACATACTCAGTCAATCCCTGTTCCGCTCCACACCCACAACCTCTCGATTAATCAACCTTGATAACCACCTTGCCGAAATGCTTCTGATCCCACAGATACTGATACGCCTCACGCGCATCATTGAACCCAAAGACCCGCTCATCAACCACCGGCCTGATATCGTTCGCCTCAATCGCCTGAATCATATCCAGCATCTGCTCCTTGCTCCCGATCTGGATTCCCCTGACAATCGCCGCACCCGTCAAAGTATCCAAAATCTGCGGGGGCTTCTCATCCTTGGCCGCGCTAGTGCCGCCAATATACCCGATGACACTAATCACCCCCTCCAGCTTGACGCACTTCAGACTCTGGCGGACGGTATTCAAGCCGCCGACCTCAACCACATGATCGACGCCGTGGCGCGTCAGCTTCCGCGCCGTCTCGCCCCAGTTCGCATCCTCGCGGTAGTTTATCACATGGTCCGCGCCCAACTCCTTGAGTCGCTGCGCCTTCGCGCTCGAAGACGTGGTGGCGATGACCGTCGCACCAGCCGCTTTAGCGAACTACGCAGCAGATCAGCATCATCTTGACATGACCCATACGCCACCCACCCATTATCTCCAAGAAAAAAGTAAAAGGGGGAGGTAAACATACCTGCAACGCAAAAGCAGAAACCCCACCCGTCCCCTGGACGAGCACCGTCTGCCCCGGCCGGAGCGGCTTGACCCCGTACAGGGCATTCCACGCCGTCAACGCTGCGCATGGGAGGGTCGCACTCTCCACCGGACTCAGATTCCTCGGCGCATGCACGAGACTCCCCTCGTGGAAGACACGGTACTGCTGCAAACACCCATCTAAGAACCCCCCGAGCCCAGTCTTTTGGGCTTCCGCGGTGAGATCACCGAAGAGATGGGCAGCGAAGAAGAGCGAGGTGATGCGGTCGCCTGCTTGAAAGGCGGTGACTTTGCTGCCGGTCTGGACGACGGTTCCCGCCCCGTCGGAGCAGGGGATTAGGTCGGGTTTGCTGGGGAAGGGGTACATGTTCTTCGATTTGTTAGATTGTCTCTTGGGCTGAGGGAAAGAGGAGGGGCAGACCATGGGAATACTGGCGTCACGGTAGTTGAGCGAGACCGCCTCGATCTTGACGAGGACGTCGTACTCGCCGACTTCGGGGATCGGGGAGGTGGTGCGCTCCAGGCTGTCGAAGGTGTTGCCGAAGTGGCGGAGGATCCATTGTTTGTTGGTTTGGGGGGGCATTTTTGTGGTTGTTTTACTGAAATGATGTAGTAGTTGGGAGGATTAAAGAGATGGGTGGTTTTGTCAGGATTGAAAAGATGATGGAGAGGTCTTCAAAGAGTAAAATATACTCTCCGGATCTGGGATGCCGAGATCTGCTCGCCCAGATTATGAAATCATGGAGATTCATGCAGGGCGGCAGGGCTGACAAATTTGCGCCAATGAGGCGAGGGCTGGGCATAGGGTGTGGGGAGCCGGATCCTGGGCTGGGATACCGAACTCTGGATGATGGGATACTCCGTAACTAGATCAGACTCCGGTTGTTGGTCTGGCGGAGATGCAGGTCATTGCTTGATTTTGGATGTGTCAACCTGATGGGATGGTTGAGTGGGACGGTGAGGTTCGCTTCCTGGCGTCAGAAAGTCAGTTGTTGCCACTATACATCTTTTCGGATGCTGTGGTAAGTCACCGGAAGACACTAGCTACTCGGGCCAGCAGCCGGGTAAATAAGTAACTACAACTCTCTACAACCGAAATTTCCAATGATACACTTAGAGTGGAGTTTCAAGTATTTACAGTGAAGCATGAGAGATCGACATCTCAAAGTAGTGGTTGAGAGACGGACGTGGATTGCCGGAGAGGAAGCATTCAACGTGAAAGGCAGTCACGTGGTATGCTTCAGAGTTACCAACACGTGATGCATCAAGCCCTGAGCTTCGCAGGGAGGCAGAAATAACAAGGTCGTGTGTGAAGATATGTGTGTTGGACTTTGGATATTTGCATATTCGAGAGCACTTGTGTCACATATGAGATTCTGTGTTGTAAAAAACACAAACATAACATGATAGCACAGGAGGATAGAACCGCGTAGCAGCTACGCAATAAATCTTCCACCCAACAGCTTAGGTAGGACGTTTTGAAAAATATCAGGGCAAACCGCCAACCACTATTTGTACGTAGGTCTTCGAGGTGGCAAGCGACAGCGTAAGGATGAGGATTGCTGTCTCCTAGAGGGTAAATAGTTTATACTAATCTACATAGCTGTAAACCATCAAGTACAAATACGCATGAGAACAGAAATAGAGACGCGAGCAGTTCACCGCTACATATCTGTTCACCTGTTGCATATACCGCGGGGCAATATTTACAACATGGAATATGAATGCTCTCAGCCACTACCTTCACATCGCTCAATCCGACGAATAATCTCCTCTACATCCTCCCAAATCCTTCGCCGGTTCCGCAACCCCTTCAACCGAGCCCACTGACTCTTGACCCGAGTAAAAACCCGATGCCAATCGGTGCTCGCCCTTTCCAGCCTCACCTGCTCCGGCACCACAACAGGCAACAGAACCAGTGCGTCCACCAGATCATCCTGATTTGTCGGCTTGGCACCAAAAACCTTGGCGTAGTGATTCTGCGTGTCAATAACAAACTTGACCTCGTTCGCATTGACCGTCGTCCACCACGAGGGCGTGTGCTCGGCCTCCGAGTCGTCCCAGGCCTCCCACAGCCAGGGCATCTCGTCTCGGACGAGTCGGTACCAGACACCGTTGGGGAGGTGCGTAAACGCTCGCGACGCCGCGCGGAGGCGCGTGATGTCTGCTGCGTCGAGAAAGCTGATGATGTGGAGACGGAGGTCTAGCGGGAGGGAGCTCAGGCGGTCAACTGCCCCGGTATCTGAGAAAGCCCGCTCCTTGACGGACTCGGTAGTATTCATCTCTTTCTCCTGGGCCGTCGCCTCTGCGAGCAACGCCGGTAAGCCAGGCACGTAAAGCGGGTTCGCAGCCAGATACTCTCTGCCGGGTTTATGATCCCACCATTGCTCCCGCGACTCAAGGACATCACCCGCCCGCGGAAACCCATTGAACTGTTTGTAGCTGCACTCTGAATTGCGCCATTTGATGAGTCCGTCGACGTTGACCTTGTTGATGTGCCATTTCGATTGGCGGGAGAAGATGTCGAAGCACCACGGGTGGAATGGCATGGCAAGGTCGTGGGGGCCCATCGGCTGTTGGAGATAGGTCAGCGATACCTGCCCTCTAGGGCAATCAACCCCAGATTTATGGTGCACGAATCACTTACAACGAAACTAATTTTATCTGCGATCACAGTTTCCACCCCACCCCGCGCGGGCCAGACATCCGGATACCCGCAATCGCGTGATCGCATCCCGTCACACACGCCGGAGAGGAACCACTCCGCATCCGGCTCCCAGTCCTCGTGCAATCCGTCGGGCTTCCACACTCTCTTTGCCTGCGATTTATGCACGAGGAACTGGGCCGTCCGGCAGCCGCGCATTTCGGCAACAGAAATCGCCGAGCCTGGGTAGGCGTTGGGTTGGCCGCAGGTGCGGGCGGGGATGTGTTCGAGGTCTTCGGCGTTGTAGCCTTCCGGAATTTCAGAGGACGTGATTGGAATCAGGATGTCTTTTTTTGTTCCGGATGTTGAGGAACAGGCTAGGACTTCAATGGGTTCGCCGGTGTAGTGTTTTGGGTTGAGTGTGCGGAGTGTGCTGGAGAGGAAGTCGTGGTACAACTCTTCTTCTTCGTCTTCTTCTTCTTCTTCTTCTTCTTCTTCTTCTTCTTCTTCTTCTTCTTCTTCTTCTTCTTCTTCTTCTTCTTCTTCTTCTTCTTCTTCTTCATCCTTCGTAGTGAATGTCTCGCCTTGTTGAAGATCGTCATCGTCTTGGTCTTCGGAGGCACTCATGGCATTATCCGATTCATAATCGGAGTCATATTCGTACGGCTCGTCAGCTCCGTCGTCGCACTCCTCAGGCTGATAGTCGGGATCAACCTCTAGATCGTCATCATTTTCTCCGGGGTATGGGTATTTGAGAGCGAAAACGCAACCCTTCTTAGCACACTTGGCGAGATCTAGATCCTCAATCTCCATGGAAAGGCTATCGTCGCTGCCAAAGGAGGCAACGTGGGGCTCTCCGACATCGCGAGCCCGACCGATGTTAAAGCTGACACCGCAAAGATGGCAGTAGGCCTGGCAATTATTGTTAATGGGCTTTTAATCTTGACGAGAAGAAATGCGCCCCGTACCTCGGAGTATCCTGTAGCAGGTCGTTAGCTATTAGATCAATTCCCTGTCTGCAGGTTGGACTTGTGGTAACATACCCATTATGCTTATGCTTAGCTGATAATAAAATTGGCTGAAGATATGTCCCACGGACTTGATGTGCAGCACAGAAGAATGTGTTGTGTGTTGTGGATGGAGTGGTATTTGAGTTGGATGCTAGAAACCGGGTCCTAGGCCAGGCTCCCGTGTGGCTGGAGTTAGGCTGCACTCCGCCCCCACAAACGCCAGGGGCGGCGTGGCTGTGCAGGCGTCCCGCCAATGGCGGTGGTAAGTCGACACGTGACCAAGGCAGTGGTCGGACTGGCGGAGTGCAAACCTGAAGGATTTTGCATCAACCTCACGTCCTATTTCTGCGCAAGCTTCCTATGCTGGAGGCAATATGTGTCTGTTATTATCTACCATCTGAGTATTCGAAGTTACTGTCCGGTAGTTGAATCCACAGGTTGAGAGTTCGGTGGCCCATCCACTCAATGCCGTTCCTAATATATTGTAGATGTATACTATCTAATCGCTTCATGTTGTCTAGAGAGGAGAATCTGCTGAAATCTTACTGCTGTGTGAGTGCTTGTAAAGAAGGATTTTAAAATCTCGTTCATGAGCTATTCTGTGCATATTCCAGTTTGGAAGTAATCAGCCTAGTACTGTACACATCAAGCACCTTAGTTCCAATACTCTTCCCCCGCAACTAGCCACTAGAACCTCTTGACTATATGAACATGCTCCCAGAAACAGCCGGTCATAGGTAGACATATCCTCTGTTGCAAACCAGAGACAAAAGCCAAATCGGTTTCCAAGCTCCAGTGAAACGCTTCAATTGCCTCACGCACGTAACCTTTCTCAGCCCTCGACCGCATGGGCAAACTGAATCTCGAATTCCACCGAGAATTCGCGCAAGGCCGATTCGCGAAACTTCTCCTCCGGAAAACTGTACTTCACAATCTGTCCGAGCAGCTCCCTTGCACTCTCATAGGCAGTTCCCCCATGCGCAGCAGAGCCCTCGGTGATACGTCATCCGCCCGGTCTGGTACACGACGCGCGGGGGAAGTCGTCCAGAACCTCCAACCCCCAGTTCGGGCTGTCGGTGACCCGTTTCGAGCCGTTGGTGACGACTCCACGCAGCGCAGCGGGGGCGTCGACGACAACATACAGGTTCCGGCACCACAGCTGGACCCCCCCGTTGAATAGTCTCGGGAGCGGAGCAAGTCGAGAATCCATGAGCATCTGCTGAGGTAGCGCCACGCGTCGGATGGCATTCTCGTGGTTGGGGAATCGACCAGGCCCGTCGAGCGATAGGACGTAGAACATGTTCCACACCTCCGACAGGAAGTCCTTCCACAGAACACGATGTCGCAGCGGGGATTGAAGCGGTGTATTGCAATCGTGTTGTGGTTTTCGGTGTAGGTGTCGTTGTTCACGTCCAGTTCGAGACTCGGAGACTGGCGTTGGATCCACTCTTGGGCTACCTTGTGGGCTTCTTTGTTCACTTTGAGGAGCGGGATCTTGACCGAGAAAAAGCCCATCTCGATTGGGCGGATGAGGTCAGGTACCCAGTCATCGTAGTAGTCGTACTTGTCGTCCAGCCTGTGAATCTGCAGTTTGACTGTCCTCCAGAAGAATAGAGGGTTGTTGATCGGGCCGGGGAGAGCAGCGTTCCAGATCATGAGCCGGATCTCCGCAGGAAGACGTGAGAAGGAAGGAAATTCTGAGGTCGCCATAGTTGTTGAACAGTTTGACAGCGGTGTTGGAATGGCTTTTGTGGCAAGGGGTGGAGGATAGCTGCGAAAGAGAATCGAAGGACGGCAACCGATCAGAAAGTGATAGTAGACGATGGAGGCTACGAAGAAAGAGATTGGTTGATATGGGACAAGGTTATTTGATTGGAAGAGAATGGCTGTTTTAACAGAGGATGACGGGGTTGGAAGAAGGTGGTCGAGTTTGAGGAGGATAGGTGCGGTTGCCTACAGGCAGCGAAGGTATGGAATTGGCAATGAACTCCATCCGGTCAGGGGCTGCTTCGAGTGAATGCCTTCATCACCTCCTTGAAGTGATTGAAGATCACGTGTCCCGATGCTTTGAGTGAACAACTAAGAAACCTGGCTTCTCTGAACTGGAGATTTAGCCTCATATAAATCCTCCCCTGGCTGAAATCCAACCATCCCGCTCGCTCGGTCAGGAACCCTGTTTTCGAGAAAGGATAATTAGTTCAACCTCTAGAAGCCTGCTCCAGGCAGCCATTCGATTCGTACGGCATAGGTATCTTGGTCTTCCGCTGCGGGGCCTAAAAGTCGGTCCATTCAAGGTAGAGAGGACCCTTGTAGTAAATATGCGTTGAACAGTGTATGAATACGCTAAAATGGGAGCTTTGGTTGCCACATCAGAGCAAGAAGTTGAAGCTACTCGTAAACTGTTAGATTGTGCTTCTTGGTTGCTAACAGCTTAGTGCTATCGATCACCGAGCCCCATGTTGCAGCATAACATTATTAGTCTGTAATTGTAATACGTTTTCATCTGTCTTCCTGCAATATTCTTGCTCCAGAATATAACTGCTAGAATGCATGAATTGAGTTAGCTTGTATCCAAATCGATGACCATGCATAGAAGAAGATATCCAGCTGTAACGGAGAAAAAGAGCCTGCACAACGCCCCGAGCAAAAACCTCTCATCTGGATTTAAGCATAGGGTGCACCATCACTTCCTCACCACACGGGCGAAGCGAACATCTAAGCCGTTGGCGCAATTCCGACAGAACCGCTTCACGGTGTGCCTTGACGAAAATTGGCAGCGTGCAATCTGCTTGAGTAGTCGCTTCGCACACTCGTAGGCAAGTGTTTCTAGTAACGAAGAAGAGGGAGCGGATGAAGAAGAAGAAGAAGAAGAAGAAGAAGAAGAAGAAGAAGACGAATTTACAATCACCATCCATCCGTCATCCTGACACCACTCAGCTCGGGGCAAATATTCCACAATCTCCACCTCCCATCTCTGCTGGAAAGTAGGGCCTGGGACTGTCTGACGAAGCTCGGCAGGCGCATCGACAACAATATACAGCATGCAACACCATGTTTGGATACTGCGGAATATCTCTGACATCCAGTCAGGGTGATCCCTGAACATTTCTCCTGGGAGCGCCACCTGCTTTATGAAGTTCCCGTGTTCGATGTATCGAAAAAACCCATGCTTAGACAGAGCAGAGTACATCTCGCGGACCTCCGTCATGAAACTTTCAAATTGTCCATCGGGACAGAAAACGATGTCGCAGGAGGGACAGAACGGTCGGCGAATGACGGTAGTACTGGGGTCGCGGTTTGGGTCGAGGCGAAGATACTGTCGCTTAAAACGACCTTCCGAGCCTCTTGGTTGACTTGAAGTAGTGGAGCCTCCACCACATGATAACCCATATCCCGTGGATGGATAAAGGTATAGCTGTGCAATATGATTCTGATGTCTTCAATAACATTTCCCAAATCGACAGTTCGCCGCCAATCAGTTTTCCCCAACAAGTAAAGAGGGTGGATGACCGGATCAGGGAGAGCAGCATCCCATATCATAAGACGGATCTCGGTGAAATCTTAGTGAATCCTTTTTCCAAGATCGTGCTGCCTTCCCAAGCCTGGCAAATCATATATTTCAGGCAGGTATGTACAGTGCAATTCTATTGCTTCACATTACTTAGACAAACAGATCCAAAACTTAGTGCCCAGATCAACCAGTTTTGATCTTGCATAACGTGTCCCTCTTTTTGCCTTGACAACCCACTTCAGCATACATTGCTGTGAAAACAAGAGTAAGAACAAGCATAAGGTAAGGATCACTAGTTCCTGCATTGACATAGGTCGTTTGTTGATGTCTTGTGCTGGGTCTGCTTACCAGACATTAGATATCCAGAGACACTCGGTATTATTAAAGAGAATGCTTAGAATGTTGCAAAGTCCTACTCTCAACTCTAAGGCTTCAAACACCTAAACAAATAAGAATTATCGTTCCTCTTCATCCTCATCTATCACATATCACCCCACCACACTGCTGCTAACAGCAACACTAAGGAAGCGCTGCGAAGAACGTCAGGATGATTGGTCAACTGCCATGATCATGTGGCCCTGGATATTATCGCTTTTATTGTTCTTTGCCGTTGACAGAACCATGGTATAGAGGTACTGAAGCATTTTTTATAAGCATTAGATTGATGCTCAGTTTTGCGGGCGACTGTTCTCTTGCGTCACTAAGCGGATGAATCGCCTCCGCAGGTAAGTGGCGGCCTCAGGCCACAACACCGGAGATCTACACTGCGGTCGGAGATTTGCTGAAAGTCCGCGGACTTTCAACACCAACCCTAACGTTGCTGGCCCCCATCGTCTTGCTCCGGATCTTGCCAAACCTCCGTTTATGAGTGAGAAAATATGACAAATACTCACAGAATTCAGGATTGAACATGAGTTATAAGGGCACATTCAGACTGACTCTTCCACTCTCATACCTTTCTATCTTGTCCTACCAAAAACCGGAGTCAGGCCTGCCCTCAAGGAGCTCTTTCTGTCACATAAGCTGCGGTCATTGAAAAGGATTCATTTGATCATGTCTTCTACCAGCGAGTCTACAGCGCTTGACAACCAACCACTTCGCAAAGAGAAAGTCGACGGGGGGGATGATCCAATGTCAGGGCCTGGCGGTGTTGGCGAGCCAGATGCTGGAGGCCCTCCATCCGCCTTTTCATCCACCTTCCAAGAAGTCCTTTTCATCCTTGTCATCGGTCTATCACAGCTCTTCTCTGTTGGCGGTCTTGGCAATACAGCTTTTTCGGTGCAACAAATTGCCCACTCGTTGAACGCCGCAGGCAATGGTCAGATGTCCTGGTTCCTGGCCGCGTATTCTCTGTGCGGCGGCGTCTTCGTTCTGGTGACCGGCCGACTGGGCGATCACTTCGGCCATAAGTATGTCTTCCTCTTCGGATGGATGTGGATGGCCTTATGGTCCCTCGTGAGTGGCTTTGCCAAAGATGTGATCCTCTTCGACATTGCTCGCGGGATGACGGGGATCGGCAACGGGGCACTGGTCCCCAACTCCTTCGCCCTCCTCGCACGTGCCTTTCCCCCGCTGTCAGTCAAGAAAAACATCGCCTTTGCTTTCCTTGGATTCTGCGCACCATCGGGTTACATATTCGGAGGCCTCATCGGCGCTGCCTTCGCCGAGAAAGTCACCTGGCGATGGGGGTATTGGTTTTGGGCCATTGGCTGCCTCGTCCTGGGCGCAGTGACTTATCTCATCGTCCCCCACCGCGTGGGTTCGCCGATCCCCGGTCTCAGCCTCAAGCGCTTTGACTACCTCGGATCCATCCTCGGCGTCTCGGGTCTTATCCTCTTCTCCTTCGCCTGGAACCAAGCCTCCGTGGTAGGCTGGCAAGAACCTTACGTCTACGCGCTTCTCATCGTCGGAATTCTCCTGATCGGCGCATTCGCCATCTCTCAGTCCCACGTCCCGGCCCCCGTCCTTCCCAACACCCTCTGGACCCGCAAGGGCTTCTCCCCCGTCGTGACAGCGATGTCATTCGGCTGGATGTCCTTCGGCATCTTCCTCTACTACACGACGATCTACATCCTCACCATCCACAAAGCGCAGCCACTCACAGCAGTCGCACAGATGGTTCCGCTCGTGATCGGGGGCCTGTTCGCGACCGCCTCCGTCGGGCTCTTTATCACCAAAGTCCCCGCGCAGTACATCTTCGGCGTCTCCATGTTTTCCTTTCTGGTCGGCAACCTGCTGATGAGTTTTGTGTCGTACTCCCCCATCTACTGGGCCTTCATCTTCCCCGCGTGTTTGCTGGTGGTCGGCGGACCGGACCTCTCCTTCGCGTCGTCGGGAATCCTCATCTCCAATGCGGTCCTGCCGGAGGAGCAAGGCGTCGCCGGCTCGTTTATTTCGACAGTTGTGCAGTACTCTATTTCTATCGGTCTGGGCATTGCTGCGACCGTCGAGGCGCATGTCAATCACGGGGGAGCGGATGTGATCCGCGGGTATCGCGGGGCGCTCTGGCTCGGGATCGGGTTCGCAGCGGTCGGCTTCTTGATTGTGGTTCTGTTCGTTCGGGATAGCCGGTTTGATGAAAAGGGGAAGAATGTAAAGGCTGATGCGAGCAGCACGGATAGCGCTGAGATGCCAATCGCCGAGGTGGATGTCTGAGGCTCTTGTCTGGTAGTTGAAAATTGTCGGGGAATTGAGCCTAGGGTTATGTATAGCTAGATTGATAGAGGATAGGAGTTTGTGCTTAAAGTTCCAGCACAAATAATGGATTCATTGACTTGACTGTAACAGCGAATGAGACACAGCAAGGTACGCGAAACGAGTAGCTGTGGTCAGTCGGTCTGTGTCTTTTCCTTTAGCTTTTCTAGGGTAGGGAGCAACTTGGACTATGTAACTGATTTCAATTGTAAGTCCACGGTGCCTGCGGGTAGATTCAGCAGCCGCTGAATCCCTTTTCCCCCGAGGGCAAGGCACTATTCAATACCGGTCAGAAATCAGGGAATATCGCGAATAGAAAGATACCCCGTGCTCTCTCACCATACACAGCCACGTACTTCCTATTTAAATGTTCTTCTCGCTGAATTTGTGCGTGTACTGTTTTAACTCCGGCGGCTGATCAAATAGTGCAGAAAATATATCGTTCGGTTTGTCAGCGGGGAAACGGGAAAGCCAATGTAGTTTGTCTTCAAACGTGGGCAGTCTGAGCAAAATAGCAAGGTGAACGCTGATATACTCTTGAGAACTTCATCCATCGTAGCAATTGGTGAACATCTTTCCTGGTTGACTTGTGATGTCGCCGTCTGTCTTCCGGGTTATATTAGTTAAGTCCGAGCGGGTGATCCGTGGCTTGGCAGATTATTCCTAGACGGGTACGGAAGACCATTGCGGTCACAAGGGGTAAGAAATCTGGTAACTGGGATCGGCTGATCACCTGACCTACTGGTCCGCTGCATAAAAGCCCCGCGTCGTCAACTGGCCAGCCGAGCTCGGTCACGGCTAACCATTCAGGGAGGTAATCCCACGTCAGCTGGCAGGTGCAGGTGGCTGCAGCATTCCAGGAAACAAACCCCTCTTCCTGCGCTTGGATCTCTGATCTAACCATCACAGAGAGGCGAGCAGAATGGTGGATGACGACCGCAGCAAAGCTACCCCAGGCTCGCACTCGGGGGTACGCAAGTTTACGCTGTCGTGTTCCCGCTGTAGGGCCGCGAAGCTAAAATGCGACCGCAAAGAACCCTGTGTCAGTGCCCCACATCATCCACGCGCAAGTGATCGACTTGCTGTTGATGCTGAAGGCTTACAGTCCTCTTACAGGTGGAATGTGTCAAGCGTAATATTGGCCATCTATGTACCAAAGATGAGCGACACCCGAGAGCCAAACGGTCCAAAACCGTGCACAGAGGAAAGACAGCGTCCAAGCAGTGAGTTCACATCATCATCAATTTTCTTGTCACTGAGCTGATTTCGAACCTTCAGCAATTTGCCATTGAAGGGAAATGGTGAAGCGGAAGCAGAGGAGACAGCTCAGCTCTTGGAGCATTTCGTCGAGGGAATCCCTCGTTCGAGTTCTATGGCGGCAACACCGATTTCGATCGCCCCAGATTTTCCGAATCGGTACTGGTCCGGTACAGACCCTGACCGACACGGCGAGAAGCTCGCTTTGATCCGAGAGATCGTCGATGTACTGCCGGAGTGTGAGGTGATTAATGTGCTTTTTGAAGTATTCGTCACTCGCTGCCAGGGCCCTTCGGGGAATGTGGTGCATACTCCGACATTCATGGCGCAAGCTGCACAGTTCGGCAGCTGCTTGAATCTCGCTTCAGCAAACGAACGGGCTTCCGCGATAGCCAATGCAGTCACTATGGAGACGCTGGGCTGTTACCTCTTGGCGGTAGGTGTAGTCCCTTGACACAGAATGCTCATGCTCACATCATTGTTCGGTTTGCAGCTCGTGCTCGGTCTCGCTTTTCATCCTACACCCTCGATATTGGGGTGGGGTCCTACACCGTTGGCCTTACGCGTGGAAGAGCTACGATCGTCCGATTTGCGCGCCAAGAAATGGAGGGCTCTGGGATTACGCTGTCTCCAGGATGGGGTGTCTCTCTTTTGTGGCTCAATCGCTGGGTTACAGGCTGCAGTCATGCTTTTACTCGACGGGCAAGAGGGCTCGTTGGCGCTGGACGCGGTTCTGGTCACTGCGATCTCGGGGGCTCGCAGACTCGGGTTGCATCGGCTGGGGGATATCAAGTTGGACGCATGTGCATCAAATTCAGAACTAGTCGAAAACGGCATGACAATATCGGCAGAAGCGCCATATATTCGAATAGAAATAGGTACTCGCATATGGTAAGACGAGTCGAGAAGATAGATTACGAGTCCTTTGCTGACACTGGCGTACAGGTGGGCACTCGTTCAAAGGGACTGGTCCCGCGGACAAGCCCTAGGCTACTACACCATCCAACCATCACAATTCAACACCCGGATGCCTTTGCACATCAATGACGATGATCTCTCTCTACCGACCGCGCAAACAGACATCAATGGACACATCGCAGAGCGACCTCGATCCGAGTTCACGATGATGTCGTACACTCTCCACGCCCTGGAAGTTAGCGGCATTGTCCGCGAATCCATCGAGCTATGTGAATTACCAACACATGAGCCCGACACAACCACCAAATCGACCAGGTTGCGCAAACGTCTCAACAATAAATACGAAAATTACGTTGCTGGCCTGCCGGCGTATTTCCGACTGGGAAGCACGGTCGGACTTACCGCCACCGGGAGTCCGATGGCGGCGATCCCTGTGCAACGCTGGATGCTACATCAACAACTGTGGAGCTTACTGCTTCGACTGCATCGTCCCAACCTCTCATCGCCGATCGGCCGTCCTTTCTGCCAGCTTTTAGCGCAGAATATTATCGGTACCCAGGGTCAGATTCAAGCGCGATGCACGGTCTGTGGCTCGCTGTCGACCAGCGAGATGCAGCTTTTCAACGCGGCTGTGGTGTTGCTACTGGACCTGATCTTCACGTCCAGGTCAGGGGATGATATGAACAGTGCCAGCGCACAACACCTTAGCCGACTGATGACTCGCGACAAAATCCGGGAAGCGATAGAATTGCTACGAGCTGAGAACGTCAAGAAGGGGCCATTGACGCTCCACGCTCCGTACAGAGAGTCAGAGGCCGAAGGGCCCGCTCAACGCTGCGTCGTTGCTCTGGATGCCTTGATGAGACTCGAGGAAGAAGACGATCACGATCAAGACGACAGTGCTGCGGCTAAAAGCCTTTCCGGAGAAAAGCTGGCTGCTGTAAAACTTAGGGTCGCGGGTATCCTAAAAGCCTTGAGCAGAAATGGCCTGGATCCTACTGGGGCATCCGGACAAAAGCACCAGCAAGCCCCATTCGAGACCTTTTCACCATTTAACCCACTATTACCATTTGTCGATGGTGGCGTCGCCGACGTAATTCCGGATCTGGACGTGCTGCCGGTTCTTTCCCACGGTCTCGTCAGCCCAGAAGACCTTTGGCAACGGCAGTTCTTTGACTTTCCCCTACTACCGCTTGATTCTTGCGATCCATTCCCTAAAGATATCCCGTTTGCTACACTAGGAGACGATCTCCCTGGCGTCCTTGATATGGGCGGTTCGGATAATACTTCGCCACTTGCCGACTCTTACAATAGTGAAGGCGTTACTCCTGGTACGCGTATGACGCATGGCTCGTCTTTGTCCTCTACATAATGGATTTACGGTTTGGGGTGAAGCGAATGACTTGACCACAATCCGCTCGAACACCCATGCCTACGTTGCTGTCATGTTGAACCCTATTGGAAGTAACGTAATATGAGGGCCTATAGACTATAGTTAATTCCGCGAGGCTGCGGCTAAGAGATAACTCTGTCGTCTCGTCTAGTCAAGCGTCGTCACAGCTGCCTCGTGCATAAGCCATTCCAGATCTATGGTTCGTAAGCAGTCTTCGCGAAACCGTCGGTCGTTGTGCTTATCAAGTAAGAGCTAGGCAGCAGGAGAATAGTACATACGACCACAGGGTGTGGAAAACAGGGCTTCCCGTCCGCTCAGCCGTACTTAAGCCACACGCCGGGAGGTTAGTAGTTGGGTGGGTGACCACCAGCGAATCCCTTCTGTTGTATGTTTTTTTTTATCTCTATTGAGTTTGTTTTTCCGTGTCGCTTCTTCACTCTGGCTCTCTTCCTCCCAGACACGATCTGCCCCTCTTCTGGAGTGATGCCGCCACATGATCCGATGCAAACCAACACCCTTGTTCATGTATTAGAAAACGTACCTATTTAGCTACACCAGCCGAACCAGCCATCAAGGTCAAGGAACCGCTTACTGGCCGCACATCGGTAAAGCTCTGAACACCCTCGTGCCGGTTGTAAGGTCTGTATTTCCTCTCCTGGGGAAGGACAGACTACGCAGAGGTTGATCGTGCCTACTCTGATAGAGCGCATAAGTCATCCTGCGGAAGAAAGAAGTCGCGCCTTGTCGGATGATGGAAAAATGGACCCCGTTGTCCTGCTGGTATTGAGAACCGGTGCCGCATGCGGAGGGGTAGGCTGCACCGGGGCTGACCGCGGGCTATCATCATCCTCTCATAATCATCATTATCATCCTGATCATCATCGTCATTATCGTCATTCGCCTCCGCGTGTGTTCGAGCCCAGGATCTGGAACAAGGTCTGCGAATTGCACCGTCAAGTCGCCGGCCGCATCGGCAGTACCGGGTTCCGCATGGGACGATCTCGCTGTGGGAGACGGCATCGTTACGCAGTATCTTTCACAACCACTCGGGCTACTACATCAGCGAGGACTGGGTTCTTGGGGGCATGGTAGCCTGGGCCTGGATCGTATCCAGATGTGCAGCGCGATGTTTGTTGACACCGCCGTCTCCGCCAACGTATTGCACAGTAACGGTGTGGTGCTGCATATGACACCGAGACGGCACGGCGTGAGACCAATTGCTGTAGGGCACAGGTATACGCAGCCCTCTTATACTTCCTCGTCCCCATGATGTTCCCCATCTCGCTCTACGTGTGACCCGGCATGTCGCTGGTCAACTTTTGCGCCACGTGTGGGTTGCACTTGCTGCATGCCATCCTGTTCAACGCCATTCATTTGGGCTCAAGAACCAACAGGTTGGATGGGGCTGTATCATATGGGATAGTACTCCATTCCGATACTTACACACAACTCTTTCTGTGCAAGAAATCCGAAGGTGAGGGTGCCGAAACTCGAGTCAGAGACTTTAGTGAATATAATATGGCCATCGAATGGAGGAGAGCTACCAACCATACAGAGCCAAAGCTTTCACTATAGCCCTATTTATTTGTGATTCACTCCCAGCAGTCGATTGCCTTAGCAGCCCCCCATAGCTAGCAGCCGTAATGGGCGGGCTGAGTCCAGCGGGCTCCTTAGGTTAATTGAGCTTGAATTGAATGTGGCGTGAATTGAATGTGACTTGAATTGAATTGAAATTTGATTGGATTGAATGGAATAAATTTCAATGAGCTTATATACCCCCTCCTTTCTCCTCCTTCTTCCTTCTTTCTTCTTCCTCCCAAGCCTTCCACTTCTTCTCCATCCATCTTCCCCTTCCTCACTCTCCGTCAATGAGGCGACATTCTATCGAGACCCTGAATTATTCTACGCGTTGAACCAAGCTTCCGCAAGTCAAGAGCATTCTTCTGGTCGGGAATCATAACCAACTCACAGCCCAGGCCACAATCCGGATTCTCCACGTGGAGATTATTACCGGGACGTGGTAGAGTGCTTTTGGTCCGAAGACAGAATCGCAAAGTGGCACGAAGATGTGCTAGGACGTTACGGCGCTGAGCATTGTGCCAATTGTCTTACCCTCAAAGCATCCGTTCACAGAATCTGGGATACGGCGACCTTTGCCCTCAAGCCACTAGATGTCAATCAAGAAAAAAAACCGCTGTCAGGGTGCAACTATTCCTGTTGGGCAAATATTGATTGACCAAGAATGCGTCCTTCGAGCGCCCTGATATCCCTGACGTATTCCAGGCATTGGGAATCCCAAGTTGGGATGATGCCATGGTAAAATTGAGACAAGTCACCTGTGGCGATACCCTAACCTTCCCCACGGATGTCCCGAAAGACCACCCACTTCCCTCGTTTGCTTTGCTAGAGATGCAATGACTTGCACATCGGGCTCTCGCGCTTAGGGGAGCCGCTGAGTTCGCAATATGGCATTAGTGTGACTCCAATTTCGTTCGTGTTCTGGTTCATACAGTGTGAAAAGGTCAGACGCCTGTTCACCTGAGACTGCCCCAAGGGTCCGCAAGCGGATCCGAGAGCTTTGGCCCGAGAATTCTCCCAGTTCCCCGGTGCACTTATGGCCATCTGCGGTGCGCTGGTGGAAACCAAAACTTAGGTGCGCCCATCGGTATGCGGTTATTTCTTCGTCACTCTCGCCCATAAATTGGAAATGGACCACACTCCTGATTAGACTGCGTTGACCACAAAGGCGGCTGCATGGGCCAAGTGCGCGATCCATCCGACGCTCCGAGCCGCCTCTCTCAGTCCCAACGCAGGGTCGGTGATAGCTTTCTTCAACTCGACCAAGTCCGTTCTCCTAAATATTTGTGCTATGGCCATACAAGAGGAGAACTGCATCAAAGAGACGTTGGATCCTCGCGACATGTCCTTGACGGTGGAGCAAATTATGAACCAAGCGCTAAACCTTTCGGATGAGCTCCACACACGCAATCTATTCAGGCAGGCGCTTTTAGCGTCACTGTCAGTGTCCCGCAGGCCTTGGGAGGTTGAGAGTGGCAGTAAATGATGTGTGCGACAGCATTGATGAGGCGATCACAATGCTAGTGACAGGGGAGCAGGAAAGTGGCGATGAGTCTTGATGCCTTTGTCACAAGAAGCAGATTTGAATGCGGAAAATATTCAACTTTCAGATTGAATCGAGACCAGATATCTCAATCCTGATCCCTGATGTTGAGTTTCACACCCGCGGCTCACTGAGACAGGCGCTATTAGCATGCCTGCGCCCCACAGCCCTGAGGCAGTTAGGATTGACAGTGAACGATCTCTGCAACAACATTGATGGGAGACGAGCAGGAAATTGGTGACGAGTCTTGAGACATTTGTTACGAGAGGCGGGCTCGACTGAAGAAAGTGGTCGCTTACAAAAATAAGATTACTCAATGCGGATGACTCGACCATCTTTTGTTGGTCCTTAACTGCACACTCTACTTTGTACCTTTCTATGCCTCCATGTTTCTACTTTACTAACCACATGCATTATACTGGCCATGGGATGAACGAGTATGTCAAATATCAATACGGTGCTATGGTATATTACCTGTGGCATTGCCAATCTGACAAAATGAACTATCCTAATCATTAGACCCTGTTCAGCCAAATGTGACATCCCCAATTATTCCTCAGAAGTAAAAGTACAAGTACTACATCATTCGGGGTGTTCCGTAGTCGCCCCCCCAGGAAAGGGGGCAACAGCGGGCTAACGAATCAAGGTGTGATGCTAAACCATGATCCCAGGGTATGCTAAGCTGTCAATTCGGGTTCCCGTTGGGTTGCAAATAACGTTCAGGTTGCCTTGTTCATGATACTAAGGTTGCGGTCGAGGAATCAAAATCCTAGAGTGCAGCAGACCTTCGAGACGGAGTGTGATGGAAAATAATATGACAACCTGTACTTCAGAAATCTTAATTTGGAAAAGCATTATAAGCTCACAGATCCCTCGTCCCCCAAAATCAAATCAAGCTTATGCACAAACAAAACATAGTCACGTAAGTCAGGACAGCTACGGAAGACCATTGCGGCCACTCGGCAAATGGAATTTTGCTCAGCAAGTCTTCTTACCGCAGAGGTCACCGCCTACTAAAAAGATAACCATCTTTTCGAAAAGCATATAAGCCCTCTTATAATATTAAATATATTTATAGTTCTATATATAAGCCTGCGTGCAAGCCTGTAAAACTGTCTGCTTATAATTAAATAATTATACTAGTCCGATTAAAAAGAATTTTAATAATTATAAATTCTAATTAGGTCAGCCGGTTCTATATAAATCCGATTCGGTATTTTTTTAGCAGTATATAACCTAATAGTCTAGTTAAAATCTTATATTTAAAAGATAAGATAAAGAAATAGTTAAAAGCCTATCCGACGGATTCGGACCCGATATAAATTATTGAAAATCTTTAATTTATATAAAAATATTTTAATTTTGTATACTATAAACTTTGAATAACTGTAATAGAAATTAAATTTAATAAATAATTACCTGCAGTTCGATCCTTTTCCTCTCTATGTAATATTTATTCTGCCGGTAGTTTTCTATTTGCCGAGTGGCCGCAATAGTCTTCCGTAGACAGCTGCCATACGCAGTAATCAGCCCCCCCCCCCCCCCCCAACACCCCCCACTGTCACCCACTATCGGCCCCAACAACCCTAGCCTACCCCCTACCCTTTCCCCCTCTCTGGATCAGCTGAACCCAACCCCTAAGCATCTCCTACCCACCGCGCCATACCCCCCTTAGCCCACGCGCCCACGAAAAACAATCCCACTTCACCCCCCGCCAAAACCCCAATAACCACCGCACAAACCCCCAACGCCCCATTATACCCACCCTCTCCACACACGCACTCGCCCAAAAACTGACCGCACACCCAATAGACCACCGCTCAGCACACAGCGTCATCATCGCCACATGGCCCCTGCTCGGATAACAATCCATACTATACACGAACCCGGTGAGGACAATACTCACAAACCCATTAACAACGCCTTCATCCCCACGTCAACCCCAGCCTAGCTCCACCCTTTCGGAAACGCGCGCCCGCTGCGGGTGACGGTCGATCCCCCTCGGGGGCGAGGCCTCGCCCAAAGCGGAACTATGCCTTCTGGGATCTGTTGATGCAGGAGTTTGACGGTACGTCAGATACGATTACCTGAAGCCGGGAGGTCGGGATCTGGCGTAGAGGTTGATAGGCAAGTAGGAAAGAATCAGCGGGAGGACAGTTATCGCGAAGTATCCCCTCAATATGGACACCTACTGAGAGGACAAGCGCCCGCGGCTGCAGGACATCGAGGTGCCCATGTATATTCTGGCCAGCTACTCGACACGGGCCTGCATACAGAGGGGCTGATCTGGGCGTGCAAGTATGCCTGTGCGAAAAGGAAGTGGTGAGTTGACGGAGGATACTGTTTGTTGCTGGAAAGGCCGAAAGCCCCAATTCTGCCTGCAGGCTCCGTCTCCATCCCACGCAGGAATGGTTCGACACCATCTACCAGCCCTTCGCCAACGACGACCTTCGACCCTTCCTCGACCACTTTCTCCTCGGCAAAGATAACGGCTGGCATGAACCCCCCCCCCC